TCATTTTTTTATTTTTACGACCGACTGCAGTCAAGGGACATGCGGAGAGTGAGTTGAGAGACGATTACTTGCAGCCAGGTTTAAATAGCCATACCGTTACTAAGAGTGGATGGCAGGTGCAGTTGGCTACTTTATATCCCATCCACTCACTCTTAACCCTCTTCACAAGGATAACGTAAATTCTATAATCGGTTCTATATATTTTTTGTTGATAGTATACATTTTTTTACTCTCTTTTTTTTAACTTATTTTAAAATAGTCGTAAAATTTTTAGAGGCAATAATAAACTTATTATAAATTTAATTTTAAATAAAAATATATAGTTAATTAAATAGAGTAATTTAGATAAAATTTTATAATAACAGTAATTTTTGGAGAAATAGACTCCAGGGATTTTTAAAAGTCATTAGTATGCTAATAAATTAATTGTTTTTTAGCTAAAGAAAGCATTTCTATTATTTTTAAATAATTTGACTAATTAAAATCATTGAAAGATATTTGAATAAATATCTACAACTTTAATTAGTTAACAATTTTAACAAATATCATTTAGAATAGATTTGTTGGTAGTGCATAACCTTTTTCTAAAATAAATTGCAAATTTTCAAAATCTTATTGACGTTAAGAGGCTTTAGAGTATATCAGTCTTTGAGACCTTTTATAAAGTCAGTGTATGTTTACAATACCCAAGCCATACATGTTTTTTTATTTCTTTCCTTTTACAATCGTTAATTTCTGTTTCATCGCTTCCGCGGTTGATCGTTCTCATCCTTACTTCGAAAATTCCCAAAATGTTTTCCAAGAACAAAGCTCTACTTACTCTAACACGATATCAAATATCCTTTCTCTATCGGAAATTCACCCTCTCCATTAGCCCCTATAGGCAAACCACGACTTTAGATAGTTATGCCAAATTTACCTCAAACAAAGATGGATGCGACATTCAAACCGCCTCTCTCTGGCTCTTTGTTCTTTGTCGATTTCAACTATTCTCTCTGTCTTTGTAACTGAAATACTTCTACATCCACAACTTTCTAAATTAAAAATCTAACTTGGAGAATTTTTTTTGTTTTAAAACTTGAAATATTCAAATCTTTAGAGTAGCAAATACTACGATAAATTTCAAAGTTGAAAAAAATTGGGGAAATGTTTTTCTATTTAATCTAAGATATTAGGGAAAAAGTTTGTAGTTTTTATTAATTCTAATCTTCTATTATGTGATTGTATATTTCAATCAATTTTCCAACGATACCTTTAATATAATCATTCAAATAATTTGAAAAATGATTGATAAATACTTTTTGAATAATTAAATTAACAAAAATTTTAATACAATAATATAAATATTTTGTACATCTTCAGAGCTGGATGATTTTTATTTATGAATGTTTCAATTATTTTCGTTAAAGTCAAAATGGTTTTAAAAAATTCAGATCTCTGCACATTTATATTGAAAAGGTACTAACATATCAAAAAATAAAATTCGTAAAACTTTACTTAATGAAAGTATGAAAGTAACAATTTAAAAACTTACAAAGAATTTTTTTTTTTTGTTACTTAACTTTTAAAATTTTTAACACTCTTCAAAAATGTTTTTTGCAAAATACATTATTATGTTTCCGGTAAAATTTAATTTATACTTTTTATGGTTAACTTTTTAACTAGAATAATATTAAGAATCCATATTTTAAAGTCACTTGGTGGCTTTTTAAAAATTTATAAAACTGAAAAACAAAAAAAAAAATGTCTAAGTACTTTAAGTATAAAAGCATATAAGAAGGGAACCATACAAGTTCCATTAAGCTCTTCACTGCTAACTCCATTGACCTATTAAAAGGACCATAGTGAAAAAGATTCTTCTGAACGGAATTATATTCCCGAAGCGATCAAACTTAGCTTTTACAATTTTAAAATCGAAATATACTTCTCTGTACTTTCTCTTTTCTTTTTAAAAATAATTATAAAAGTTTTTATAAATAAACAGAACAATAAATTTAATTAACCACTTATTATAATTCCTACTTATTCTTTTTTTAAATCTTATGATTGACTCTAAGTACTTCTAATTATTTTTATTGAACAAACTTTAATAAATGATCATCGAAACTACAAGTTGAAGAATCCTTCAGACTCTGTTTAATAAACCAACTTTTATCAATCAATCAATTGTTATCAGAAAAAGTAATGTCAACTGTTAAAGAACAAGAAATAATACTTGAATTTTATTATAAGAATACAATTATTTCAATTTCTCAGTTGCAATAAATCGAAATCGCTCCCTTGATTTTCCAAGCTTCAAGTTAGAATACAGTAAAAACTCTGTCACAAGCAAACGTAAAAGAAAAAATTGAATAAAAAAAAAAAATAAGAATGCGAAAGACATCCACAAAATATATTATTGAAGTTGAACAAACAGAGAGAAGTTTAAAACACTTTGCCAAGAGAGACATCCACAAATGTCTTTGTAGCTGTCTCCTTACTGAGGCAACTTCTTTCCTTCTTTATTCCAATTCAGAATTTCTCCAAGTCAAACTGCTTAACTTGAACTAAATTCAATTAGATACTTTTAATATCCATGGAATAAACAATACAATTTTATAAACAATACTCATTCAAATTCTAATTACACAATACACTTTATCAACACACAATTACAGTTAATGTGAATAAAATATGGACTAAATAGAGTAAGTTGTCTTCTAATAAAATAATTAGAGAATGAAAAATTAATTTATCTGAAGAGATAATAGCAAAATCATTAAATAGATGATTTATTATTGAAGAAATAATAATAATGTAATAAATATTTTATGCTAAAAATTTTAGTTTGTCATCAAGTTGATAATATAAACATCAGAAAACTTTTATGCTATTATTGTTAAAATAAAAATTTTTTTTAAGTAAGGACAAGATAAAAGTTTTATTAGCATATTTTTCCATATTTTATTTAAAATTGTAAGATTTAAAGTTTAAAGTAAAGCTTTTTATATGTAATATATTATTCAGAGCGTGAAGATGAAAAACATTTTCTTAATTGAAAACTATAATTTTTAATCTAAATAGCAATAAAAGAAATGTTTCATTTATTAAAAATTGATTATAAAAACTTTGAGCCCAAAAAAAAAAATAAAAAATTCTACTTTGAATTTAAAAAAACTCGTGTAATAAAAACTACCATTTCTCTGAGTATAAAAGGGTGAAGATAAATATGGTAAAATAAGAAGCAAACGATAAGATTTTTCAACGTTCGAAAAGTTAAAAAGCCCAGTAGTTCTATGAATAAAACCCAGGATTTTATAACGGAAAAGAAGTAAGGTATGCGGTGAGGGAGGCATTGAAAAATGCATAAGAATTGCAGTATGCTCAAGCAACTGTGTACCCATCATATGTATACATATATATGTGTTATGTGTACGAAGTATATATATATAGACTTACATTGTGATATGTACTCACCGGTATGCACGCATGTTAGTGCATGCAGCATGAATATTTTGTTAACTACTCTAGTACATTTTCTTCCTCAGTCCAGAGCATATAATATAATATCTCTTAGCCAAGTGTACATACATCTTTTTTTTGTACTACTTCTATTATATATACTTTCTCTTAATCTACTTTATACCTTGCCCATTTCCTTTACTTACGAATCCATTTCTTTCATCAAAATAACGTATAATCATTTAATGTCACTTAAATAATTACACAATTATTTTGAAAAATTCTTTCCAATTTACTCTACTTACTTAAATTTAGTTTTTAAATAAAATAAATAATCTAAGATGGTAGTTGTACACTTTGTGACATAAAATAGAAGAAATTATTTATGAAAATCTCATCAAAATTCGATTAAGTAAGAAAAAAAAAACCATCAGGTAATAATGCAAAAAATTTCTTCCCATTCGAATCAACTCCGAGATTCTTAAGACATTTAGCTGATTTCACGTTAATCGAACCAAGCCTTTCAAGTGTTTGATGAAGAAAAAGCAAGAAACTAAAAGGTCTCATTTAAAACAAACCGGTAACTTCTTTCATTACTTCTTATCTATCTAAGAACAAAAAACTCAAAGAAAACGAATTACAAAATGTGCAAAACTCTTTCTCTCTTACCGAAGCGTTAGTTAACTAACTCACAAAGTCCAGATATAAAAGTTTTCATGCCTTTTCTTGATGTTTCAGACGACAATGAACTTAAAAAGTATCTTAATTAGCGGAAGATCACATCATAAATAGTCAATAAAATTCGCAATTGTCCATTTTTATGGCCTCAGGTGGCTTAACAGTTATATTGAAGATAAACTGCTTGTTGGTTAGATATTTACTTGTGATATTTTATGATCATTGTTTGAATTGAATAGATCCATCATAAAGTTTATGTTTCATTGTGCACAATTGCCATCTATCTAGTATAGTACTTACTCTTCCCTATTGCTATTAAAACTTAATGTAATTCGAGTTAACTAAAACCCGGGGTATTTTTTTGTATTTGATTTCGAAAATTCATCACATTTTCTCTGTATGTATTATTTTAGTTCATCTAAACGAAGTGGTCGCTGAAATTAGATTTCCAATCTGTAGTTAATTACCCCAATTACTTATGGATGCAATTACAGAACATGCATGTATTCATTGTTGATCAAACAAATTCTATCATTATTTACTAATGAAATAAAACATCAATATTATTTCTATAAATCAATAAAAAATAAAAGATAAATATAGAAATAATTTTTTAATCACGACAGCTTCGTTTCTGAACTTGATAAATGTTAAAGAATGTTGAAGAAGATTGAATAATAAAAAAAAGTCAATTTTTTCTGTTAAGGCTTGAATAATAAACTAAATAATGAAAATTCTTGTAAATGAAAGTTTTCTTGATATTCATTTAAACTATCTTCAACGTTCATTTTCATTGCTCAACTCAATTTCCAAGTTGAGAAATGAAATTACCAGTTACAAACTTACACTGACTATATTCTCTGTGTCGTCATCGTATCTAGGACTTTACGCTGGATTTCTACTTCCGGCAATTTTGGACTGACCCCCGACTTGCATTTAAACAAAGGCCAGGAGTCGAGACGTTAAGTGTCGGCTCTGAGTTCATCAAAAATATTTGGGTGCCAGATACATTTTTTGTCAACGAAAAACAGTCCTACTTTCACATCGCCACCACCAGTAACGAGTTCATTCGAATACATCACTCAGGCAGCATAACACGAAGTATAAGGTGAGTTTATCATTTCAATTATCATTAATAAATCATTATTTCAACCAATTTTTTTATACATCAACTTTAAATAAAACTCAATTTTCTACATGAAATTCAAAGTAATTTAAAATTGAATAAATTGTTAGAAAAGGTGAAATAGTCTTTTAGAATGAGTGAAAAATGTATTGGAACCATGGTTCTAGTTGCATAATAAGTAATACGTATGTTTGATTATGTTTAAAGCATACAAATATTGATTCGATTAAGAAATCATCAAAGTTGTGAATAAAGACTTAGTTCACAAGGATTTTGACGTCAACAGAAATAATGTAAATATTTAACAATAATATCGTTGATGTCACTTGAATACTCAGGTGTGAATTAAATTATAAGTGACTCAACTTTTACTTTGTTTATTATCGAAAAAAGGTTATTGATTTCAACTTTGCAAAAAAAAAGAATGATCTTTCAACTAAATATGTTGTTTAACAATACAGTGGATAGTCAGTTTATTTGACTACCTATACCGACATGATAGAATTTATAAAAGTTTCAAACTTTATGGAAATGGTCTTCATTTTATACCAGCATTTATATTTGTATGATATTCAAATTCCGACAATTTTGCCTATTAAAAAGTTTGAAGATAAATCCATATATTATAAAGTGCTTAGTATGAAAATTGATTTTACCTTTCATCAAAAGAACTTCGTAAAAGATTAATGGTTTTAATTAAACATAGAAATATCACAGGTATTTCTTTAATACCCATCTCTCGTGGTGATACTTTTTGCAATAAATACATTCTTCCTTTGATTTTAATTCTCAATTATATCTTGTTAAATAATAAAACTCTCTCAATAATTTTTAATATTATAGATAGAACAATATTAATAACCGATGTAAATGAATTGTGTAAGAACGAGAGCTGTGGAAATTTCATTAAAATCCTTTCAAGAACAAAGTGCTTCTATTTTTCATTAAAAATATTGGTGAAAAAAATGATTTTTATGTTTAAATGTGAAGGGCGAAATTTTTGAAAGCTTATCTAGAACATTTCCGAATTATTTCTACTTCCTTTGGACTTTAAAAGGAATCACTTCAATCGAATTACATAGCAAAGCAATCTCAAATCAACTTCACTTCTACCGCCTATAAAGGACTCTTCTCCTTTCATTGAATTTGACACTCAAGCTCGCCCTATTTCACAAGTCTTTTCATCATATCCATCATCCCTCTCATCTTCAATCCTATTTCAGATGCTCCTCTCCATCACACATCTCCCTCGAGTATTCCTTTATTAACGCTTGGACTATATTCAGAAGCCATGCATATCTAACTTATACGCCTGGCTACACGGCTTCTACACCCTCTCGTCCACACTATCCAAAGACCGTCCAAGCATGTTCACCATACATTCCCCTTCCGTTTCTATCCTCCGCTTTGACTATACACTTCATACACCAACAGATATCTCGGCTTTCGCGGCTCTGATTTGCTTGCCAAGCACGCAATAATTAATATGCGTACACGTGGCCAATTAAGCATATTACTATTACTTTTGTCAATGATGTTTACACCCGTAACATTGTTGTGGAGCTTAGTAGAGATAAATTTACGCCAGAATAATTACTTTTAAGAGAAGCTGGTTTATACAGTTTAATGAATTGAGGGAAAAAATAATTTCGATGCTGGAAAAATTATGCCAGTGAATTCAAAAATTGACTTTCCATCAAGGGTTTTTATAAAGAAAGAATTTCAGAGTAAATATTACCATGAAAGTGCGAGATAAAAATTACTCGACAAACAGATAAATCTAAGGTATAACGAAATTTAAATACGTTTTATTAAGTACCATAAGTCAATTTTAACTGGAGAGCTTAGTAAACATTTTTTCTATATTTTTTTTTCCCCACTAGAGTAAGGAATAGAATGTTTTTACAGGACGACATGAAAATTATTCTCATTCATGACATTTATCATAAAAAAGGGTTTAGATATCATTTGAAATATTTGAAGCATTTTTTGAATTTTAAAAAATTACTTTTACTTTTTCATACATCTTTCATGAATTTTTATTTTAATGCAAAAAGTTTTATTTAAAAAACTACTAATATTAAAAATTAAAGCTTACTCAATATTTAAAAAGAGAAAATCTTTCAAAGAATTATAAAATTTTATTTATTTTTATCAAAAATTTTTAAAGCTTTTAATATTATAATATCGAAGATAAAAATAATTCACAACATAATACTTGGCATGAATTTTCTCCTAAAAATTTTTTACAATTCTTTAAACTCTCAAATTTTTACTCTATATAGTTTAAAGCAAAAAAAAAAATTATCCTTTGATGAAAGACACAAAAGCAATAATAATCCAATGGTATTTCAGAAATGTAAAACTTTTCACTGGCCAGAGAGAAAACGTCCATTACCCGGTACATATAATCTCACAACTATATTACATCAGTTGAATGTACCGGCATTAACTTCTAGAAATAAACTATTGGTTTGTAACCAAACTTCCTCTTGGTTGACTGCTCTTCAAGCCACTAGCCCGCTGATATAGCCCAGTAGAAACCGATAAGGTTTAACTACCAGAATAGTTCGATAGAATTGCAAAAGCGTAATTAGGAATCACTACGATGGAAATGATTGAGAGTGCAAAGTATCAACCTGACCTCACTAACATGTTATCTCGAAAAATATATTTTAATATTTTTAAAAAAAAGTATCGCGTGATGTTGATAATTCTATATTTAATTTCTTTATGGTTAAGTTATGATATGTGACATTATCGCAACTCTAGGATTTTTATCTCTTCTTCAAGTGTATACATAATTGTCATGTTTGATTTATATCATTGATAACTCAATAATACCCTTAGTACAACTAAATTACTGCTCTTGACTTTGAAAATATGCCTAATTTATTAAAGCATTATTTACTTTGTTTGTTTTGATTCATTACTTGGAATTAACTGATAAATCATCTTTTCTTGTTCTTTTTTTTCATGTATTTTATGCATTTGTTTAATGGGAGCTTTTTATTAATCTTAATCCAAGGAATGATAAAAATGTTTGTAAGAAAGTTTTAATGTTAATGACTAAGTGATTAATTGATGATTAAAAAGAAAAGATTAATTAATTCTTCTACGATAAAATAATTAAACAAAACGAAAAGAATAGAAAAAAAAGCTAGAAGATTAAAATAATTTCGAAACACTGGAATATTAAAAATAATTTAATATGCAAATATCTTGCAGATATTTTTAAAATGAAATACTTATGTCACAATACAAGAAAGTATGAAAAAAAAAATTCTAATACATTGCAAATTCCATAAATATTTGTGAAAAATCAAATTTCCATATTATATAAAAGAATATCCAATTTCTCAAAGTAAATAACAATGAATATTAAAAAAAAAACTATCCAAGAAAATAAAGAGGTAAAAAAATTGAAATGACTTTGAATTTTTACACTTTCAACGTGGCTTTGAAAGGCCAACAATCAGTATTGAATTGTATATAATAATCTCATAGTGACTTGGAGAAACAATATTAGCGTCAGTGATATTTGTAGGAATGGAACAAAGAATATGGTGAAAACGATAGATGTTTAATGGGTAGAAGCAAAACGATAATTTAATGTATGATTGACGAGCAAACTAAACAAGGAAAATAAGAGATGTCAGATTGCGTGCGACGTTCTCGTTATCAGCAACACGATGATGGTTCGACCTTTTCTTCTATCGTTTCCTTTTTTTTCACCCCAATTTTCTTTCTCTTTTTATAATAATCATAATAATGATAATGAAAAATAAGTCTATAGAAATTTTTCATTTTTATTAATTCTAATTTCATGACAATTATATTTACCATAATTCGATTATATAACTTTTTAGATTAAATTTATTTCATTTGTAAAACTATTTATTTAACAATGTAATCACTAATAAATTTGAAACATTAATTTGAAACTAAACTATCAATACCAAGTGTTGATTTCAATTAAGGAATGATTTAATGATTTTATTATATTATTTTCAATTGATAATTTATGTATTTTATCCAATGTTTAAAGCTATTGTTTGAAGTTTCTCGAATTATTATATTTATAGTCATTTAAGCTGATTATGAAGAACTAATTAGATTAATATCCTCAACTTATAAAAAATAATCGTATGATAAAAAAATTCAAACAAAATTATTCTAAGAATATTCATGACCTTAAACATATATTCAAAAATAATAATTATTATTATTATTATAATACTATCATTAGTACGGACGTCAATATTAATACCTACACAGTTGTATCAATATTGATAATGTTGATTATTAATCATAGTGAATGATATAAATTCGTGAATTTGAATACACCTAAACAGTTGGTTTAAAAAATTGACATTGAAGACAATCTTCTGATGGAGTTAAAAAAATTTTTCAACGCAATGGGAATATTTAAATTATTGATTATTCTAATTCTACAAGGGGTGTGGATGACAGTAGAAGGGTCTAAAATATCTCGAACGAATTTTAAAATTGATGAGAAAAATATTACATGGATCGTTGGAATTTTTGAACGTTCGAAAAATGATCCTAATAAATTTGATTACAAATGTCAAGGTGTTCTTTTCAATCCTCAAGCTCTGTGGACAGTTGGAAGTTGCATTGATTTGTGAGTAATTATTCTAATAATTGCTGTTATTAATATAGCATTTTCATTGGATTATTATATAAACAATAACAGAAATAATTATCCCACATCTTTTTTTTTAATTTAAATAATATTGTTTAGAAACAATGAGCCAGAAAAAAATATTAAAATTCGCCTCTACAATTGGCAAAATACTGTACAGTTGACTAAACCATCTCCTTATCAAGAGCGTGGAATAAGACGAGCAGGTTATAAAGAACTTACCTCTAACTCGTTGGAAAAACTAGAAGTGGACAGAACCATTCTTTTGTTCCTTGATCGTCCACTTTTTATCAGTCCCAAGCCTGCATTCTGGAGTGAAATGGAATCGCTAATTCCAAATGAATGGAGTGAGGATATAGAACTAGATAAGTGTGCTCACATCAACCTGGAAAAGAGTGTAAATGGAGGTAGGATTAGATAGAATGTTTTAGAATAATTCAAGTTACTTTCATAATTTACATTACGTGAATGAAAAGAATTTTAAGACAGATCAATTTAAACAGAAATAATCTTATTTGTTTTCTGTTACTTAGAACTTGTTGTCAGACAATACCCAGCACATTATGCTGAGGATGATCATGCACTTTGTCGTAGATTTGATAGTAAGAATGGAAAATGGGTTACTGCTAAAACAAATTGCTCCTTCTCTACTAGTATTTTTTGCGCTACTCGAACTTATCCTGGAAGTTTGTTCCTGGATGCTCCAGCAAATAGTAATGTGAGTTTTTTTTTAATTAGTTTCAGGCTAAAGATAATATATATGACAGAAATAAAAACATCAATTTCAATAAATCATTTTTTTATCAGAACAATCTAGGAGCATCATTAGTCTGTAAATACGACGGGACTGAAGAATACATAGTCATGGGAATTTTAGTAGATAATACACCATGTGCTGGTCGCTATGTAAAATTTTGAAACAACAGAAAAATAATGAAAGGTGTTACTAGAATTATCTAAAAAATTGTTGTTATTTTATGTTAAAATAAACGAAAAACTACTGCAATATCTGCTTTGTAATGCATTAATTATTAACCTACTTCTTGTTATTACAATTACTATAATACAATGTCTTTAGTATTATTTGTATTTAAGATTGAAGTAGAGTTACAAAAATATTCAGTTCAAAGCATGATGTTGAACTAACGAGCTGCATCTTGACTTTCAGTGTATGCTCTAATTGTCAATTTTTGTTTTTTTAATTTTCTAGCTTAATTAACGACACGAGGAAATAAAAAGCTATCACAACAGCTCGAGTATTTTTCTGTTAATGAAAGGTATTATTGCTCCAATTATTTGTTAATAATACCAAATTCCAAGTTACTTCAATTACAAAACTTTAAAAATTCGTTAAAAGTTAAGTGATATCAACAATTATCCGTTGCAAAAAAAGATATCTTTTACGAAAAAGTAAAAAAAAATTCCAGAGCAATTTATTTGCTGCTTGTTAAAAATAAAGGGCAATGATCGATTACAGCCGATGGAGTAATGACCTGAATTCAGATATGGGTCAAGCTCAAGAATCTGTAGAGAGCTGGAAAAATACGAAAGTAACTTGAAGGAAAAATTGCTACATTTAGCTACTGAATGCAGTAAAATTTTCATCAGTACGACCTATTTTTAACCTTATTTTAAATTTATAATGAATTTTTTAAACAAATAAAAATTTTCTATATTTCTTTTAAAATAAGAAATCATATATTCAAACGTCAGAAAAAGTTTATTCAATAAAATAATAAATTTATAAAATTTTGTAGAAAATAAAGAATTATCATAATGAAAAAATGGCTAAAATCTTCAAGTGTTGTGTATAAATAATACTAATAGGGCTTTATAGCTTTAATATAATTTCCTGAATGACTTCACCGTGTTCTAAATATCTCCACTGACCAAGAGGTATTTGGGCTTTAAGCCGGATTAACAGCAACTGTCAGATTGCATTAATCATAGCAAAAGGTAGGAAATTTAGACAAAGATGTATATATATATATACACACACATCTATATGGATTTATAGAATGAAAGTAAATAAACGGACTAAATGATTAAAAAATTGAATGATAAATTAATCTGACATTTCAAAATGATTCATTGAATTAGGATTACTATATTTCAAACCTTCATTATTGCTCTCAAAAATAAATTACTGAAAAAAATATTTCTCATCATTAATAAACTATTAACGCTTTCATTACCTGCAAGCGAAAACCATCTGAATTACTTAACGCATTTTAGAAAGAGTGATAAACAATGAAGAAAATGTATGCAGTGAAGATGGACACCTGAACAATTAAACCGAGTCAAATCAGCTTGAGTGAAGTATAAAAGCGACGAATATGTCTATGTATTTATGCATAACCATGTGTGCTCACGGGTGCTTCGTTAATGCCACTTCAGGACAACACAGAGAGATTTAAAAAGAGGACACGCCAACGGGCAAACGGCTCCACCTTGATGTGCATTTTATGCAATGAATATGAATAGTATTTACTGCGCACCAGTTTATTTAGACTAATAAAAATATCACAGCATCTCTGCCCGGTGGATTATTTTGGAATTAATTGAATGCTTAAAAACCACTTAATTAATTTTTTTTCATAATTCCAACTTGTATCATTGATACTTGAGTTGGTGAAACTAGTTAAATGAACGCTGAATAAACACTCAAAAAGTTACGATATAATTATGAGATTTTTTTTTAATTATATAAAAATATTCAATTTTGTAAACTTTATAGAAAGATTATTAAAGAATATTTTTTTTATGTGTTTCTAGATTAACAATTACTGCTTCGTGTCCCATGAATCTTCAGTATTTTCCTATGGATCGGCAACTTTGTCACATCGAAATCGAAAGTTGTAAGTAATAAAAATAAATTTCATCTCCATTGAACCAATACTAATCGATGTTTTTCAACATTTACACTTAATTATTTTCGATAAAAAATTTTTAATGTCGATATTAATGACGGTAATAAAGCGTAAAACTTTCAGGTATTAAAACAGCAAACTATCTCGTGTATGTATGGGATAAAATATATTTCAGTCATAAATTTTCGTAGAAAAATTTTTCTGTAATTGCAACAGACCCCAATCTCAAAAATTCATCTCATTTTTTAGGTTGATGACGCAAAGCTCATCCCACTTTATATTGACGAGTAGCAAAAGTTTTCCTATCCTCTTCTTCTTCTTCTTCTTCTTTTTTTTGTGAATTCTTTTTGTATAAAATACTTACACAAAACGTGATCTATACTTTTAACTCATTCAAACTTTTTCATATATATATCTCGATCTCTTTCGTTTTGTGTACCATTCACCACATGTAATCTTTTCTGTCTCGTTTTCTGCCACACTTACGTCACGAAATCACTCACTCACTCAATCACAAAAATACACATTCATTATCTTCTCGTACAGCGATTGTACAAACTACTATTTACAGCACTGTGTGCAGCCAATTGAGCACATGCTTTTATACCGATCGGCGAAGCACGCAACGATTTATGAAAAATCATTAATAAATAGATCAATAAATATTAATGCGTGCAAAACATTAACAATAACACGAGTCAATTATTATATATGACCAGGTAGTTAAAAATAAAAATACATTTATCAAACAAAAATTACGATAATTATTGGCGTCATCAAAAGGTTTTATCCCCAAATCCCTACGATTCAATAAATAAAATTAAATGTAAAAATGGTTTATGACATTAATATGCAGAAATTATATAATGTAAAAAAAAACGACCGTTAATATTTTAAATGTGAATGAATTTTAATTACAATGAATATTTATTAACTGAAGATTAAATAAAACTCATAAAAAGTATTCTTTATCAGTGTACTATTTGTAATTATAAAAATTCTTTTAAAAAAAAGTATTAAACATGAAAAACACAAGAATTTTTAAAGAGAAATTTACTTTCAAGCATTTCTCTTCTATGTTTTATAAATAATTTACATAGGCTGGATAATTTTTCTATATGCACATGAAAGATAGACAAATTTTTACATAAGTAATGTTTACAAACTCTGCATATAATTTTCATAAAGCATTTTTAAGTAGACAAACTAATTACACATATTTAATTCAACCTCTCTTATCATTTTTAACGTTTTTAATTTTCTATTCATCCACGCAGTTCCCTTTTTCTGTTAATATTCAAGATTTTGAAAAATTAAAGATATTAAACATATAAATAATGAAGTTTTCTTGCAAAATAGAAATATTCAGAAATGATAGTGTACATGTATTACTATTCCCTTCAACATTCCTCTCTTCCCTCTTGCAGGCTGAACTAATGAGATACTTGAACTACTTCGGACCCCTCTTTTTCCCTGAACATTTTTCTTCCGCATGAAATTTAACTTTGACGACTTGCAGCGGATATCTGATATTCGTTAAACTTCATATGTAACAGAAAATTATTCACATACATTTATATATGTATACGTTTGTACGTCTATACATACATATATATATGTAACCCTCCATCGCATTAAACATTATTAAACATCTAGACATTTGCCAACCCCTGCGATCAGTTTTTTAAGCGACTTCCAGTGTTATTAAAAATTTTGTTCCATTCACTAGGGAAATTTAAATCGTCTAGAGCTCAAGAGAGAATAAAAAAATTCAATCTATCCTCGAGATCCTTTCATGAATTTCTTTAATTTAAGATCGGTCACGAAGAAAGAGTCCAACATGAGATTCTTTGAGCTTATGTTAGCAGGGTTGGCAATTGCCTAGCAGACAAATTCTTTCGAATTTTAAATTCTCTTCAAATAATATTATTGTTATTATTATGTCTTAGAGGTAAATGCAGATAGATTTAAAGGTGCAATGCCAAAAATATTTATGCAACTCCGAAGGGTGTCTCCACTGTGTAATACCAATAAGCTCCATTGACATTCTAATTAAAAAGAAAAAAAAAATTCTTCATCAATTCCTCCACTAATTGCTAAACAACATAATGAATAAAACAATAAGAATCTAAACAATAAAGAACAGAAACAGTTTTAATTAATTGTTGAAACCAAAAGAAAGAAAAGTAAATAAATAAAATGTCATGGGAGCAACACACGACAGCCCCTTTTGTACATAGGCCAATTAATTACTTTTTCGCAAAATTTAATTATTTTCTTCATTTTTGCCACATGTACGAAGCAATAAAAATTAAAAAATAATATAAAAGATAGTAAAAAAAAGAAAATAAAATACTGAATCCTGAGGCATCCGATATACAGCACTGAGCCTCGTGTCCGGGGACGTAGGCCACTGACGACGGCCAACCCTGAGGAGCCTACGCAAGCCGATGCCGACTGACAGATATCGAGAAACCGAATTATAACGCATTGTGCATCTAGCCAGCGCATGCGTGGATAAATCAGTTATGTTATGCGATTTATTTTTGAATTAATTCATTTATTATTTCCATTTACATCTGATAGACTTTTTAGAGATAGTATTCCTTCATTTCTGTTCGAAGTCGGCATGCTGTAGCACGTGATAAATATTATTTATTATTATTATATTTTCAACCAATTAATGGCCTAATAATAAGTAGAAGTAAATATAGGTATTAGTTTTATTGTGTATGGTAGTTGACTAATTTTATTTATTTAATAAATAATGTGAAAATAATGAAAAAAATAAAAGTGAATTATTTTTAATAAGCCTTGAGTTCTCATAAATCCATCAGCACGAAAGATTATTTGATGGAAAAGTAAAAATAAACCGGCTAATTTGTAAGAAGTTAAAATAATACACCGGGACGGTTGGTTGGCTACTATAAGGCATTTAATTTTCCAACGACTTGGTGCCGGATGGCGGAAGAGAACGAAGGGTTTAAAGCGGCTTTGCAAAATGCCGTCGAATACCTCCGGTTGTAGTTGAGAGTCTAAGAGCAAAGAAAGTCAAAAACACTCGACTCTTTTCTCTTACTCTCCTCGTAGTTTCCTACCTTAGTAAACCGTAAAATTTGCCGGCAGTGCTTTGAATTCTCATCTAGATGAGAACTTTCTAACCCACAAAACCGAACCACGAATCGGTATCGGTTGTATCCAATGCATGAAATACAGCTTGTTGCGTTACGTGCTTCGTGCTAAATTTTGTTTGATAGTGTGTGTATTGCCCTAAAAGCTTTTATCTATATTTATCTATAAGTTTCAGAGGTTGATGCTAAAATTTTATAAAACTTTTTTTATGCTTATTGAATTTTCAAAACGTCAAAGGTAAATTGAAATTTTTTTTTACATTTACGTTTTATGAAAGTTTCACGTTAATTTAATTTAATTTTGAAATCTCGACAAAATTTTGGATTTAGTTTAGAAAAAAATATTTTTTTCAATCTGATCAAATCTAACTAGATCTAATCTTCGATTAAATTAAATTTAATTCAATCTTTGCAGCAATCAAAAAAAGATAATAAATCCAAAACAATTGATTCAACTTTTTAAAAGTGTATTTTTTCACTAAAAATTCATTTTGAAATTTTAGTGAAAATTTTTTTTGATACAAATTTCAAAAAAATTTTCGCATCAATCTAAACATTAGAACATTAAGTCTATTTAACGATTGTATACAATTGCCTGACCTGAAGACATCGAGAAATTCAATTAAATCGTTTTTCAATATTTACCCAATAATATTTGACTATATCATAATTCTGATATTTATTTGATTTATTCGATAAAAACTCGTGACATTTTTTGAGGGAAATATTTTGAAAAAAAGAGTGTCAAAAAGGGTGAAACAATAAAAAATGCGTGGGAAAAATATTGACAAGTTCGAGCTATTTTACGTGTCTCGTGTATTCGTTAGAGAATGCACGTGTCATTTCACAAGAGGATGTTAGTGTAGAAAGCTCGCTGGAAATGTATCACGTAGGTGGCACTCAGAGTTTCCGTATCCGCCAGCAAAACGTCGAGTGTCGGGCAGACGAGACACACAGCAGATGCAATTACGTCAAAACAGGGTAAAAAAAAGGTAGGCTCACGTTTTCGTACTCGTCTCTCAACTCGACTTGTAATACTCGACTGTTTTATCGAATTTTCATTCGTTCTTTTGTCTTTCTATTGGCATTCAATTATTATTAAAACGATTAATACGTAAAGTAATACTTTTTTTTTTTCTTATTATTATAAAACTTTCATTGATGATTATTTTATTCTTTAATTATCAATTAATGAAAAAGAAGTCAAAAGATAAATAACGGGGTAATTGAGTTTCTCAAGGAAATTCTTTAAAGCTATTTGCGTACGCTTGTTGAAACTGCAATAATCACAGCTGCACGCTTGCACGAAGCATTTCTTTCTTTTTCAATCTTGATTTCTTTCTCCTAGTAAAATTTTGTTGTCGTCCTTGACCATTTTAAATGTTCGTGATACCAAAAAAAATTCCTTGATGTATTATTATTATTATTCTTGTTAACATTTCAATCCCAATGCAATTAAATCAATGTACATTGACAATATTTATATATAACTCGCTGGTAAAACATCCCCCCTTCTCCCTACTTGAATTTTAATTGCACGTAATTACATACAGAAATATCCAAAATGAAACTATATCGCACTGATGTCATAATGATGACAGTGTAGATTTTATATGTATTTATGGCCTGTGGCATCTGCATATCGAGCAAAATTGTCCCTCAGATGAGAAAAAAAAAAGATGATTTTAAATAAATAATATTTCTTTGTTTCAAGTTAATAAATTAACTGAATATATTATGTGGACGACAGTAGAAAATAAATTTCATTTGGTTTGCAAACAATTCAAATTAGTATTCACCTCGACTCTTCCTCAATCTCTTGCCGCTTCTCTTTCTCAGAGAAAAGGTAATAGAGTGGTGAGAGTTTATTGATTGAGATGGAAATTTGCAGGACTTTGATTGTAAGTTAGAGAAGGAGAAAAGGAAGACCACCCACTCTGTGATGCAAAACCCAACCGGAGACTTAATCAGGAATACTCGAGATTACTTAATCCAGAATCTGACAAATGCTTGCTATGCAGGTGCCCGCGGCCAAATGCCATTTCAAATCCTGGAATGCGATGTAACGATTGCAACTACCGGATTTGGTTGCAAAGGAATGTTATCCTTCGTTATGAACGCAAGAGACTTAACGACGATCATGTTAGAAAAAATTCATCAATTCAACACCTTGACCTTTGATTATTCATGTCATTTATTAGAGCTAACGGTCGTGCTACAATCACACTTTATCTGTCTCTTGTGATCAAAACGACCCTATTTGGAATACCTGCGTATTTAAATGTACAGTTTATCAAAAATTCTCAAGGTATATCTGTGAAATTTTTTCTATCTTGGGATTTTTTGTTCAGTATTTTTCTTTGAAACAAATGTTCTTTATTACTAATCTTACTTCTCACTCTAATGACATCAAAATTTTAGTAATAAACATCACTAGAAATAATTTTTAGGAACATATCATTTAATAAAAATTAACAATTTTAATAAAATAATTTTACTCTCAATTAAACAATGATTATTAAGTCAAGAGTATTTTTTTCTCCAAACTAAAACCAAAGATTAATAGAAGGACATTTGTTATAATGTGTTACAAGTTAAAGCTCTGCATTAATGTAGTAAGATATTTAATACCCCCTGTGAGCCCACATAAGCAGCCTCTCCCTAAGAACCACCTTTAAATGTTTTATTATACGTTAGAGTGGAAATTTTTGTGTTTTATTCTTTCGGCAGTTGGATACACAATGCGCGATATTCGGTACAAATGGAACGCCGGCTATCAATCGGTCGGCATCTCGAGCGAGGTGGAACTGCCGCAGTTTCGCGTGCTCGGTCACAGGCAACGACAGAGAACCATACACCTATCTACAGGTAGATACATATATGCAACAGCAAGATTTTCGTGATGCTCATGTATCTGTCTATCTTTCACTATTTATGGTCCTCCTCTTCCTGCTTTCAAAGAGAAAAAAAAAAAAAATACAAGAACGAAAACGGTGGAAAATCGAACTAGAAAATGGACCAAGAAAAGAGTCCTCTTCTGATTGCCTACACCGATGTGTACACACAAATTGAACAATGTTTTATTTTCCGCACGATTGCACCACTAAGTTCCTTTTTCTCTCATTCCTCTTTCCGATTTCCTCTTTCACTTGCAAAGTGCGCACATGCAATCCCCCGCGGAGCTTCCAGATTCTTCCGGCCATTTGTTCACGCGTGGACGAGCCTAATCCCTCGAGATTTTTCCCTTAATGTATTCTCCTTCCTTTACAAAAAAGAAAAAAAAATCTAATGAAAAAGAGAAGCTCCGTGGATCCTCTTAGAACGTTTCCGGTGCAGTAAAATTGAAAAACTTTTTGCGGATAAAAAAAAATGAATATTTATACAAAAGTGTAAGAGATTTCTTTAGCTAATGACTCAGATGAAAAGAAAAGCTTCGGAGACGTTCATTTCACAACAGTGTAGCACGTGGCTGTACAATGGCAAAAACGGGTTTTAGAGAGAGAAAGAAAAAAAAAAGAGAGAGAGATAATGATAAAAACGAGTACGATGGGGGTAAAAAAGTCGTGGAAGGTAAGTAGAGTGGAGGCCCCCTCAGAGCTTGCGTAATTATCGCAGGTTCCGGTAGGTATATACCAACCGCAGAGGGGTGTCTCTTTTATTTTCAGTCGGATACACAATGCGGGACATCCGATACAAGTGGAATGAGGGTCCAAATAGCGTCGGCGTTAGCAACGAGGTTTCTCTTCCTCAGTTCAAGGTCCTCGGACATCGTCAACGAGCCATGGAGATTAGTTTGACTACTGGTAATGTATGCATAACGAGATAAATTTACAACCGAGAGATTATTTTGACACATTTTCAGTTTTCGATTGCCAACCAAGGTGAAATACGAATTAATGTTTTATATTTCAGAGTATTTCGAGTACTAAATGTTGTCACAATGATGTTTATTCATGATATAAATTTCAAAAAAGCTAAAAAAAAAATATCAACTCAATTAAAACTTAAATTCATTTTGATGCACTGAAAAAAAATTCAATTGTTACAGTAAAATAAATATTTTGAAGTTATATTTAGAAAGAAGAAATTTAATAAGATTGAGTTGTCAATGCTTTCAATCAATGTTAGAATCAGAAGAAATTTGAGTTTAAATATATTTCTCCAAGTCAATGATATCATATGATATTGATCAAGTAAGAAAGGAAATATAAATTTCCGATGCTGATTTGATCAGTTACAAAAATATATACCAAGCATAGAGAAAACTTCAAGTATTATATCGATGTTGCTAATTTCCGCTCGAAAATTCCATCAATCACAAGAACTTGAAAAAAAAGTTCAACAAAAAAGCTACAAGTTTATAAAACTTTACAATTGCTCTCAACTTTACTTTAATTTTTCTTCGTTTTTTTTTTAATGTTTAAAAAAATTAAATTTTTTTTTCAACTGATCTTTGAGCACAAGTTTTGAAAAAGGTCCTTGAAAACTTGCCTTTGGGCTTGTTTCATACCTTTTCTCTTCACTAAAAAATATCGACAAACGAAAATAGCTGTTCGGTCGTGCGAAGAATGAGAAGGAGTGTAGAATATACGACACAATCGACGTCGATGAAGACAACCAGCAAAGAAATAGGAAAAAAAAAATTATACACAGAGCAAAGTGTAAAAGAAGTAGATGAATTCTAAAAATTGAAAAGAAAATCAAGAAATGAAAAGAATAAGATAGTCGATGAAAAGGACTTGATTTCAAGCTTGATTTCAACAAAAAGAAATTGACAGCCTTCTTTTGTCTTCAACATTTTACTCGATTCATTCTCAAGTTGATAAAAATGAACCTTTTTCAAAGAGTTTTAAATTCCATAAATAACTGAAAATCAGACTCAGAAAAATCACAAAAAATCGATCATGAAAAGTTTTATTTTCATTTTTTCTATTAAAATAAATCTGAGTACCAAAAATACCGAATTTCCAAGTTATTTTTTACATTTAAAATGGAAATCAATTTCAATTTAAAAATCAGACTTTACATAATCAATTGATTCTCCAAAGTGTCATATCACTCCACTAAAATCTCCATTTTATCTTGACATTACAAATGCAGAATTCACAAATATCGCGCCTCGATTTCAATACACGAGTATTACAAAGCTTTTCAATCGATCTCTTTCTAGTGTGCATAACTCTCTTCACTTATTCTCTCAGAAATTACATTGGGCAATAGGTTTGCTCGAAATACAAGCTACAGTAATAGATATCCAGCTGATAACCATTCAACGCCCAAGTCCTTTCACATTGTCAAGCTATTCAGTGAATAGAGAGACGATGCATATACGATTCCGATGACGAGCAGGATATGAAAGAACATTCGCTTCAGCTCGTAAAGCCTCTTTCTATCACGTCGGGTGCACGATATACGAGTAGATGCAAATGCCATAGATGCGTTGCATCCGCATTACATCATGTTTAATAGATAGAATCCAGGATATAGAAGGAATATATATGAGCATACGAGCTTTTCATTAAATAATTAGCTGATTATTAATTAAAAAACTTTTCTATCCAATTTAATTTAAATAAATATTAAGATCATTTAAACATATTTTGAAAGCTTGGGTAAATAATTATACCAATCATTAAAATAAAAAAGAAAACTTAATTAACTGTGTTTTAAATAGCTTATATTTAATATAAAATTATCTTTTAAACCAGCAAAAGCATGTCATTAAAATCCAACTTTAATTTGCCATCTTTTACGTCTAAAGTAGTATTAAATTTCTTCACATCATCCTAACAAAATACTAAATTAAAACAAAATTAGACTTAATTTATTTCTTAACGACCCTTATAGAGAAACGACACAAAGTAATTTATACAGAATACACGTAAAGGATTCGTCAGACAGGGTAGACGATCTTTCTAAAGTCAGGGAGGATCAAGGGAAAATGAGCTACCGGAAGTAGAGAGGGTGGTTTAGAATAGAGGCTTCTACTTAGTTTGATGAAGGCTTTAATTACGACTCGGATCACACTGAGTGACCCAGAGACCAGTAAGAGCTTCTCTCTTGGTGAATTACCAGCTTCCATCCCTCTAGCAGTTCACTTCAACCCTCTCCTCACAGTTCCTAGACTTATTACCACTCTCCTATCCAGAACAACGCTCATATGTACCTGTCCTATGTACTAGACGTTTATTCCCAGACCAAAAACTTGAGTAATTTAAGGTCCTAATGATTCTTCAAGTGTCTATCGTTCATCTTCTTTACCAAGGTAAAAAATAACTTACACTTCTTTCACTTTAATCAGCCCATTTGCTAAATTAACATTGAATTAAGCCGGTTATAAAGAATAATTAATTGTAAGTAAAGAAAGTAATTATACAATTTACTAAAATTCATTCTCCAACACCTAGACCGCAATCAAAGCTTGGGTAATTAAAACAATCTAACCCTCAATAGTAGCCGCAATCGAGCGTGGATATATACCACCTGCACAGACACCTCTTTGAAGCGACTGTAATATAATTCACTTGACGCTGTCTCTTTCTCTTACCCACCATTCTGTCACACTATTTCCATCTCTACTACCTCGCCCTACCTCTGGGGAAAAATTTTATCTCGAGAAAATCGTTTATTCACTAACGAAAATACACCCCAGGCTGTACGGATAATTAATTGATAACAAATTGAAATATTTTCGCATAAAAAATATCAACTTGACATCATTACAATCTTTATCCTTCTGTTGAATGATTTATTTATGATTAAAATTGAAGTGAATTGAAAAGAAGTCATTTTTTAATGAATATTAATACACTTTATATATTCTAAGATATAATTTGATAAAAAATTCATTTAAAGTTCATTTATAGAATAGCATATGATGAATTATAAATTCATTTTAAATTGGTAGAATTATTTAAAAAAGAACTTGATTTATTTTTTAGATTATTTTGTTTTAATTAAAAATATTTAATTTTAGAAGGAAAATTTTACGATAATAAAATGTTTCCCTAATAAATTTTATCTTTAATATAAAAGTAATTTCCATGATAAAAAAAAAAAATAAGTGAATAACTCAATATTTTTGTTTATTAATTTTCAATAAAATTAATCGGATAATTGTTGTAAATTAAATTAAAAACTTCTAATACTATATTTTGTGTAACTAAAATATTCTTATCATTGTTCGGTGGTTTCAAACTACATATCCTCTCTATCTCCTATCGTAATGAATCGTTCTAGATACAAGACCACAACTAGTATTATGCACCAATAATTTGTAATAGTTCAAAAATAGAATGAACATTCATCTGTAACCACAAAATCTCTAACACGATCCATTAATCTATTATAATCACATTAAATGACAACTATTCAATTTAAACTTAAAAACAATAAGGATCGTAATTAGCATACAATCATGAGTTGCAACCTAATTTGTAATTGAATCAAAAAAAATCTACTCAGTTTTTGAACAATCAATCAATTTTTTTATTTGAATCTAATGAATTTCATAAATCCAAATTCAAATATATTTGAATTTATTAAAAAGTAAACCATAAATCAACTAATATCTACTAAAAAAAGTAGTTAAAAAGTCTGAGATGATAATCAAACAAGTTCGTGTTTAATTAAAATTAATTAATATTTTCGAAAATTTATCATAAATTCATCATAACTCTTGATTAAAGCTGTGTTATTTGCATAATACGCACTAGGGGTATTGAATTTATGTAAATAAATTAAAGAAATTCCCATTGCTGTTAAAGAAGATATAAATTCAAATAAAACAACCAAAATATTCCTATTTATTTGACCAATTAGATTAATGAGTTAAAACTAATTTATATATTCGTACATTTATATGAGAACTAATTAGGTTAAAAAAGTTGATTAAATTGAAACATTTATCGCAAGAAAATGGTCCCTCTTGTATCAGATTGAAACGTGCTAATCTTACTTCTCCAACAACTTGGCAAGAACGATTCCCATAGTCTTTAATCTAATCCTTTATTCTAATCCGTGAAATCTCGCGTGCCCAACCTCCGTCAGCTTCTTGTGTAGGTCGTGTGCACTTTGTTTGCAACCTGGCGGCATGAGAGAATAAGTAGTCGTTTGCAAACTGGAATAGGTATCGAAGTTTAAACCCTGACCTCATCTGAGACCTGATAGTTAATGAATGCGATTAAATGGGACTTGTTTATGTATTTCATGGCCCTTTGCTTGTTCATCTACGACTCCTCTTTGATACTCTTTAGATCATGGTTAAATTAGTTTTAGAGAACCAAATCTCACTTGTGGGCTTTTGAGTTCTCTGAGCAATCTCCAAACCAGTCTCTGTAGTAATTATTTACTCTTGATGCTTCGATTGCCTTTTTATTTTATTTTTTCTCTTTTTTTTGTCTGTCATTTCAAACCTCTAGAAAAAAATTGTTTTTTAAATGAAAGGACTAATTTTTTGAATAAAAACTAATCAAAATTTTTTAAAAGTCTAGATCAGATTTATTTTAGCTATTAGATACTTTTTGAAAAAAAACTATTTGATTTTGTGAGAGAAAAATATAAGAATTATAAAATTCAACAGGAACAATATGAAAAAAATTTTAATTCTCATCTGAATTTAAATACATCGATGAAGAAAGATATGAAAGAAAAACTCAATCTGGGCAACGATTACTCAGATTCAAATAAACTTTTTTCTTATTCTTTTATGAAACTTCCTTCCAATCAACCACGATCAAACGCCGAGTTTCTCAAAAGGTTTCTCTTAAATCAGGGGGCTGCATCACTGAAACGAGATCAGCTTTACCAAGAGAGCTGGAGGTAAAAATGAAGAAAGATGAAAAATACTCGACACTCTTACACTCAAAAGGTTTTTTCTTTTAGACATTCTGATGATAAACTGGTTTAAAGGAATAAAAAGAAAGAAATTTTAAAAGAAAATACATAAAAGACTGAAAAAAAACAGTGAAATTTTTCACCGCAATCTATGAAAACTGACTATTTTTTTCTATAGAAATTAAAAATTGCACAGTATAACGATTGAACTGATTCAGCGTAACTTTGTTACTTGAGGAAACCAAGAAAAAAAATTTAAGCGTCATGTAGATCGTTAGAGGCAGGAAAAAATTTTCAAGTAATATTGAGAAAAAATATAAAAAAAAAAAGGAAGTAAGTAAAAATAACCGTTATTTACAGCCATCACGTAGATATTGATTCATCAGGAATCATTTTTGCTCGTTAAAAAAATTAATTAAAATTTTTTAAATGACTATTATATAAATATTATCAATAATTTATGCTTTTAAATACAAAGAAATTATTCAAATAAGAATAATTACGATTAAAATCAAATTAATTCTTAATATTTTCATTTTTAAAATTCACTACTGACGTAATGGCCTTTCTATTTCATTTAAATAATTAAATTCCTCTATCAATAATTGTCTAAAACAATCTGCTTAATTAACCTAAATATCATAAAAGAGTCTAATCATTTTCGATGGAAATAAGTTCCAAGTAATTAAAAAAAGAAAAACATTCTGCGAGCAAATTAGCAATAAAACACTGGGATTCGATATTTTACAACCAATCCATCATCGTCTGATAATTTTTATTCTTCCATCTCATTTTTATCATGAGAGACATTGGAAAATGCCAGAGGATGATAGTAAAAAGATAGAATAGGATTCTCGTTTGTCATTGTAGCTCACAAAACCCTTGAAGAAATAGGGGATAGAAGCAGAATACGAGATATAGACAAGTGAAGAGTGAAGAGATACTAAATGCTAAGCAGAAAAGACGACTGCGATGCCTGATATATATGTGAGTAGAACAAAGAAATGAGGACATTTGGAAGAGAAGCTCCCTCTCACCATGGCACAAGAATCTTGGTGAAAAGTGCTTATCAAGGAAACACATTAAAGTATTCCATTGAGAACAAAGCATTTCTATAGACTTAGAATTAGCTAGAGTTCTTAAATATTTTTTTTACTTTTTTTATATTTTTAAAGGTCAATCTACTTGTTAATATTATGAGTGGATAACGAAATTGGTGACTAAAAAATTAAAAAGCTCTGAGTTTTTCAATAGACTACACTCGTGGGAGACATTGAGCTCCCTAGAGAGATTAGCACTTGAATACAAGCCAAAAATGAAAACCATGAGATAGTGAAATATTAAATAAAACTGATTTCATTTTCTGATTCATCGTAACCCTAGGGAACCAGCTAAAAACAAATTGTAACTGTCGAAAAGGTCAAAGGATAGTAGGTCTGATTCAGAAGGAGAAACAGAGATAAAAGTAGTGTCTCGAATTCAACTGAGTATACAGATAGGTCAAGCACACTTCCTTCAAACTAACGAGTACAACTGTGAGAAAAAGAAATGTATAATACAAAAATAAGAAAGAGAAAAACTCTCCTACGAATATGTTTTCTCTTTTACAATATCATCTATCTCTGTCTTTTGAGAAACTTGATTCTCTTTGACTTTTTCTCAGTTGTCTTTTCTGCATTTTTCTGTTTGCGCTTACCATGAAACTCTTTAGTTGGCAGTGCAAAAAAAATGAAACTTGCAATCTCATTCTGCAAGTATCACCGAGAGGATAAGGAAAAAAGTAAATCTGGAATGCATTTTAAAATAATGATTTTTACTTTGTCTTTTGTTATACCTTGTGATACACAATTTCGCATTCAGTAAATATTTAGTTGCATTAAGTCATTTTATTATTGTTAATTAACTTGAAAAAGTTAATTTTTTTGATTTTCAAATAAACAATTATTTGAAAAATGAGTTATTAAAACAAATATTAAGAAGAAAAACATGAAATTAAAAACAAAAAAATCCAACGAAATATCTAGTGAAACTATTTATCACATATGTGGTCGATGTGAAAAATAAAAGCTCTCTGAAAGTGCACAAAAATATAAATTCGAGTTTTTTTCAGTTTTTCACCAACAAAAAGAGTCTTTACGACTTTCAAGTAAATTTATTCTGTTGTAAATTTCACTAGATCGGTTAGAGAGCAAGTTTTAGGCGAAAAAAGACAAAACCTCCAGAAACAAGTGTATCAACTGTACGTACGACTACTGTAACATTGCTTCACTTGCTGCAGCCGATCCTAAAAGTAGTAGTTTGAGTGTAGTCAGACAACCCTAGATATATATCCCCTGGAAATACACTACGAGTTTATAAGTCTCGTGGTAAAAGGGGTTATAAATCATCACAGAAAATGTATACACACCCGGAGAGTGTTAGAAAAACATAATTTAACCTCTCATACTTTCTTATTATCATAGAGTAAGAAAGTCATATTATATAAATAAATATTTCAAAAGTAATAATAAATAACATCTTAATATCAAATAAATTTTTCAGTAAATATTTTTTTAAATATAAATTTACATTAAAATAAATATTTTCATATCATAAATTTAAAACTTAATCTAGAAAAGTCTTGGAAAATATTTATTTAAATAAAGAAAATAATAATTGGTATTAATAATTAAAAAATAGCATCATCATGATCATCATCACCATCATCATCGAATATCCAACATGAGGTAATAAATGCACGGCTTGTTTTCAGTATGATGCGAAGCAACGAAAGAAAAATGGCAGTGTCCCCATATGAAGCTGAATGATTGGCGAGACTGTTGCACTGATAGTTTGCAATTCTGCTTTCTTTAATTACAGGAAATTATTCCCGGCTAGCTTGCGAGATCCAGTTCGTACGATCGATGGGCTACTATCTGATCCAGATCTACATACCCTCGGGATTAATCGTGATAATCTCATGGGTGAGCTTTTGGCTAAACCGAAACGCAACCCCCGCTCGGGTCGCCCTCGGAGTAACCACTGTGCTCACCATGACAACCCTCATGTCCTCGACTAACGCGGCCCTCCCCAAAATCTCCTACGTCAAGTCCATCGATGTCTACCTGGGAACATGTTTCGTCATGGTCTTCGCGTCACTCCTTGGTAAGTAATCATACCCACTCCTAACAATCCCCGAAAACACTTGAAAAAAAAACCACTACACATAAACAAGAATTGACATGTGCAAAGTAAATTTGTTTCTTAAATTATCATTGATTGAATTTCATTAATTAAATTGATTGAATTGACTTCATCTTAATTCGTATCTCCAAAAAATCCACTCACGCAGATGAGTTGTGATAAATAATTTTCATGGTGACATGGCTTCTTTTTGGCAACATCTAAATATAATAATCAAGCAATCAGCACCAAAACTCAATAAATCCAATGAACAAAGTCCCACTTAATCAGTCCCAATGGGAATATGATGTGAGAGAGGACATTAATTTCGCGTGTCTTGATCGATCGATCCTAAACACTGCATACTGTTGCACTTTTTATTGTTTATTTCGCACTGCTAAAATAACCGTGCGTACGAGACGTGCACGGGGCACTTAACTTTGCTAATTTATCATTTCTTTATTGTATTGTCAACTGTTTGAATGTATTGACGACAGTGTGCAGCGATTTTGATTGATCGAGCGGACTGACTTGCGAATTAATCACGACTCGCTCTTGTCGACTATTATTTTAAACTAAACTTACTTTAAATAATAAAATACTATTCAAAATTAACTCGCTTAAATAATGATAATCGGTTTATTCTAAAAAAGAATATCATCATCATCAATTTGTTATAAAAAATAACATCACCCTATCAGTAATTATTAATTATTCCATTGGAAAATAATTAACATACTTATTCTCATCGTTAAACGACTTTGAGCGATCGTGACGTGAGCTGTAGATCAATCGATCAATCCTAAACAGTGCACACTGGTTTTTTGTTTATTTTTAGTTTTTTTTTTTATAGAAAATTACTTATATTTTAATTAACGAACTAATTAAAAGGTGGTAGAGTTGAAAAATTATATAGTCTTGATATTAAATAGATAATTAAAAATGATATATGTCAGTAATTAAGGGAATATTTTTTCTATCAATGATAATAATAAACTCAAGCAGTGTGCAATGATTCTGATAGATCGAACGCTCCACGTCTCACGAAGAACTCTTGTCGACTCAAGTACATAAGAGTTGCGGAGTCTGTCCTTCTCCAACAGATCTCGTCCCGACTGACGATCCCTCTGAGACTTCATTCTAACACGTATTCCCTCATGTTCGATCCTATCGCACGTGATTTTACTATCGAGTAACACTCAGATTCCTCTTACTAGATTAATTAATATAAAGTGAAAAGACAGATCACTTTTTTTTATCGAAATTGATAAAAAGTCAATGGTTATTTTTATTATTTATTCACATGGAAATGGTTTTCCATTTTTTGTGTTCGTTTTGAGTAAATGTAAGTTATTTACACTCTTATAATTTTGAGAATGATTTTAATTATTAAAACAATGATTATAATTTAAAATGAGTGTTGCATCTTATTTTATTTAAAAAAAAGAAATGATTTAATTTTTTTTATTCTGTTTTTTTTGTTCTATAAAAAAAATATAATCCTGTACAATGATCATACTTTGATCAATTTTTTAAAAGTTTTTTATAAATAAACTTTACTTTATGGTTTTGTTGAAAAAAAAAAGTTTGATTTATTTTTCAAGTTAATTTTGACAGATAAACTTATTCAACATCCTAACGCTGTAAAAAGCTTTCTATAGAGAGTAGAAAGTTAGTGATTTCTGTAGAATAAAAAAAATACATCCAGAATAAAGCAATTGTCGAGGGAAAATAACTGTCGCGACGACCAAACGCGTTCTCGGGATGGATAAGATTTCATGAAAATTTGTAGAATTGCTGAACGTTATCTTTGAAATGAAAGACGAGTAAAATAATTCTATTCAGGTCAGAGGAAAATTGTTACCAAGTAAATTACCTGTAGAATGATGAAAAACTGACAAAAAAAAACTAACTTTTGCTGACATATTTGCCAATCTATTTTTTTTCCTTTCTACCAACCATAAATAATCAAACTAAAAATATGATTAAAATCGTCTTGTTTCAAACGAGATTAAAATCAAATAGAAGGGAACAACAGTATTTCCAATGAAAAATTGAAAAAAATGCGTTGAATATTAATGACGATTTATGTTTTTATTTAAATTAAAATCCTTAATGAAAAATCGTAAAAAATCCATCGAAACAAAATTTTTATCTAGAGTTATAAATTTGAATGTTGTACAGCGATATGTTCAAATCTAGCTACAATCTCAATATAACTAAAAGGTGATTACCATAAAAAAATATAGGATTTTCTCTATTAAATCCGTACAGACAAAAGTCCAATCTCATCGTGGGAAAAAGAAAAAAAAAAACGAAAACTAAACCAGTAAACGAAGTACAACGAAGCGTACAATAAATCTATGAAGTGAAGCGAGAAATAAATATTTCGTTAGTAAAAAAAAAATATTAAAAATGTAAAAAAAGATCATTATTACCTATAACTAATATTACAAGATTTATAAAATGTATTTAATCTATATGTATCCATATGATATATGTAGATACTGAAGTTTGAAAGTTACTTCTTTTTATCTCATCCCGTTCACCGTTGCATGGACAACGAAAAATCCATCTCAATGATCCGGTCAATATGATAAAGACACAGAGACTAGAATGGCGTCATAATCGGTTCAACAATTTCACGGGAAAGTGCGCTCTAGAAATAGACCTGTTTTTCCTTTGCATATATATATATATACACCCTCTATTAACCCTTTCAGCTCTTAATATACTGTGTATATATTATTGGTAAAAAATAATTGAACGATTTTTTACTCTAAATTTTACAGTTAATGACTAAAATTAGATATTAAAAAAAAATATTATCATAATAAAAATTATTTACTTCAATAATATCTATATTAATGATACATTTTTTATATTCTTTACAAATCACAAATTAAATATTAATCATCACGCAACTGTTAAATAAACTACCGGTTTTTTTAATGGAAAAATTAACTTTTTAAAATTAATTAAATAAAAGGAACTAAGCAAAGATTGCAAAATGTTTTATCTATAGAATCATATTGAGCTAAATCTTCAATTACACGAGTTAATTAGTCGAATGAAATTGTTTACATGTAAAAATTTGTTTATTTAACCAAAGATTATATTTCTATAAATTGATAAAAAAAAATGAATTTTTAAAAAAATATTTAATTGGGCGGTGCTTCGAAAAATATGTATTTAAAATCATCACTGCCACCTGTATTTAATAGAAGTAAAGATTTATGGATCAATTAATGTTTATCAACATCACAAAAAATAGTGTGATAAATGATTGATTTTATATTGAAAAAAGCAAAGTCATTGAAAGCATGAGAGTAAAATCATTCAAACAATTTTTACCATAACTGTATAGATATGTACACCAAAATCCAATCGATTGAGTGGAAAAGCCAGAGCCGTTGTAACGCATATGACGTAGCAGCAGCTCCATTACCCAGGCCTAGGCTCCCTATTCACTTTCCAGTGTGGTTCCAGAGCCAAACTGGCAAACTAATATCACTGCTAATTATACTCCCTACACCCTAGCATACTAGTTGCCAAAGTCATAGAGACGTGATCTCACCTCTGGGAAATAATTTCGCTTCATTAGAAATTTATCAATTACGTTGAGCACGTATTTGCCTATTTAGTAATTCAATTATTTGAATTTTTTGTTTAAAGTACATAAAAATTAGTAGAATTTAGTTTGGAAATAGTTATACGTACAATCGTGTAGATGAATGTAGTAGAGATGTAGCTTTATTAAAAGATAAATCAGAATACCAAATTGTGTGGCTGCGTGGAACCTTGTGCCCCCAAAGGATAGTACGAAATTCATGCAGGTACAACTCTCCTTACTTGATGATTCTCCTTCGACCAAGTGCCTCCTCTATGATGAGGAAACAAGACAGAGCAGAGAAGTAAACTTCTGGGGCCAAGTTTCCGCTGGTGAAATTACATTGTGAACCGGCCAACCGTTATAGGCCAAAGGTTATCTAACGAGAGAATGGCAGCAGGGTAAGGTAAGGGTGTTAGTTAGTTCGGCAAAATCAAAAAGACAAACGAAATTAGGCACTTTGAGACTTTAGACAAGAGAACGAGATAATGGAATCTTCTTTCTACTGCTCCAATGGATGAGTAAGCTGTTTTGGCTCAGTTAAATCATCGTACTTTTGACATACTTCTGCCAATTAAGTTATTGTTACTTTTTTTATTGCTCTTAATTTTCAACGTTGAGGATGCTGTTGAATTTTTATCCTAAATTATCTCTGGTTACTGCTAACCATTTATCAAATATTGAGGAATGAAATTGAGTAAATTCTTTAATTCGTTCGTTAGATTAATTATTTATATTTTGTTTTGTATTTTTTTGGAGCTTTAAACCTTCAAAGACTGACATATGATTTTTTCTATCAACTTTTTGTTAACAAAATAGATTTGTTTTTATTTAATACAACTTCTAGTAGCTTCTTATAATTATTTACTTATTTAATAAACAAAAGACTCCACTTGTTATATTTCGAATAGAATACCAACAATTTCCGGTTGAGCTAAAATAAATTTCGATGAATGTTCAATCGTCAATCTTTAAAGGATTAAATAAAAAAAAAATAAGCTACAATATCAGCAAAGAAATAAATAAAACAACCGAAGAGTTATTTAAAAAGATAAATACGGTGTATAACAACTATTATTGATTCACAGAGTACGCCACGGTTGGATACATGGCAAAAAGGATTCAAATGCGGAAGAACAGATTCCAAAAAATAGCTGAAAGTATGAAAGCAGCAAGAGAAAATCCACCACCAGGAGTTCCTGGTGATCATGATCATGCGCCAAAACAAACTGTGAGTAAAACTAAGAAAATAATTTCCAACAAAGCTTCCTTAATCAAACCTAATACCCGTGTCTAATTTTTTTTCAATAATTGAATAATTGATTAATCGAACAATTGAATAATACTATTCGTTTTTTATTCCACAAGCTGAAAAATCGGATTATTCTTTTTTGTTCAGCATCAAAAATTAGTGATAATTCACTTGGCACTTTTAATAACTTAATAAGTAACATTGAGTAAATAATTTGAATAGAAAAATCCTTTTTTAATTAAACCATTATTTTTTCCTTTCAACTTTTTTTCTCGATATTATAAAATACGTTGTTAATTAAATTAAACTATTCTCATTCGTTTTTTTTTTGTCGTAGAAAGTAACAAATTTTTACATAGATAAAACCAGAGACAATTAACTTGACATTTGAAAATATTTAAATGGTAATTATCGATGGTAAAATATCTTTAAAGATTAACATTTCATTAGGAAATAATTGCAAAAACATCTTTAAGTATTTAGTAGAGTCGTTTTTTTTCACGTGTACTGTTTTTTATAGTAATTCGAGAAAAAAAGACAAATAAGGCTTAAAGAGAAGAGCAGTTAGTTGGACTGTGTGTAATTTACGAGTATAAAACATTTCTACTCTGGACAGTCGACAAGTCGTTTCGCCTATATTTTCTCTTGAGAAATTGGTTAATTAAGTTTAAATAATTGAGTCTATCACTTACTGCTCTCATTTACTCACTCGCATGTACGATAAAACCACGACGATAAACTAACTTACTCAATCGTATTATCTTAAATTACGATAATCAAAAACTAATTACATGAGGCTCAGTTTTTGTGCTTGAAATTCAGCAATTCTAGCCTTCAGGTGTATAGAAATATTTTTAGTATATTTTATATTTAAATATTACTGACAAAATATAATCCTAGATCAATTTTGTCATTCTTATGTAAAAATAACAATTCTTATGCGAATATTAGAATCAAGTTTAAATAACTCAAACAGATTCACAAGGTTTGATGGAGAGATGATACAAATTCAGGATGCAGTCAAAATACAGTTCTGTTAAAGCAAGTACAGAAAAATCATCAATATTCTTCGAAATATTTTTAATCTAAGAATTCCATTTTTTTAAATTGAAAATAAAATCGTTGATCCTAAATTTTTATTACAATGAAAATTCTTGTAAGAAAGAGAGCATTTTTCTTTCTGTGTTACACGTTAACGTGTAATACAGAAATAATAATTATTATTATTTTTATAAAAAAAACTATAATAATTATAAATGGATTTCCATTAATCATAAATATTCTATTTAATATGAAATAAATCAAATTTTTATTGAATTTTTCAAATCATAAACTCTACATTCGTCTGAATAGAAAATAGAAAGAAACACAAGAAAATGACTGAGTGGACGAAGTAATAAAATAAAAACTTGATAAAAAAAAAATAAAAATGAATAAGCGTACGACATTTGTAGTCTAAAGTACAGATACATCAGCATGAAAAAAACAATGATAAAACACATGAAATAGAATGTCTGCAAACTGTAAAAAGTGCTTTAATTAGAGAACGAATTAATTATTCGAGTGGCAAACTCCAGACTGAGATTAAATTTGTCGATGGAGAATGAAACTCAACATAAAAAATTTCTACTCTCTCACTAACATTTTCAATTCATTTTCAAGTATTCGTAAAAATTATTAATAAACTACATTGCATGAATACTAATCTAAAAACTTGCTTACTTACTTTATATACCATTTTATGCCATTCATTTAAGATATTTTTTAACCATTTATTACTTTTATTTATTATCAATTCTTCAATATTAAAAACTGCAATATACAGACATTTCTTCTTTAAATAATAATAAATGAGATTTTAAATATGCCAGGTATTTTTAAGAGCTCAAGAGATAACTATGTCTCGAAGCTCTATTACATTTCAATGGGAACGATTTTTCGTTTCTACTTGTTCTCATTTTTCCTCGTCGTCTTGAGGGACAGTCCATCGAATTTACAAGTGTTCAAGCTAGCAACAGCTGCTATTGCATGAATAAAACAAGCTTCCAATGGAATTTTTTCGAAATAAAAGAATCAAGAGAAAAGAGAATAAATTATTGAAAAGTATAGTTTCAAGTCTAACTAGCTATAGTCTATGTAACAGTAAAAATCTTTTTTTTTTTTCAACAAACCCCTTTATTCTAAGAACTATTCATGATAAGAAGATAATTGCCATTTGAATAAATTAGAAACAATCTCTCGCTATTTTATTTCTTCTCGCTAGAGTTTCTTCTCTATCATAGAATTTATAATTCTATCTCAAACAATATAATAATAAAAAATTTTTTTATCTTCCTTATCTATTAAAAAAAATAAAAACATATATTTTTAATTCTTTCAAGTATCAAAATAATTTTTATACTAAGGCAGAATTATTTAAAAAAACTTATCAATTGTTTTTAATAGTTAATTGAAAGTGTCAAGTTAAATAATCATTAATTGTGTATTTAATTAAGAATAAATAATTAAGTATGAGAAAAATAGAAGGCCCTGAAAATTGCATATAGTTCAAAAAACTGTAAGGGGTAAATCCATATGGAAACCCCACTACGAACTGCCGTGTCTCTTGTAAGTGGTCCCGTGTTGTCCAGGAGGTGCGGTTCAAGGTCCACGACCCAAAAGCACACAGTAAAGGCGGTACACTAGAAAACACAATCAACGGTCGAGCTGATGAAGAAGCACCACCAGCTCCCCAACATCTTATTCATCCAGGCAAAGACATCAGCAAGCTCTATGGTACGCCATGTAGGTTTCTCTTCGTTTTTTATCCATTTTTATCACGAATTATATGGGACGTATACTTGGAATAAGAGTGTCTCATCATAATGGCAAATCAACAAATATTATAATTATAATGATAATCACTTAAATTGGCTTTTGTACCGAATTGGCTTTACTAAAACTTTTATATGGCAAGCAATGAATGTTGTGCACATTTGTCAAAAATTGTTGTTGTTTTTTTTTGCAACTATGCTGAGAGGAAAATATTTCTAACAAACCTTTTATTACATAAAAAAAAAAACTCTCATACTAATTTTTTTTTTTTTTTCATTTTTCACTGCACTCTGAAAAATTATATAATTATTAATATAATACACTGAGTTAATAATTTTTGTTATCACTTAATGCAACAGAACACGTATATTAAATTATATTAACATTCATTGAATCGCTTTTATTGCTTTAATTTTTAAATGAAAAGTACATAAAAGATTTATATCTCACAAAACTTTTAAAACAACACATTATTTTCATTTTTTTAATCACAATAATTTTTTCTCTCAGTATATAATAATTGGAATGTCTCACAAATAATCTAATATTCAAAATTAACCGTTGTGTTTTATTTTTTTATAATTTTCAATGCAATGTAATTTATGGCTTTATTACAAGGAACGTCTTGCATAGTTCAACAAGACATTTTATCAGAAACTGAATACTCACTGTAATCTACACATTATTTGTCATAGGCATAACACCATCAGATATTGACAAATACTCTCGCATCGTTTTTCCTGTGTGTTTTGTATGCTTCAATCTCATGTATTGGATCATCTATCTACACATCAGTGACGTTGTTGCGGACGATCTGGTACTTTTAGAAGAGGCAAAGTAAACAAAAAAGAAAAATTCTTTTCCAAAACAAAAAGAAGAAAAAATCGAGACTAAGGGAAAGAAACAAGCGAATGGAGAAGAGGAAAAAAATCTTTGTCAGAAAAGAATATAAAAAAAGTAGAAGGATAAAGATTGCTAAAACTAAAACCGTGCTGTGACTGCTTCGACTTTCTGGCACTGTGCGACACACTCGTCGCGTCGTCCAAATAACCAGCCTCATTTAATCATTTTTTAAAATAATAATTACCCGATAAATTAATTAATTATAATAAAATAATATTAAACAATTAATAATAATAATAATAATAATAAATAAAGGAATTTAGAGAATTCGAGAATTTAAAAATAATACCAAAGGTTTTCAAATGAAGAAAAAAAATGGAGAAAATAAATAAATTAAATAATACAGTATAATATTATAAATCATGACCATTGCCGGTATAAAAAAAAAAGCCGGTGATTAATGGTCTACGCTCAATGACTTTTCCTCGACCGAGGGATCGCAACAACGATCGCGGAAACGACTTCTCAATTGCTAGAGATAAATAAACCGGAAGCAGGTATTTCGGTGAAGATAGAAAATGTACATTCTAATTAATGGAGAAATAATGAATGAAAAAACATTCCTAAAAATCCAATGATGAAAGATAAGATAAGGAAAAAAGACAAAAAAGCTCTAACTAAAAAGAAAATAAACAAAGTGAGAAGTCTGTCGCTGTGATCGTAAAGCGCAATGAAGACTGAAGGATGTCGAGCTGTAAAATGAGAGATAGACGTGTAAGAAAGGAAAGAAATAAAATGATTGCAGAATGATAATAAATGGTAACACATGAATAGTGGAGATAAACGGGGCGAGTGTGGAAACTTTAGAAAAATATTTAAGTGTACAGTGCCGCGAAAGATTCGAGAGACGAATATATAAATATATAAATATATGAATAATAAATATAAATAATATAAATATAAGTATAAATAAAGATATAAATATGATATACATAATAATAAATAAATTAATTAACTAATCAATTGATTACTGCATATACGATATACCTTTAAAGCATTGCCAGTATATCTCTAACAGTAACATCGTGATTACAAAAGCAGAAATGAATAAACTCATAAGCAAAATAACAAAAAATGTCATCCACTATAACATCGCCATTTCATCCAATTTTTCGGTATAAATATGTCAATTTAGCCACACATGTAGGATCAATAAATAAGCATTCGATTAGTAATTAAGAAAACTGTGGCTCAAGACTTGCTAATAATTTGTTTTAAAATATTTTACAATGAACTCGAGATTCGCAACACAAATGATTAAATTTAAATAAACAAATAAGAGAAATAAAATGAAAAACCAAAAAATAAGGACGAAAGTTTCATGGAACTGCAACTATTTTTTTCCGTTTTTTTATAACAAATAATGAAAATGATATAAACAAATCAAGGTTGATTGAAAACAATGTTTGTTAATTACCAGTAGTTAATAATTAATAATGATATTTAAATAATATTAAAAATAATTAAAATAAGCGTAAGAATAATAACGATAAATAAATAATAGTTAATGATAATTATTACTATTATTAACTAATTAGTGGGACGGTTGTAATAAGTGATAATAAACACTTGTCTGAATGTCTCGAGACTGAAGAGAATGTTAACTATAATAATATATATATCATTATCAATTATTAATTTTATTTGACTGTTATCAATTAGTAGGTTAATTTTTTCGTGTATGAATAGTTAACTTTTTTAAATATTTCTTGGCATATGTGTGAATTCATTCCGATTTATCTACTTTAACACAATAAGCATGTGATACTCGGCCCAGGAAATATCATTCACTACTTTCTAAATAATTTATTTGTTGAAAAAATAATTATTAATTCATTTTCTTAATATTTTCCTTTTTTACATTATTTCATTATCCATTCGGATTTTTATAATTATTTTATCCTCACGAAGCAACGAAACTGCGACAATTCCTACAAATTTTTCTCAAATTTCAACGCCTTCCAATCGGTCATCGATGCTTCGTGCGCGAAATGAAATATTTCCTAAGGCCAGGGATGAAGGCTCCTCGGATTAATTGATCATAAATAATTATATAAATATTTAAAAGTTTACAAAAAAACATTTCTTTTTTTATTTATCATATTTTTTTCAAAAAATATTCAATATCGACATGCACTAGTTTCGGTACTTATTTTTCGATTGATAACATTAAATTCTTTATAAAACTCTATAAAAGTTTTTTTTTTTTTATAATTTACACATCGAGACACAAATGATGATCAATGTTGTTATCTCTCTATTCCTAGAACTCCAATTTTTCACCTATATTTTTTTGTTTGATTTAATATTTTCATTCTTGTATTTGACGTCAACACATGCGAGTTTAATTCCTCTTTCTCTTCACTACAATTTGCTTTTTTTCTTTTAACGAGAAGCAAAGGGAGGACGCTGGAATGTGGAAACTTGCCATTCAGGATATCGACCAGACACACCCAGCCATGTTGCTCTCTTTCTCTCTCTTTCCCTGATCTTCTTCTACTCTTTCTCATGTACTAACTTGCACTATTCACAAATATTCTAACAATCAGTCTGTAGATGAGAAAAAAGACTAATCTAAAGTAAAAAAAACAATCACGTAAAAATGAGAGTGAATCTTTTTTTTTTTTTCTTAATAATACGTTTTTTTTTACAAGAAACATAATAAAAAAATTTTCAAACAACTACTATCATTATTTTATTTAAATTTTTTAATCAAAACATAATTACTATTAAATCCCCTTATAAATTTCATTTAATGTTTTCAATCGAAAATAACAGAAAGATTAAAAGAAAACCAACTGAGAACCATCCCTTGCCTCTTTCGCATCATTGAAACCCAAAAGCGTTTGCATAAAAAACACTAAATAATAAATCGAAAAAAACCTGCACTTATGTATTCATCGATGAATCTAAACTTTTCTTCCGTTTAAATACCACCTAATAATGTGCAAATGAAGAACAAAAAATGCATATATTAAAAAAAAAATTAATACTAGTCTTGCGGTGATAATTTTTGTTAAAAAATTTGTTAGTAAATAAATTTAATTGCTCTTGCTCGCATATTTATTCCTAAATAATGAAATGAATAAAAAAAGAATATTATTATTTTAATTTAGCACACGCGCATGATTTTGCCAATTTTTCCAATCTATTAAACCCAAAAATAATTAACGTGTATCAGTATTAAATGATTACCCGTAAGTTGCACTCGTATATAATTTTCAGTTATAAGTTAATGAATTAATAAACAATCTATTAAAATTTAATTGACGCCATAGACGTCCGGTCATTAAATAAAGATCTGAAATCGATATTAAAGTAGAAAAAAAATGGTAACTTGAATAAAAACGAAACTATATAATTAAAAAAAAAGCTCCATTGACTACAAAATTCATGAAAATAATCAGTTGAATAAATTTAAATTGTTAACATAAAAACATTGATTATATTCATAAATTTTGTATAATCGCAATCATTTCAGTATTGTTATTGTTACAAAGAGAGCTGTAAAATTAGCGAATGAAAGCGATGAAATAATTGAAAAAATAAGTAATAAAATATTGTATACTATAAGTAGTATAAAAATTTTATTTGGATTGCACACTTTACCTTTGTATTCATTACTGCAATTACTCTCAATCGATTGATTATGATTCAATAAAAGTTGGATATTATTAATTAAAAATAATTCATCGCTGATTTCGCTTACCTAAAAAAAAAAATTAAAACGATTAATATTTACATATTATATTATATTCGTTATCTATTTGGAGTCTCTATGATAGTAAAATGATAAAGAACGATAAGGGAATAAATTTAGCATTTTATCGTTGTGATATATTCGATATAGAATGATTATGTTTCATATTTTACTTAAAATACTCGTGTGACGCGATAATTTGTGAATAATTAAATTAGTAATATTAATGTAATGATGAAATGTTTTATAATATTACCTATTATTAAATTTCTGAAATTGCGACGTAATGTAAATAGGATAAGTATTATTAATAATGTTCGTTACATTATTGAATGATTTTCATATACAAAATAATTAATTAAATTAAGAATCATTACTTAATCAATTATGTTATTATTAAAATTGTTGAATATCATTAGTTTATTAATGAAGTTGTAAATTATTGTCATTATTAAATTTTCATTATCAATATTAATCTTATTATTATTAATTAAGTTTCCTATGAAGAATATGATTCTAAAAAATTTTTTAATGGTACATATGTATAAAAAAAAATGTTTAATACAAAAATAATAATAATTTAATAAACAATAAATAAGTTAATTATCGCGTCATACGAATCCGAGTGAGTCTCTATCCTCTGGTAGGATTTATGTTACTCTGAGCACTTATTACGTATTATTAGGTAATTATAAATTATCGTTAATAAGCTGTTGATGAAAAAATTTAGAAAATAAATAATGGAGGAATCTGATACAAAAAATAAACCTTAAAATCAGCCCAGTCGCTCGATTATGATTAACACAAACTTAAAGAAAGATGAAAAATCATTAAAAAAAAAAATTTTAAAAAGTTAAAAATAAAAATGATCACACCTTGTAAATACAAGTTTTATACAGAGTATTATATGCATCAAAAGTACTGTGAAACTATAACATAATTATATGCAAATATGTAGTGCACACGACACGTGATTGTTCGCACATATTTAGATAAAAATTATTACTTTCAAGTATAGGAACGTGAAATTAAAAAATAAACTAAGCATATATATCTATTAATATATATGTAAATGTATAAATTAATAAGAGATGAAAAAGATTAGATATGACAGGAAAAATGTTAGAAGGTTGTAGTATAGCCACAAAAGAAAACCGAAAATGAATAAAAGTTATTTCTTTGGTTGTGAATGTGTTTATACAACAACTAAAATCAATTTTGGGATATGTCAAGAATATAAATAATAAAAAAATGATTTGTATGTTACAGGAATTAATATTAATTTATTAATTAAAATTTGCAAATAAATTAATAATTAATATTAATTAATAGTGGAATTTAATCTAACAAGAGTGCAAACAAGTATAATCGTTATTAAAAATCTTTTTTTTTTTTATCAAGATATCGATACTTTGCACTTTCGATTGGAAAAAGCTTTAATTACAAAACAAGTTAATAATTGAATAATATTTCGTAGTTTATTTCGCAAGGAAGAAAAGTATCTGAAAAATTGCGAATAGTATAAGAAAGAGTATCAGAAAGTTAAAAATGATAAGATCCAGAAAATAAAAGGGGTATAAAATAATACCAGTTCAAATCACATTAACGAAAACTGCCAACTTCATATTATTACACGTTTTAGTCAATCAGAAAGACAGAAGAAGACGCAGGCATGTGGTAAGAACCCAAAATTTGTCTTAGGGTAAACACATTTGCTGTTTGCACATAGTGTATTTGAAAGGAAATCAATTTATTAACTAATTAATTTCTTAAAATAAATGTAATTATAAAAAGGATGAAAAAAAAAATTAACACGTATGATATTTAATGAAAAATTAAATATTTAGATTGAAACAACAAAATAAAATCTGTTTATGAAAAATTAATTCATTTATTTTATACTACTTTTGTCAAATATTATTGTATAAATTATTATATTATTCTTTAATAAAACCGCGTCGATTAAAAAAAATTATCCTTATGTTTAATAAATAGATCAGTAATAATAAATTTTGTCATAAACCAATGTAAGGATTTAAATATACATAAATATATTTATATAGTATTAATTCTTGGAAAAACGTACCTAACTCAATTAAAATATAAATAATACTTTAATTAAATTTTTTAAAAAATGTTGGTCGAAGAATTATTTTATTTTTTATTTTTACATTTTTTTTATAATATCAAACAAAAGTAGTAACGGAATAATTCTTTTAAGCATGATAAAAATATATTAATAAAAAAAAAAAAACTTGTATTTTAACTCGTAGTACTGACAAAGGACTTGAAATATAAATAAATAATTAAACGTAAATGAAAGCGCAAAATAATAATTATTCTAATTCGAATTTTTCCTCGTGGATAAACTTCTTTTTGTCATTTTATAACCCACTATTCTCAGTAAACCTTGCACCCAGTTTAATTATAAATAAATAAATTAAGGAAATCTGAATGAACAGATAAAAAGTGAAATAAAGAAAAATTACATCGTAAAAAAAATACAAAGAATGATAGAGAAACATTAGCAAAAAAAAAAAACATATGCTCGATTCTATATGGAAAATTTATTAATTAAAAAGTGCTGATAAGAGAGTCAGAATAAAAAGAAGAAGAATAATGAGTAAGAGACTTAAAACGGTGATATAAGGTCGTTTTGAGAGTACCAAATTCTAAAAAAATGTATTTAATATTAATTGCATATTGTAGCATAATATATAACGATAAATAAGAGTAACATCCCCTCCCGTAGGTCGGGCACTTCAAACAATTATTAGATATCACATGTAAAGTATATTATGATAATGCGAAAATTAAAACAAAAATCTAATTACTTATTAAACTATGGACGATATTGCAAACGAACCAGCGTTCATTTGTACGAAGACACGCGTTTACCATATAAAAAATAAAAAATTGAAAAAAAAAAACTAAATAAATAATTATATAAAATATGATGAACAGACATGCATACATGAAAAAATATAAATAAATAAATATATATAAATATAAATATATATATATATAGTTTTTAGTAAAATAAATAAAAAATTATTAGTCCTGGACGAATGTTTGAGAATCGCGGAAGAGGAAATAAATACAATGAAAAAACTATTAAATACAATTGATGTAAGAATGTTGCGTGTGTATTATGTGTATGAATCTGGGGTCTGTAATTTTAAGGAAGTTCCTCATCCTCAAGGAAAAAAAACTAACCGAGATTTTGTAGATTTATCAGTAAGGGTTATCTTCGGATCTGCCCGAACTTTTTTTATCAGGACAATTAACGGACAAAAAAATTCTTAATCTCATATTCAAATAAATTTTTGTATGTATCGATTTATAATTATTGTAACAAATACGGATGTTTTCATCATCAATTTAATTCTGCGTTTTCAAATTTACAAGTTTACATTACCTAATACTATACACATACATTCGTCGTTGTTATAATAATTCGATAAATAAAAATGCCAGGACATGAATAATACGGGACAAATAGTATGAAAACGAAAGAATTGGGAGATCCTGGTTGACCCTGATAAACATGCGCTATAAAATCGTTTTTGTAAAATCCGAAATAAAATGCATAGTCAAAGATTTATTTCAATGCCTATTTTCTTTTCCCTTCTTTCCTTTTAATCAATACACTGTAATAATAGATTCAACTATACGTATGATTTTTTTTTAATACTTCGAATACTAATCATTATTGTTACTTTCAAATAATCTCAATTATAACAGAGTAAACAAGATTTTAATTTAATAAAATTATTTTTAAATATGGTTTTAAAACAGGTACTCGAAAAGTTTTATAGCAATCAGTAATCTAGTGTATCAAAATTATCATACACTTATATTAGATATTTACCTGATAAAAAAACCCTGTTACTTTATCTAAATTTATTGCAGATGAGATTTAAACTCTCTTACACGACCTACTTGCAAAATATCTACCATTTGTTTTTTTTTGAAACAAATTAAACAAAACAATAAATTACATACATTATTTATCAATTTACTTCTTACATTAAATAATATTCACTTGAAATTTTTTTCTATCTACTATTGATTCAAATAAAAAATATTCATCAATCATGAATTCTATTTATCATCAGCTCTTTGAAAAACAAAAGCGATAAATAGCGATGACTTGCCTTAAATGAAGATAATAAATTGATAAGACTATAGATATTGAACATTTGTTACATATTTCTTAGAGAATACTTTGCAATTATATGTAAGTGATCATTGAATAACTCTTTCATCGTATCATTCTTAGTCGTATTAATCACAACTAGCAACAATGACAAGAAGAGCTTATGAAACAGTAAGTTGAAAATCATGAAACTTTTTGTTCTATATCATCAATGAATAATGTTAGAACTTACTTAAATATCAAATTTTACTAGAGTTCTACTGATCGAGTGTTTGAGAATGGAATATGGAAAGGACCAGTGACGATTCCACCTGATGATTACTTTAAATATGGAGAAAAACTATTGGAAATTATGAGAGAAAATTCATCATTAATTGGTCAGGTAAATAGTATTTAATCCTCAATTAATATCCAATATTAAAATCAATGGACATAATTGAAGATGAATTCTAATTAATTTAGATTGATGCTATAACAGGAGAACAACGAACATTTGGAGATATGGCTGATAGAAGCATAAGATGTGCATTGTGGCTGAAAAGCCAAGGAGTCAAACCAAGTGACATCATTGGATTATCTACTGGAAACCATTTGGACGCAATACTACCTATCATCAGTTCATTACTAATAGGATCAATCATCAATCCATGGTGGGATGATTTAACTGAGGAAGGTATACGGCTTTTTTAATCGTAAATTTAATTAACCAGTAAAGTTAATGAGTTCTATCAAAAATGAATAATTTTTTCAGAACTTATTAAATACTTCATTGATTTGACTCAAACTAAAATAGTATTTATATCAGAAGCCAATGCAAAGTTAATGAAAAAAGTAGTTGATAAAATTCAAGTGAAAATAACAATTATAGTTTTTGGAAAAGTAGATGGTTTTACTTCATTTGAAGAAATCATAGCAATACAAAAGTCTCAAGAAGTCCTCAATTTCAAATGCACTGAAATACAATCTCCTGATCAACCTGCTATTATTCTCTACACTTCTGGTACAACAGGCAACCCCAAGGGTGTTGTGCTGGCATATAAAACACTTGGAAATAATCGTCCATTTATTCCTGTAGAAGAAATAAGAAAGATGACTGGAATTAATTTTTCTACTGTTGCATGGATAAGTGGAGTAATGCTTCCTCTCACAGCAATAGAAGCTGGAGCTAAGATGATTATTTTCTATGGAATATCTGAACCTGAGAGTTTTCAACTCATCGATAAATACAAGGTTTAAATTTTTATTTCAATTTAATGAAATAATATATCATTTAAATAAATAACTTTTAAACAAAAAGGCCCAATGGATTACTATGGGTACAGGAGTAGCAAACAGAATGTCGAAAGATGAAACTATAGGAAAGCATACTTATCCATCAGTAAAATGGATAACTTTTGGTGGAGCATGCGTAAAAAAACGAGTTGTTGATTTCTTAAAAAGAGTCTATCCAAATGCTCGTATTTGTCAAGCTTATGGTATGTAAAAATATTATAAAACATTTTGGCAACTCAAGTTTAATTGAATTAATTATTATCAGATAATAAATCAATGTATCAGGTTCAACTGAATCGGGTGGTCCAGTAACATGTTCTAGCTCTGATGATCATCCAGATTCATGTGGAAAAGCTGTTAAAAATATGGAAATAAAAATAGTTGATGAAGATGGCAATATTGTTCTGAAACCAAATGTAGAAGGGGAATTATGTATGAGATCTTCAACTATGATGATAAGTTATTACAAAAATCCACAAGCTACTGCAGCAGCAGTCGATAGTGATGGTATTTGTTTTTATTAATAATCATATTTCACTTGAAATAAGTAAAAATTTTTTACAAAAAAAAAAATTAATAAATTGATAATAATAATAAATATATTTTTAAAATTTTTACATTTTGGTAGGATGGTTCCATAGTGGTGATCTAGGGCATTACAATGAAAATGGAGAATTTTTTATCACGGATAGAATACGAGAGCTGATCAAATACAGACTACATCATGTCCCCCCAGCACCTATCGAGGAAGTAATACAAAAAAATCATCCGGGAGTTTATGAAGTAGCTGTTGTAAGAAAGCCACATAATGAAGACGTAGAACAGCCGATGGCATTTGTCATAAAAATGCCTGGAGTGAATGTAAAATTCATTTTGTGATTGAAAAAGTATAGTTTTGAGTAAGAAAAAATAATAATGCTAGAAACAATTTTTTTCTAGGTAACTGAAGAAGAAATAATCGATATAGTTGATAAAAATATGTCAGAAAGATTTAAATTAAGAGGAGGAGTAAAATTTGTAAATGATCTTCCACGAACATCGTCAGGAAAAGTTGCTAAAAAAATTCTTAGAGATATGGCGATAAAAATTGCTTTAGAAGAATCAAAATAATAGAAAAAAAATTTTAAATGAGCTCGAGATTAGTTTTAAGTAATTAGAAAAATAAAACAGCAGCTTATGAAGAACGTAAAAATATAAATAAAATTACCGATAAAAAATACTGAACTTACCAAGAAAAAGAATCACTTGAACATTCTTTGCTTTTGTTTTCAATTCTCACAAATTGGGAGTACAATTACTCCAAAAGACTAATTAACTAAATAAAATATTGCATTTAACTATTTCACCTTTAGCACTTTTTTACTAGCCACTCACTGTTATATATTTCATTAAAAGACAACTATTTTTTCACTGAACTATTCACTAATAAAAAAAATTTCTCATGCATGTATCAATAAACTCCAATAGCAAACGGTTTATGTTTATTTGAATCCACTATTTGTAACACGCATTTCTATTGGTCGTTGACTAAAATTCAAGCGAAATGAAATGAACGCAGTAAACCGGTAAATTCCAAGAAAGCCGAAATGTGTAGATATTCGACGAGCTAATGACAGCATCATAATATTTTGAGATATTACTTACGATTTGCATAATTTAACATAATCATATAATTACTTTTATTTACAAAATTAATTTAAATCAAAAATTTTATTTATAAAAATCCTATGGCATCCTATAGCGTCCTATTTCTTCAATCACTTTACACACTATATTTGCACAAATTTATTGCTAATTAATATAATTTCACGACAACACATTAAAATTGACGAAATATTTAATATAAAAGTATTCCCGCGTAATAATAATATTCTAAAACATAATTACAATTTCTATTGATGACGAAAATTCACATAGATTAACTATTTCCTTTTAATAAACTATTTTCCGCGATTTTATAAACCAAAAATAATTCCTTTCATTTTATCAAATAAAATATAATATTATCTATTTTATATCATTAAATTTCACACTCATATAAACTAACTAATGCTATAATACAACTCATAATAAAAAAAAAATTCGGAGCTTTGTCCTAAAATGTTCTCAAATGAAGCAACTGACCTCAACTGACCCCCTACTGCGCATCAAATATCAGCAACACCAAAAAAGCGGGAAAAGTTCGCAACCAATCTCATTTGTTAATGTTGCCCCCCCTGTGCCTCAAATTTTTCAGCTCGAAAGTTCTAAATAAAATCACAATGTTTTTGTAATTAAAGAATATTAATTCATCTACAATAAATATTTTGATTATTAAAATAAGTTTATAATCTTTAATAAATATTAATTACCCATTTGTTTTTTTATCAAGTGTACAGATAAGTGTGAGAGTTATTTTACCTACTAGGAAAAAAAAATGCAAACTATTATATCAACTGTTATATATGTGTTTTTTTTTTCATTGTTACAATGATTATTTTTTAATCATTTTCATTTTTACAAGCTATTCGAATAGAGATAAAAATAAAAGTAATGTTCAGAACTAAAAAAATAAATTTTGTCAGCTATGATAATCTTACGCAACAAAGAATTAAAAGATCAAAAGCTCCTAATCTTTGACCTAATAATAAAATATTCAAGGTTATCATAGAGTTTTGTGCATTTTACATTTCATAAATACTAATTGTTCATTTTTAATGTGAACGCATTTTTATTTTTGATAGTTGTCCGTCTAAAAGACTCCTTATTAGTGCATTTTTACACACCTGATCATAAATTTTACTTCATAATATTTTTTGTCTCATTCTATCGAGGTAAATGAAAGAATTTTTCAAATCATTATAATACTCGTTTGGGTACAAATATAACAAAAAAAAAACAAAAGTAGATCAATCAATTGAAAACCATAACATATAAATATATAAACAATTATATATTTATTAAGAACTCTGATAAACCTGAGGTTCAGCACGTTAGTTGATTTTTTTTCTTATGATTTCCATTTCAAGTTATTATATCTTTCCATTATTAATATGATTCATATTATATGACATTATTATTTTATGATCTTTGTTCATTATTAAAATTTATTTATTTAGTAATAAAAGTTATAATAGAATGGCAGGTCCTTGAAATAGTGATTGTTAGATTCTTCGCCATCTACCAATTCAATTCCTTTCACTACAGTTGTTATAATTTGCAGTTTTATTCTTGCATTTTTTTTTCAAGAGATTTTTTAATAAGTAACATTTTTCTCAAGTTTATCTTTAACTTGATGATTATCTGAAAATATTTCTAGTCCTTTTACTTTATAAATTATAAAAAATTTTGACTTTCTATCAATTAATAACAAAGCTTTACTTCTATATCTCATGTAAATTAACTGATGAAGTTTTTAAAAAGATTCATTATTGACAAATCGAAACTATAACTTTCAAATCCAACCTTTTAGAAAATACCTTATGATAGATACAACAAAGGTGAGTAATAAATTAAAATTTTTTTCTAAACTTTCACATGACAGCTTCTAATCAAAAAAATCTAATTTATTTAAATTTGATAATTATAAAAAAGATAGTAATAAATATTTTTTTTAAATGTTAAGAGGTCAAGAGGTACCTAAAGTATACCAAATGCATCGCTATCATATGTATTGATCGTTTGGCTGACTCCCCACTTACTTCTACGCTGAGGAGTGTTGGAGTTGCCGATGGATTCGCCTTTCTAACAACCGCGGTCAGTTCAGTTGCGTTTCATCAGGGAAACACTGTGAAACGCATACAAGGTGAATTTTTAAATTATTTACTCTCAGTAAATTGTTAATATTAACAGAATATCTGATATCAATTAATCAAGTACTGCATGTATGAATTGACTAAATAATCATGCATTAGTTGTTCCATTGTAATTTTCCTAAATAACCGATCTATTCCTTTATTTCGGTTCAGTGTACTTCAAAAATTTCAAATAGTGTATCGATCAATTTTTTTTTAATCATTGAAAAAAACAATTAATACCTAAGATTTTTTCACCTATATGTTAATCTGTAACCTAATTCTAAAGAAAATTTGAAAAACCTGAAGACAAGTGATAACAGAGTGTTTTCATTATTTTCTAGAGCTTTCAGAGTAAATTAAGAGGAGATACAAGGGGTGCAAAGGAATTCTTAAAAAAATAAGGGTAGAAAAGATGGCTGATAGGATATACTATCCAAATGCTGAGCTTGCAAATAATGCTTACTGTAATAGTATGCAACAATACAAGGATATGCATGAAAAGTAAGCATACAATGTATTTATAATTATTGTCAAACCAAGGTAAAACGATTATAAGTGCAAATATTTTATATTCAAGTCAATAAAATAAGCAAATTTATTGACAAATTATTATTGATGTCAAACTTGTTTGAGTTATCGATTATCCCTATTGCTCTTAAAAACTTTATATTAAGCATTGTTATCATAAATTTTAAAGTCAAGACCACGCGCGAAGGCTCATTCACGAGTTGCAAAAATAGAATAGTAATATCGATCACTTTCCACTATGTCTTGCAACTTTTATCAATTATTATATTATATTTGAAATAATTTTTATTTATTTTTGGGTTAGGTATGCTAAAAACATTGTTAAGCATCATAATGTATGTTTCTAACTGGAGTTAAACTTTTTTCAGGTCAATAAAAAATCCAGAACTTTTCTGGAGTGAAATAGCAAAACAATTCTACTGGGAATCACAAACATCTAATGATAAGTTTTTCTCATACAATTTTGATCTCAACCAAGGTGACGTATTTATCAAATGGATGGAAGGAGCATCAACGAATCTCAGTTTTAATCTTCTGGACAAAAATGTTAAATGTGGCAATGGTGATAAAATTGCATTTTATTGGTACGTATACAGATAATGCTTAATGCGTTTTTATATGAAGGAATGAATTCAATTTATGGAGTGAATAACATATTTATTGTTATTTATTTATAGTGCACATAATTGAATAGTTTTATTAATGGAAACAATAATACTATTATAGACGACAAATCTTAAGTTAAAAACACGTAATTTTGGACTATACCCACTAATAACTTGCTTATTCTATTACTGACGTTTTTGTAATTTTGGTTCTTTAAATAATCAAGAAAAGAAATTCAATTTAAACTCGTACTGAATACTTACTCCTTATTGACTTTTAAACAAGTACTTAAAATAGTTGAAAAATTTCTTTCACAGCTAAAGTATTTAATAAATATACAGATAAACAGTCTAGAAAATTTTATGCGGTTATAAAAATTAATTGAAAATTGATAAGAATGATCATTCGAGACTATTCAGTTCGCTGATTCGTCAGAAAAATATCATGTAACGATGTCCAAGCTGAGGATTGGTTACTTTCCTCATGGTACGAGAGTTATTCACAAATAAGGATCCCTTCCGAATCCACTTAAACTACTTTACTTGCCCTTTTTTCAATTTAATAATTTTTCACATTTATCATCTTTAGAATTTACTTCCTAAATATAAAAATGATGAAAAAATATTTATTCTTTATATTAATAAATTGTAATTCATAAAAAGTTATAATATTCATTTATTAAAATTTATTCTGAGGATTACGTAAAAAAAGTAAAGAAATCATAAAAACTTCTCATTTAAATTAAACAAAGAATGTCTTTAGGAAATTTATCATTCTCTTTAGAAAAAAAATTTTGTATAACATAGGATATCGATTGTTGAGTTCAAGTAATTGAAAAATATTTATCAATAAAAAATAAATCTCTCCCGACTGATATATTGATATAATCTTGTTTCCGGGTCATTAACTGTTAATTTATAATTACTTTGTATTGATAACTCTACGTAAAACTTTGAACAACAAATATACATTACGAGTGATGACGTAACATAACTGTAAATAATTTGTAAATTAATTTTTCATATTTCTTTCATTTCTCAATTGATATCCATTATTCTATATATAAATAAGATACTAATAAAAAAGTTTAGTAAACCGAGGTTGGCAATGACCAATGACAATCATTATGAAAATGCGCTCATGTCTACTAAGCACAAAGACGTATCAAAAATGTGTTAGTCAACGTACGAGACTCTTGACTTTTGACATAAAAATGTTGGTAGAATAATGCACTAGGTAACGTAGCGGATATGTACTTATATACTTTCTTACAAATGTAAAAAAGTTCATGAAAATCTATGAATATATTATTTCTGTCTTTCTTTACGTCTAATCTTCGTTCAGTAGTAGGTCTACTTAACATTCATTATTTAATATTAATCATCAAACACGTCTACGAGCAACGGTATACATAAATACTATTTTAACCCACTTTTTCTTCAACAACGTATCTTATTGTATTTGAACAAAAAAAATTAAAGTGGAATCAAAAATTTTCAATGTCAGTTTTAAAATAAAAATTTTATTATTTGATTAATTTCTGGGAAACATTATCCACATACCATTAAAATAACTGATAAAAACAATAAATAATATAAAAAAAATATATTAATTTGCAACAAAGAGATATAATTAAAAGTAAATAAACAATTTAATGATACCATTAATCATATATTGTTTAATTTTTAGGGAAGGTAACGATCCAGAAGATTATTCTCGATTAACTTACCGAAAACTACTTGAAGAAACATGTCGTTTTGCCAATGTCCTTAAGTCCAAAGGTGTTCAGAAAGGTGATCGAGTAGCTATTTATATGCCAATGATTTTGGAGCTTCCAATTGCAATGCTCGCTTGTACAAGGATTGGTGCCGTCCATAGTGTTGTTGTAAGTTTAATTCTTTAAATGTAATAAAATTTACAAAAAAACTCTAGAACCCACGAACTTTAAACAATAAAATAAAACCAAATTAAGAGCATGTCATTAAGATAAAAAAAAATATTATCAGTATTAATATTTATACTAACTTCATATTCATAACAATCAGCTTATCATATGCTGAACCATCATCAGCAGTTGTGCTTAATTATCACATATAGTTTTACTAATTTGATTATCTTTTTGAAGTTTGCAGGATATTCATCAGACGCATTAGCAGAAAGAATGATGGATTCAAAGGCCAAGGTTTTAATAACAACAGATGGAGTTTGGCGAGGTTCCAAACTTTTAATACTGAAAGCAATTTGTGATGATGCAATGAAGAAAGTGAAGGAAAAGAGTCATGAGGTTGAATCCTGCATCGTAGTGTCTCATCTACGACGAGTGACAAGCCCTCAGGGAAGCACATTAGATGGGGGTGAGAATGCAACTTTTCGCTTTCGAAATGAGATTCGATTTACGGTACGTAAATCGACTGAGAATGATTTGTACAAGTGTGTCGGTTAAAAATAGATATTTGGTTGATTTTAGAAAAAGGAAAACACGGGATAAACGGGTCCAGTAATGGAAATAATGAACCAAATATTCCATGGGACGAAGACCGAGATTGTTGGTGGCATGAAGAAATGGAAGATGCCGAAGCCAGTTGTTATCCAGCTTGGATGGCAGCTGAAGATCCTTTATTTATTCTTTACACTAGGTAAATCTTCGATACTATTATATACTGATTCATTATAAGAATATAATGTCATTAAAATAATAAAAAAATTATATTTTAGTGGCTCGACTGGTAAACCAAAAGGTGTTCTCCATACTACAGCTGGCTACTTGATCTATGCTGCCACAACATTTAAATATGTTTTTGATTATAAACCCAATGATATTTACTGGTGCACTGCAGATATTGGCTGGATTACTGGACATACATACGTTGTTTATGGACCCTTAGCAAATGGAGCAACTTCAGTCTTGGTAAGCAGCCAGCTTATTTTTAAAATAGTAGAAATAACTAAAAAACAATTGAGTTACAAGACAGAACAATGATTAATGAATATAAAATAATTTGCTCTAGTTTGAAGGAACTCCATTTTATCCTGAAAATGATAGATTTTGGAAGGTAATTGATAAATTCAAAGTGACTCAGTTCTACACCGCACCTACAGCCATTAGGAGTCTAATGAAATTTGGCGATGATTTAGTAAAAAAATATGACCTCAGCAGTTTGAAGGTACAGTATTATTATTAAATTATTTTTTTTGGGAAAAACTTTCCTTTTAAGGAAAAATGAAAAATCAATCATTCTTACAGGTTCTTGGCTCAGTGGGTGAACCAATCAATTCTGAAGCTTGGCTATGGTTCTATAACTTAATTGGACATGGCAAATGTAGCATTGTTGATACATTTTGGCAAACAGAAACTGGAGGTCATGTTATAACTCCACTGCCGGGAGCAACACCAATGAAACCCGGATCAGCAGTAAGTGTCCATAAATAAAATAATTCAAAGTTCCACAATTAAGTGAAGGCTTAATTTGAATTAACTGACTAATTTTAGAGCTTTCCATTTTTCGGAGTACGTCCAGAATTATTAGATGAAGACGGAAAATTAATTGAAGGCGAAGGAGAAGGATATTTAGTCTTCCGGCAGCCTTGGCCTGGAATGATGCGATCACTTTATAATAATCATGAGCGCTTCCAAACTACTTATTTTGATAAATTCCGTGGATTTTATTGCACTGGAGATGGTACGTTATATAATGAAATACTTTTCTAGTTTTATAAGAATCACTCGACAAATTCTTGAATATTCATGTACTTTTTTTCTTCTTTTTTTTGCTTTTCTTTTTATTAACATCATTATTATTATTACTCTCTTCTTGTGTCAAAGCCAAAGGATTTCTAAACATTTCTCCAACATACTTGGCCGCTTTTCCTAATTCTTCTTCAATTCTTAATATTTGGTTGTATTTCGAAATTCTTTCTCCTCTACAAAGTCCACCGGCTTCAAATTGTCCTGATCCCAATCCGATCGCAAAATCAACAATAAAATTATCTTCAGTTTCACCATATCCTGAACAAACAACGCTGGACCACCCGCTCGCTTTTGCTAGTTTGAAACAATCAATTGCTTCAGTTATTGTACCAATTTGAGGCAGTTTTATTGCCAAACAATTAGCTGCACCATTTTCTATAGCTTCTTCTACCTTTTCATTATTCATTGCCGTCAAATCATCCGCTACAATCTGAATTGATTGATTTGATAACAGGGGCCAGCTATCCCAATCTTCTTGATCAAATGGATCTTTTAAAGATATTATTTGTGGAAATTCACCTAAAAGTTCTTGATATTGCTCAAGTAGAGCTTCAGGTTCTAAATAGTCATCAGGATCTGTTTCTTCTGTCTTATATTCAAGATCATACTGTCCTGCAACAGTTAAATTAAAAGTTTTTTATGTACGAACAAAAATTTTAATTCATAAGTGGATAGAATTTATAGCTAGAAAATTATGATATTCATCATTATCAGTTAAGTAATTGATGATAATGATTATGGAAAAAAATTCTACAAGTACATTTGCAATATACTTATTACTTATCAATTAAAATATCGATAAATTTTATCAGTTATTAACTAAACAGCCTTCATGAGCAAATCTAATAAAATTTAAAAAAATACTTTACCATCTTTGCAGAATGTACTTGCTGATATGTCAAGAGCTATTTTCACTTTATCTTCATAGCCTGTAACTTTTATGGCATCAACAACGGTAGCTAATGCTTCTGTATTCTCTTCGAAATCAGGATGAAAACTTCCATCGTCACCTACAGTTAACGGAAGTTTTAGTTCCGCATTCTCAGCTATTTGGTTTTCTACAGCTCGGTATACTTCAGTGCCAATTTGCATAGCCTCTTTGAAAGATTTAGCACCTAAAAGCATTTGAATTTTTTTCAATAAAAACAGAAAATCAGATGGAATATTCTGCAAGATTTTGTTAAAATGCAATAAATATAAACCTGTAGGCATAATCATAAATTTTTGAAATGTCAGTGGATTTCCTGCCAATTTTCCGCCACTGATAACATTGAATATGGGAACCGGAATGACTGGTTGGCTTCCTGCCATATTACTGATATATTTGTACAATGGAATACCTCGTTTGATAGCTCCAGCTTTACAACAAGCCATAGACACTCCTAAAATGGCGTTTGCACCAAGTTTTGATTTATTGTCCGTCCCATCCAATTTTGCCAGAAACGAGTCAATATCTTGCTGCTGACAAACTTCCAATCGACTTTTTATCAAATTCGGTGCGATGATGTTGGTAATATTATCAATAGCTTTAAAAACTGTACGTCCATTGAATTTTGAATCATCATTATCTCGAAGATCAAAGCCTTCAATTGGATTTGTTGGTAGATTATACGGTACTGAAGATCTCAAAAGGCCAATGTCAGTTATTAGATCAACTTCCAATGTAGGTTCACCTCTAGAATCAAATATTTGACGAGCTTTAATTTTTTCGATTGGCATTATCAGTTTTTAATTTAAAAAAAATAAAAAAACTAATTAATATTTTTAGAAACATTAAAATCATGTATAAAAATAGCTGAGAAATTCTTTTGTTTTTTATTTTTATCTTCTCTAAAATTTATATTTTTTCTAGGAGCAAGACGAGACTCTGATGGATACCTTTGGATAACTGGCAGAATCGATGATATGTTAAATGTCTCTGGTCATCTAATGTCAACTGCTGAAGTAGAAAGTGTTTTAGCTGAACATCCTTCTGTTGCTGAAGCTGCAGTTGTTAGTAAACCACATCCAGTAAAAGGACAGTGTCTCTATTGCTTTATTACGCCCAATGAGGGGAAAACCTTCGATAAAACTTTACAAGATGAACTTAAAAAGAAAGGTCAGTATTAAAAATAATAACAGTATGGAAATAATAATGCCGGAAATAATAATATATTGATATTTAATTAAAGTGAGAGAAAAGATTGGACCTTTTGCACAACCTGATATTATTCAACACGCACCAGGACTACCAAAAACACGCTCAGGAAAAATTATGCGACGAATTTTAAGAAAAATTGCAATTGGTGATAAAAATGTAGGAGATACATCAACTCTAGCTGATGAAAGTATCGTCGATTTACTTTTCCAACTGAGGCCACAAAACTAGATTAATAAATAATTTAGCAACTTAGATAAAGAATTAAAGTCTAAAGCACCACCAAGTTTAGAATGATCAAAAGCATAATGGGCTGAACATGAGAAAAATAAATGCCTATGTTTTGTTATGTACAACTTAATTTCTTCCTGGTAAATATTTTTAGACTGTTGAGAAATCTATTGCATAAAAAAATAATTTAAATAACTTGCTCAGAGGCTGATTTGTTAATTATATATTTTTTTGATTTTATTTTTTATACATTTGAATTACAAAGTAATAATGAATAAGAAAGTAAAAGATGAAAGTATTGTCGTGAAATGAATAATATAGTAATCATTTAAAAATCTAAATAAAAAATAAAAAAAAACGTTGGGAATAATGTTTTATTTAGGGTATAAACAATTTATGGAAAATTATAGAGAAACATAAAAAATTGGGGAGAATTGTTAAAAATATTAGTTGAATGTAGATGCACTAATGCACGTTATTTTTAAAAATTTTAAACGAAATAACAAAAAAACTATATAACATGAATGCTTATATGTGTTTATAAATTGAATAAATATATTAAATAAACAAATCTACGTTGTTCATGAAAATTCTTATTGACGTGAACAACGTGTCTGATACATATCATTTTGTGGAACAAAAGAATATCTAGATATAACTAATATAAGAAATATTATATAATTAAGAAAAAGATGAAGGAAAATATTAAAATTAATTATATTATTGAAGAATAAATCTTAATGATTAATTAATGAATGTTGACATCTATATGTATATAAAACATGTTGAATTTTGAGTTATCATCAATATATTTCGTTGAATCATCAGAATAATGTGTTATTTATTGTATTATTGGCAAGAAGTTTCTTTAAATAAAAATCAATTCCAACATAATTCTTCTTTATCGTTATATTAACTAGAATAAAAATCTTCAAGGTCACAAGCACCTTTCTGATCAATGAAAAAGGGGCTGTTCATTCTGTCAATAAAACAAGATGGAGCAATCATCGTTTTTTACTACTTCAACAGCTGAGAACTCCGGAATCCCTCAGTTGTCAAGGTGCTGTTGAATAGTGAAGTTCTTTTCATTTTTAGTTGTTCCTCATTCTAATTTCATAATGGGTATTCAGAATTATTATGATGTTGCTTTAAACCTCGTAAAACAGTCTGGTGCAGTAAGTTCATCATCGTAAATTTTTTCATTCATAATTAATTTGAATGAGTTGGTAATTAAATTATGTAGCAAAAGTCGATGCTCTAATTCTTTAAAAAATAAACGTACAATGTTTTTTAAATACATGGTTTCACATGAGTTATTATCATTCTAATATGAAGGCTGCAAAACTTTTCATACATAATTTAATTATTGATTCTCTAATAAAAATCGACTATTAGAAGCGTTTTTTCATTTTTAACAAGAATAAGTTGACCAAATATTCATTGTTTTAGTATATTCGTGAAAGAATAAATAGCCCAAAAGATGTGTCAATGAAGAGTTGTGATGTTGACCTTGTCACAGAATGTGATGAACATGTGGAAAAGCTGTTTATGGACGGAATTACCAAAGAATTTCCTGATCATAAGTAAACATTAAATTAACAAACTAATCTTTCTCTACCATTACAAAAAAATTCCACGTAAAATTAATTCATTTGTTTATCTAATACAATTAGATTTAATTTTATATTGTGCCGAGTAGGTCAGTTGATCTATCCTTGTCACTCTTAAATTGATAAGCATAACTGATATCATGAATTATTAAGCACATTTGTGAGACAAACGTATAATGAATCATTAATATAATATAACATTTTAATTGAATTGATAAGGTTTATTGGTGAGGAAACTACAAGTTCTGGAAAAAAAGTTGAACTGACAGATGCTCCAACATGGGTAATAGATCCAATAGATGGTACTATGAACTTCGTTCATACATTTCCTCATACATGCATATCAGTAGCTCTTTTAATAAATAAAGTTATTGAAATTGGTATTGTCTACAATCCTGTTCTTGAACAACTGTTTACTGCAAAAAAGGGAGAAGGTGCTTTTTTTAATGGAAAACGTATCAAAGTGTCTGGAGAAAAAGGTATATGATACTTAATGATTTATTCCATTATAAGTTGACATATAGATAAGATGAATGATAATTACTAATATATTTACAGACATTAGCAAAGCTCTTGTCATGATAGAAATGGGTACAAGCCGAGATCCGGAAAAAATGGAGGTTGTATTAGAGAACACAAAAAATATGATTTCAAAGATCCATGGGTAAGTTATAAAAATTAGAATATGATTCTACAGCTAAAGTATCTGCAGAAACATTAAAATGTTTTTTCATTATTAACCATAATGATCAAATGAATATAAATAATGCACATGATCACTGTTTTAAAATACGTTAGTTCATTCACAAAAAATTTGTTATATTTAGAATGCGAACACTTGGATCAGCAGCTTTAAATATATGCATGGTAGCACTAGGAGGAGCTGATGCAAATTTTGAATACGGACTTCATATATGGGATTTTGCAGCTGGTGATTTAATTGTTCGAGAAGCTGGAGGTGTTTCTATGGATCCAGCTGGTAAATTAATGATAATAATAATACAGATAATTATAATCACACATTTTTTTAAAACTCAGATATTTGTTTAATACTATTTTATTTTTGAAATATTTAACGCATTAGTAACGTTACATCTTTGTAACAAATATTTCTGATGTTTTATCTACTTTAATAGTATAATTTGATGTTGATAATTTTATAGGTGGACCATTGGATCTCCTAAGTAGACGATATTTATGTGCTTCTTCGAAAGAGTTAGCTGATCAAGTATCAAGTTTACTTGTTCAATATTATCCAGAAAGAGATTGAAGAGAAAAACTTAAGAGTGTTGACAATATTTCCATAATTTTAACGAGACGAATGAGAATGAAACGATAGGTACAAAAAAAAAAATTATATAATATATATTATGTAACTATGAAATTTCTAGTCTGATATATTGTGATGTAGGTATTTTAAACTGTGGTTGCTGATTTTTTTGATTCTTCGTAAAAAAAAAACTATTCAATTTTCCTTGTACTTGGATATTTCAAAATACCATACTTATGTGAGTGCGCGATTCAACTTCAATAAAGTTATTAAAAAAAAAGCTGAATAACCAAATCGTATTTACTTGTAATGAAAATCCAACGCCGACTTCATTTCTTATGAAACATTTTATAGTATGCAGCTAATTGCTTTTTACTATGTAAATTATAGCAATTATATAATCCCGTAAACAATAACATTTCCATTATACGTATATTGATCTGAAAACTCATAATTACTATAATTAGATCATATACAACAACGTTCAGGTATATTTTTTAAGTCACAATTATCAGTTTATGTGAATAACTTAATTTCATTTTACCTTATATAAATCAAATTAACATATTATAGACCAACATTGTGACTTTTAAATTATACCTGACGGGAAATTCTCTAAGTATTTTCACTATAAATATCAAATATGGCTTACCTGTACACGAGAATACTTACAAAATTCCGAAATATAAACGTCATAATTGGACAAACCTGCGCTACATAAGTGTTTTGAGGGACGATTCATTCGAAGTAATTTCAGTAGTTGGCCTTTGGTTGGATCTCGAATCATCAAAGACGTGGTAATAAGTTCTCACTCCTGAATTCCTCATCCACAGCCTCCCCTCCTTTCAGGGAGGGCTACAAGTGAAAACATTACCAAATAGCCAATTAGAAAAATCACGTCATCAATCGCCATTTTTGTGTCTGAATTTTTGTCATATCTTAATATTAATTTTTCGGTAATTTATCAAAAAAAGAATTTAATATAAATCAAGTAAATAAATAATTTTAAAAAATTTTATCGTTAGGAAACCCTGAAGAAAACATCCATATCCCTAGTGGTTGGCATTCCCAACAGATGGGAGAAGCCAATTATCTTGTTATTTAATTCCCGTGATAAAACATTTATATACCCTAACGCGCAACACATCTTGCCCGCTAAAAAAGTGAAAATTCGAAAATTGGATATACTAAATATCCCATAAGGCAGGCTCCAAGAATACCTTGCAACGGGATCGGTGCTAGTAACCCTTGCTAAGTCCGCCCGCACACTTAATCGTCATTGGAGAATTAATTGAAGACTCATCTGAAACATAAGCAGCCTCGTACAATCTTGCTTATTACCAGGCAAAAACATAGCAGGTATCAGGTTTTTTTTAGGAATCGTAACAGCTCGGATATAACATAGTAATTGTGCATAGACATTAATTTAAAAAAAAAAAGAAAAAGGTATTTTACGATAAGAAAGCATTAAAAGAAAGTGTTATCCGTGCTGTTATTGTATTCAATATATATGATGTAAAGACAATAAATATTAAATTAAATAAGAGTAAATAAATATAAATAAAATGAAACAACTTATTTGAATTCGGGGCTTTTGTTTACTTCCTAAACCTTCTCCGTATATGAATCTTTCAAGCATTAATTGTTTTATTTCAGCTACAGTCATCCTATTTACTATACAATTTTTTCTTGATTTGTTAGTACACCAAATTCCTGTCATAAATTTATTTCAACTATTTTTCCTATTTTTGTCAATCGTCATGAGGTTGAAAATTAATTAATTAATTATAAATGATTATTATATGAAAATGATTGTGTATTGAAAATTGATTGTGTAAACGCGTGTACCTAGTATAGATTAAATCTATATTTCGTTCTCTTTAAAATATTTATCTAACTAAGAAATAAAAAAGTGACTGTCTAGCCAGTGATTTAAAAAATTAATTAATAATGTACAATTATAATTTTTTATGGTACATTTACCAACAATTCATCTAAATTGTTTTAATTCCATCTTTGAGAATGCATAACACAGTCACTCAAGAATTGTGTCACATAATTTATAAGAGATGTTGAACGCTCGTGAAGCTTTTAACTATTTTTAATGATTCAAGATGACAGTAAAAATTGATCAGAAATTTAGTCTATATAATTTTATAACAGCAAAATTTGTGACAATAAGTAGAAAAATAACATCTCAATTATTTAACTTGATAAAATTTGTAAAAAGAACTCGGATAAAACAACAATTTAATTGCGTTTTTAATGAAAAGCATCTTGCGATCAGTCAAATAGCATTGCTTCGTCAAACCGAGTGTTCAATATGTACAAAATTTACGTTATTTCTCAACGAAATTAACTCCGTGTTCATAAGGTCCCCGGGATCTGGGGTTACCTAAATTTTTTCTTGTATAAATGGATGGGCCAGGGCATGGTTCACAGTTATTCTCTTTCCGGCGTCCAACATAAGTGTACGCTCCAGAAGATCCTTGAGCTGACCGACCTTTCGATTTTGCTCTGGAGGTAGTGAATTACCACCGAGCTCAGCACCAAGATCCCGCGTTGCAGAAAGTGATGACATTACAACTACTTTTTCCTGGAATTCATAGAAAAGTTTTCATTAATTTTAACATTTTTTGCACTATAAAGTTTCATTAGTTAACATTTGAATCGATATCTCTCTAGTAATTCAATTTTTGTATTCAATAAGAAATTGAAAAAGTTATTTATCTAAAATTTACTTCTTGTTTGAGTGATAAAATATTTTCAAAAATAGTTTTTATCAATGCATAAAAAATAGACTTACGTCAAAAAATTTCAGATGATTTCTAGCTATAGATGATTAATAAAAGACAATCGTAACTTACCCGTTCAGTAACTTTATCAACCTCGTGGTAAAGGAAATTGCAGCTAGAATCAAAATGCTGCTCCTTAAAAGTTCCTTTTCTTATGAGTTTGTTCGGCATCTTGCCTTTGAGATCCATGAAGAACTTTAACATTTGATTATTTGTTTTCCCCGAAAACATGATTTTGCCAGTGTATAATTCATATATGGTACATCCGACAGACCACATGTCAATGCCGAAATCGTAAGGAATACCAAGAACTAGAAAATGTTTGTGTCATCAATCAGTTCATTATTTAACTTTACATCAATTCAACCCATCGGCATATGATACGAATTTCCCAAAGTAATAGAAAAAAACTTATAGTGATATCAATAAGAAAAAATAAACCAAAGTTACAATCTGAGATACATCCAACATTCAAAGACACATTAAAAATATTGAAAGAAACTTACTTATTTCCGGAGCACGATAAAATCTTGATACAAGGTAAGGCGTTACTTCATTTTCATGTGCATGAGCTGCTGATCCAAAATCACACAACTTTAATACAAGTTTACTTTCGCTGACTAGAATATTGTCTGGTTTGATATCACCATGCAAAATATTAGCTCGTTTTAGCAATTTTAGGGCAAGAAACAGCTGTTGCGTGTATGAGCGTACAGCTTTTACATGCAAACCAACATCTTTTCCGTATTTTTTTAAAACCTGAAAAATTTAATTCTGTTAATATATCGTATATAACATAATTTAATTCATTTTTTATAAAAATTTGAATCATTCCAATATAATACTATGACTTACCTCTCTTAAATTCATAGCAAGAGGTTCAAAAACCATACATAAATGATTTTTATGAAAAAAGTGACGGAATAAACGAAGGCAATGAAAACGATCTTCTGGATCAGCATCATTGAGCTTTCGAAGTATTTCAAGTTCTTTTAATCCTGTCCTGTGCCTGTAATTAACAAAAAGATTTCACAAATAGACTGTGTATTTAATTTATGACGTCATAATCAACCTTATTAATATTATTGATTGGAAGATTAAACCTACATGATTTCGTTATTTCTGATAATTTTTACAGCAACATCTAAATTTCCTCTAGCTGTATCTCTTGCTCTCACGACGTTACTAAATACTCCTTGACCCGTGTATCCATAGACAACGTACCGATTATCAAGAGTTTCACCAACACGAACTCTGATAAAATTTTTGTAATTTACTTCATTAAATTTACTCAGCTTTTAGCATTAATAGAAATATCTTACCGGTAGTATCCTTCTGCATCGTCCCAATTGTCAGTTAAACTGGGGTTTTCTGGACCACCTATTCTCTTTCCTTCAACCGTTGGGCTCTATTTAAATAATAGAAAAAAATATTAATAAAAAAAATTTTTTTTTATCAATTATTAAAACTTACATTAAAATCTCCAATATTATCAGCTTCTGCAAACATATCCCACTCATTTGCTTTTTTCACCACAACTTTTTCTTCTTTTTTTTCGTTCACTGGTGGTTCTTCTTGTTTCTCACTAGGCAGTTCATCGAATCTTGACTTTCTTTTTTTTGCCAACAGTTGAACTTTTTCTTTATCTGGTAAAGGTGGAGTATGACTCTCTACAATTTCTTTATTATTATTTACAACTTCTTCTGTTTTTACAACAGAATTAGGTTGTGAATTATTACGAGGAGACTTGGAATTAACTGGCATATCTACAGACATATTAGAATCTTCAGTCGGACCACCAAGTCTCTTTAACAATTCTTCTCTTTGTTTTCTACGTCTCTCAATAATGACTTCTTCATCTTCTTCTTCTTCAATATCAATATCTTGTAACTCATTTTCACTTGAACTGTCAGATCTATCAACTTTTAAACCTTCAGAGAGCGAATCTTTGTATTTATCTCCTCGTTCTCGTTTCCCGTTTTTCTCTCTTTCTCTATCGTCTCGATTATACCGTTCACGATCTCTTCGACTTCTTGATAGTGATCGAGATCTTCTGTATCTATCATTTCGTTCACGATCACTTCGATGCCGCATTGGACTTCTTGATCGTCTTAAGCTTTTTGAACGTTCACGAACTTTATCATGATTCCGACTATTTCGACGATCACGACTGCTAGCTCGTTCTCGAGCAGAAATATGACGATCTCTACTAACATGCCTATCTCTACTCTCTCTTTTATCTCGACTATTTTGACGATCTCTACTTGCTAGTCGTTCCCTACTAGTAAATCTTTCTCGACTATGTCTTTCTCTACTTGAATGACGATCACGATTCTCTAGTTTTGATCGATACTTAGATTCTTCTTTTACATCACAACTTTTAGAATCATTTCGTGACTTCGATAAATGATGTTCTATTTCACGTTTTCGATCTTCTTCTCTACTCTCATGATCTCGCTTTCTTTCTTCTCTTTTTACAGACTCTCTACGTCGCTCTTCTTCTATCCGTTTCCTTGATTCTTCTCTTCTCGCTTCTTCTCTTGTTTTATCAACGATTTTTCTTGTAGACTTTTCAGATTTTTTCAAATCTTCTTTTTTTAACTCATCAGATTTAATTTTGTCTTCACGCTTTTTATCAATTTCACGTCGTTTGTCAATTAAATCTTGTTTAGATTTTTTATCACGAACAGCATCAGCTATTACACGTCTCTCATTAAGTTTGTTAGTTTTTTTCCGTTCTCGACTTTCGCTTCTACTTCTATGATGTTTCTTGTGTGGTTTTAATTCTTCCGCACTATCATCCTCAACGAGAATTACATCAGGAGTTATACTTCTTTTAACTACTTCATCAGATTCAAGTTCTTTATCTCCTTTATCGGATTCGTCAGAAAGATATTGCACTAAACAAGCTTGTAACCGTTCCTGAAACATAGAAGTAAAAATGAATACTAATTAATTTATAAATTTGTTCATACATTAAATATTAATTTGATTTTTTAATTATCGGTCATACTTTTTGTTTCATTAATTCTTCTAAATCAATATCATCTTCAATTATTGTGCAATCAACTTCGTCGGAATCCAAATCGACAAGTTTTTCATCTTCACTTTCAGTAGAAGGAATTTCCATTACTGTATCATCCACTTTACCATTAATACTAGGCTCTTTTACAATTATTTTAGTTTTTTCTTCCACAACAGTGCCATTTTCTGATTCTCGTTCTTTTCGAGGCCTTTTATGTTTTTTGTGTTTTTTCCTAGAGTCACATGATAAACATAATAAAATTATCGTATGTTCAAATTGGACAATCTAATTTATCAAACATTACACAAAATACTCACCTATCTCTGTCAATTTTTATGTCATCTCGATCCTTTTCAATAGCTCGGTCTTTTTTATGTTTATGATGTTTGTGCTTTCTCTTCTTCTTCTTTTTCTGATCAATGAGATCCACATCTTCATCTCCACTATGTATTTCATGTTTATAATCCACATATTCCAAATCTGATGATCTAAAAAGCCAAAAGAAAAAAAACCCATTTAGCAAGTGAAAAAACTCCACTTGATTTATTTTTATGTGTATAAAATTATGCAACAGAAGAAATGTATGTGTGCAAATAGAAAAAAGGGTCAAATCATGGTACAAATTTTAAAATATACTTGTTATTAGCTAAGCCGGGCAACAAAGAAGTTCATTATAAATAACAATAATGATTGTTTTATAACTCTTTAACCAACAGAATCTATTAGTAAATAATGAGAAATTTCTGGACTAAAAGGACCCATCGATAAAACTTGGCAAAGCATTTTTCTTACAAACAATTGTAAACACGTTAAATAACATGTAATGTAAAATTTAGTTGTGTTGTAAGCTTAATTATTAATGTTAACATAAATAATAGCACACTGATACTTACCCCATTTTAAAAAGTTTAATGATTTCTCAAAATAAAATGAATGTAATTATTTGTTTCGAAGCGACGAATATTTGTACCACTCGTTGAACTCAACTATTCAACGCCATCTTGTCACGATCGCCATCTTGTTCTTAGCATACGTCACAATCGTTCAACACCTCTATTTGATTGCTAATTTATTTGCAAGCAAAGATGTCATTTTATATTTGTTCGAATATATTATAAATAACTTGTTACTGTAAATACATACTACAATAAAATACATTAATGGTATCAAAAACTATCAGTCATAAATGTAAATAATGGTAATTAATTGATGCCTCAAATAGAAAACCGTGAAGTTAGATTAGGTTATTAGATCATGTTAACAACATGACCGAGCCAAAACTTTTTGCAAGCCTTGAAACTGCCACCTGTAAAATTTAAACGCACAAATTTTAAATGAAATATTTCTCAGAAGAGTAATTTTAATTAAGAACGCAATAATTAACAATTGATAATTGATGAATGTCAGAAAATTCATATTATCGTGATTAATTTATTGATTAAATATCAAATAAGTAAAATTAGAAATTACTATATAGTAATTGCAACTTTTGCTTTATTATTATTATAATTTTAGTTTTGGTCGATTTTTAAAAAAAAAATTATAGAAATAAACCTGACGTTAAATTTTAAGATAAAATATACTCACAAAAGAAATAAAGGATTTATTATTATTTATCAATGAAAAGTTTCACCTTAGAAATTACTTAATGAAGGTATAACGAAGAAGTCATTAAATTTGATTTACCTTCATTGATAACACTGAAAAAAACAAAAAAAAATAATGACAGGTAATGTACAACAAACTTGTCTATATATTTTGCTGGTGCTCTAATCTTTCATAATACAATTTTTAAAAAGTATTTATGACTTTTCAGAATTATTATAAAAATTCCTAGATTATGAATAGCTCTGATAACACTAAAATTAAATCAATTTAAACACTTCACATTATGATTCACAACTATATGGTTTCATTATCATTTTTAGACAGATGAATACTTCAAGCTTACGATTTAGGAATTAAAATGATAAATTCGGCCGTCTTATCATGCTGATATCAATCTGATGATAAAATTGAATATCGTATAAAATATATTGAAGGCTAGATGTTTAAAAGGATGATTATTCAGAGAAAAAATAGTATCAATTCCGGTGTTCAATCAACTTGTTGACTAACAACAATGTCCGATAATGCTTGCAAAAAAGAAGATTTTTTTAATAGTTATTTCAACGAATTAGATGAATACCATAGTGATAGTGAAAATGAGGACAGCAAAAATGAAGAGTATACTGATTTTATAAATACACTATTATCATTATCAAATGTTCCAATAAAACTATTGATGTGAATCTTTTACAGAAATGCCAATGAAATTTATAGTTGGGATCTCTTCCGTGAATTCCCAAAAACGACTAAAATTGGATCAATGGAAGATATGACTTTATATGAATATTCATTGAAAGCAATCAAAATTTTAACTTATTTGGTGTTATTTATGTTAATTCTTTGTGGAGGATTTTTTTCTAGAGCAACTATTTTGCTTGCATCCTCTCAGATTGGACCAAAGCATATCATGCAGTACTGTGAATACCATCATCTAAGTGAGTGAATCAATGATATGATAACGTAAAAATTATATCAATTTCATTCTTAGAGTTCACTAACTTACTATTTTACAGATAAAAATATAACTACCATGAAAAATTTTATTATCGACATATCAGAAGAAGGAAAAATTATGTGGTATTGGTGTATATTGATAGCTTTTTGTATACCAGAGCTAGTAACAAGTAGTAATACAATTTATCATTTACTATTTAAAAAGAAAAAATTTCCAAAAATGTGGGATCTTTCGTTTGTATGTTTTCTCGAAGGCTTTCATGCTGCAGCTATAGCAGTACTTTTTTTAGTAATTCTTCCTGAGCTTGACTCGGTTTTAGCTGTAATAGTCAGTAGTTGTATCTATTTTGTGCCTACAATTCTTGGTAAATATGATCTATAATTCTCACTTAATATTTTTCTTCATGTAATGAAAATTTAATTTTCTTTCAACAGGTCTCTTTTCACGTAATAGACACGATAAAGTGGGCCATCATTTTATTGTTGCAATTGTAGGAGATGTAATAATACTCATAATTCAAATCTCATTTATTGTTCTTCTACTTTGTTTTAATCAGACTAGATCCACTATCAAGTGGCTGTTACCTTTAACACTTGTAATTTGCTCATTGCGATGGTGGTCTAATTATATTTCATCAAAAAGTTCCTTCAGTATGTTTTTTAATTTAAACGTTTATGAATATTATAAACATTTTATTTTATAAATAGTTATATTTTTTATAGAAATCATTCAATTCCTCTGCCGCATCAAAGAAAGATTGGAATTAAGTCGTGGTGTTGTGCAAGGAATCAGTGCAATTTTTCGAATATTAATTTTTTTCGGAACTACACTTATTATCATTTATTTGAAGGATTTAAGTCTCAAAAATTTTTTAACTACATTTCCAGGACAATTAATGTATAATGTAACTATCAAAATACCTCAAGATGATCTCTCTAATAATAGTGTATCAAATATAATTGGATATTACATGGCTTCTTCACATGTAGTATTACTCGTGTTATTGATTCATGCTGTAGCATCAATAATTACTTTTTCAACCAGTAAGAATTCTTATAAATAATATTTCATTCATTATCTTTTAACAAAACTGAATAAAACATTTTTCCAGGTAAATTTGCTATTAGAGCATTAATGCAATCGTTTGGATTCGCACTGCCTGTTAGTCTGATAGTTCCAGTGACTAATATTTTACTTCTGATCTTCTGTATTGTACAAAAGAATGATCCTTGTGTTTTAGTTAATTATATTCCAGATCATCTATTTTTTAACTCTCCTGAATATGACACTTTGATGGATGCCTTGTCTCAGTGGCAATGTTGGCTTTGGATACTCATGTTTCTATCTCAGATATGGCTCACTACACACATCTGGATTCCTCATTGTGAAAGACTTGCAAGTGAAAAACGTATTTTTGCAGTCTATTCATATGACTCGTTAATAATTGATCAGTCGTTAATACTTAATCGACGAAGAGATCTTTTAAATGACTCTTTAAATCCAGAGGTTGGTATTTAAAATTTCTACACATCAATGAATTGCATAATTTAATATTTGTATATTAGGAGTCAGGTAAACAGAAAGAAAGCTTTGAAGGATTCTCAGAAATATTTTCTAAAAGAACGTCATCTGTCATTAAACCTAAAGATAAAATAACTAAAGTATTTGCGTGTGCAACTATGTGGCATGAAACAAAAGACGAAATGATGCAGTTTATCAATAGCATTTTGAGATTAGACCTTTGTCAATCAGCCATGAGATTTACTTTGAAGCAGTATAAAATTCCAATTAATGATTACTTTGAGCTTGAAGGTAGGTATTGAAGTCTTTGTTAAAAATATCAATAACACTTTCATTTAAATTGATTAATAGCTGCTATTAATCATTGATAACATCTTATTACTTTGTCAATAAAAAAATTGTCTTTTATTTCAGTACATATCTTTTTTGATGATGCTTTTCGGTGTATGCATGGCTGTGAAACCGTTTGTGATCATCATGAAGATGAAACCCGAGTTAATGACTACGTAAAAACATTTATAGAAGTATTTAAAAAGTCTGTTGAAAGGCTTTGTATATGTGCATATCCACCGACAAAATATCCAGCTCCATATGGAGGTGTGCTTGAATGGATTCTTCCAGGAAAAAATAAATTAATCGTTCATCTGAAAGATAAAAATAAGATCCGTCATAGAAAACGGTGGAGTCAGGTAATTACGACATTAATATGAGTTTAAAAAGAAGCCGACATTTATAATCAGATTATAAATAAGATAAAAATTTCAAACGGCAGGTCATGTACATGTATTACTTACTTGGTTATCGATTAATAAGTCAACCGATCCACTTAAGCCGGAAAGAGATAATAGCAGAAAATACTTTTATCCTGACCCTGGATGGAGACATTGACTTTCGACCTAATGCATTAAAAGTTCTTCTTCATTTGATGAAAAGAGACAAAGATCTAGGTGCCGCATGTGGTCGAATTCATCCTATTGGTTCAGGTCCTATGGTTTGGTTCCAAAAATTTGAATATGCAATCGGTCACTGGCTTCAAAAATCAACTGAACATACAATTGGTAGTGTTTTATGCAGCCCAGGCTGTTTTTCTCTTTTTCGAGCCAAGGCATTGATGGAAGACAATGTAATGAGACGATATGCCACCAAGTCAGAAGAAGCGAAACATTATATCCAATATGATCAAGGTGAAGATCGATGGCTATGCACTCTTGTTTTGCAATCTGGATATCGAGTTGAATATTCAGCAGCTAGCGATTCATACACACATGCTCCAGAAACATTCAATGAATTTTATAATCAACGTCGGCGTTGGATTCCATCAACTATAGCTAATATTTTTGATTTATTAAGTAATTCGAAAGAAACTAGGAAAGTTAATGAAAATATATCATGGTTATATATTTCATATCAATGGGTTTTAATGGGTACTGTTCTTTTCATTAAGAAAAGTTATGAAAATTTCTATTAGAAATCTAGAATATTTTTTTTTTCAGGAAGTACAATCCTAGGTCCAGGAACAATCTTTATGATGCTTGTAGGAGCTTTTATAGCTGCTTTCAAAATTGATAATTGGTCTAGCTTTTCTTACAACTTGATACCAATTATGATATTTGTAATAATTTGTTTTACTTCAAAATCTTCAATTCAACTTATAGTCGCTGCAATCATTTCTACAATTTATGGTTTAGTTATGATTATTGTTCTTGTTGGTATAATGATCCAAATTGCGGAAGATGGATGGTTAGCTCCGAGTACAATTTTATTCCTTATTGTTGTGGGACAACTTGTTATTGCTGGTTTGTTACATCCACAAGAATTGTCATGTCTTCTATGTGTTGTAATTTACTACATCACTGTTCCATCAATGTATTTATTACTTATTATTTATTCGATTTTCAACGTAAATAATGTTACCTGGGGTACCCGGGAATCCAAAGCTGATATTCCAACTAAACAAAATTCATCACAAAAAGATAGTCAATCTTCAGAATCAAATAAACCTAAACTTTTTCGAAAAGAATCACTGAATTCTTCATTTGCTTATTTTTTCAAATGTTTGTGTTGCATGCAGAATAGAGATTCACATCAATCTGCAAAGCTCGATCGTATTGCTGAAACACTAAATAACATTGTTATTCGTATAGATGATTTAGAAAGGTTGGTATTAGTAATTAAATGAATAATGATGCATCTATTACGAGCTAAATGCCAAAATTTTTATATTATAGAAATATTCATAATGAAGTTCAACCATCAAGACATCAAATTCTGAATTCTCCAACAGTTAATCCTATGCATTCAGCCGAAACTGATGAAATATGTGAAAATGAACAAAAAAGTTCTGAGCACATTTCTGAATGTTCATCATCGATTTCTTCGAATGTAGAACCAGATAATGTGAGAGGAAGTAATTATCTTATAAGTCCGCATTGGATTCAAGATCCAGATCTTCGAAAAGGACAAGTAGAATTTTTATCTCATGAAGAAGAACTTTTCTGGAAGCAATTGATAAAAAAATATCTTCAACCACTTGACGAAGATAAAAAAAAGCTTGAAAAAGTAGCCAGTGATTTGAAAAAGCTACGTGATGAGAATCTGTTTAAATTTTTTATGATTAATGCATTATTTGTTTTTATAATTTTTTTGATGCAACTCAACAAAGATACATTGCATCTTCAATGGCCATTAGGAATTACATATAATGTTACTTATCACAAAGGAAGTACTATGGAGGTAATTTTTTTTGTTATTTAGTTTTTGATACGGGTGAATGAATTTTTTAAAAAATATTGACTTATTTCTTGCAGGTATATATAGAGAAAAATTATTTACGCTTAGAACCAATAGGTTGTCTTTTTGTTTTTGGATTTGGTTTGATACTTTTTGTACAGTTTATAGCTATGCTATTCCATAGATCCTATACTTTTATTCATTTGCTTGCAAATACTAATCTTAAATTACAATGTTCCAAAAAAGTAAGTAGTTGGGATTTTATAATAAATTTTTAGAGTTTTAATGTGTTCACTAAACATTTATTTTAAATTTCAGCCCAAAGATATCTTATCCGGCGATTTATTAGAAAATTACGTACAAGATATTGTCAAAGAATTACATAGACTCGCTGAAAACAATGCCAATCCAATATCTAATATGCATCAGTCACATTATATAGAACCACCTAAAAAACGGAATACAATTCATACATTACTAGAGAATCAAGGACTGCGTATGAGGTTGCCAACCAACTTTGATATGATATTTCGTCAAAATTTAAGATCTTCAAGTAAGCTCAAAGATTATCTCAAAAAAATATTTTTAAGTTAAAGAAATATCAAGTATTTTCTAGTGAATCCTATGATTGATTTCAGGAATTTCACGAAGAATATTCAGTACTTTTAATAACGGTCGTACATCGTCAATTATTGAACGGGAAATCAATGAAACATCAAAAAATAATTCAGCAGAAAGTTCTACAATCTATCAAAGTGTAGGAAGTGTAAATGGAGACTGTACTAATTCTTTCGGATATTCAAGAAATACTACTACTACCACTCCAAGTAGTTATGATAATCAAGCATTTGTATGTGAGCCAGAATGTTCGAACACCTCCCAATGTACTATAAAAAATACTATTGTTCATACATAGGATTTTTCATGAAAATTAGTTGATACTTAAAAAATTTTCATTTAATAACATAAATAAAAAAAAAATTTTCTCACCTTAATTTTATTTAATATCATAGATCTTGAAGTGATAAATGATCCTTTATATCAAGACAAGATATTTAATAGACTGCCCTTAATATACAATTATTGGATATTCTCTGATAAAAAAAAATTATTTTATTATATTGATAATTACAGTCGAATTTTCTTATAAAACTCAATTTTCTCTTCTGATCGATGGTAACACATAAACAACAGAATAAATGCAATTTCAGAACATATAATTTATTTTTTTTTGGGCCTTCACAGAAAGTAGCATTTCAGGTGAATGCTAGCCACTTGAAGTATCATGATCTTCAGCATTGTTAGTACTACTTTCTTCTTTAACTGCAACTGTATCTTCTGGTGTAGCTTCAGTATTTGAAGATGTTTCTTGTTCTTGTTTAATATCTTTACTAGACGTATCATCATTTAAAGACTCAGTTTTGTCTGTAATAAGCTCATTACATTGTGGCGTAAAATCTTGTTTAATTGAAGATGACCTTTTACGCATTTTCGGCTGTTTTGGAGGATAGTCCAATTTTTCTCTCTCATACATAAACGTTTTCCTTTGTCGTTTCGTTGGTTTACAAACTTTTTTGTATAATACTTTCATTTCCTTTATTTGGCTTGATGGTATCGTCCATTCCATTCCTGACGACGTGGTATCTGAATTTCGAGTGGGATCTTGATCACTTCTATATTCTGGAATTTCTAATCCTAACTTTTTCATAACGTTATTCATAACATCTTCAACATTTCCATTAATAACCAAATCTGCTTTTTTATCCTGAAAACAATGATTAATAATATATATATTTTTAAATAAAGGTTATAAATAATTTGAACCCTTACATGTTTTGTAGGCTGTAGATTACATATCACAAGTCGCCCTCCATATTTTTTGGTAGAGAGTGGAAGATTACCGCTAGGAATAATTTGCAGAGTGGTGCCTAAACAAACGCTCAAATCCGCTACACTAAAATGTTATATTCAACATATTAAGCATAATACTTTAACGAGTAATAACAACAATGGGTAGAGCAACATTTATTTACGGATTTATTACCTGGAATGAAGGTCCGATAATGTCAAATCGTTATCTGGCAGATTATGTTCCCAATCAAGAATAGTATCATGCATTCGTCCACGACAGGGTCGACCACCAATTTGTTCAGATCTGCATACTGTTTCCAAACATTTTTTACCCACACTCGTCGTTGCAAAGTTCCGAATAAATTGTCTAAAAATATTGAATGAAAATAATAATAAATTTTTATTTAATTTTTGTTATAAAAATTAGTTCAAAAAATTCAAAGATCTAACTTAGAAACCGGAGGTACGCTCCAATGCATAGCCATAATACTCCAAAATCAATATTGAGTATATCTAACATAACTTCGAACTTTATTATTGACAGTTTAAAAACAACTATTAGTACCAATAAATTAAAATTTACCTGCCACATTTGTCACATTGTTCTACAAATATATTGCCATGTAATTCAGCTAGGTATCGGCGCGGAATTCCAGATCGTAAGTGAAGTCCATCAATGTTTTGACTGATAATAAATTTTACTTTATCTAGAAAAATAAACAAGTATAATTAAAATTTTCATAAAAAAAGCAATTGTACTGATTAATAATAATTAATCAAACTGAAAAAAAATTGATTAAAAAACTTTATTTTTATTTTGTGTAGCTTATGCTTATGTTTACCATGATCAATTAATTGTTTCAAAGCCATATGAGTTTTGGTTGGAATAGCATCATCAAATGAAGTACCATTAGTAGGCTTCAAACCTTTTTGCTCCAAGGTCCATACTCCTGATGGACCACTATAACATTCATTATGAAAGTTCAAAAATAATTAAAATGATCAATAATCAATATTCATCTTTCGCTTTAATTTCACTCATTAAGAAGAAAACATGAATGAAAGTATCAAATAAATGAAGGTTATTTGATTACCGAAAATCTGGAAGTCCAGCAGACGTACTTATACCAGCTCCAGTGTGTACCACAACATGACGAGCTGATTCAATCCATTCAGCAAGAAGTCCGCACTTTATTCTGAGTGTATCTGCACTATCATATTTCTATAAACATGTAAAAAAGTTATCTTATAATGATAAGAAAATGAATGAATTAATGAAATATAAATATTGGCATTAAATACAAACTTTACCTCTTCGAGGCCTAAAACACCTTTGTTTTCATAAGGTGATAATCCATCAGCATAACTACAAGACATATTACTTGAAAAATTGAATTAATTCCGATACTATATTGCAATTTCTATAGATATTCTATAAAACTGAATACTGTTTTATATTATTACACACTTAATATATATCTTTAATATATGCAAAAATATAAACAAAGTTTAAATGATATTTGATGCCAGAACATCTATAGTTATGAATCACCGAATATTCATATAAGTGGTGCTGCTGAAAGGGTAGTTTTTAGATTGCTTTCAATTGCTGCAGATGAATACGAGGGGCAAGGAAGTTTAACTTAATCTGCAAGGAGTGGGGAGATCAACCTCCAATGAGACCGCAGTATGTACTCGCTATACTTCTGGTTTCATTTAAAAGTGGAAATTTACCGTCAAAAAACGGCCTCAATAATAATATTACTTATTAAATAAGCTGTCAATCACTTTCATTTGTTTACTTATAATAAATCAATCATTTTAATCATCTTTTAATGTATTTTAGTTTATTGACCAAAAGGGTCAATCTGCCCTTTGTCAATAGCATACCTTAAGAATCGACCAAACTCTACCACCACCCACACATGGATCATTGAGCCGTATGTACTTTGAATGTATGTACGATGTATGTATGTACAATGAGAGGTACATTAGTGTGAAGTGGCATATTATCCATGAGTATGTACACTTGAGATTGAAAGTATCATCAACAAAGACGTGATAAGCGTCTTTGATAACACGTTTTGATGGTGACTGTACTATTGTATTGAACGCCTACACCTAGCTATTTATAGACATTTTCAGAAAATTGACGAAATTTTGATAAAATCCTTCTTCCTTTTTTTGCATTTTATTTCATTTTAGCATTTTTTTTAAAATGATTATTTCTTATTAAATATTTACATTAATCATTACAGAGATTAAAAAAACCTTATAAAGAGGTCTTTATGTTTCTGAAACAGAGTTTTATATTATTTAAAATTAATTTTATATGTTAACAAAAAAAATGTCCTAATAAAATTTTTGGTTAAATGATTTGAATTTTACTTCAAAGTCAAACATTGCACAAGTATTAATCAAATTCTATTCGTAAATTTTGATTTGATTTATCATATACATACTTGGTTTGAAAAATTTTAATAAGTTTATAACTTTTTATGTAAGTTATCAAACAGCCGCAATAAATACTCCAAAACACTCCACATGATTTTTCTTAAAAGTTATATATTTAATTTTCTATAATAATTCAAATAAGTAACTGAAATTTGTGAAAAATATTTAACATTTCCATTGTTTCACAGATTAAAAAGTTTCTCTATTTCTCCCATTTCTGTAAAAGTCTCATCGTCTAATGTATAACTTAACATAAACTTAACAGATACGGGAACCTGCAATTTATTTAATATAATTTGCATTAATTATTATACATTAATAAACGCTCATAAAATTATAGTTAAGAAAGTTACCTTTTTCGGATTACCAATTAACATTATTTGTGTGATCGCAGATGGAGGTAAAAATGAATTATAAGCAGGTAGCTCAGTTCTCGATGGTGATTGAAGTCGACACTTACAATTCTAAAGAATAAAATAAAAAAATTATTATGGTCTCTTTGAAAACATTATTCTTATTAGATAATATTTAATAAGAATTTACTTCAGGTACTACAGCTTGAAACATATAATTGGATAACGGTTTCAAACTTCTGCTCATAGTTGTTATAACAACGACAGAAACAAGCGGGTTTGGAGAACCTTCAGCAACATGAAGAACAACTGTCACATTATTTTTATCATCTATTACAGTCATTGGAGGTATAGAACCTGTAATAAATAAATTATTATGAATACATAGATAATATTTTTTACTTAAAAAAAAAACTTACTGGGCTTTACGTCTTCAAGAGTAACATGAATATCCATTAATGATTTCATCTGTTGATTTATGGGTTTTGATTCTTCGCAAATTTTTTTTACATCTTTTTCTATATCTTTCTGAGGTATATTATTTTCTAATAAATTTACAGTATTTAGCACATCACAATCATCCTTTTCAGATATAGAATTTTGGTTTTTGTCATCTTTGGACTTTAAGTCCAAATTATTAAGTAAATCAGATAAATTTTTTAATGATGTATTGCACATATTTAAGTCTTGTTTAAGCATAGACTTGCTTATATTATTTAATTCTTCTAACGCACTAGGTTTACTCGCTGGTTTCTCAGAAAATTTCGAAGATTCTACTGTAAAAGATTTTTTTTATTTATATCAATGGTGTTAACATTGATGCACTATTAATAACACAAAAATTTATTACCTTTGGAGCTAGGTAAAATTGGAAGCGGTTGCATTATATCGGTATCTGAGCATAACAAATCAGAATCAGATTGAGATTGCAATGAATCATTAGCGGGTTTTTCCATACATTTAAATATATCAGTCAATAAGTCCATATCAGTTTGTGTTTTAGTTGTTTCACTAGTTAATAAGTTCGAGCCAGTCAATTTCTCATTTTCAGAAACATTATCTTGAGATGAAGAAAAATCTAATAACGGAAGAGCATCATCCTTACTGTTATTTGAATTATGTGAAGAGTTCATTTTCAACGAATATTTTTCAAATACTTGACTCAGTTCATCATTAACAGTTAATACTTGATCTAAAGAATAAAGTACATTATTTATTTCATTAACTTCAAATTCATGTATTCATTACATAATTGAATTAAGGATCTTACCAAGTAAATTTTCATTATCTTGTATTTCTTCAGCTAATTTTAAAAGAGTTGGTTTAAAGTTTTCGCATGCTTGATAAAGTTCTTTCATTAAATTATTATCTTCACTACTAGTTTGTTTAGGATTGTATGAATCCAACATTTCCGATAATAACTTAGCATTATTGCGCACAGATTCTATTCTAACTTCAAAATTTGTCTGTGAACTTCGTTGAACTCTATTTTCATCCTTGTGTCATAATTAATACGTTAAATATTAAGTTCAATTCATAAAACTAGTAGAAAATAAATACTTACATCTTTCACCATACTTTTTATCAGTCTGTTAGCTAATTGCAATTCAAATGGGTCCTTACTTTGTAACAACTCTTTTAAAAGCTTGGCTGTTTCCTCATCTTCAAATAAGGAATTCTTTAACTTTGATTTATCTCGATTATTGGCTTCTATTTGTAAAGGAGGTTCATCCTAAATACAAATATGATATTAATATTCTTGAATCATTTCTTTTTTCAGTAAAAAATAACAAATATATTACCTTAACAACGCCTTGATTTTTTAACATCTCATAAGCTTCTTTTATTTTAGTTTCTTTTGGATAGTTCATTGTCCAGTTAAAAAGTAATTCCAATATTTTCTGACGAACTTTATTGGGTGTGGCTGAGCCAAGATATTTGGGTGAAACTAATTTGATCATTTCATTTAAAAACCGAAATTTTCCTATTTCTGCATGAAAAGATTTGCCACATCTCTTCATACATGTATCTAAAAGCTTTAAAATGTGCTTATTAAAAAAAGATATGAACATATTTCAATGCTTAGATTAATAAATAAACTTACATTCAATGCTAACAATGCTTCAGCTTCATTAGTAGACTGAATGTGAGTAGCAAGTAATTTACTTGCAACTTGTGGACCATCTTTTTCTTTTCCGATAACACTACAAAATCCATCTACTGCAGCAGCATCAACCTCTTGGTTTTTCGGATTTATGGCTCTTTCTGATAGTGCAAAAAAAATTATTTTATCGTAACCACTGTCGTATTAATTAAATAAAATAGAGAATATATCAAAAAACAATACAGCATTCTTATGTGGTGATTATTCATAAGGTGTAACAAATATGATTATTAGTAATTTGATAATACGATAAAAATTATCAGAAGCATTTAAATTGAAGTCAAAACAGTGATTTCAAAAATAAACTGTTTGTTATTTAAATTCTTCACAACTAACACAATATTTAAATTATGAACTCTATATGATTTCTTTAAATAAAAAATTTCTTTAATTAGCTGTGCCTATTCATAATTAGGGATGGGCCAGACTTTTAATAGACGTCAAAAATCAACAATGAAACTGATTGAAATGTTAAAAAAATAATTAACTATATATTTTGTTTTCTCAATGAATACTTTCTTAATTAATCATATGAAATTGTGATTAATAATGAAATAATTTATCAGTTTCTGTTATAAAAACCAATAAAAATCAATTTGCATATAAATAACTTACGTATCAATATTTCTAAGATTGTGCCGATTACATCCATTTCTGTTTTTAAAAATGTAGCAATCAATGTTTTTAGTAACACATTCCTAAACTGTTTTTGGCTAGTATATTTGTATACGATTATTCATGATTCTTACTATATTTTTTCAAACAGCTGTATTTCAGCTTTGTCAAATAATCAAAATGCTACGAACACCTGGTAAAAGTATGGCCGTAGTCATGAATATCAATTGATAACAACATAAATTTACCGTGATAAATTTGAACTCTAATGTTGGCTAACCTGTATGAAAAATACAATCACCAAATTCAACTTTATTGACATTAGTTGTCAATCAATTATTATTTTAAAAAGTTAAAAAAACATTACAATAAAAACTTTTTTTTTCAAATCGAATAAATATCAAATAAAATATTTAATGGCTTCACTACAGATTTTATCAAACAATTGTCACTACTTTTCGTGTTGTTCTGACTATTTAATTATTACAAACATATCGTCACATCATTGAACATTGTTTTTCTTGACATAACATGTTCTTTAAATGTACCACAAAAAACTAAATTAAGATTAATTTTACTTAATGAATAGTTAAAAATAAATGATTAATAATGTAGAGACGATTTAAAATATCGCGCACTAGCAGTTCGAATTATTTCGGTAGTAATCGGAAATATTCGTCGAATTGCTGACTTTTCGAGAAAAAAAAACATGTGAAATATCTCGAAATAAGGATACACTTGCTTATTGTGTCTGTGACCTGTGTTTATTTCAATTCGGTTACTTGAAATTCGTCTCCAAATACTTTATATATTTGAACATTGTAAATTCTTTTCTTTCGTTTTATATTTTATAAAATCTTTGTTATTAAATGTTTCATATTATTCGCAGAAACGCTGTAAAAAACAAAACAATAATGCGAATTTCAAATGTAAAAGCACTTTTGTGTCAGAGGCTTTTATTCCAAGACTTTCGTGCTGAAAATGTGCAGAGGTACAAAACTATCACTACACGATCAGGTGCTATTCTTCCTGAACCGAAAACACAACCATTTGGATTTATTAGCGTCATTTGTGGTGTAACTGTAGGCCTTCTTATCGGAGCAACAATAAGCAAAAATATAGCCAATTTTCTAGAAGAAAATGATCTGTTTGTTCCAACAGATGATGATGATGACGATGATTAATAATCTAAATATATAATAAGCCAATAAGGTATAGAACTCTTAAGATGTGTAATATTTATATCACGTATAAATACTTATTTGTTTTCATTTTCTAGGAAACAACACAATATAATTAATCCTAACTTCATATGTGTGGTAACGCTTAATAATTTATTTATTTTTGTATGAAAGGAATGTTTTTTATTATATAAAACTACGATATTAATTTTTGTTATTGAGATATTGTAATGTAGGTATTTATAATTATGTTTTTATGTGATAAAACTCTATTTTCCAAGCATGCAAAATACGCACATATTTATTGAAGTATTGTTGACAACAAGAGAAGGCTAACTCTTAATCAATTATGAAAGTTTAATTAATAACTTGAAGACATTTGAATTGTAAATTAATTGTTGATATTTTAATCATGTATAATTAAATGAAAACTATCTGTGAAAATTAACTAGACTTACCAAATTCAGTTTTAAAAAAAATTGTAGTAAAATATATGATGACATTATAAAAGTATAAATGTGTTGAATAAATATGGATTTAAAGTAATAAATGTATGAATTTTTTTTTTTGAGATAACTAACGGTGATAACAGAAAGGGTAAATGAAAACTTTATATCAATAATTTAATTTTACACTCTCATATTTTATTTTTACGAAAAAGCTAAATAAATTATTATAATTATTTTACACATAAAATTGCAGATATGAAAAATTTGATTATTCTGGTGATTTTTTATGAGTACTCCATCCATGAAAACATTTAGTAAACCGACGAGACTCTTTACCTTTTGCAGTGAGAAACAATTTTCTAGGTTTATCAGGTTGTTTAACACGTAAATGCTGTATGTATACCTGAGCGGATTTATACGCAAGTTTGATTTCTACTTCGGAACAGTGTGTTCCAAGCCAAAGAAATACTTGTTCCCCATTGTCAAGAATCATTATATCATCATCAGCTAGATCATCCTACAGCAATTATAATAATTAATATGAAAATCCCATCTATTCGGCATGTTATTAAATAATTATTTAAAAAATAGAATACCTGACAAAAATCTGTGCATTTTTCACTAACAACAAAATATCCTTTTTCATTAGAACATCTAAACAGTCTTGTATAATTCATGTAATCAGCATTTGTATCGTACGGTTTTCTTCCTCCAAGAGCTATCCAGAAGAAATTTTCAGGCTCTTCGCCTTCATTGAGCACTTGAAGACTGATCCATGGCTGTAGTATAATATATCAAAAATTAGAGTTAAAAGTACATAATTATTACTACTGAAAAGCATGAATATTAATAGCACATACATTATTGAACATATCTTCAGCAATTTCTTCAATTAATCTAGCTTCTTCTGGATCAGCTTTAGAACCAATCCATACGTACACGATTCCCATTTGATTATCATTATTAAATGGCACATTTAAAATATAACTGTAAAAAAATCAATTGTCATTATGCTGTAAATATATGTTATAGAAAAAAATTGTAAAAAATAAAGTATTTGTACCAGAAAGCAGAATTTAATAAGCCCGAATCTGGTGGGATTTGAATAAGTCTGGTACACAAAGCACTTCCATTACTTCGTAGATGGAAAAATTCAACACGATTAGAATCAGCTGATTTAGCTTGTTTTCGTTTTCCTTGATGGATTATAAATTTTCTTTTAAAGTGAGCCATAAACTTTAGATTTTCTTGTTGTTGATGCGTCCTCACAACCTCTAATTTCTCTCCAAATAAAGTTTTGAATTTTTTCTGCATGCTACAACAAATATTTATTATTAACAAAATTCAACAAATTTATATTAATAAAAATAAAATAGGGATTACCTAAATGTAAAGGTGAGCCATCCCATATTTCCAGCATCTCGACCTTGCCAGAAATACACTATACATTGAAAATCATCTTCAAACTGCTCTTCATTATCATCATTACTTGTTATTTCGACGGGCTACGATTTAATAAAGTTAGATTTAAAAATAGTTTTATTGAAATTTCCTAAAATTCTGAGAAAATAAATAAATTCTTTTACCATCCAATATCGACATAAAAATACATAACAATCTTCTGTATAAAAATGACCCAACTCTTCCTCAGGAAGACGAACGAACTTTCGTTTTTCTAAAACGAATGATTCCATTACTTCTAAGTCATCACTCCATTCATTCATCAACTGTTGAGCCTCAGTTGCTGACATTTGAGGTTGGCGTGGCATAAATAATGCTGCTAGATCAGCCTGATAAACCATAATTTTATTATTTTTATGAATTAAATTAATTCAATTGTAAACAAATAATAATTCACCTTCGTGTCTTGTTGTTTAGCCCATTTAGTCAAGTCTGCGCCAGTTTTAGCAACTGATTCAGCAGTTCGAGTGAAATCTACGGCAATAACTTCATCCCAACCCAAGAATTTAGATTTAAAGATCTAGATAATGATAAATAATATTATGATATAATTTTAATAGTCGATTAATATTAGGTATTTATGTATAAAGACATCTTCTACTCACTTGTGACTCAGTTCCCTCTTGCAACCTAGTTACTAATGCATATTCGGGTCTTTCAATCATACTGAATAATTCTTGTGACAGTTTTACTGCGGCGGCTCTTACAAGTCGTGTTGATTTCTTTCCAAACCATACGAAAACATCCAAAAAGCAATCTAAGATGTAAACGTTTCGGCTATTTAACAGGGAATTATTTAATTTACCCTGTGGTACCTCAACTTGAGGTAACTCTAAATACCCCATTCCAAGTCTCACTTGATATAAACGGGGTGTAATTATTGCAAAGTTTGGATCAACATGTTCTTTAACTACTAAACTTTCTCGATCAACCCCTAGAGCTGACAGAAATTCATTTGATTCAGATCCCATCATTTCAGTCAAAATTTCTGCTTTATTTTTTCTCTCATTTTTATTAATTTTTTCAGCCATTAATCGCGCCTTTGACTTGAGAGTATTTTTCGCATGTTTTCCATACCATAAAAATATCATATTTCCCGTGTCATGAACAAAAACAAAATTAGGATCCAAACTTTTATGGTGTATTTTCACAGGTTCTAAATGAATTGATGCACCTGCTGCATGTACTCGGTATAATCTTGAAATTGCTGGCTGTAAAAATAGAATTCATTATTAAATAATCGTTTAGTGAAGATTATTTATAAATTTACTCTAATTATTTATCATACTGGCAATAATTAACTTTACAAAATTTAGAATCAATACTTACTGTATCATCGACAGTGTAAAAACCGGATGTGGTTCTACCTCCTTCAATGTACGTAATGCCAGCATTAAATAACATAAGAAATGCATCAGATTCATCTCCTTGTTCTTCTCTAATTGTTCGGCATTGGGCACCAAGGAAATTTCTTAAATTAACAGCATGGATTGCAGCACATGCTCGTTTGTCCAACTATATTATAAAAAAGCTGATCTTACTAATATGTTTCTATCAAAAAATAAATAAATAAACGAATAAATTTTATTACTTACCGTAGCCTTTTTACCTATCCAGAAATAAATAGCCCAAACTAACGATCCACTTTCATCTAGACTAGTTTTTAGAATAATGTAACAATCTCCTTCATAAAATTTTCCATGAGCTACTTCATCAATTTGATTTGGTAAAAAATTCTCTATTTCCCATATCGACAGACCCAACACTTGACCAGCGTCTTCATCGAATATTTCGGAATAATCCAGAGGCGGCTTTTCTAGGGATTCATCCCATCTTTTAGGCCTGTACAATAATTACATGTATATTCGGAAATATATTCACAAGTAAGAATATTCTCTACTCACTTTAAAGACTCCGTTCTGGAATTTTCTGAGTCTTTGTCTTTATCTTTTGTTATAGCAATATCTTTCATTCCCTAAAGAATTAATAATAGTTTAATGAAAAGTATTTACATACATTAATTTGTTTATTAGTTTATTGAAATTTCATACTTTTAATATCTTTGCTTGATCTTGATCAGCCTCTTCTTGATCGCGCCGTCTTCTGAGCCTCATTTTGCGAGCTATCGGGTCTTTACTGCTGTCTATTAAAGCATAAGACTACATTTAAAAAATTTACATGTAAATTGCAAAATTGAAACTAAGTCAATCATATTCACTCACTAATAGTATGTGTGGGTGGAGGAACATTTGCGCCAGCAAGTCGAAGTTGATGTTGCAATGAAAAATCTATGTTGTAAAACTCGACACCTGATCCTTTTTGAACTTCAGTTGGTTTTGGTGGCATGACTAAATTAGGATTATCACGCAAATCTAGCTGTTCTAAATCTGTCAAAAAATGGATTGCATCGGGTAGCGTAATAAGTTGATTTGAAGATAATATTAATTTTTTTAAGGATCCACATCTGAAAAAAATGGCTCCAACGTTATGATTTTATGTTCTTTATTAATAATCTTAAACAGTTTAAAATAATTTTTTACCGGCATAATCCTTCTGGAATCATTTCTAAGTGATTTTTTGCAGCAGAAAATATTTGAAGTGATGATAGTTTGCCAATTCCAGAAGGAATTCCTTCAAAATCGAGTTGATTATCATTCAAAAAAAGATGTCTCAATGTAGAAATTTTACAAAGTGATGCTGGTAAAGTAGTCAGTTTATTTCTACAAAGATTTAAGACTTCTAATTTTTGCCACATTTCTAAATATGGATTTAATTATAAAGTCAGTATTATTTATAAAAACAAAAAATTAAAAAAAAAAGTAATTTCTCAACAATATACTTGCCAATAGCCGATGATAGCTCACTTATTTGATTATCACTCAGATTTAAACGTTTCAAATTGGGAAGAGAATATAATGCATCAGGTATACGTGGCAGTGCATTTTGTGAAAGATCAAGTTCTTGTAAATTTGTCAAACTTTCTAAACTGGATGGAATATTATTCAATGTCCGCTGTGAATTGCGCATTTGAAGTGTCGTTAAGTTCATGAGGGACGGTAGTTGCCTGTAAATACAATAAATCATGTAGTAGAAACCATTTTATGGCCGACTCAAACTACAGGTATGCAGAGGTTACCTTAGTTGGAAATGACCTAGCGGATTATCATTAAGTATCAATGTTTGTAAATTAGCCAATCGTCGAGTCTGAGGTGGTAATGTTTCCAGACGATTATGGCTTAGGTCCAAAAATATTAAATCCGTCAAATGAATGAATAGAGTGTTTGGTATTGCTTCAATACTGTAATGGGATTAGTTATTACACTTTTATGAGCAAATAAAACTTATTAAATGAAATATGGTGGTAGCACTACTTACTAATTATGACTAAGGTTTAAGTTTAACAACGATCTTGCCTTTTCCAGACCTTCTGGTACTTCTTTCAAATTATTATGGCTTAAATCTAATGTGGTCAATTCTTCTAAATTGAATAACTCAGAGGGTATACCACTTGTTTTTATGTTATTGCGACGGATATTGAGCGTTCTAAGGCAATTTAATTCAGTCAATTCTCCATATAGCCGTTCTAATTTGTTGTTTTTTAGTGACAAATGTTCCTGTTATTTAATTAATCAATAAATTAATATTATAATGTATATTACGCAAAAATTTCTAAGTAATAAAAACCTTACCAATTTAAGCAGTTTACCCATTTCTTCTGGAATTTCTGTTAAATGTGTGTCATCTAATTTAAGCCATTGTATCCCTGTCATCATACGAATTGATGATGGGAATTTTTTCTCCTGAAAACAATAATAAATACATTAAACATTCCAATCTAAGTAGCTTTCGAAATTTAAATGAAAAAAAAACTATTGCCAAAAATATTTATAGGCAGTTTAGATTCTAGAACATTTAACAGATAGACTTGTAATCTAAATAGAAAAAAAATAATTATAATAAAAAAGATTACTCACAGCAAAATCATTTCTTGTAAAATCAACTCCACGAACAAACGGTAAAACGCCTGTGTTTGCCATGATTTTATAATATATAAAAGATATATAAAACTTTATTTATAAAAAATGTGTTTCACTGGTGCTCTAGATATGTAAAAAATCTTAAAATTATCCTCTTTGTGGCATGCAAATAATTTGCATAAAATTATTTAATTTTTTGATATCATCAACACTTTTATCACACTTCATGTTTTTGAAAAGTATACACTACCTATAGAACATTTCATCTGACTTCATATGAATTTTACAAATAAAATGTTGGTCAGGTTGGCTAAAAACCACATATGATACCTTGCTAAATATTTGTCGTTTATTTCTCACACGTCATACCTCCTACCAATCACAAGCAACAAGCTGATGCCTCTGAAGCTTGGAACAGCTTAGGGCACAAACTAGTTTAGTGAATATAGCTACTTGTTTGTTAAAAATTGTACTATAAATTCTTCAATAATTAATTTATAATATATACATATGTTTCTGTAACACTAAAAAAATAATAAAAAACAGCAAAAAAAAAATTCGATCGAAATATATAAAATTATTCTGAAGAATTCATGTATTTGAGAAAATGATTCACTTTTAACTACACTATATTCAATTCAAAATGGAGAAGGGGTTCACTCGAACACACTCCGATCCTGCTTTTTGGCCAACCAGTCTATACAGTAAAGAAGAGAAAGAGAGATGTCGACGTTTCTTTCCTCGGCTTGTACATTTATATTTACTTATTCTGCAGACATTTTGCAGCATTTTAGCCACTTTTTTTCTATAATTAATCTTTAGTGCATTTCTATATCACCTTTATATATTTAAACTTATATAAAACCAATACAATGTATTGTATATCTTAATAAATAATAATCTTTACTCAATAAGTGTCAATTTAGCTGAAGTAAAGTACGTTATTTCAGACACAATTGATTATTTTTTACTTTCATTGATTATATACAATGAGTAAATAATTAATTTATAGAATTATTTTTGGAGTCTATTCATTGTTTTGTATTTAACAAAAAGGTATGTGATAACTTGATTCATTTTTTAATTAATTATGGTCTATCTAAATATAATGTTTATTTGTTTGTTGTATACTGTTTTATTGTTACAGGAGACTACTTAAAGTAATCAAAAATGTCTAAACGATCAGCAGAAAGTAGTGACTTGATGGCTCAACCGCCTATCAAAAAAGTCCAATTTGAGCCCATTTTAATTGGGCCTATATCTACTCTAGAAGAAATGGACATGAAAGTTCTTCAATTTCAGAACAAGAAGCTTGCGCAGGTAAAACAATTAATAACTCTCATTACTTATTATAAGCTTTAATTGGTATTTGTAATTTCCAATATTTAATAATTATTCAATATTAATTTGTATAAAGAGGTTGGATCAACGACATCGAACTGAAACTGAACTACGACAAAGAATTGAACAATTAGAGAAACGACAAACTCAAGATGATGCTGTGCTTAATGTTGTTAATCGTTACTGGAACCAACTGAATGAAGATATTCGTTTATTACTTCAAAGATTTGATGCAGAAACAGCTGATGAATCTGAAAATAAGAGTAAGTTTAGTTAAAATTCATTTATATTTATTTTAAACTCATTTGTTAATTTATATTTATAATTTTATTTATCATTAATTTTATTCTTTAGATGAATCTGAAGCAACAACGTCATTCTTGATGCAATTATCATCGTGGGACAAAGAAGAATTGGATGACAAATTGGCCCATCGTGTTCAAGTTTCAAAACGAGCTGTTTCGAAAGTTATACAAGCTTTTGATCGTCTATCTCAACGGAATGAAAAGATTACTCTTGCTTTAAAAGGAGAGTATAATGGAGAGGAAGCACCACAAATTGATGAAGTTGTTAGAAAAGCAAATATAGAAATTCAAGCAGAAAACCGTAACTTACAAGCTATAAATCTACAACTTCATGAAAAATATCACACTATGTCATTAAAGATGTCTGGATTGCAAGATGCAATTACTGGAAAAGATACTCTTGTAGCTGAGTTAAGGAATCAAGTTGATGATTTACAATATGAATTAAATAAAGTTTGTGCTCGAAATGACAAGTTAGAACATCATCTTGGAGAAGCAATAGAGAAATTAAAAACTTTCCAACAAATTCACGGCTCTGATGAAAAAGGAAGTAACAAATCTAGTACACTTGTGGCTTCAAGTGTGTCGCAAGCGAAATTAGATGATTTACAACGTGAATTAGAGGAAACACGAGAGCTAGCTAATAACCGGTTACAAGAATTAGATAAATTACATCAACAACATAGAGATGCTTTGAAAGAAGTTGAAAAACTTAAAATGGATATTCGCCAACTACCAGAATCTGTTATTGTCGAAACGACTGAATACAAATGTTTGCAATCACAATTTTCAGTACTTTATAATGAATCAATGCAACTGAAAACTCAACTCGATGATGCTCGTCAACAATTACAATCAAGTAAAAATTCTCATTTGCGTCATATAGAAATGATGGAGAGTGAAGAGCTCGTAGCACAGAAAAAATTACGAGGTGAATGTATTCAATTAGAAGATGTATTAGCACAATTAAGAAAAGAGTATGAAATGTTACGTATTGAATTTGAGCAAAATTTAGCAGCAAATGAACAAACGGGTCCTATAAATCGTGAAATGCGGCATTTAATTACATCTTTACAGAATCATAATCAACAACTCAAAGGAGAAGTGCATCGATATAAACGCAAATATAAAGAAGCTTCAGCAGAAATTCCAAAAGTAATACAAATTAATTTTACTATTACAAAGTATTGTTGATAAAGTATTGATTTAAATTTTTGTGTATAATATTTACAATATTTTTGCTCTAGTTGAAAAAAGAAATAGAAGATTTGACAGCTAAATTTGGACAGCAAGCTCCTCAAGAAAATAAAGAAAGTAATGGTTCAGATAGTAGTGGTAAAGAAGAAGACTCATCGAATTTTCTTTCAGGATCAATGCAGGTAAATTTATATCAATTTTAAATTAATAATATTGTAAATATTAACATTTATAAATTCGAATATTAATTTTAGATAAAAGAAGAAGGTAATATGAATGTGAAAAGAGAGATGACAACAGATGAAGAAACAGATCCTACTGAAACGAATGAAGGGGAAAATAAGAATGCGTCTGATTCTCATGCACTTCCTTCTCCTGTTATGAAAAAAGAGAAGGATGTCAAACGTGATAAAGATGTTAAAAAAGATCCAGCTTTAAAAACTGAACATCGAGATCAAACGGCTCATCGATCGAAGGATCCAAAAATGGTTGAGTCAGAGATGGTGAGAGATCTTAAAGCTCAATTGAAGTAAGTCAAATTAACGTTAAACTTTTATTCATACTATTATTCAGTAGATAATAATACTGGATTATTTATTTAGAAAAACTGTAAACGAAATGAAAGAGATGAAACTCTTATTAGATATGTATAAAGGCGTTGGAAAGGAACAACGTGATAAAGTACAACTGATGGCAGCAGAACGAAAAATTCGTACAGAAGTAGAAGAGCTTCGTCAACAATTAAAGAAAATTCAGGTAGATAATTTATTTTATTGTGATTGAAAAAAATTTTTTTTTACAACTATTTTTACTCAATTTTTTATGGTCTTGTATCATATAAGATGCTTGACTTACAGGAAAACAAACGTGAAGAGCGTAAAAAGCTTGCTGATGAAGATGCTCAAATGAAAATTAAAAAATTAGAAGAACAAGCATATATTTTACAACGACAAGTTGCGTCACAAAAACAGGTAAAATTTTTTATCTACAATAATTAATAATTTATTAACAATATTCCAACTAATAGTGAAGATATTTGATCTGTTTCAGGAAGAAGAAGCTTTATTGAATGAAATGGAAGTAACTGGACAAGCTTTCGAAGATATGCAGGAACAAAACTCAAGACTTATTCAGCAATTACGGGAAAAAGATGATGCGAATTTTAAATTAATGACCGAAAGAATCAAGAGCAATCAGCTTCATAAATTAGCACGAGAAGAAAAAGATGTATTGAAAGAACAAGTGTCGACTTTAACGACTCAGGTAGAAGCTGCAAATGTTGTTGTAAGAAAGCTAGAAGAAAAAGAACGCTTATTACAAAACTCCTTAGCAACTGTTGAAAAAGAATTAGCTATACGACAACAAGCAATGGAAATGCATAAGCGTAAAGCTATTGAAAGTGCACAATCTGCAGCAGATTTGAAACTTCATTTAGGTAAAAAAGAAATTTAATGGTGTTAATTTTTTAAAAAGTTTTCAATATCAATGAATTTCCTTTTTTTTTTCTTCTAGAAAAATATCATTCACAAATGAAGGAAGCTCAACAGGTTGTGGCAGAAAAGACAAGCTCTTTAGAAGCGGAGGCGTATAAAACAAAAAGATTACAGGTGTGTTATTATTCGAATTTTTATTAATAAAAGCCCAATAAGAAAAGCTATTTTACTACTTATGACGTATTTTTGTAGGAGGAAATAGCGCAGTTACGACGAAAAGTAGAAAGAATGAAGAAGATTGAGTTGGCGGAAACATTAGATGAGGTGATGGCTGAGGAATTACGAGAATATAAAGAAACGTTAACTTGTCCATCATGTAAAGTTAAACGAAAGGATGCAGTACTTACAAAGTGTTTCCATGTTTTCTGTTGGGATTGTTTACGTACGCGGTACGAAACTCGCCAAAGAAAATGTCCTAAATGTAATTGTGCATTTGGTGCAAACGATTATCATAGATTATATTTATCAACTTGAAGGAGAAAAAATTAGTATTAGCTTAAAAATTTTTTACTTGAGTATATATTGTTTACTTACTGGATTCCTTGCATCAGATAATTGATGTATTTGTATAAACGTATATGTACTATTTTTTTAATTTTCCTTAATTTCAATATTTATTTTTACAAGAATTTTTAAAATTATTAATTTCGAATATTCGATACATTTAATATAATGCAGTTTACATGTGTATTATTAAACATGAATTGTGCAGTTGATCATTTTAATTCAACCATTATACAATCTCGCAATAAAAGATAAGACATCCTTTAGTGAAAATAGTTTCTAGTTATTTTAATGCGTTTAACATTTTCAATAATTTTATAGGGAATAATACATACTAATTAAAATAAAGTAATAAATTGTTTTCAAACCGAAAGCGCAATATTGAGCTTCTTACCAAGACCACAATCATTAGCGCCACTTGTCAACTAAATTTGTTGGTTCTTTGCCAATTCGGTTTTTTTACAGACAACTTTTATCGAATCAAAAAATTGAGTATTTACTAATTGATTTTATAAAAAATAATTCATCAAATGATAAATAAATATTAAGAAATATTATTATTTACTTGGGCTAAAAACTAAGCTGTTGATAATTGGCATACTGCCTAAAAATGACGACCTCAAGCTCACGTCGTTTAAAGTAAGTAATATTTTATTTATTATTAATCAAATATGGTTTATATTTAATTATAAGATTTAATTAAGTTTGAAGATAGCGCCTGGGGCTGTAGTTTGTGATGAAAGTATTTTAAAAGGCGAAATAATCATTGGTCCTCGAACGATTATTCACCCGAGAGCAAGTATTTTAGCTGAAGATGGTCCCATAATAATTGGCGAAGGAAATATTATCGAAGAAATGGCCACAATTGTTAACAGGTAAATAATTCTATTAACTTATAGAAAGTCTTCTTAAATAAGATAATTAAAATCTGTTTTTATAGACTACCTCCTGGAACATCTATTGACAATACTCCAGTACAAACTGTGGGTAATTTTAATGTATTTGAAGTAGATTCGCATTGTGAATCTTTGAAAGTTGGAGATAATAATGTTTTAGAAGCTAAAGGTAAATTTCAAATAGAAAATATTAAGATAAAAACTGTAACTTTTGAAAATTTCTTTTTTATTCATTCAGCACATGTAGGTAGAAATGTTGAATTAACAAGTGGATGTGTAATTGGAGCAGCTTGTTCTATAGTTGATCCTGAAATTATTCCAGAGAACACAATTATTTATGGATCTGAATGTCATAGGCGGGAAATGAACGATAAACCATATGTAAGTTTAAACGTTTTATTTCATTTAAATTTATAAATAAAAATAATATATAAATATTATTTGTTCTAGCCACAAGTAGGTCAGTTGGACTTTTTAATAAAAGTTTTACCTAATTATCATCATTTAAGAAAATCACATTCGAAATAAATTAATGAATATTAATATTTTTTTATTATTATGGTTATTTTATTTAAACAATTTTCAGTCGGTAAAAATACATTCATTTTTATCAACAAATGCTTATGAAAATAATTACATAAATCATTGCCGTAAAATGTCGCTAGATGTCGTAAACATCTTAATTTTAAACCGCTTAAAAAAAATAGAAATTTTCTGAAATTCGTAGTAACTAATTAACGTTAGAACCTAATTTTCATATTCATTTTTATAAATGTAAAATATAGATTATATATTTAAGTGAAAACGAAATGAGTTTAACTTGTAAAATCAAATACATATTCTTTATTTATTACTACTATCATGATTATTAAATCCTAATTGTCATGATGTCAATAATTTAGGCGTAAATTCACTTTTGTCAAAATGGTAATCGAAACAGTAAGCCCCATTTTCAACCCCAATGTGCTCCTTGTAGCGGAAAGTGGTGACCCAAGAGAACTGTCATATTTTGACGTTTATAAAGGGTAGGCGAGACACTGAGATTATTTTTTTGAACGATCAAGGGTGGGTTGAAAATGAGTCGCAACCAATAGGGAATGGTTTGAAGAATAAGAGTTACATTAGAAAGGGAATATCCCTAATGGCCCGACAAGTTGACGTATATGTAACTGTTTTTCGCTTTGTCACAAGTTGAGCGACTTTTTCAAATATTTTTACCACTAACCACCACTTTACTTTAATACTCAGTTCTCCGACATGCGAAATAATATTTCATTCATTACTTTTCTTTTATTCAAGCTTCATTGATTGTTTGTCTGTCTCGTCTTTATCCTTCCTGTATTTAATTCTGAATCAGTAAGTTGATCAAATTTACATCAAATCAGAGCTATTCGCTTGATATTATCATAAGTAATTGGTGTGACGGGCGTTTGATGGACATGTACTGAGGGGTTTTTGCACACCCTATAGTGGATTACAAGATCAACACCATCAAACTCAACAAATGCCAAAAAGAAAAAACAAAATGAGCGCAGATTTTTCTCGCATTTGAACAGTTGACATGCATTGCGAATTTGCTCACTCTGAAACGTTATTATATTCATCTGAATCATAATTTGAGATTTATTCCATCAAGTCTAGAAGAATGACATCTACAGTTTATCACACACATATCTACATCATTTAAGTGAACAAAATTTTATCATTATTATACTTTATTACATATTGTAATATATTGATATTCATTAGAGGTAATAGTTAACAATTATTTATGAAGTTGATATTATGATAGTTGAATCCTTCTTGAACTATGAAGAATTCAGCTATCAAATATTAAATGAGATCTTAACATATCATAGTAATTCAAATTATTGTCATTTTTCAGAATGTATCGTATAGAGAATATTATCAATATTCATCAGTCAACCAGAGACTAAATGGTACCTAAAGTTAATATTCTTCAATCATAGAGTGCCAATAAACAAGATTCTTACAGTTTTTATCTGTCAAAACCTTCATATCTTGATCTGCTTATTGCTCTTTTTCATAAAGTCAAGTTAGTACTAAGTTTTTTCTACAGGATCGAACACCCTAGGTACTCATAATTTAATAAAATTACAGTAATGAATATTTTGATATCACACACACAACAGTTATAAAAGTTGCAACATTAGAACCGCCCCTGTAAATCTGCGAAACATGATCAAGAGCGAATGCGAGATCGACTGTACACTTGAGGGGTGAAACCATCCGTTAAATCTAAACAAAGCTAGAGAAAGAAGGAGAGGGTGTATATTCGAGAGAGTAGAAATAAAGCTCAAGTAACTATCAGGGGTTGCACGCGCGCGCGTAAATGACTCCTTGACGCGATTATGCTAACCGAGTTATTCTATCGTGACGTTGTTTACAAGCTCGCAGGCTTTATGCGAATTAAGAAGCGAACAGCGAACAATGGCGCCGGATTTCTGATGAGAGAACTTGCGTTGTCGACAATAATCCATCTTCATCATGTTATATAGGATATCAAGCTTCCGGATAAGCAAAGCCACATCTTCATCTCATTATTATGTGCATACCTATTAGTATTAATTAATGCACATTAAATATTTCAAGTTACTGATATATTTTATTTATAAGAGCAGTCATATCTTACCATCATTATAAAAAAAAACCAAATAGTTTTCTGTTGCTGCTACAGATGAAAACCTGCTTTTCTAAAAAAGCTAATATTTCCTTGGAACAGAAAATAAGAAATATGTTACAGCAACAATTGGGTGGTGTAATTAAGAGTCAATTTGAAGAATGATAAACAACTTTTGTAAACAACAAGAAAATAGTTTTGTTTTAGATTAATGTCACTAACAGTTATCATTGATAATAAGTCGTTTAATTCATTGAGTTATAAAAAATAATCTTAGTTAAACCAGAACTCTTTTTAATTGATATGTTTATTTTTAAATATCATATCAAAAGAATAAAAAGAATAAAATAATAATTAAATATCATGACTCATGTCGAAAGAAGTTTTTAATCACTTCAATTAACGAAAAAGTATTTACTATTGAACTAGCTTGTTGATGATGATGGTTATTGGTTCTGTTTTAATAAGGTGATAGTAAGTAATCTTAACTGTAACTATTAAATTGACAAAACTTTGGGATAGAAAATTGGGAGATTTTTATTACATTTTTATTGAAGACATGTTGGAGCTTTGGTAAAAATGTCCCAACTTGAGGAAATCAGAAGGGAAGTAGGAAGGTAGTTGAAGATCAATCAGACAATTCTCCAATATCGTTTGCTATAACAAAATAAGATAAGGCCTATACATGATCTGGAGAATTAATTAACTCTTAATTTTCTTAAAAGTAATTTTTACTTCAAGTTGACTAACATGTACTTCAGCTTAAACTTTCCCTCAGTGTAAAAACAGGGTGGAGCTATGTTTACTCCAAAATGTTTCCAGTATAGAACAATGCTTCATTTTGGGCCATAATAAATATCAAAAATTGTTTCTCAAATTATTCATTGATGTTAAATTATTCATTTTGTTAAAAGAGTAAGTGAAATAGGGAAAAGTAAAATATTATTAAATAAATAATAAATCCATCACTTATAAGTACATACGAATTTTTCGGAATCAATAAATCTCTTCTTCTGCGATGGGTTTAACACGTATTTAACTTTCAAATATATATTATGCCTTTTACATTTTAATAGCAAGTCTCTCCCCCCTCATCTCTTATTCTCCCACTCTCTTTATTCCTCTCCCAAACTCTCGTTGCCTTGCTCTTATAGCATTGTAGCTATGTGGTATCTCAACTATATAACCCTGTCGTGATCGTCACCGACGTACATAAATATTCCGTGGGTGTAACGACGCCGTGGAATTTACTTCGGCCAAGAGAAATGCACGACTACTACTGTGTGCACACGATCGAAAGCTATCGCCGATATCTCCAACCCTGCGATGTGGAATAATCGATGCAGTAGCAACTACATGAAGGGACAAAAAAGTGTGAAATTCAACATGTGTAGATGTACCATAAGCCAAAGTTTTTCAATAATTCAATGACAAATAAATTTATGTTACACACTCGAGTTTCATATTCAAGAAATTGTGACAGTCTGGTATTATATAAATGTGCATTTAATGCATACTCAAATTGTCAGTAGAGCAAGTAACGTTTTAGACAGACCATTATTTGTAAATCTTCTTCATCGATTTGACATTTTTTCCTCATTTTATTCTTACGTTAGGATTTGGATTATTCTTATTAAAAAAAAAACCGTGCATTTTGTAAAGATTAATATAAATACAGTTTTTGTAAAAATTTAATTTATTAGAGTCTCGAAAATATCGATAAATCATTACAATAAAATAGTAATAAACACAAAGAACAAATATCATTCAAATGATTAAATTATTAATCTATTCATTGTAATGAATTTTGATTATTTACCTAATTATTTAAATAATAAAAAATGAAAATTGAATATTTAGAAATAATTAATGAACAATAAACTTGTAAAAATAATCTTTCCTAGAATGATAATCAAAATAATTATCTTTTGAGTTTCAAGTAAAGGATGAATAAAATTTAATTTAAGCAAAGTGTTTACTCATAAAAAAATATTATTGTTAGTTAAATAAATAGTAAAAGAATAAATTAAAACATATAGTATAGAAGAATTTAACCGGATAATTACTTAAAAAAATTGTCAGATCTTTTTTCGGGCTGAAATGACGGTGATGTATGACATTGGCGCGTCGTTGTGTCAGACATCAAAGAGGAAGCGCGTAACAGTGTACTCAGGATGCAGAGGACGAACTCTGCAAGATCCCTTCGACCGTCGCGTGAGGGTCCGACGGATCGCAAGAGATAAAACTCAACGAGACGAGAGGAAAGAGTGACATGCTGATAGTATTCTTTTAATTTGTCGGAGATGCTTTGGCGGTTAATCAATTGCCTGCGTGATTACCATATGATTAAAGGAATTATAATACATGGTACATAGCTGCGTTTCCTTCATAATAAATTATGATTTAACGTTGATAAACATTTTGTCATCATAAAATTCAGATCACAAAATTTTTTACATTGATTTTTTTATTTTAATTTGTTGAAAAAAAAATTTTTTCAATGTTTATCGAATTCATCTTGAGTCTATGGTGTGATGGAAAATGTAAGAGAAATGTAAAAGAAACTTTAAAATGAAGACAAAATGGTTTGAATGGATGGTGCTCGTAAAAATAATGTTCTCTGGTGCTGATTATGCGTAAAACCGAGGCGGTGATGTGGAACACCACGCTGGTGAAGCTCTACATGCGCAATTGCTTCTTTGTCGCCTACGAGATATTTTTAAAAAATCTCTAACTCGTCTTTTTTTATGTGCTTAAGATATTTGTAAGCATTTGTAAGGGTAATGATCATTGAAAATTGAAACAAGCTTGTGAATTATATACAAAAAGCTCGACATCAGAATGACTCTTTACTATTTAAAGCTTTTTTAATTTAGCAATTGAATAATTATTCAGAACTCTTTATTTTCTTGTTTCCAATAATGTTTTATTCAAACATTAAAATAAAAAGAAATACAATATTTTTAGTAAATCCATTATTTTTTCAAATCCAAGCCTTTATTTCCATCTTTCAATGATCAGTGATGAGATTAAATACATCGAAACTGGCCATCTTTCCTCTTTATTTTAATTTCAATTAAATTTAAAAATTTACTATCAGTTATTATAATTATAGATCTATTTAAATATAATATTTAAAAGATTAATTGTTAGTTATTAAAAATTATTAATCTTACTTACTTTCCAATATTTTTAACATAATTTTTTATTCAATATTTATTTTGATATTGATTGAATTTTATTGATAACATACATTATAACATATATTATTTATTCAACAGAATAATAAAAAAGTTTTGACAATGTTTCAACATCAATATCAGTAAACACTCGATCCAAAGTAATGTCATAATCTTTTTTATACCAACTACTTTGAAGATTTTATATGTTCGAATGAAAATAGAATTTTATTGCAAGTGCATCGTCTACATTATCCATCAGCCTATATAATTTTCTCGACAATTGGCGAACACTCATGCGAATAATTTTCGAAGCAATATGTAATTTACTATTGTCATAAAGTGAAATTGGCATTGGAAGGGTGAGAGGTTGTATTAACTAATGCATTATATGTGAGAGAGAAAGAGAAAGAAGAAACTTGATGATAGCGGTAATATAGTAAAGCCACACGGTTAATCCATTACTAAGCTACAGAACGCACTTCTTGACGATGTCTCATTGCCGCCCACCAATTTGTCAACCATCAATTTTAACTCGTCGCAACACACACCATGGCATGCGTCGAGATCTTTAGCATTCGGGTTTTATATTTGATATTACATGAATAAGTATATGAGTGATGTGTGTAAGAGCCAACAAATATGTGTCTACACGCAACTCTTCACGCACATGTGCTTCTTACATGCAAAACACAAAGCTTCTTATTTATAATTTATTATTATATTATTTATGACCCTGAAGGTTTTTATTAGCTCCAAATATTTATTCGGAGAATTCTCAGTCATTTTTGGCACTCGCCGGGTTGCAAAAAATCGACGTGTCTATAAATTATCTTCCGGTTAATTATGAAAGTATTATGTGAGTTTTCAATTCTTTTATTTACTCCAATTTTAGTCGATTGGAAACTATAATTTTATTGATTAATTTTTATTAAAAAAAAATTTTCAAGTGTCACAACAAATTGGATTATAAAAAAATATATCATTATCAAAAATGTATCGGTGATCATTATTAATAATTTCCTTCAGATTTCAATAAATGAATGAATAATTATATTTAAAAAGATTTATTTAGTAAAGTTCATTTTGTAATTATGAAAATTCGAGTACTTATTAAAAATTTTGATTGTTTAGGTTTTTTTTCAAAATTTAAAATTTTGACAAATTTTCATTATAAATTTAAAAACATCCAAGTCTTTTATTTCTAAATACTTAATAAACTCTTGGATTTGTAGTGATGCAAAATAATCACATAATTAAGACCATTTTATTTAATTAATAAAAAACACTTTATTAATTTTCATTCACTTGAATGGCTTAATAAATTTATTCATAAAAATACAGGATTTATTAAAAAAAAATAGACTAGACACTAGTATTTTCCAATACAATAAAAATAATTGCATTAAAATAGAAAATGGAATTTGATAATTAATAGTTTAAAAAAAACCACAATAATAAAAGAAATTATTGCATACTCTTCCATCTTCATTCATTATTTCCGTTAAATTGTTCACAACAATTTTTCCTATATACTGAATGCATATTGGAGACCAAGGATACACGCTTCCTATACTCTGAACAAACTTCACTCATATTCTATTACTAAAACGAATGCAGATAGAAGGTTATGACATGTACAAACTCCTAAAAGCGATTCGTTCATCGATCCGCAAATACTGAGTGCCAGAGACAGCACTAAATCTTTCCACGCTTCACGATCACTTGACAGAGGAGGAGAGATTATATTCTTGCTTGAGCTTTATTTCTCAAGTCCACCAGTACCTAAATTTCTTAGCTCTTAGAGTGCGGTTACGCACGTGCAGTAACGTAGTCAACCAGGGAATGACGTATCGTCCTACAGGCGAACTTTTAAAATGTTTTTTCTTTTAATTATCCGCACTTTTATAAGCCGAGAAGGGCAACATTTTAAGTACATATTTACGAGACCCGCGGCTCCTTTACATAAGTTCTTTTCTATACTTCAATAAGTTAACTATTTAATTTTTTGCCGTCAGCTATATAATTTTTAAATAGTAACAGAAACTAGTAATGATACTGTCAGACCTATAAAGATCAAAGGAATATTTTAGTCTAATGTATTTCTAATAAATGATGTCTACTTAAAGTGATTAATAATTAATAAATTATTAAGAAGTATTTTTAAAATATTTTTTGTATAATTAAATTTTCTTCCGTTTTTTTTTGTTGTGAAATTTTGATTTTAAGTAGATCAATTAAGTTTATTTATAATTTTGTTACAGAAATAAAAAATACAGGGTCAAAAGATCCTACTCTATCAGCAATTTGTCCAAAATAACTTGAAAAATATTGAAAATAAATTGGAGCCTTAATTGGTGTTCTATACATAATCCAATTACACCTATGTGTTGCTAACGAGCATTAGGAAGTACTTAACGACATAATGATGCTCACCCACAACGAGAGCTTGTCACCGAAATTACTTTCTGTGATACGACGAACGCTCTTAATGATCCATCATTCTGTTCTGCTCTTATTTTCGCTGCAACGGAAGAAATCAAGTCATTACCTCCATCCACCCTCAAACCAACATTGGTAACTAAATTATTTTCTATCCAAGTTTATTGTTTTATAATAATAGCTTCTGTTTCATAATTCCTTGAAAAAAAAACATCCAAACTTGCTTGTTTATTGAATAAATTTTTTATTTTCAGGGTGATGGATTACTCGACTAATTGTCTGAAATGGATCAGTGCAATAAAACTTGCAAAAATTAACAAGACATTTATCGTCACTTAATACGTGAGTGGAAAATGGTGAAAAAGTTCAATTGTGCCTAATTGCAAGTAACGAACGTCGCCAATCAAGAGTCGCATTCTCTTCGACTGAACATCGCGCGCAAACCGAAGATGGCGACCAACATCGGTGTTCGGAGTAACAATGATATCGTTGGTTACCAGTAGTCCAATCGACGATGAGAATACCACGACCTTGGCCACACCCCCAGTGATATATTCAGATGGGGAGCCGCGAATTTCCCCACCGAGACGTCTAAAGCTCCGTCGAAATTCCGCGCCAGTCGCACGCTAGCTTTCCTAGTGTTTGCATCGACGTTTATCACGTTCATTAAATCCCTCGTGCGCGATTAATCATCACTTAATAATGTATACGATAATTATTTCACACCACATTGCTTGAAACAACTCATTAATTTTAATCTAGAAAAATTAACAAAAGATGAATCATTGACAAGTTTTTTATTTGTGAATTGAAAAAAGCCTGTTGGATGATAAAATAATTATTCATTTACCGGAAATCAGTGCTAATGAGTTCTAGTAAATAAAATTCAATAGTTTGTGAGAGTTGATGTGCATTATAATGATATAAATTTGTGGAAAACAATTTTTTAAAATTGAAATTAAAAAAAGTATAAAAATAATAGTTGTAGTAGAAGTAGGTAAATAAATAATAAAACCAGGATGGAGGTGCCAGCAGAAAAAATAGAACTGGATGTTGGACCAACAAGTGAAGAAGTAGATTCCACAGAAATTGATGTACCTCGACCTGCACCAAAGCCATTTACAATTGAGAGTTTAATTGGTAATAAAGGACAAGTGATTAATAGACAATTAGATGGGATTTCTAAATCAAATAATGGAGATTCTGAACGTGAAAGAGAATTTATGTATCAGCAGAGATATTTGGCAACGGTTACAAGTGCTTTGCCAGGTAATAACATTGCTTCATTGAAGTATCTATCAAATTAATAACCATCAAATTTAATTTACCAAGTTAATTTTAAAATTGGGTTGATTGGCAATTTTTCTAAATTATTCATGTTCAGTTTCTTGGTAATTAAATAAATGATTTAATTTAATAAACTAATCTTTTAAAAAATTATTGTAGATAAATCCATTAATGTATTATCATTATTTATCCTGTAGGATTTGCAATGCCACTAAGTCTCTATAGTGCATGGTTACCCATGAGGCTTTACGGTGGTGATGGATCATCAGCTGTAGGACCAATTTTACCACCACATCCGTCGGCTTCTTATCCATCTAATCAGATTTCTCAACTGTCAAATCCGCTTAATTTGGGTCTACAACATCTCCAAGGTGCTGCATATCCTGCTAGAGATTCTTTTCAAGGCATGACAGATAGTGAGGAAGATGATGGAAGTTTGTCTCCAGTTCAGTATTTGTCAAAGTCTCAAAATGGTTAGTTAATCATAATTGATGTTGATAATGAGACCTGATAAACTAAATAGTTAATGTAAAGAAATCATTTAGTTAATGGATAGATAATTTTTTAAGTGGTAGGTGTTGAAATACACCAACTAATAAAGTTAAAACGTCTTCATAATCACGTATCCCTGTGGCTACGAGTTGTGAATGACCGATTATCTATATTATTGAAGTTCTGCCGCAGGTCCAATTTGTATGCGAGACCAAGATGTGGTTCTCCGAATTGGTCGTTGGTTTTTTTTTGTTTTTCTTCTTATTATTTTTCGTACATCAGAGAATCATTTAATTCACGAATTTACTATCAATCATTGCTTCGAAATCAGAGACATAAAATATTCAAAAGACACTTGGGAGCAAAAATGATTTTAAACGAAGAAAAAAAAAGCCTTGACCGCAATTATTTCTTATTGTATTAAATACTTTAATTGTTCATTTATTTTTTATTAACAGATTTTTCATGTTATTAATTACAAGACAATAAGTCTTAATGACTTTAAATGTCATTCAAAATTTTTTAATTTGTTTCAACAATATACACATATTCTTAATCCTCATCTATCAATAATTTTTAAGTGCTCTTTGAATTATCTCATCTAATTAAAATAATTCATTTGATTAAATTTCCTTTTAGAAAATCCAATAAATTCTCAATTCGGGGCAGTAAAAGATAATGGAGTAAATTTTAGACTTAATCTAGTACATATGCATTTTTAATTCAATGGCTAATATATTCCAGTGTGAATGGTAATGATATTAAAGTTTAAACACTTGTACCAAAAATATATATTCCGGTTATTCAATTTTGCATGTTTAAATTCATGTTATTGATAATTACTTCCGGCTTGAGGTCGTCGTTTTACTGCATCGTTCAGTCATTCAGAGAAGCGCGCAGAGTAGATTATTTTGGAATAAGGCTAAGAGGTAGTGAGTGATAATCAATATAATCTACAACGGAATATAACTAAAAGTGTAAAGCTTTTAATTTATCTTCACTGTATAAAAGACGTTCACTAATATTAGATAGTTACAATTGCATTAATTTTTTTTGTTCAATTATTTAATTAATTACTACTTCCATCTCAATGATTTTTTTTTAAATATTATCAAGATTCTTTTAAATATTTCAACATCTAGAGCAGAAGATTTTAGTTAATATTTTATAAATCCGATTTATTAAATTTTTTTTTCTTAATTAATTAGTCAAAAGTATTTAAATAAAATTATTCTTGAGGGATTAACATTTGATGATAAATATTTCTGAGATATAATATTCTTTTGAAATTAGTTAAAAACCTTAAATTTCCTCTTTAATGTTTCTAATGAAAAAAATACCTTTCTTACCATTTTTAGGAACATCTGTGGTCCTAATACACTTGGGTATTTTATTCATTGCAAGTAGGGACCCTGTCATGTGTTGGACATGACATGGGAGGATCACTTGATATCCCCGAAAAGTGCGTGGCAAAAAAAAAATCTCAAATGACTTGACTTCAATCGATATCATAACACAAATTCATTCTCTTCTCATGTCATATTCTTACTTCGATATAATTCTATTCATTATTAAAATCCATCTCGAGCTTTTGAGCTTGACGTAATTATAACGACTCTAATTCGATTAAAGTCCCAGAACTCAATTGAAACTTAATGAGTTGCTAATTATTTCAATATTATCATTTGATTTATATAATAAAGTTAAACAAACAAATTTATAAAAAAAAGATAAATTATTCGGAGCGTGAATTATGACGATGAAAAAAAAAATTATATTTCTCAAATAATTGTTATTTGTTTATGCAAATATATATTTAACATTAAAATTTATTCAAAATTAAAAAATTCATCTTTATCGATACCACACTTTTTTCTTTGTCTTTATTGAATGTCCGATAATTGTATTAAAGTTTAAACACCTACTAATTGTATAGTCTTACTTGTAATGTGGGTCATAAATCCTTTTAATGTTTCTCCAATTATGTTATACAATATGAGGAAAGTGAATAAAGACAGTCTTTCTCTCAACTGCAAATGAAATACTTATAATACGTAACATAAATCGACATGATTTAACTTGGGTATATTTTTTCATAAATTTCAATCTAAAATGAAGAATTTAATTTTTGATAAGAATAAAATTGCATTTTATATTAACTAATCATGTTATATTAACTCAAATTGAAACGACGTAACTCGAGGATTGCCTATATTCTAAAAATATAATTTCTCGCTTGAACGGAGTATTTATTAATTCATCCTCTGATATGGCACTCCAATTGACGTAACGAGATTGAATAAAGACATCAATAGACATTTTAAATTTTAAACAGGATGTTATTAGATGTGTTAAAATAACTTTTTAAATGAGTTCACTACAGAATTATTTCAAACAAAAAATTATGTATTTAGTATATCTTTTTTTTTTTTTTATTCAACTTTACTTGAGAGTTATACTATGTTTTTTCTTTACATTTAATTACTATCAATCAATTCTGGTATGCCAAGCATACACATTCTTACATCTAATCGATTGTTTCCCGTTGAAATCGTGTATTATACTGAACGATAGTGTAAAGACACTTGTCCCACGTGGACGTGTTACTTATTGGTGTATTTCACGTGAGTTATTGTTTCACTCACGGAAGCTAGTGTTTCAGATGCTCTACCATAAAATCGAAATCCCTTTAATAAATGAACAGGAGTCGTGTCGCTGTTTTAACACATCATATTCAAAATGCTGTTATTATTACTAGATATACAAAATAGCAGGTTATTTTCTTTGTTCTTTTTCTGATGAGTTCTTTGAAAATGAAATTATTATTATGTTTTTATCATCCCTTTACTTGTTAATATTAGCATGGATTTTATTGATTATATCATTTTCGTCAAGTTTTTAAATAGTTTTTTTTTAATAAAATCAAACTGTTTTTTATTTCAGATTCAGAAAGTGGTAGAATGTCAGCTGAAAGTGATGATGAGGGTGTTAGCAACGATGTTTCAGGAAGTGGACGAAGGGAGTCATCAAGTTTAGCAGGCGGAAGTGGATCTACTACTAATAATAACAGTAGTAAAGCAAGAAGAAGAAGAACAGCTTTTACTTCTGAACAATTGCTCGAACTTGAGAGAGAATTTCATGCAAAAAAATATCTTAGTCTCACTGAACGTTCACATATAGCTCATACATTAAAGCTATCAGAAGTTCAAGTAAAGATTTGGTTTCAAAATCGTCGTGCTAAGTGGAAACGAGTAAAAGCTGGTCTCACTGCGGGAAGTACTGGATCATTAGGTCGAAATGCTGGACAATCAGGTAATAATGGACCACGAATTGTTGTTCCAATTCCTGTACATGTTAGTAGACTTGCTGTAAGATCTCATCATCATCATATGGAAAAGTGTCCACCTCAGACATCCAACACTAGACCTCTTAATTCTCCAGGGTGTGGTTTGAATAGTTTAAATACTAATTTATCAACAAGAATTGGTCCAACAATATCTGGAATTTCACAAATAAATTCTGGTGGTGGCTTAAGGGCTTTTACTGTTCCCTTACATCAACAAAGTACTGCAGGAAGATAGCTGAGTATTTGAAATTAATTTGCAAGTATAATGATGGAGAGAAAAATGATTTTTAAGAAGAGAAAAATTATTTGAGCATGCAAAATATGTTATAAGTAATTCTGAGTAAATCTTTGATATAAAAAGTTTATTCTTCAATTTTTTATTCAAATAATTTTTCATTTTTTAAAAATAACTTTCATCTTCTCTTTTTAATGGATAGTTTTTTTTAAATATTTAAGTACATACTTATTTTATACGAAACATGAAAGTATATTTATATTATTACACATGTCATGTATATATAATTGGTTTGTTGGGCGCAGTATAGATTAGTTAATCATTTTTGTGATATTTACATTAACAAGATAGCTCATATATCTGGTTAGTATTGATTATCGAACAAAGGAAATGGAATTTGAAATGTAGCTATCTGTTCTTCTGTACACATTGAAAATGTAAAAGCCACTCCCGTCGCATCATTCTTTATTTGGTTGAAAGATATTATATTTATCTCAGTGGCCATCAGCTGCTAAGCGGATTTAATTCATAGACTTCGCCGGTGTTTGAGTGATTGGGAATATATATAAAAAATTCAATATATTCTACTTGTACATATTTTTTATAACACATTCAACTCTTTATGTATACAAACATCCACTAATAAAATTGCAGGACAATTCGTATGAGTGATTACCGAAAATTTTATTAGAATGAAACTCATTTCAGATATCAAAATATGTTTTTTTTTGTTGAATTTAGCATCATCAAATATTTAAAATTGAATTACAGCACGAAATTCTTTAAAATAAATAAGTAATACTAATTTGCAAGAACTACTTTAATAATAAGTGTAAACGTTATCAAAACTTGTTAATTATTTTAATTACATTTAATGACATCCATTAATTTTTATGACCATTCAATTACGATATTTTTTCAGAGTGTAATGTACTTTAATGATTATTTAAATGATTTTAAAAATAATCTATTACTGAAATTGTTTTAAAACAATTTGTTTTAAAACACCTTAAAAAGGTATTCAACAATACAATGTATACTTTGTCAAGCTGGAGGAAACTTTCAGATAATTTTTTTAAATAATTAAGTATGACTAAAAAATTCAAATAATGTCTATATTGTTATGATATTTATAATCAAACAAAAGTGATGTAGATAATTATAATGAATAAGAATAATAAAAGCATTGTTTATTGAACATAAAACAGAGTGTAAATAATCCAGAAGATGCTCAGAGCGTAAAATGGGCATTAAAATCTATACTGTCTAGGATTGTAAATAAATAATGAAATATAATAAACTATTAAGTATATTAGAGCACGAAAGTATCGTTGTAAAATTTTAGAGGAAATAAATATGCATAAAAGAGATATTAATTAATTCACTAGATATATATATGTATAGGAAAATAATAATATATAAATATAAATATATTAAAATATGAAATAATATAAAACATCAATTGATGCGAATATATGCAATAAATCATGTTATCAACTATTTAAAATAAAAAAATATCTCATAAATTTTGGATCTTTTTTATCATTATTTATCATCATCGGCATCAGTATTTTGACAATTTATTGAAAAAAGCAACACAAAGGTAGTGATCCCTTTTAAAACGCCCTGCTTTTTGACTTCCCAGACAGTTTAACCATCAGCCCATCACATGATATTGTCAGTGATGCAGTAGATGTTTGGTGTTTGAAAGGTGTACAGCATATATACGTCAAGTCTATATGGTGCAAAAACACAATACCTCGTGCAAAAAGCAGCAATTCGGCAATTATTCTCACGACAACTCAAGTTACAATTGGTTACAAGTCAAATTTACGGAATAATGATAATAATGAAGAATAAAAAATATTGAAAAAAATTTTGGAAAACGATTTTAACTGTTATAATGCCATGTGCAACTCGTGGGCGTGACAATGCCCATATGCTGTGAGCATTAACCATCACACGAGTTCGATATAATTCTGGTTGTAACTAACCCTGCATATAATTTATTTTGCTCTTAAACCACAAAAATATTCGTATTTGTGGGCTGTGGAATTGAGGTAGGATTATTTTTAATCCTTCAATAAAAATGTGTACAGCTATGGGTTGATTCTGTAATCAATTTTTTTTTGATTATTTTTTATTCTATCATTTTTATTAACAATTATTCATTTAAAGAAAGAATAAAAATATTCACCAGTTCATATAGACGTTCATAAAATTAAGTTGCTAATTATTGAATCTTGAAAATATTTTCTATTTACATTCTTACAAAAAAAAAAAAACGTCTAAAACCTTTGCCACATAGTGAATATTCATTTATTCATTTGCAATTTTGAATATAACATTAATTCGAGCTAATAGCAATGTGTACTGGCAAACTAGTTTAGCATTGATGATTGTCATTACTTCATTTATAAGAACTGCTGAATGTTAAACAAACATTTCACATCTTTAAATAGATAAGTACACATTAAATATTAAAAACAAATTCTTCATTACAGAGAACTTATGTTCTACATTTTCTTATTTCATGAACATATAATGTTGATTGTTTAAAAATACTTTTTAACAGTAATAAAATATTCTTTAGAGCTAATAAGTAACATTAAAAGATGACACAATGCCTTAACAGTCAAAATGAAAGGATAGATTATCGTTATTACTATTAATCTACAAAATAGATAATAAAATGAAGGACAATTATTTATGATAATATTAAAAAAGAAAGAATACTTATGTACCATCGATCATTGGGGTTAATGACCATCAATAGTGTTCTTATTGTGCAGTAGGTACATACAAAAAGCTCAAAGCATCCCTCTAACTACAAGGGGTGACTACAGAGAAGGTATAAGCTGTTACATCTGAAAACATATTATAGATCTACATTCATATACATAACTTGTATTTGCAGCAAACTTGGATGTATGTAAATGTACCGTATATACACATATTCACACTCATACGTGCATAAATATGTTTGTATTATATATACTCCACCTAATACCTAATATAATAATATAAAGAGAGTGCATTACGGATACCCTATAAGAGCGCAGTCGTTTAGCCCATCCGCAATCTCGACAGTTACCGTTCACGCGCCGAGGAAGATAAATCATCTCGCGTTTCCACCACGCCCAGTCGACGACAATGTGCTACGTACCTACCTTATACCTACACATCTGTACCAAATATTCACGCTCTTTATCCTCTCCAACGTTTTTTTTTCTGCCCTTAATGAAAATATTCTCGTTTTATTTATAAAAGTTTATTTTTTTCTCGTTAATTTACCTGAAAATTATTCCAAAAGTAGTATAAATCAATAATATGCTCGAATTCAACTCAAAAGTATTAATTGAGCAGCAGTTTATGATAAAATCAATTTGATTAAATTATTTTATTGGCTTTTAATCATTTGTTGATTTTAAAATTGTTGAAAAAATTTTTTTTTAATGAGAAAAGGATTATTTTAGTAACATGAGTTATTTTTTATATAAGTATTGATAATGAAATAGATAAAATTATCGAGAAAATAAAAAAAAATTTGTTAATTTACTTTAAAGCTTTGTCGATGCATCAAATTATTTGTGTAAAGGTAATTACACACTTAATTTCATTAATGAGCATTAAAAGTTTATTTGATAAACGTGTGTGTGCTTTTATTAGAAATTCAATTAAGGTTATAGCCCCAGTTACTTAATGATTAACCCCGAAACGTGAACTTTTCAGGTAATGATATGCCTTTTATTGAACACTTGAATTATCTATCAATCAATAATTAATCATTTCATTCATATTTAACTGATAGATCTCTCATAGATTCACTTAGAAACACAGATATTCCATTACAAAATGTAAATTTAATTTATTCAATAATATTCATTAAGCATTAACAAGAAATAAAACAATTTTCAGTAGTATTAATCAATAATATGTTAATGGTTAATATGTTAAATTTTTATTACAATAAAATCTATAGTTTACTTCCAAAAATTAAGTTCCCTGAATAAATAACAAACATAAGTAGATAATAAATTTTTCAATATCAATAAATTGATTTAAAAGCCTATAAAATATTTAATTATGTTAATTATCGTCAATTAAAGTTTAGATTTCCATCATTTTAGACCCAAATGGAAAAAAAATATTACCATTATTTTTTGTGGTCTCTAGACAATTTGTCGAATTTTATATACATCGCAAAAGCACCCGGAAGTAGTTGATGAGCCATGTCATCTTTCTGAAAGCCACGTGACTGAATCTCAAACGTTTCCTGACGTTCCATGGGGATGTCGACGCATGTCACAACTACTCTAGACCTCAGACCACTTATACAATTGTATATAGCTATTGTAAGTATATATGTAAGTCAACTTTTGCGACTATTGGAGTAGAATGATATAAAAGAAGAAAATAAAACTGGAGGTCCCAGAAGATTCTTCTTCTTCCGCCAAACAAAAACTCCAGATGAATAGTCGGTCATATGTGACTCTGTGGGATGTGCACATACATACAGCAGTTAAAGGCACGAGCCGGATCTTGTTCAATATATGAAACAGAGTATTGTAGATGTTGGGTTAACCACATTGAACTGGTGACAAAAGGTCCTCAGAGTATTGCCACGCGTTCCTTCATGGCTTTTGTGCGTTTGTATTTGTGAACATAATTGTGAGTATCAATATACAGATATGAAACAGTGGTATAAAAATAATAGGAATGGTTGAAAAAATTATAATGGGCTAAATGGACATGGATAATTTGTCATCAATGATTTGTAGACGAACAACACCTCCTACCATTCTTCTATTAATCACCAAGTACTGCCTGGTGGCTACAGCCTACTTATTTGTATTTTATTATCGATTTGAAAATTTATTGTTAATAAATTATTCTATTGGATTGATTGATTCTATTGATTTATCATTTATTTTAACTGCAAAGTATTTTTTAAAGGTAAATTTGAATAAAAAAAATATTTTTCTCGTAATCTCGAGTTAACTTTGGAGTTGGGATATCATTTTTAGGAACTTCAAGTAATTAAAAGAGAAAAACGGAGTATTTTGTTTTGAACAAAAAAAATTAAAGACTTCTAGACCCTTTCATTCGCAGGGATGAGATATATGACAGAGATCTGATGGGTTATATATAAGAAAAATAATAGGCAAGGGAGACATTAACGGTAGCTTTGGAGCATGGATTGAGAGTAAAGGTCACATATCACATCTCCAAAGATTCGTCGTGCTCTCGAGTCGACACGACTATTTGAGCAATTTCACGGCCACTTCGAGCAGATCGGGTAAATTGTTCCGATACGAGATTTGTCTCCTACCCTGAAGCGAGTGTGGGAAACAGCCGGGCAGTGGCCCAAAAGAGGGTTGTCATTTTTCTCGCTTTCTTTATTTCAGTCAATCGTTTGTGCATTTGTCTGTGACGTGATTATTACAATAAATATATTTTTACACTTGAAAAAAACTTGATCCAACTAATAAAATTCTTTCCAACAATTCGCAACATTTTTTTTATTAATTCCCACCCTTTCAAAAGTTTAACAAATCAATTAAATATCATTTTTCAAAGCTACAAAAATATTTATCAATTAAGTAGCATTTTTTTCAGACGAATCAACAAATTGCTGTGAGATATTACTAGTGAATATTAATAGTTAATAATGAAAAAAGTCAATAAAGAAAATAGAATGTTAATTTCATAAATTAAGGAGTCATAATTTATTGAGCAAAATAACTCGATAAATCGCGAATGAAATATAATATGTATGTGAGAAAGGAAATTTGTGATAATAATATAATAAAAGCAGCGAGAATGAAATTGCTCACTGGCTTGGCCGTAACTAGGGACAGAGAGTATAGAAACGGCCCCCCTTGTGGGTGACTTTGGGGTGTAATTGCTGCAGTGGGCGGAGCGGAGTAAAGCTTCGTGCTGATGGGCGTGGCTCGCTGATTACACCGCCACGATACTGATATCTTCGCTTTATGTTGCTTTTGTCCTACCGACCTCCCAGAGGTACCTATTTCCCCTCACTTCACTTTTATTCCCGCAAATACACAAATAGGTCTCGCCTCGTCAATTTTTAATAAGTCACTGTTAAAATTGTCATCTAAGTTTGTTATTAAACATGTTTTTTAACTTTCTAATGAGCATAAGTATACAATGTTTGTGTTGTTCAACTTTTAGCTTTCCCTCCAAGAGCTTTGTATATTTTTTATTCATTACTTTTTTAAAATTACTCCAACTTCGTGTTAAAACTTTTGATGATCATTAGAGAGCATTGAAAATTATTTTGATTAATTACTTATCTAATAAATGACATTATTAAATGGTCTACATTCTTATAAGTCATTTAAAACGACTTTATTTCATTGAAAAAAGTGATTAATTTTAATTAATAAATATTGCTATTAATTGAAAAAAAAATCTGTCTAAATTACTTAACACAATATAATGTTTACAATAATTAAATAATCTTAATGATCATTAAAGATAATTGCTTTTCATTCAGTTTATTTATTTTTCAGTAATGTTATCACATTATTGACATAATCCACGAGTTCTCGATATTCAGTAATTTTCCATTAGTTAAATAGTTTTTGTCAACAGAAGATTCTTTCATTTTAAGGCAGATTATTTTTGGTTAATAAAAAAATTATTCGGTCAATAGTATTAAAAAATGCATCTATCAGTTTGCCAACAATAGAGTATTATAAATGTGCTTCATTCTGTCGATTAAAATTTAATTCAATGTAATTTTTATTAAAAAGAAAAATAATTCATCTCAATAGTTAAATTCCCTCGACTCTGAACCTGAATACCAGAATATATACAATACTGTATACACAATTGGGGATAATTCATTGGATATACGTAATATAAAACGAAAACATGAGCGTGCGCGTCTGCCTTGGGTTATATCTGCACTACTGGTCCACGCCCCGCTGACTGGACTGTTTTTTATTGCCGGTCTACGATTCAGTGGGAGAGAAATTGTCCGACCGATCGCCACGGGAATTCCCACATGACGACTTGGACTATTTTTTAACAACACTTGTGGTTAGATCGAAAGACGAAGGAGTAAAAGAGACACTAGAGTATGAATATCGAGTAGAATGAACCAAATAACAAGTCCAATACACTTTGAGTCAGCAGTTGTGTAGCATTTATTCCTCGTATTCTACATTTACACAAAACAAGTTCCTATGAAGAAGAATTCAATTTAAAAGAGAACATTTTATCTTGAATTGTTTATTATTAAATGATGCATTTTTTAATCCTTCTCTCATGAAACCAACTAAGTAATGCATTTTTGCAAATTTATTCTTAATTTAATTCGAATAATTTAGCATTGATCAAGTATAATTAATGAAAAGTGCATCATAAAATAATCATTGATTGAATGATTGATGAATTGATAATATGAAACCTTTTAACATCAGGATGTTATAAAAATTTCATTTACTTAAAGATGTAAGCTAACTTTTCTATTACGTACGTAGTAGTGCAACAAGATATATTGAAAATAATCTCATTTGACTGTTTCATTAAACATTTAAAAAGTCTCAGCACGTCAACGAATAATCGATGATTGTCTTTTCGATATCATTATTATATTATACAAATGCAATGGGTTAATGGACGAGTACTCGTTAATTATTTGTTCAGTCTATTGTTTGGTGTAATTTATAAATGATAATTTACGTATGAGGACTTAATTAAGTAGATAATTGGCCAGTGATGAATATAGATGAATATTTATACACATGTTAGGATTTTGTGTAAATGTAATACATACATATATGTAAAGTTGATAGTTGATATATCATGGATCGCACAGTCTTTAGTGTCGCGCCGTCACCGCCACAAAGAAACACACGTCGTCTGCATACGAAAATGTCACGCATCTGCATCTGTCTGTCATTGTTTCTGAATCTCCGCTTTCTTTCCTATCTGTCGGTCTGACAAGTGTGTCGTCTGTAAACATATGATACCGTTGAACTCCCAAATTCCTAAGCAATTGTCATGTGTTTTGGCAATGACAACTAGTTTATGTTTTTTCTCTTCTTTATGTTAATCAGAGAAAAGGTTTAAATAACTCTGAATATTCCTATAAATAACTAAATGGTTTCTTATTAAGACATTATAAACTCTGGGATTAAATGTTGATAGTAATAAGTGTGTTAAATTTATTTACTTACTTACTTAGAATTAATATTTTTAATGTCTCTCTTCTACTTTTTTCCAAATTCATTTGATGACATTAAAGAAGAAAAAGAAAATATTCAAATTTGATACATTTGCGATGAGAAAATATCGTTTAAATTAAATTGAAATTAATGACATCGAAAGTATTTTGGTCGTACATTTTGATACGAATTTAAAAAATTTTAAATTTATTTTAAAAAGACATTTTTTAATTAAAATAATCATTAAAATATTTAAGTTACATAATTGAATACTTTTTAGTTTTAATACATGAGGGTAACTGAATTAAAACCAAAAAGATGTAATTTAAAATTATTTCAATTTATATATAATTTGATCAACGCGTGGTTTTATAATAATAGTTTCAATATCTGAAGGGGTGTTAGGGTTACATTTAAGTACATGAGTGATCCTTTTTCACTTGGGCTCACTTACAATCACCCTTTTGCATTCACGTATGCATGAATTACTGCTTCATTCATAATTCACGTGCGAAAACCTCTCACTACTATTCATTCCCTATAAGCTTCCGCCTATCGATGTAACATAAAAAATTTAATCTTCACTGGTAATGAACTTTAAAAGGTCACGTGCAATTGATCACTTTAATTTAATTGCATTGACCTAATAATGGAGTGATGAATAAATAAATAAACAAATGTATAAACTTAATTAATTGATATTAATAAGAAGAAATAAAAAGATCAATTACATCATTTATATAATATATTCCATCAACGATACACTTTTTAATAATTAATTAGTTCATATACATGGTATAATCATTTTTTAATAACGAACAAAATTGGCTATTGAAACATCGCTTAAATACGCAATTGATCTAACATTATATTTAAGAATAAATGTCAAGACTGGCTGACGTCAGTGACACTTCATATTCGCTTCATATTAAATTATAGAAGTTTTTTTATATATTTTCTTTGCTGCATAGAAGCATAACAAATTATTTTACATTCAAGCGTGAGTCATATGAGCTAATTAAGCTCCATTCTTTTGACAACTTCTACTAAATTCCATCACATGATAATATTAAACCTCGCGATTGTCTTAAAATAATCTATCTTTATTGGTCTTTAAATTAAAATTAATCATAGTGACTATTTTCAACGACCTCTACTTTTATTTTCACATTTAATGTAATGAGATAAGACGGCTTTCGAGATCATTTGAAGATGGAAAAATATTTGAGTTTATCATTTATCGATATAACTATTTTTTTTGCCGTCAATTTCTCATTGTTTACATATACATATTCATGTATATTATATTACGATATACTTCTTTAATATACTATTAATAAACAATAATAATTTAAATAAAACATTTACAAAGACACAAATAAAAGTTATGATACAATTAATTGACAAATTACGATATACAACATACCATAATTAACTATTATAATTAATATATAACACATAAATAAAACTGTGTAATATATTTGGCATTAAAATGAAGATCTTTTATGGATTATTATTTTTTTATAATAAAATTTCAGTAATTGATAATTTAATTGTAACTATTTTTGTCAATTTCCATAATAAAACTTATTGTAAAATTTTTTTTACGATATTCTTTAGTTTTCATTGGTTTATTTTTGTTTATTTAAATAAAGGATATATATTTTCTTTTGTCAATATTTGTTATTTTTAAACGTTAAAGCGTGTCTCTGAACCGTCTGCTAACATTAGAGTGACAGTTCGATTATTTATCCAAATTAAACGGGCCAGCCGCATTGGATTTAATCGTGTAACATCATTTATTGGTGCTGTACTGTACGACTTGACACAGCGAGTTTGAGAATTTCCTAGGCCAAACATTCCACTACTCGTTTGCTATAATTAATTAATTTATCACATTATAAAAATATACCTTAGATTATTATTATAATAAACACTATATCTACTAGCATCATTACTTTTCTATGTTTTAAAAAATAAGCTACATATCGATAAACAAAATGCATTAAGATAATTAAATTAACATAAAATTTGATAAGGATTAAGATGAAAAATAAATCAAATTAAATAGAATGTTTAGAAAAATGATAATTACCTGCCAGAAGCAAAGTTTATTTTCCGAACAAGAATAACTGACTAAAAACTTTCCCTCAGGGGAAAAGGCCAGAGCGGTGACAGGACCTTGATGGGCAGACACTAGTTGACATTTGACGTTACCCCGTAATTCGTATAATGCTAATTGACCTAGCCGACCACCGACTGCTATTCTACGAGTTGCTGAACAGTGGCTGACCTGAAATCAATAAATATGAACCGTTAATTTTATCACTGAAGTTTGTTTACTCAATAAAAAGGATAAATAACAGATTAAATTTCGATCATTTATTTATAAAAAATTATTCATTAATTTCAAATGAATACAGCTACCTGATTAAATCTGCATACTGCTGGGAAAACTTCATTAAGTGGTTTCGTTTTCAAATGACCAGGATCCAGACAATGCAAAATTATATCCATAACTTCGATTAATAAATCACTCATCTCACTTTGCATTTTATCAATCAATTGCTCAACTATTCTAAGAATTTCTGGTTTAGCTCTAGCGAGAACGCTAGCGTTCAAATTAACATTAAGAGTTTGTGCGTTTTGTTGAAGAGTATTAAACCTTGCAACTTCTCGAGCCATAGTGGTAATAAATGCAGCAGGTCGAGCTGTGGCAATAAGAGTTAATGCATGCCGTGCAGTTCTGCAAGTGTCGGCTTGTGGAGTCAAAGGTAAACCATACGTCATGCTTGGTACAAGTTTATCAGCATCACAACACATTTCAAGAAGTCCGAGAAGAACTTTTGAAACATCTAAATAAGGCTCCCAGACCGTAAAACCACGACCTATTAGATCAATAGCTGCTCGTCTTAAAGATGTGTGCATTGGTAGTTTCGATGAATGAGGCGCAAGTAGTAAATGTGTTAAAGCCATGCTAGTATGTCTTGCTAAATTATTATTTCCAATTCCAAAGCCTTCAACCACAGAACTCTTCCGCCGTTGATCACTGTCTCTTCTTTGATTAGTTGTAGAAACATTCTGTCCAAACTCAGCTCCAATAACACCTAATAGTACTACTGCGGTCGTTTGTTTTCTCTTTAACTCTGCGGCACTTGAAGGTTTCCGAGTGGCACAGATTTCTTCAGCAGCCTCTTCCTCTTCATCATCTTCATCCGGTTGTGTATTTTCTACAGTCGGTACAGGACTTGAAGAAGATGGAGAATGATTCTGAGGCTGTGGTGCAATTGGTTCTTGAGTACTGTACATTGGAAGATACTGAGACCAATAATCTACCAACGCTTTCCTACCTTTAGGACCTAATCTACCTAATTCGGCAAGTAAGAGAGCTTGAGCTGCTTCTCGAACTTCTAAACATTGATGTTGCCATCTCCTTGCCATCATTTCTACTTGTGGACGCTTGAATGTCTTTGCTCCTCCTTGAGCAGCAACTTTGTCAGGCAAAAGAACGCAATGCAAAGTTGCTAGAAGTGACCATCCTTGTTTTATTTGAGCTTGTTGAACTGTGTACATTTCTTCATTTTCCTCTTCAGCTTTATTCCAATTAACCCCAGTACGATTTCCTGGTCTATGCATTTTACGATTACGTTCTTGCTCAGGTACAAATGTGGCATTATTCATAGACATTAAAGTATTAGCTAACGCAACAACTGCTAAAAGATGATTACTAGTAAGTGTTGTTGATAATTCCCAATGTGCTCGAGCAGTAAAGGCTTTAGTAAGGCGATCTTGACGAATCATTTCAGGTGGTAGACGTTGCTCCAATTGAGTTATTGGTATGATTGAAAGATCCAATTGGAATTGCCACGTTGGTAGCAATAATGACATGTACCCTAAACATAAATAATTTTTTAATCAAACCCATTAATGAACGTAAAAAAAAATTACAAGAGATGGTACTTCTATTAATAATTATAACAAACCTCCTTTTGATAAAACTCCAAAAGAGATTGGTACCATGGGTCTCAACAATCCTAATTTACTTTCACAAACTCTATCTAAGTCTGGATCCATCCCCCAAGCATGAAGAAGACTCAACAACAGTTGTGCTATCTCCATTGTGGCATTGGGTTCATTAAAATTCCCATTGCGTTTCAAACTGTTTCTTGCAACATCATTGTTATTCCATCCTTCACCTATGAAAATTAATTAACTCAATAGTATAAAAACATCAATAAAGTTGTAAATTTGGAAAAATTCTTTAAACAGTGAAAATAATTAAAGTGTTGGATCGTCATAAAACCAACACAATTAACGACTTGCTGGCATAATGAAAATATGAAGCAAACTAGAAAATTCGAAGAAAACAATTAAATACTGTGACGATGAATTGCGTCATAAAAACAAAGCAAAATGTATAATATTAAAAATACTTAAAATATCTATAATTCTAATAATAATAGTTTTACTAAACAAATAATGATTATGTTAAAAAATTATGATAACTATAACTATTGCTAGAAATAACAGCAGATATTGATAATAAAAGTGGGCAGAAAAATCCATGCGATCTTGAAGAGAAATGCACTTCGATCATCATTAAAATTCTACCTTTGCCGTCAAGATTTAACGGCCTGAGGCCAACGCTTTCAGCTTTTGCCTGCAACTTAGTGTGTACGTTTTCTGCACCCTCCTTCATTTTAGCCAATATACCTGGGACAAGAGATTATCTCACTAGTTACTTATTCAGGAACTTGAAGTTCAATACCATTCAAACCAAATCAAATTAACTGAACAATTTAAACCAGCAGAAATTTTGCAAAACTTAATCAAATATAAAAGCTGGAAAACTAAAAAATATTAAAAAATTATCGGATTGATACGAATGGTTATTAATTTTTGAAATAAAATTATTTACGATAAAAATGAATAAATTTCATCATGAAAAAATCAAATCATATAATCAATTATTATTGTCAATCCAATAATTCGTAAAAACAAAAAAAAAAAAAACAAGAAACAAAAAATTCAATAGCATTGAGAGTAAATCGATACCATGACGATCTTTTTCCTTCAGCATTCGTTCAACATCGCCTGCTTTATCCTTGACACGACCAAAAAAGTCTGCAGCCGTACAGAACAGATAAAAAACATTCAAATATATTTTTCACCATATTGTGAGGTATTTTCTGTATACTTGTAACGATAATCACGTTTGTTTTGACCCATTAGCACATGCAGGCTTACCTGCAATTTTTTTATGAGCATCGGGACTTGCTGATTGGGTCAATGCTGCTACTTTTTGATATTCTGAAGCTGAAATTAAACCCTGAGCCTCCAATGATCCCGGAGACATTGAACCATACTCCTCACTCAATAATTGTACTGCGTGAAACATATTAGCAAAGTCGAACATGCTAAATGCTTAGCTCTTATAGTATTATTACGAGTGAGATATAAAAGTTATTTTATATTACGGTTGCAGGATCAAGAAGGCATATTATTAGTGAAGATGATAATAAAATTCAACAATTACCTATCAACGCTTCAACATCAAAAAATAAAATATGGCTTTCTGGATCTTTTGGATTACTACGGAAGCCTTGAATCATTAACGGTACTCCTTTAGTTTTCATATGACAATCCTGTTCGTTACCATGACCCCCATGAAGTTGTTGAAGCTGGTGTAAGCCTCTCTGAGTTGCATGACGAATGGCTGATAAATTGCGATGTCGTAGACCTCTGTAAATAGTTGTATTAGAATAATATATATTGTAATAAATATCATATAACTATTTCAATGTTTACCTAAAGAAGTGAACAGCAGGATTGGCTAAGCCTAATTCACCTCCAGCAGTCGAACCACCAGCTGCTGCAATTGTATTCTCATCACATGCATACAGAACTTCTTCAGCAATTATCCCATGAAGGACACGATCTAAATGACCTGTTTCCATTTGCCACACGTAAACAGCTCCATCAGAGCATCCAATTATCATAAAATCGTCCAACGGTCTCCATTTAATTGTAACAACTGGGAATAAATGTCTTGAAGCTAAAACTACACATTTTCGTTCCGCTAAAGAAAGAAGAGTAACACTGTGGTCTGAAGCAACACTGCAGACACATTTTTGTATTCTTGGCTGTAAATTAAAATTTGCTTTTGAATTTGATTCTAATAATATTGTATTTTTAATGAAGTCTATTTTAGCAAACTTACACTACTATTATCTGGAGGTATCATTAACTGTGTTATTTCACCAGCATGAACACAGAATCTATGAATCAATGTTCCAGCATAGAGATCCCACAAACAAACAGCAAAGTCAACAGATCCTGATACCAGATGGGTTCTATCATAGCGCGAAGCAGCACTATGAGGATATAAAAGACAATTGACTCGACCAGAATGACCAAGTAGAACTTGATGAGGTGGCCAATCATCATAATGTTGATGATTACCATGAAGTAGTTGTAACATAACTGTTTGTGTTGCAGGAACAATAATAATACTACCATCTTCTCTACCAACAACTAATCTACTCTGTTGTGGAAGATATATGCAAGCAGTCAATTTAATTCCATGACCATCTCCAGTATCCATTTGATCTAAAATTCCTACAGGAGGAGGTTTCATTCCATCCCAAGCAGCAGTGAGGCTTGTTGTAATTGTTGGAGCTAGAATTGACTCTGATGTAGAATTGTGAGCAAGTTCGGAAATTTGTTGAGATGTCATTTCCGGTACTGTCCATAACATGATAACTCCTTCGCTGTCACCCCGTATTAGATATTTTATTGTTTTATTTTGTCGTTGCACTGTTACTAATCTCATTGCAGGAGGGCATGATAAAGGCTGAAATAATGTTTAATTATTGTTTTTTCTTGTTAATTAACTTAATATTAATAAATTATTTTATATTTATTTAAAATAGAACAAGTTTTACCTTATCACCTGGTGGAGATAAAGTTTGGAATAAATATGGTTGATCACAATCAGCAGAAGGCGTATGAAAGTCCTGGTTGTCAGCTACACTACTGTTTTTTGTAATAAATCAAAATATATTCAAATTAAAACTTTCAATTTGCTTTACTTAATTATGTGCTTAAGCCAACGATTTACAGAAAAAATAATAATCTAATTAATTTACTGTTTAATTAAATGATTACACTTTTCTGTAAACAGTCTGAATTATTTTTTAACATATAAACACACATCATTAGTTACTGTACTCATTTGTGTTAAAATAAATCACACAATTCATGGTAAAAAAGAAAGCAAATGAAATGTAGGAGAATTAGATGAAGGAAAGGTGTCAAGTAATGTTAATATTGTTAATTATAAAACTATACTAATAATTATGGTTCAACTATTTGGAATGTTACTAAAATTTTTTCGTCTAAATGAAATAATTGATGCATCATGAAAGGATATGCCAATTTTGAATAAAATTCACGAAATTTCAAGAATTTAGTGAAGATGAAAAGGTGAGTGCAAATAATGTAAGCTACAATATGGTAGAGGACGAAAAGAAGATTAGAAAGTAGGATTTAGAATTTAGATTCAGTCAAAGAAGAATATTTAAATGTTTATATCGGGTTACCTGCTGAGAGCCTTGCCCTTCAGCTTGCTATAACAGACCAAGTCCCCCGGAGATTGTAGAAGTAATGTTATGTGAAAAGAAAACATCACCGTAAAAAATAGATGGATGCAATAAATCAGCTGACGGGACTAAACATAATACACCAGATGAATCGAAAAAGAATACATGAGATGACGTGTATGCTTTTTTCCTTCTAATAATGATTATTTGAATCAACATGTCAATACCTCAACCTATGGATAATATATTCTTACCACTACGTTATAAAACTTATATTAATTGTTTTAATGTGTGATTATCAGGAACGAGTTACAGTGCAATTGGATATTAATGGAGGGAGTGTAACATGAAATAATTTCTATGCATTCCCAAAGTACTCCTATCGCTGAAACTTGTATCTAAGATTTTTAAAAGTAATTAACTTTATCATTACTATAATCGCTGAATAATAAATAATCAATAAACCATAGTTTTATATTATATAATTTTGAATAAATAAATATCTTCCTTAAATGTTACCCACTTTGCCGGTAGTTTGTAAAGATATCCGTGTCCTTCATCACTCCATACTATTACTTGATCTGTTGCTAGGAAGTCACCAGCCATCCAACGTTCTCCAACTCGTGCAGGAACGGAACAAAGCACTGAAAAGTCTCCAGCATCATAAATCTAGAGAGAAAAATATTTTTAATGACAGTATATTGTTTTGCAGTGAAAAATAACAACACAACTTATTTTATTTTCTATGAGTGATCAAATTAGATAATTTACCTGCCAATATTTTGAACAGACTATTAAAACCGTTCGTTGATTATAAGGACAGCAAGTCATAGCCAAGGCGTTGAGGCATCTAATTTGTTTACTTTCATGTTCATAAAGTGGCTCACTATTTCGATTTTCATGTCCCAATAAGGTCCAGACTTTAACAGTTCCAGTGGTTGTGAGTGCAAGAACCACATCATCTTTAAAAATCAATTGGTAAATTAATTACTGAATACAATTACTATTCTAATAAAATATTAGAATTTATGACAATCAAAGCACAAGTTTATTTAACACAAACGATTATCCAAACACAATTTATTTAATAACTAAACTAAACCCTAGGCCCAAACATATTTTTTCTGCTTTTTATTAATTTCCTGCTAATTATCATACGATGCTGCTAATTATTCATGCTTTGTGAGTTTCTCTAAAAAATCTATTATACATTAAAGTATCATGCGTTTTTTAAAATTAATTGTAATATAAATAAATGGCGCAAATAGCGTAAGGTACAAAAAAAATAAAAGTTAATAAAACATATATAACTTGAGTGCTATTTGTATGTTAATAAGCTTTGTATGGCGCGTAATTTGCTTGACAAAAGCACGTGGAATAACAGAAATAAACTTTAAGCAACAATTGTCTAGTGCAAAATTGCCATTGACCTTGAGTTAGATAATTTAGCACTCATGAAAACATGTAAATTTAAAATAAAGCCAATATTGATTAATGCTTGAATTCACTACATTTTCTACGTCTACGTAAGCATTTAAAGTTCAATCATATTTTTCATAACTGCATGATAATTTGTTTAATTCTTTTAAGTATTGTCAATGTTAGTATTTTATGAATATATGTATACGCAGGAAAATATGAAATATTTTTTATGATTTTGATGAGGGGAATACTCAAAATAAAAATGATGATTTACAATAAATGTATTTTGTTGATTTGAAATTAAAATATCGATGAAAAAATTGTTAAATATTATTAGAGACATGAAGGAAAAAATTAATTAATAGTGTTAAAGTTCAAGATTCAAATATACTTGTTTGAACTACCCGTTTTTAAGAACCAGCCCTTTGTCTTTTCGATATGTACATGCTGTAACATTGTAATACTCATTATATGGTTAAGTTTACTAACTTAATTTTTTCCCCAAAGCTAAAACATTTGTTATTAATATTCATATATTGTTAGTAGCCAAATAAATAGATATCCAATTACGGGCAGCCAATATTTTTTAACGATAAAGATTCCTTCTGAAATTATTGAATTTTTATTATAAATTAATGTAATGAATATTCATTACTCGTACCCTGAATTAATTTTCAATTATCTTGTATTAACTTATTATCAAAAATTAAGTAATTTATTTGATAATTGATCATTGTATTATACTTTTTACTTTTAGGAAGAAAAAAGATGAAATAATTAAGGAGAAGCGTAGGTGTGATGAAGTGTAACTAACTTGTGTGTACGTAGAACCGACCTTTCCTTTTGGCCGGCCTCAGCACATGTAGAGCACTGATCCAATCAGGATTAACGCGAGAACTGAGAGTAAATAAAACTTCTAAGCTGAATGGATCCATCACCAATACCTCTGGATAATATCTGAAATAGCATTTAGTATAAATATGTGATCTGTTAATTTATGAATTAAAATTTCTTACCCGGAACAAAATAATTTAACATCTTCTCCACCCGCAGAAACATAGGCCAACATCTGAGTATGAACGTTATTTAGCTTGACAGTTTCACGACACTTTCCATCAACCAAATCCCACGTACACATTTCTCCACTTTCGCTACTGCTGACAATATAATTTTGTTCCATGATGACACTAGCACGACTAAGGCACAGTACAGGGGCTGTATGTCCAACTAAAAGACATCTTGGGGTCATCTAGAAGATTTAGTTAGATATTTATTTATAAGGTATTGATTTACGTAGATAAAGAATGATAATAATATGTTAATGAGATTTTTACTTGAAAAGATAAGAGAAAAAGTGAGTAAAATAGATAAAAACTAGTGAAAAAAAATTCAATAATCATGTGGTTATAACCTTCAGTGTTTCTGGATCAACATGCCATAAACAAATTTGTCCATCGTAGCATCCTGTGACCAAGGTCTTTTGATCACGAGATAAGTAGATGCACGAAATACAATGAGTGGGAGCTATTCTACCCCACAACACTATTGGAACAACTAAGCTTGGTCCGACTGTCATCTTGAATCAACCTGAAATTTGTATCATATTTATATTTGGATTATTTACTTTACCATCACTTCTATTCCATTAGATTTATGTACTCAAAATCTATGTATTATGAATAAATAATAATAAGATTTGATGGCACTGACACTTACACAAGGGTACAGTACTTCAATTCATACTCCAACTTATTGTATGATTTTAACCAAACAAAGAATTTTGAAGAAGATGTTTATGTGGAATAAATACCTACTTATAATAATGAATGTCAATAACTGAAGTACAAGAGTAAAATGGCAAAATAGCCAAAAAAAATTAAATAAACTACTAAACTATCGCTTCTTGAACCATTTTACTCAATCGTTGCCTCACTGCCTACTGGTGTGTGTGTGTATTGGAGCATTTGGAAATTGTCATAACGTAGTTATAGTAATCGCCAATAGTCGCAGCACTATCGCTTTATCATGATGCAATAGATTATTTTTTTTTGGTAAATATTTTCGTTTTCTATCAAATACAAAGAAACATGTATAAAAATATATGAATGAAATCCATTTCAAACAATTAAATAAATGACTCTTTAACAATAGTTATTATCATTGTTATCTAAAAAATATTTTCTCATCAAAAAAATCGATACTTTTACTACAATTTACAACTTAATAAAAATAAAAGTGATAATAATCGAAAAATGAAAAGATTGACGTAAAGAAAATAGCTTTTTGAATTAGAAAAATATGAAAAAATTATATTTTTTATGAAACATAAAGTATACATAAATGCATAGTATGCTTGCTACTTAACTATATACGTTTTTAGATATCTACAGTATCATCATCCGCCATTTTCTAGTTCTCTCCTATTTTGCATCAGTACCTCTGCTTCATTACTTTGTGTGAGACGCTTGGTGCTTTGATCTCTTTTTATTAAGTAATTATTTTAATATATTATTATATTTATATACAAATATGAATATTTATTAAATAATATATCAGTGGCATAAAAAAATAGAGTTTAATAGATTAAATTATTTTTGTAGAGTTATTCGTTGTGTACTGACCGGTACCATCACCTTAGTTAAAATCAATTACGCGTCACTTGCCTATTATTTTATTAATATCTCATATCGACAACTATTTTATTTTAGAAATGTCATTTAATCGTGGAACGAAAAGAAATTCCTTCGGAAATCGAAGTTACAGCCGTGGAAGCGGTGGTGGAAGCAATGTTGGATCAGGAAGCGTCGGTATGGGTAATATGGGAAGCGGCGGTAGTAGCCGTGGTGTAAATCCATGGGAAAGTGGAGTGATGCCAGGCCGAGGCATCTTGCCGACTCCAAGCAACAATCTTTCTTTAAATTCACCTCAAGCTCAACTAGTCATTGCTAGCAATCTTTTAAGCAATCTTTTGAGAACCCAACAAGATACACAGCCTCAGGTAAACAACTACTCATTGATTTTCGTAACGAGTTTTATTTATAATTCAACTCAACTGAGATGCTTGTCTTGAAACAGGTTCCATCGCTGCTAAGCTTAGGAAATAACATGAACGGGCCGGGATCCAACTATCGCAATTCTCAAAATTTTTCTGGCCGTTTCAGTGATAGGCCGATCAGAGGAAATGTGAAAAGCCAACGATCCCAACCATATAATAAGGTATGAGAATATTATTTGATAATTTGTTAGGGAACAAGAACAACTTTCAAGGACCTTCAAAGAACACACTTAACATTTCTTTTTAATCTACGCATCAACTTCATTCAAGAATTCATATGATATTTATACGCGAGGCTTGATTGATCGAATTGATATCAATCATCTAAGGATGTAATCTTGATTTAAAAGTATTCATAATTGAAGAAAGGTATACATATAATTCCCAAAATTTCTCTTTTATCACACCAATCGTTGCGATTATTTCGCATTTCAATAATGACTATTAAAATAACAATCTACCAGGAATAAAATGAACAATTCGTCATCAAACTGGAAAAAATTGTCCAAGAGAGACGTTTTAATTCACGTCAATCTCAAAGTAATTCAATTCAATAATTATTTTCTGCTCTGTAACCTCTTGGTGAATGTTCTTTTTAAATAAAGGACACATTTCTTGTCCTAATTATTTCATAAAATAATTTAAAAAATTTATAGGCATTTATTTCTATGATTAAAATCCATATGGTTGCTAGAAAGAATTTCAATTCGACAAAGTCGAATAGTAAATATTTATTCAGACTTTTCATGGCTTGGCTTTTTGGTCCTTGTGACCTTATCACTTAAATAGATGGGCAATCGTGCCCGCGACGGCGTCGCCGGCCGACGTGGCCCATCATCCGCACAACAATCTCGTGCGCAGTCCCAGTCTGGCAACCAACGTATGAATGGAAACCAAAAAGAGCATCGCAACGATAAACCTTCTAAACCAAATCCTTCTAAACAAAATCAGACGGGCAAAAAGGAACAGCAGGATGTTAAGACCTCTGATAATGAGAAAGCAGAAACGCAGCCCATTGCGAAAAGGTAAGCTTTCGCCATTGTTTCAACTGGTGAATTACACTCATTCATATTTCTTTTTATATTCATCAATTTTGAATAAAAAAATATATTTAACAGAAGTCACGGCTTACAGTAAATATATAATATAAAGAGATACAAATATTTTCTTATCACTTTCTTTCGTTCGTATTTCGTATTATGATAATTAATCATTGGGGCTTCTCAACTCAATTATTTATTATCCATTTAAAAAGAAACTCCTCTTGATGAGTTGACTTAATTGTAAAAAAATTTCTTCACGTATTCCCCATGGTCTTAATCTGAAGGCCTACGGATCACTGATGCTTTAGATATCCAAGGCAACTCCAATTCTATCAATTTGTTTCTCTTCGCATCCTCTTCTTTCGTCATTTCTTTTATGCTAGAAATTATTGGTTTGCATTTATTGCTCCCCAGAAAACTTTAGAACAAAAGGATGTGAAAGTAATAATATTGTATAAATTAATGAAAAATTTATTAATTAAAATAAATAATTTTTTTATCAGTGATGAAAACGAAAAATCCGATGAAACTAAAGATGAATCAGTTGAAATCAAAAAAGAAGAAGGAGCTGATACTCCTATGGAAGTCAATGAATCTGAAGAGAAACCATCTGATGAAGCTGATAAAGAAAAAGAACCAACTGATTCTACTACTGCAACTAAAAATGCATCCGCAACTTCTCCATCGAAAAAAGATGATCAACAAAGCACTGGAAAAAAATCTGAAGCTCGACATGCAGAAAGTCGATATGCAGCTGTGCCAATTAGTCACATGTTCTGTCATGTTTGCAATAAACACATGTGGGATGGATTTGTAAGTAAAATAAAACCACTTATTATATGAATATAACGAGTTTATTTCATACAAAAACTTCATCAGACTGTTTTGATTTTTAGTCATTTGAAAATCATCTCCGTGGAAGAGCTCATCAGTTGATGATGGATAAATTAGATGAATCATATAAATTAAGAGTAGATTTTATGCGACACGAGTTGAAAGTTGCCGAGGAACAGCGAGAACTGAGTCTTCATAATTCAAAACGTCGTGGAAAGAAGGTAACTATTATAAAAATACATTAAATTTTTCTTAAAATTAATTGTATTAACCAATATATTTTCATTAGGTATCTGTGGATTTGAGTGTCCGAGAATACTGTACCATGTGTGATTTGAATTTTTATGGAACTCTTTCTAGTCATAGAAAGAGTGAAAAACATCAACAATTAAAAGTCTTCCTTCATCCTCGTTGTGGCCCCTGTGCCAAAGAATTTCCATCCAGAATTGAATATGATGAACATTGTTTAACACCTAGTCATATGGTGAATGCTGCTCAAACAGAGGAACAAAAAAAGACGAAAAAAGCAAAATTGCCAAAAGGTGAATCAGAAATTCGTTCCGCAGAAGATGAAGAAAAAGATTCTGGACCAGATTCAAAAACTAATGAGAAAGAAGATGAATTACCAGAGAATACTGAATATCTTACAGATATCATTGAAGATATGAATATGACTAAATATAAAATTCCATCTTTCCGATATTGTCGCCAAAATCATCTTGGACTTGGTGCTTCTCTGGTTAAAGAAGTACAAGGTTATCATTGCGAAAAATGTCGGCGATTTATGTTAACTGTTGACGATATGAATGCTCATTTACGTAGTATTACCCATTATCGCAATTTTGTAGCAGAAGTTAAAAATTTAACATCTACGACTGAAACTAATGCTGAAAAATTGAAAGAAGAGTCTGAAGGACAGGTAGAAGAATCCAAGGCTAGTGAAGATGATGAAGGAGTTGAATGCAAACGTCGAAAACTTGATGATTCAGCTGCTGATGGATCAGAAAATTCTATAAAAGAGGAATCGAAAGAGAATACACAAGAGGATAATACAGATGCTTCTAAAAAAGATGGGAATGAAAAGTATGACCCACTTGAAGCTGATGGAGAGTCAGAAGAAGATGAACGTCAACAGCAGCAACAAGGAGACGATAAAGCTGACAAAGATGAAAGTATCCGTGATCAATCGATGGAAGCTTGGGGTGACGGAGACAATGATAATGAGCCAGAAGTCGGTAATTTACTTGGGGATGATGAAGAGGAAGAGCCACAACAACAACAACAACAACAGCAGCAGCCGCAACAACAGCAGCCCCAGCAGCAGCAGCAACAACAACAACAACAAGAATTGACGACACAAAAAACACAAAATCAACCGCCGCCGTCAACACCTCAACAACCTACACAACAGCAAAACGCTTCGTCTGCAATAATAGTAGATCAACCAGGTAAAAGAGAAAATCCAAACTCAAATCATAATAATAACTCTCATGGAAAATCACCTCGAGGCCGTGGATTTCGCGGTAGAGGCGGTAGTCATCAACGTGCACGACGATCTCGGCGATAATTTTATTATTTGACCTATTCTTTCATCAATATTTTCTATGAATTCTAGAAATAATCACTCAATGAAATGCCAGAACTATGTAATATTTTAAATTGATTTTTAACGAAGCTATAATTATGCTCTAATTGTAAATCTATTTACGTAGGTTTCATTCCGGTAATTCCAATTATTGAGAGATGTAAAATTAATTGAAGGCACTAGTAAAATGCAAATTGATGCCTTATATCCATGATAATTCCAAGCCTTTTTACTCATGAATTATGTATCGTGTTTTGTCTTATTCTAATCAATAAAATAAAACGTATCAATAATTGTTCTCATTTTTTTTAATTATCAATCTATCCTCAATGATATCCTTATTTTCTAAATTTACATATGGTCAATTACTTAATAATGCACGAATAGATGATTTATTACAAAATGAGTTTGAGACAAGTTTTCTTATCATTTGTAGAGAAACATAGAGAAAAATAGTCACTTGCTTCGAGGTAAAAATTTATATGTTCTATTTACAAAACTAATTTGTTCAGCTTTAAGTGGTTTTTATCCAGTAAGGAAATTTTTTTCAATATGGCTATTAACCTTAGTATTAAAAGCCTTCGTTATGATCTGTATGTGACTTTGAACAGTGAGTTCTACGGTCAATAAATGCTGCCATTCTTGCAGAGGGAATAGTTGCTCCTTTAGATATCTAGAATAAATCAATATTAATTATTTTAAATTCTAAAAAATTTTTTCTTTTACAAAATTGATAAATATTTACTCTGAACCATGGTGATGCAAGACAAGACTCTGTAGTTCCTCTTTCTTCTCCTTTTAAACTTAAAAGTCTTGTTAAAAGATCTTTCGCATCGTTTGATATAGATTCAAAGTATTCATCAGGAAAACAAAAATCGCATTTTAATATATTTGCGGTTGTTTCTTCAACGGAGTCGTCCAAAAATGGTGAAAGACCACTGAAAATATTCGTTAATTAGTTATTTGATGAAATAAACTTTTAAATTTTGTAAAAATAAAATTTTACGAATAGAGATTTACCTCAGGAGTACATAAATAAATACTCCAGTAGCCCACAAATCGGTATAAAATCCAGTAGGTTTGCCGAGAACAAGCTCAGGCGCGGCAAATTCTAAATCTGCAGGTGGGACAACTTCATCAACTGGCCCCCGAACCGCTTCACCTAAATCGATAAGTTTCACTATTCCAGTGTCTTGATCTACTAATACATTCTCTGGCTTGACATCTAAATGATATTTATTGCGTTGATGCAACCATTGAAGGGCTGACAACAATTGATTAGCAAATTTGCTAGCCATTGCTTCTGTGTATTCAGTCTTTTTACTTAAATATGTAAACAAAGTTGGACCACGAACTCTGTAAAAGTGAAAAATAATTTTTAATTAAATGAATGAAGTTTTGAAAACACTCCCAAGTAACACAGTTAACAGAAAGTTATATTTTAATAACTTAAAAATTCATTTTTGAAAATATTTGGCAATAAGCCATCTTATATAGGTCAAAAAGATATTTTCATGTAAACTGGATTACTTAGGAAACAAATCATATAAAAGTACACTTACAATTCGAGAATAATAGTATCAAAGCCTGGTTGAGGTGCATTCTCAAATAAAGCGAAAGCACGAATTATATTACCATGATGAGTGGATGCTAATAGGTCATACTCTGCTCTAGTCAATAATCGAGACTGTTTGTGTCTTGGTGTTTGCTTAAGAGCAACTTCTTGACCAGTACCTCGATCTCTAGCACGTCTTACAAGTGCATACCTACCCTTTCCAAGCTCATCAAGTTCCAAATATCTCCCAACAAACTGTTCAGCTTCCCAGCTCATACTTTCGTCTATTGGTAAAGTAATCACTGCAGAAGGTGCAGTTCCTCCATTTCCAAGTTTGTCTACAACTCTAAAACTATAAGAAGCACCGGCTGAAAGCTCTAATATCACTGGAGGGCTTTTTATATCTTCGACAATTGGTAACCAAGTTGAAGAAGGTATTGTTCTGCACTCCAAAATTCCTTCCTCAATATCTCCTTTTTCCCAGTCTACTTTAACTTTTGTTGTTCCCATTACTCGAGCCCAAGTAGCTCCACTTCCTCCTAAAAAATTTTTTGTTTTTTTTTTGTAAGTTAAACAGATAAATATTTCACAATTAAAGCAATTAAATTATATATTTAAGTGTAATTAAATTATTCTTTTACCTGTAACACAAAGTGTTATTTTTGCTGAACATGATCCATTTTCTGTTTGAATGTTGCACTGATAAGTCCCAGCATCTTCTAGTCGACATCGTGATATTTCTAAATAAACTAATCCCGCACTTTGACGAATCTGATGACGATCATCAGGTTCAATATTACGTTCTTCATTCTTTTTCCAAGAAATATGTGCTCCTTCTAAATTTTCTACTTCAATGGATAATCTAGCAATATCTCCGACTGATACTTTCACAGGAGTCGTAATACTTCCTTGCAATATCCTTGGAGGTAATGTTTTTCTATCAATACTTCTTTGAGGACTGGTGATTTGTTTTTCATTATCTAGTTTACGTGGACGGAACGACCAAGCCCGACTGATCGATGAATTAGGAATGAGACTTGCAGGAATCCAAAGTTCTTCTTTAGCATCTACTGGTGAAACTACAACTCCTGGTCCATCGAGATGGGAAACAACAAGTTCATCACCAGCGTGAAGTTTGCCCCAGTCAGCTGCGAGTCTTACCCGTGCACCTGGTGCAACCTAAGATATTTGTTATTTATTAATTAAGAATGAAATAAAGAAGAAAATGAAGAGAACAAAGAAGAAGTTGAGACATGCATCGAAAAGATGCTTCATGCTCACCATGTAGCACCTCCACCATCACCATTATAAATATCACGATGAAAAGTTAGTCTATAACCCGTCTCTAAATGATTCTATTCTTCTTTAATTAGATGCAATTATATATCACTTTTAGACACTAGCTTATTTATTATACGTAGTTTCTTTGTACTTTTCAAAGGGGTTTTATTAATTTTTCTTATTTTTAGTGTTCCTATTAATATTACTTTTTTTTTTTTTTATAAATGATGCTCAGAAGTTTTTTTCAATTTTAGTAACAGCAATATGTCATTGCAATGACAAAAGGCAATGCAATAGAGAGCAGATAGCAATAGACATCAAGAGGAAGAGGAAGCGGAAGAATCCCTTAGCTGTAAGAAGTACATTTATTTCTTTGAAAATAGTAACATGTTTCCAAGATTAAATTTCGGTAGCAATTTCGTGCAATCATTTTATTGATCTTAGCTCACCGGAATGGAATTAGTGCGGACAGGAGAGCGTGCCCGTAAAGTATTCTTGAATCCTTCGAAAAAGTTAAGTTTACTTTTGGTGGGCGACGGAGTTCGTGGTGAATCATCAAGACCACCAGTATGTGATCGATGAACTGCTTGTGTTTTCCTGTGACTATTATTTCTTTCCTTATTGTTTGCTCCAGGAACAGTCAGCATTGGAGGCACTGACACTGCTGCTCGAGTAATTGGTTCTGGAGTTGTTGAACGACTAGAATAGTATTTTTTATATTAATATTAATGACCATAATTTGTTATTAAAATAGTAATATCACCAATTAATTATGTAACTGTAATAAATTATTCTACCTAAACAAACACAATTATTACAGATATAATGGAAATTAGTATACCTTTTGGAATCCATTAAAATTGATATTGGCAAGTTGCTAGGATTGTGAGACAAAGGTACATATTAATCAAAAGGTATAAGTATAAATATTAAAACCATATCACCCTTGAAAACATTAGAATTAGACATAAATTGAAATCAAAGTGCAAACAGTTAAAATTAATAAGGAAAAGGTTGTAACATTCAATTAGTATAACAGTAGTTCATCAATTTATCATTTATTCTAAACAAAGTTGTTACGTTCATGAGTTGGTTATAATTTGATTTTCGCATTCAAATAATTAGGTAATATTTACATACACCATAGGACTATTGAAAAAAACCCTTAGGTGCGGTGTTATAAACGTTATTAAAATTACTATAAATATATCGTACAATTTTTCACTGTTTATACTACTGATACCAACACGCCCACGCTAAAAACAAGCGTCACCTGTTCCACCACAAAAATGTTTATGTGCTTTTCGTTTCTTTTTTTCGTTTTTTTAAAAATTTTTTTATTATTAAATACATTGCACATTGGAACGGATTAGCAAATATTATAGGCTCTGGGAGCAAAGAAGTGTAGTTGAGTGTTAATTACGTTGAGAACGAGTTAAGAAATACAGATAAACGAAAGTAAGTGAAGGTCCTTAGTTTAAAAGGTTGTGAAATATAAGTTAAAATAGATTCAAAGGACCAGGAAAAAATTTCTATCCATTTTCAACTATCTCATGGTCACTTATATCCTCATATAAAATATACAAAAATATGTTGGAACAAATATTCAGGTTAAAATGTGACAGACAATAAGTATAAGTTCAATGAGTAACTGTTTCAGGATTGTGAAAGTTAAGAAGCTTACAGTGGATCTTTGGTAAGTTCCTTTTGATAGGCGATGGGAGATTGAATTGCTTTAAGAAAGTCGCGTTGAGTCTGAAGGATCGCTGTAATCGTATCGACCCATTCTTGTTTTCGGGGACCAGTGTCATCGATTATACTACAGGCAAAACCTAATCCAGGTTTTCGTGGATCTGTTGAACGAATGATGAACTTATCTGGATCATCTACTGAATCTTCTAGACTCATTTTATTAACCTGTCAACAATAAATATATACATTCATGTAATTTTTTCAATTATTGTTATTTAGAAAAAAATCGTAATATAAAAAATTTTATCATAAAAAAAATTGAATTTATTATTGCCATAAGAAATGATATGTTTTATTTACCTGAATGTGGGCTTTATATATATAGGCAGGATTTGTAAACTGTGTTTTCTTGCCAAGCGCTTCGCTAAAAATGATATTTTGTTCAAAAAGAAAAACTTGCCACTCGCGTCCTCGAGCCGGTAAATTTGATAGCTCGGCAACTATAAGCGGGCCGTGTAATAACAGTTTTCCTTGCGCTGTTATTTTTCCCTAAAAGTATAAAATAGCGTTCATAAATTTCCATAATCATCTAAAGCATTCAGTTCTTACTACGTTTTTTCTACGAATATATTTTATATTTAAATTAACTCACATCAAAACCTTGCAATCTTCCAACATCCATCATATCGTTTGCAGCCTTAGGAATAACTCGCATTACATGGGCTGCTGCACGCAGTCCTTCAATTTCTGATATCCTTTGGGTTTTCTCAGTTAATCGTAAAGCCTCACGAAGAAGTAACTGATATTTCGTTATTCTTTGAACTGGTTTTATTAACAAATCACACAGCTGAAGACGATGACCGAGTTTCTGCCTTAATTCCTACGGAAGTATCATATTAATTAATAAAGTCATTCATTATAGTTTTTAATTTAACGTTAGATTAAAATTCAAATTGAACAAATTCGCTTTTATATTAAAGCGACATATCATAAAATTTTTTACAATTTATAATGTATTAAAGTTATATCACAGTCATCGGTATCCGAATTTTCCAATAATTAAATATTTGGCCAATAAACTCTCTTAGCTCAAATAAATTTCTGTTACATAACTTAAAATGAATAAAAGTTACTTTATTAACTATCGTAGTTTTAGTCTAAAAATAGTTTATTAGATAATAATTGTATTTACCTCAAAGTATGTATCAATATACTCGGAAACAATGTATTCAGACACTGGCTTATTTTGACAGTAAACAACATACATATGTAGTTTTCTTTCATATCGTTTAAACAGAGGACCGAGCTCTTCAGGTCTTTCTAAACAACGTTCAAGAGCTTTATAGAAGAAACTAAAAAATAAAACGAATAATATTAAAATGAATTTCTTCTTTTATTGATATTTTGCTTCAAAGAATAAGTCATAAAGACTTATGACTCTTATTATAGAAAATTTGCACTCACTCTCGGTGCCATTCATATATTGCCTCTAAATTGCCAAAGACCATTTTGTCTTTACCACCACGAAGGTCTTCTGGTAAAGGAATTTCACAATCAGGATCTCTCATGAGAGCCATGTATCCCTCAACGATATGCTTGAGATCATTCACGTAATCTCTCTCTGTGTCTACCAATTCCCTGATGACAAATTGCCGCTTCGAAAGTGCTGTTGCCTCAGGATCTGTTTCTTCTGAAGTTGTAGAACTGTTCATTCCACTATAACTGTCTTCAGTAGACGGAGGGCGACCCGGAGTTCTCATCAAACTATGACGTTCTTGGTTTTCTGTATGTTGCTCCTAAAAAATTTGAAAGTTCTATTATTCTTTACAACTACTTGGAAAAATAATTTTAAACGAATTTCCATGAAGATCTATTTTTCATCACAATCTCGCAACTTTTTCTTTCTAATTTACTACCATCTGACAATTTCATTCAAATAAAAATTTATTTAAATTGGAAAACTATTTTAAACTGTTGTGAAAGATATTAAATAAATAAATTAAAACTTCTTTCCAATCAATTAAATAATTAACAAATCAATTGTTTAATGAAAATACCATTCTCTCTTTAACTATCTGCTCTATTTCTGCGAGGTCAGCAGTTGTGGCCCCATCCAAACTCTTTATTGATCGCTCAGAAGTCTAAAATAAATTGAAAAAGAAAAAAAACACGTTAACAATAATAAATAAATTGTCTAACTTATTAGGAAGATTGAAATGCTTTAAAACATTTACCCTTTTGCCAGGTAATTCATCGGGTATTGTAGACCCTGGAGGGCCGTTTCCAGTGGCAACTAAAATGGGTTCAGTAATCGGTTTCATAGGTGGTGGTAGTTCGAAATCGTCTTCAGCATCTTCTCCTCCATTTTGTTCCAAGAATGCTGGGGTTTCGTTATCATCACATTCAACTTCCTCCTCGTCTTCACCCTCGGAAACTGTTCGACCTGATTTGTCACTAGCCGGTAGTTTAAATCTCTTATCTGAGCTAGTTTTCTTGAGGGTTGAGGGTCGATCTGTCCCTGATTTTTCCGTTTTACCCTGACTGAGTTTACGAAATTGTTGCGGCAACCATTTCCGTCTTAAAAAAACAAATCAAAGTTTGTTAATAAATTAAATTTTGATAGAATCAGTTCAAAAAAAATATAAAGCTTCATTAATTATAGAGAATGTCAGTAATAGTGTATGAAAATAATTCTCAGTTTATAAATCATTCATGACTATTGATAGGACAATTAGTAATAAAATTTTCCAATTTTTTCTATCAGTCTAAGTGTTAAAACAATAAAATAAAATTTTTTTATTTGCACTCTGGTGTTAAAATAGTTTGAGTATTTATATCTGTAGTTGACGTTTTATTAATCTAACACTTACCCAACAAAACCACGCCTTCTGTTTCCGGGTGAGCTTGTACTAGCCGATCCATTCCCGTCGCTCCCACCAGTATCTGAAACAATGTTGAAATGTGTCATATACAAAGTTTTAACTATATTTATCTCAAACTTAAGATCTACAAGAAAACTCTAAGTTTAAAAAATCATACAAAAAGTTATACAACTTAAACTAAAAACTTCCTTATGTTTGTTTCCAACTCTTTTTAGTTAATTGAACTCTATTTACGCACATCCAATCTATTGATTCAGAAAATGTTCATCTCTTTAATTAAATGAAATCATTTGGATAAAAATGTATGAATTTTTCAATTCCTCCTACGTACTTGTATTTAAATGTTTACTTCGTTTCTTATTTCGAAGGATTCCCATCGTGATGTGTTTACATCAAATGTCGACAGTCAACGAGTAATCAAAATATTCAGTTTATTTTTTCCATATTGCTACATCCATGAAATGAGTTTTTTCACACAATTAGATTCACTCCGTTAGTTACAAATGTTTATACTTTGATGAAAAAAAAACAATTGGAAAATAGACTGACATAAATTTTGATCAAATATTTCACAATTTTTAAAAATATTTTTTATCTCACACAAACGGGATCCAATTACATAACTTCACCGATGAAAAATTAATTATCAATTATTTTGATAATCACCAATTTCCAAAATTAATAATAATGTACACAGTAAGCTAATTTGTGGAAAAATTTCATAGAGAAAAAAATAAACAAACTTTTTAAAATGGAACATTCTAGTAAATTTTATGTACTTTAGTCACATGAAAGCAAATAATTTATTTCACTCAAAAAAACAAAAAAACCTGCTTTAATTTAGATATTCACACTGTCTAGACACCTGCTTAAAGCATCCGGAAGTAACAATAGACGGCAATGACCATGTGTACATTGCTGTTTATTTCAAACGAGTTAGTTTTGTTTGTTAACCAACAGATACTGGATGAAAGACGTTTCTGTATCTGAAATGACGTTGTTTTACAATTGAAATAGATAAATCTGGGAGTATAAAGAAGCTGGTGATCTCCACATTCTTGAGTGGTCAACTGAGAGCTCGTACTTGACCACGACGTATGAAGTCTCTCATTTAGCAAGCGTAATCGTTGCGGAAATAGTTATTCGGGTCTCGATTCCTCTTCTGGTTCAATTCCAACTTAGTTGAGTGTATCATACAAGTAAGCCAACCAAAGGCCGTCCAAGTGATTCTCGAGGATGCTTCTGACGTCAGGCAGTCTCTTCGTCATATTTTTAGATGCGATACGTCGATGCGACGACAATTTATTTTTTTTTATCACGTTTTTCACGTCTGTAGACATTTCTTTTATTGAAGAAAGTAAAGGATGACTCAATACTAAATAACGATGGTTTGATCTCTAATAAAGAGCAAAAATTTTTTGCTCATTTCGCTCTTTTCTTTCTCTCAATTTCAATATCACCTTAGCTAAAGTGTAGCTGAAGGAATTTATTCAATGTAGAAGATTATAACAAGAATACGTTTGCTTTATTGAAATTGCCATGGAATATAAGATGGAATAATGAATTAAATGATGAATCGATTTTACTGAGAGAGATGAAGACTTTGAATTCTTCAAGTGGAAACACTGTGGAACAATAGTTACAGTGATTAGCTTTAATTGACAGAATATTCTTGCTTGAATAAATTTAATATTTTTGTCACCAGAATTCGTTTGATGGTGCCAACATTTTAATCAAATTAGATATTACAGAATATACATTGAATTAAATAAATTATTCAATTAGAGCTCTTCTTATGATTAATTGAAATATGAATTTGATTTCTTTTTTAACAGCAATAGTAATGAAATATTACGTAAAAATCTTCACATAAATGTCATTGTAAACGCAAAATCATAAACGATGATAGTTGGAAAATTGAAAACATTCCGACGATGGAATGATGCTTGCGTACTTGGATATCAGCCAGAATATACAAGCATTTCTGTCTCTAGTTAACTCTGTAATATCGTTGTTTCCTATATATAACGTAAGATCTAATATTTAAACATTCAGTTCATTCATAAAAAAATTCCATAGAGTATAATAACTGATTCACTGTTGTTCAATCAGGATTTGAAATTAAATTGATCTATTATTCAATAGAGAAAGAGAGAAGGAGAGAGTACAGAGAATAATAAATAAGAAAAAATTACTAGTTTCTTTATTTTAAATTAAATATGAAAATCTACTTTAAGAAGTTCAATTAAATAGAGTTGAATATTGAGGTAGGAAAAATATATCAGTTTCTTGCAGAAAAAAAAGAACCTAATGAATTTCAAAGTTCAAATGACACGTTGAATTTCAAAAGAATAAATTATAAGAAGTAAAAAAAGTAAGTATTTAGAATGCATATATATGCTGTAGTAGTTATTGGAAATTATATTTCTTGTATTGAAGAAAAAATAAAATAATTCGTTCCAAGAAAAAAGGAATTTGAAGACGAAGGAAAATTACTCTTCTTGGAGGAAAAGACTAGACATTATAAGATCAACAGCAAATAATGTACAATATACTATCTTTCTTGAAGTAAATGAGCTATTTAAGATAAATATTTGATGACTGCTCAAATTTCATAAAGTAATTTCAATTTTTTCTATATATTTTATCTCAATTATTGTCTTCAAAACATAAACTATAACTGGTAGAACACATTAATGGTAGACAATTAAAAACCGAGAAAAAATCTTTATATATTTTGAAAGTATTTATAAAAATATCTTCTTTTTTATTTTGCAAAGAGTTTTTGCTCCAATATCACCAACATAGAGCTATCAATAATAGATGCACATGTGTCAAGTCTAATATTACATAATTGATTGGTGTATATAGGCAACAAAAAATATTTAGCTTTGATTTAGCAGCTTTACATATTAGTTTTCTCTATCTTCAATAAACGTATTGACACCAAATGTGCAAATACGTGGAGAACATTTTATCAAACTATTGGAAAATATTTGATTCTCAATATGCAATTGAATAATAGTATTTCAGTACGTATTTATCGATGTGAATATAGATTTATCTCTAATCTGATATATGTAGAATAGAAAAATTCTAAATCTAGAAAAAATGATGAAATCATTCTTATTATTAAATATTGAATGTATTAAGTGTCATATAAAAACCAATATTGCAAGGGAAATTTTTTCTCCATTATTAATCAATTTTATTTACTACAGAAATTTTTTATTTATTACTAACGAACTTTATTAATATCTAATAATATATATTTACCGTAAAAAAATATGAGCATGTTTTTATTCTGCATTAGAGTTTAAAAAGCTGAATGAAGAACGATTGCGATTAGGTAAACATTGATTAAAATTAAAATTGAGTAGGAAGGAAGTGAAAATAAAATTAAAATATTATTTTTATGAATGAAAAGTGTAACATATAGTTACACATATTGTTCAACGTACATCACAGGAAGGAATATAATGTCAATGGTATCTACATAGAATAATAGTTATTTTTATGATCTTGGAAAATTGCCATAGTAACAGAGCGTACATGTACTAATATTGAAATTGAGAATAAAGGCTGATTGAATTGATGAAGCAAATGTATGGTGAATAAATATTCACACACAGTATACAAAAAATTTTCTCCTTTCCTGTTTAAAGTAAATTATTACTCAGTTTATGTCTTATTTATATTTCGTATTCATTCTCTAATTAAGAAGATTTTCTTCAACAAATGTTTTATGATTCTTTTGAAACGGAAGGAAGTGGTTATAAGACATAAAACAGGGAATTCTCAGATAATTTTAAATTTCAATTATTTTCTAAGAAAAATATAAATACTTAATAACATTTATCTACAATTGACTAACATTTACGTAGCATAAAGCTTGTAACGAATATTCACCTTTGACTTTTTAAATGCAATTTACTAATTAACTATGTAGATATGTAAATAAATAAAGAATTTAAAAATGATCAAATGTTATAGTTCATTGATAACATCGTTTGTCACGTAGAAACATACAATCAGAATGGACTTTAGAGGAAATAGAGGAACAATTTTGATGCTACAACTATCTACCTATATTCCAATTAATCCCATTTATCAGTTAATAAAATATTGTTAATTGAATTAAGTGAAAAAACTGTCATGAATGTTTCTAAATTTGGAATACAAGATTGGTATTGCATATTCTATTTGTTTTGTTCAATAATAATGATTGATAATTAATTTTTTAGAAATGAATCTTCCAATATTGTCTTGGATGAGCTTTATTCATATTCACCTATCATCACTGTCGAGTAATAAAAAAATATATTTATAAATTGGAAGAACCTTATGAAAAATATTTTCTCTATCAGCAAATGAAATTCCTTGAACAATTCACAACTAAATTACACATAATAAAATTCCACATCATATAAGGCACTGGATTCCATAAAAGGAATTCAATGAAATTGTTGAGTGTCGATCGTTTTGCCTACCAATTGCAAGACATCAATCTTCGCGAGGCTTATATCAACAAATATTTTATGCACTATCGTTACTCTTACTTATCATGATAAGAGAATTTCAATTTTATGATATGAGATAACAATTGATAAATTTATCAAACCTTTTCGACAAATCTTCAACAACGGAAGTGACTGAGCTCGCACGACAGAAATAAATCGTTGATTTGTGATATCGTCCATTTGCAATGATGATTAACACGTTACACCACAAGCGAGTCTTTACGACTGATGTTTCCACAAGACTAACTTACTACCTTATCTTTTGTGTTTCTACTACTATCCCCACTGACAGCTCTTTTGGTGGAATATTTTTTGTTTTTTTAGCAAAAAAATTTGCAGTAAATCAAGTTATTGTTAGACACTTTTTGTTTTAGTTGTGATTAAAATGAATAATTGGCAAAAGTTTTTCGTTGAATATTTTTGTTTTTTTGACGATAATTAAATCTAAAGAGAACAAATTCAGTGAATAATAGAATTATAACAAAACTCTATAAATAGAAAACTAAACATAATTGGAAACTTTTCTAATCCTATAATCAATTTCCAAAATCCAATCACAATTCAAAAATAACTTTTAAAAATATTTTAACAGTATTTTGAAAAATAATGAAAAAAAAAAAAAAATTATATGAAAAATTTACCCATTAAGTGTTTAATGGAGTTATTTTCAAATTCAATAGAGGTAAAAAGCTCACTTAATAAAAAAATCGTCAATTATATGAAATAAAACACAAAAATAGCTTTATTCCATAAATAAATCGTGTACTCAATGTGACAATTTTTTTCCTTTTTTTTTTTTTTTCAAATAAAACTAATAGCTTTCTACAAACTTTTTCCACGCATTATTGAATATTTAAATTATTTGTATCGACGAAATGAAAAAAAAATTTTAAACTCTAAAACAAAATCACGATTCATTGACTCAATAACATCAACAGCTGCATCAGAATCATCATTATTATATACAAAGAATGCAATGACATTATTCTTTCAAATTATGTGAACGAAAATAAAATGAATATGCATTTCAAATATCGCTTCAAATGAGTTAAAAATATTTTTAGAAAATGGGAAATATGTTATGAACTTTTTAATGCTTCTTGCTATCTTTTAAACGTAACGATGGCTTTAAAAAAAAAAAAAATCAAAACCCTCTCATTAAAATAATGGATGAAGAGACAAAAATCATTTTGACTTCGAAAAAAATGATAATTACATCGAAGAAAAAATTTCAGTAACAACAGATTTTCGATTTGTTACCATTACATATTTCTTTCTGTATCTTTAACAGAAAAAATTTGTAGGTTACAACTTTAGTCTATAATGACAATAAAAAAAGCTATTAAAACTACAGCAATAATCTGTAGAGAGTAGAAAAATGATTTTCTGATTAAATGAAAGTTTATAACAACAATCATTTGAATGCTGAATGCTTTATACACCTCATGATTTCTAGTGTTTTATTATTATAAAACAAACCGAAAATCTGTTGCTGTTACAAATAATTTCTTTTCGTCTATCATCAGCTTTAATTCAAAATAATATCAAATAAAAATCAAAATGGTGGAAAAAAATACTAACAATGTAATGATTTTCTATAAAGATTTAATGAATCTTCTAATGACTGTCAAAGAACGACTAATAAAATAGTCTTCCCTCTTTGAATTAATCCCGCGGCGTTGTGACACAGTCTCTCAAGTCCACGCGTGTTAAAAATTGCGATAGGTCGCGCAGTAAAAGTACCACCCTCGAGTCGGAGTCTGCGAACTGGTCAAGGACACGCGATGGTGCGTATTGATCGACTGCGGGAGATGGAGTAGACGTAAAAGCACTCAGAAATCGCGAGATACCAGACCCTATATTTGAGTAACTCTTGTCTCTTCTCTTCTCTGTCTCTCTCGATCTATATCTCTATCATTCTCTTCATCTAATTTGCTCCTGTACAACAAGCCTTTCACACTAGTTGGATTAATTTTCTCAAATTATTAGCTTCCGATCTCTTTCACATGCTACAATTAATTTCTGATTTTTTCTTTTACTTGTGGTTTCCTTTTTCTGTCAGCTATCAAGACGTTCAATTCAATCTTCAATACATTTTTTTTTCCAACATCACTCTCATGTTCACGATAGCTAGGAACTCTATTCCTAGTCTTTAGCTTTTTTTACCATGACCTTAGGCCTTTATGTTCATAAAACTTCTCTCACCTTTCTCATCATTTCCGTGCTCTATTTTTTTCTCATTAAACTCCATTTCAACTCATCATTTTCTCCATAATTATATCATAATCCACTTAGTTATGCGGATGAGAATTCATATTAAATAGTAACTTATCATAATAATAGTCATAAGGGAAATTAGCTTAAAATGAAAAAGAATATTACCATGGAAACACTTGTTCAAATAACTTACCAGTATCTTCTTGAGTGACAGGTTGTTGAGCAATTGTGATATTAGTTTGCGACGGTGCTTTTCTTGAAGGTGAAGTTTTGCAAGAAGTTGTGGGTGGTTGTTTAAGCGCACTGGTTGGTACTAAACCTTCAGCAGGAGGTTCTGTTGAACCTGGAGCTGCTGGTAACCTTACTAAAGTCCATTCACCGCTGTTACTACCTCCAGAATGTACGCTACCATTTTCGATCACCTCGACCTGTTGTCCTTTAGTCACGCTAAGTTCTCGAGATCCTGCGGCTGCTGAGTGGTCAGCTACAACCCACGTCATTTCAGCCACTCCTGTCTGTAAGCAACGAAGATAAAAAGATTAGAATAAATTTATAGAATTAATGTATTAAGCTAACGGTCAAATTTATTCTTCATTAATATTAATAAACAAGAAATGTAAAATACATTATAAATAATAAATTTCATTGACTTGAATTTTAGTTTAAAATTTTCTTTAAAATTTAGTTAATTAGCTAACTTAATCCAATTAATTTTTAGACTTTTTTTATACAAACTGACAATTTAAAATGAAAATTCAAGGAATTAGATCACTATCAAGCTCATGAATACCGCCCATCCCCAATCCATTAAACAAACCCCTGACGTGCAAACATGAGCATCATGATTGTCCAGAAGCAGTGTAAGGTACACGCAACTTAGATGAAGATCTAAAACAGGTGGTTCGTAGTTTACAATTCCACTTGAATATCGAGGACATAGTATAGAACATGTACTAGAAGACTTGATGAATTAAATGTTAAGAGAATAGTTTGAATAATCAATAGAGTTATATTATGTATCGATGAAAAATAGATACATCTATACAACGAGCTTTTGAATTTGCGGATCGCCGGAGCGATTAATGTATTATTCTTGCTTCACTGCTTTTAATTTTATTGGAAAGACGTACTCATTTTTTTGACACCTCAATATTATAAGAGTCAAATCAATGACAGTAATTTTTCCTTTGAGACCATATTTTTTTTATTACAATTTAATTTAAGATTATGAGTATACAGAATTTATTGAGTACATTCAATTCATCATATGATGACAAAGATGAAAATTTGTCGACTGTTCCAGGCAAATTCTTTTTATCTCTTGGGCTAACCGAACTATCTAACTCCACAGCAGAGTCGTTTGTGTGAACATGGATAAATCCGCAGTGAAGCGAAATCAAAGCGACGAGGACATAAAGCCCCATACGACCTTCGAGAATACTTTATTTAACGAGAAAACATTACGGCCTTTACTTGCGACCTGGATCATCGACATTTGTCCTCCAAGAGGCTTCGATTTTCCTCTAAGATAAAAACAATAGTTAATTAAATATTGTTACTATTTGCCAAGTCATTTTAATGGTATATAGCAATTCATTTATTCAAGAACCCTTTTTTATCGTATTTATAATAAAATATAGAAATGATTAATATCAGGTTGTCAAACAGTGTCCAGGAGTTGGATAACACGTTGACGTAAAACAGCTCAATTGACAGAAATATGAATAGGGGAGATTAAGTATATTATTTTCTATATTCAAGTAATAAGTAAGACTATGATGACACATGTCAGTTAGAACATAGGTTTTGGGTCTACTTTAATTTCATCCATGCATTTAATTCTCCCCGAATATTTTTAAGAAGATTTACATAAAAGGTCCTTCTCGATAAAATGATATTAAGCTTTCTTAAGATATTTCAAGATGACCCTAAAATTGATTTTTTGAACCAGTGTTAATTATATTATGCCCACTGGTGTTCATTGTTTGATTAAGTGTGGGAAATATATTTATTTATATCTTTTTATCTTTATGTCATTCAAATATTCATATGATCTATGAATATTTTATAGATATGGTATAATTGAAGTCTTGGGAGCAATAAAAAATATTAATGACACTTTTCTTAATCTTAAAATATATGAAATAATATGCCTGCATAAATTTATAATTTATAGATAGTGTGATAATTAATGAGATATATCTACATAATACAAAAATTTCTATTGATTAGAGATAAAAATGTTTTCAGAAGCTCGTGCTATTAATTATTAAAAAAAACTTTTTAAAGCTCAGTAAAATATTTTTATATGAAACAACTTTGAAAGCATTTTCAATTTTTTCCTTTAAAACTATGAGCTTTCATTTAGAAAATTTACATTAATTATCAATGTATTTTAATGAATGCCCTTTATGTAATATTACTATCCTCATGAAGTAACATTTTTCAACAAATAACTTATTTATTATATTGAATACATACAGTGTTGTGTATAGTAGATAATTAAATTGAATATGTCCACAGACATTGTTTAAAACCTGTTCACAATAGTATCATTTGTTAATACGACACTTAACACGGCATTTGAATTATCCAGTTACACATTTATTAAAAAAATAAAACTTTTTTTGTATCTTTATAAACGTTTTGTTTACTGTATGTAAGTTATATACTCAATTTAATTAAATAACATAATAAATCTTTTATTTTTATTTTACATTTCAAATTAATTTTATATATTTTCAAAACTTCACGACCATTATAAACAAAAAACAACAAAAAGTTTACGTCACATCTGATTTTAAAATAAAAATAACTTGTTTTTCTAAACAATTCGTGAATTTAACACAAATAAAAGTGATTGTAAAAAACTTTTGACATCAATATTTCTGATGACTCCAATTTATAGAACAGTAAAAGTCATCATCATAAACTTTGAGTAATTTTTATTGTTTGAACAAATTTTATGTTTATTAGCATTATTATAACATCTATGAACATTAAATCTAGTTGTTTCTTTCTATTAAATTACTTTAGTGAAATGTTATATGTTTATTATTCACCACAGACACAATATACACCTAATAATGATACTACAATAATACGGAAAAGTTTAATTAGATTTCCCACTAATGTACTTCACCCATTTCCCGATGGAAACTTAAACAATAGGCTCATTTCAACTTGTTTAACATTCAAGAATATCATCTTTGAATTAGTTCATACACTGAATATACATTTCAAGGAGAAATCTCATATCTAATCAGCCAATTTCAGATTTTTATTCATCATAAATTGACGAATAAGTTATCATTGTTTGAAATTTTGTTAAAAATTTCATTTTACTCTATTTTTGTTTGAAATTATTTTAAAGCATTTCAAACAATGGTAATGACTAGATGATAAAATCTAGACAGGTGAAAGAACAAACATAAAAAGACTAGTGCATCACGAATGTATTCATTATCTACGTAAAGAGATGCTCGAAGTTTAAGCTTGTCTTTCGTGAAACCAAATGTGTCAACACTTTTCCAGGTCTTTTTTAAGGAAACACTTTATTTTCCTCTTGCAATTTTTTTTCTTTTCATTTTCTTTGCTAAGCTTTTACGGCTTCTAGTACAATGATTGAATTTATCTTAGTTGATTATATCCTGTTTAGTATTCACAACAGAATATTGTTGTAAATTTAAGGTGTTTATTTTTCGCATTATTTTGTTGAAGTAAATAAAAATTTATTGTTGAAATACATTGCTAAAAAATTCCAGAAACTTGGTAAATACTGTCAGCAATTTATTTAACGGTAGACAGCCTCCTGAGAGATCTTTCCCTAGATGTTCTCTCTTTTTGATATAAATAGGCTTCATGCAAAACTCACTCTTACGTACATGTCTGTAAATTGAACATTAGTGAACGTTCATTTTTGTATATACATATATATATAAACCCTTATGGTTCATGAATATTAAATTTTTAATGAACAAATTTGCTGTTAATAGTGAACCAATTAATGTCAAATTTATTGAAATCGATAAAGCCATTTACGTAGAGAAGCCAATACAAATTTACATGGTTCAATGTCGTCATATAGAATGTTGGTTGATGTTACAAATAAGATAAATTTAGTAATAAATTTTATTGCAAAAATTTCAATGAATTTTTGACATAAGTAAGCTCTTGTATAGAAAAAAAAATTAAATAAAAATCATAAATAAGAAGTTATTTTAATTTATTTTTATATTTGAATGCAATCGCAATCAATAGTTAATTGCGACTACACACGAGTGACTATTACATTTACTGGGGAGATCATTTTCATTCGTTGCATCCAACCATTAATCCATTGATCGTGAGTTTATTTTGATTCGTGATGATTTAGATTAAAAATAATATTTTTTCTCCAAAGAAATGTGTAAAGGAAAATTTTATCAATTACATAAGGAAGTTACTTTGTGGTTGCAACAAATATCTATAAGACTTTTCCATTGATTCTTGAGAAAATAAATTTAAATGAAACGTTAAAAATAAATAGAAATGGCCTTATTTATTCTTGGGTTAACTGACAAAGAATCCAATAAATCTTAAGTCACCTGCACGTAAATATGTGTGATTAAAAAAATAATTTTTTATAAATAAATACACCAGTTCTTTTGAATTCGATAAAATTCTTTGAAATAAATAATATCATTTATAAAACAATTCCATCAATATGCGATTAAGATTAAAATAAAAATTTATTTCAAATTTTCCTTTTAAAGATGATAAAATCTTTTAGAAAAAAATATTTATTTAGAGTGAAAAATAAATTAATTGTTCAATAATTAACTATTGTATTTTTTTATAATAGAACAAATTTCTAAAGAAAATAATTGATATACGCGAGTATTGAAATAAATCAACCATTTTATATTGAGAAGAATTCTTTTTGTAGAACTTAGATTCAATTTTAATTGTTAAATAACTTTAAGAATGAAAATTTCCGGTAGAATAATCTGTTCAATTAAAAGGTGAATCGTTTCACTGAAAATGGAGTTTAAATGAAATAAACAATTCATTAACACATTGAAACAGGTTGTGTGTAAAAAAAAGTTACGAAGTCCAGATAATATTTACTAAAATAAGTGGAATGATTTTAATTGAGTTCCAATAAAAAATATACTCTTTTTATACACTTTTGTTAGTTACTCAATGACCCGATGTAATTAAATGAAATAATATTCCAGTTGATCGTAAAAAAATAAATATTATGAAATGGCATTCCTAATCTTTTGAAGAATAATTGGTAGATATTTCTACGTCACATTTCTTATAACTCTCAAAGTAATAATTTTAAGAGAAAATTTGTACTGATCGATCAAATGTTATTACAAACATTTGATGTGTCACTAGGACATTCATTGAGGCGTAGCAAATCGATTATTCGCATTTGCGCAAATCTATCAAAAAGAATACGAAAGATAAATTTTTATTTCGTACTCTCCTACAATACCTAAAAGTGCCAAAGACATTTATCAATGAAAAAGAAGTATCAACAAAAATCTAAAAGAGATGACTGAAGCCTAAATCGATGGTACCTGAGCCAAAGAAGGATGACGACGTAACTGTCTTGCTTGGAATGATCCAGGAGTGTCAATAGTGTGTTGTCGTGAAAGAGCAGGATGTGGTGGTGTAACAGAGCCTTGACGGAACCAAGGTAAAGAGATCTTGCGTCTCGCCTTTTGGACAATCGTCGTCGGTTGTCTGACCGGTGACGTCATTGCAGATGCTGCGGAAGATCGTTTATCTCTTGATCTTTAGCTCTTGAATAATTGATACAATTTATTCTCGTTTTTAAAATTTTCTTTGGATTAAAACAATGCAGTTGTTGTCTTCAGAAAGACTTCTTATGCAAAATGACAAAATCGCAGACCCGTCAAAGCCGACAGTGTGACGGCGACGGATGCGATGAGTCCACAAATAATCATGATCACGAGATCATTCAGCGGCACCAGGTAATTGCTGGAACCGCGTCTTCGGAGTCCGGCGGACCCGAGAGTCGCGTCCGTACTGATGACTTGAGAGCTGTTCCTGGGATGAATCCCAGCGCAACTACGCTAGCAGCAACCCGGCGAACTCTTCCTCGCGTACGCTCAAGTGCGCCGGTGAACCCAATTACCAGCTCCCACACAATCTACCAGCTTTTATGCGCATGTGTGGAAACAACTAGCACCTTACATCTATGCATTGGTCAACTAAGCCATTCCATTTATTCTCTCCTCACAGATCTGGTAGGCGTCTGCTCCGGATCATCGATCCTGCGACATTTCCTTCACCCAGCCTAAACCCGTCATCTCACTCCCAGCCGAGCCCAATTTCAACTCGACCTGGACACCGCGACCTCGTGTGTTTAAGTCCTCGTACTCATTCTTGTCGTGGAATTTTATTCTAGTCACTTTACTTGACAATATAGAGGGTAATTCGTGAAACTATTCCACTTATTTTTTGAGCATCCTTATTGCAATCAAGGAACTTCAGAACTTCATAAGTATCTGGTATATTTTTCTAATTATATCTTTACGCTTCTATGTGGTTATCGTAATATAACACTGTACTAGATTAATTAATTTGAAATTTATATTATTTTTTTTGAATACTTCAGTGTACTCAAGACTGTTAATTCAATTCCGGAATAAAATAAATATACTTTTATCAAAGTTTCCTAACTAACCTATGTTTAATTATAAAACTAACCTACGTCATTAGTAAGTAGCATAATTCATCAAAAAAATCAAAATTTAACTTCTTTTTTTTTTTTAGAAAAGTTTTTGTTGAAATAAGTTATTTCCGTCATAAAATAATTCATATAAATTTTGTTCAACGTATCTTAAATTTAAATTTTTATGACAATAAATGGAACTTACCTTATCTGAATCTGTAGTATTCGTTGATCCAAACGATGCTAAAGAATTTCTATCCAAGTTTTCAACACTATCATCAAGAGAAGCACATTCCTCCAAGTCTCTACTAGATCTTTGACTTGAGCTCTTCTTTGCTGGACTCTTGGGCATACTTAGACTGAAATATGTTTCCTGAATGACTTCCCGAAGTCTTTTAACCCATAACTGCTTTGCTTCTAATGAATTAGCTCTTAATACAACACGGGTATCACTAGTTGGTGCACGTCCGGTCCAAACAGCAAATTTGCACTCGTCACCTTCGATGTGTTCTGTTACGCCAAGCTCAGAGGTCATCAGTCGGCTTTTATATATATATTTGACCTAAAAATATTAATGAATTGGGCTATTAACATTCATGAAATACAAATTATTAAATGTTGATAACATTAATTAGGTTATTCAGAGTTTTTGATTACTTTACTTTATACTTTCATAATATAAAATGTTGAAAATAATTTCTGATTAATAAATATTGTAATACATGAAATATTTTATTTACCTTTCCTGCCGAATCTTTGACTTCTTTACTGAATAGGAGGTAGAGTTCAAAAAGAAAAATATGACGATCACGTCCTTTACGAATAAGTTGCTTTGGGTCCCAAACTGTAAATGAATCTTGTAAAACTACATCACCAAGTGCATCAATCCTAACATCGCAGCCTTCAAGTAAACTCAAATGTAAGGCATCATTTGCTTTTTTAGGCACATTCAGCATAACTTCTAGCCCGTCTTTTATTTCTCCCTGTCCTTCTTGACAGCAAGCTTGCAAATCTTTGAGCAATAACTGATATTTTGTTATTCTTTGCACAGGCTTTATCAAATAAGCAGCAATAGGATGCTCGACACGATGCTTTCGTTGCAAATCTTCAAACCAAGTTCCACCATGAGCTACTAATAACTGATTACTCTCTGGTTTATTTTTGCAATACGTCACATACATGTCGAATTTAGCTGCCCAGGTAACAAAACAATGACCGACATCTTCAGGCATTGTTTCATATTTTTCAAGTTCTCGCAAAAATGTATCCGAGTGAAATTGATATATTTCTTCCATATTGCTAAATATTATTGATTCACGACTTTGCAATCCAGGTGGAACATTGCCTCGACCATTTCGAGTTTCCTCTAGAAAGCATCGAATGCAAGTCTCCAAGTCCTTCACATAAGTTCTCTCAGTTTGTAACAGTTCAGCCATAATAAACCTGTTTTAAAAAATAAGTAAGATGTTAATATTAAATAACTTTTAACAATTAAGAGTGAATCAATAATCTCTATTTATGTTAAAAAATTTAAACTTACTCTTTTCGACGTGCAGAACGACGTTTTTCTTCGTTCAACTCTTTTAGATCTTTTCCTTTAATTTTTTCTTCAAGAAGAGGATCCGAATTACGATCAATTGATAAATCTTTTTGACCATCATCTGATTGTATTCCTAAATCATCTTCAATTTGCGTCTTATAACAGTCCATCCGCATACTAAAATCCTTATATCGCTGATCAACTTCAGCCACAGATTGTTTAATTGCAGCAGCATGAGCGTGTCCTTTTTCTACCAAATTATCTGCTAGCTGAATAAGTAATTTTACTCGTTCTCTCGTTTCCTGTAATTTAAAAATTATAAAAATTAATGATATAATTAGGTACAATTACACGGTTATTAAATTAACTTATAATTGTTTTTTTTTTACTTTAATTTTACAATGCAATGATATTAGCACCATATTTTAATCGAATTCACGCGTAGTTAGTGGACAAACTGCAATTGAGTGAAACGTTCTCTATGCTATGTATTACTTGGCAGAGTAATGAATAAAATTATTACGCAAAGATCTGATGTCAGAAGCTGTCTTTAGAATAACCCGAATTCAATACAATGATCTTTCATATCATAATTTATAAATAACAACAAAATAATGTATGTAAATACTCACTTTTGCTGCCCCTTTAAACTCATTGTGTTCGTAAAGAAGTTGTTCATTTTCCAAACGATTTTTCCCAACATTTGTATGTGTTGCAAGGTATAATTCACCAGTTTCACGGATCCATTCTAAAGCCTGTTTTGCACTGCGTTCAAATAAGACATATTGATGACATTGATCAAGACGTTTTTTTCTCTGTGTCCAATACTCTAATACTTTATTTTCTTTGCTTAATAATTCTTCAAGAATATTTTTCACTTTATTTTCTGACCCACCACTTATACTTTTGTAACTATAAAACTGTAAACTCCTATTGGTATATTTTAGAAATGTCTCTGCAGTGCGGCGCACTAAAGTACAAGCTTTAAGAAAAGCTTCCTTTTGTTCTTGATGTTTGCTAATAAGCGTATGGACTTGAGTTCCTTTTTCCCCGTTACAACACCAATCTTCATCCCTTCGATACTCTCTTTCCAAACTATCCAACACAGACCTGACTTGTTCCGCTGTCTTATAAAAATTTATACTTGCAGTTACAAGTTTATGTCTTTCTTCAGCACAAGTTACGAGTTGCTGCCACCGTTTTGTTACATCTTCAGCGACTTCACGGATACTTTTGGGGTCATAATGATTAGCACCAACTAGAGCATCAGCTCGATGTTTTACTTGAACTGCTGAGGTGTGTGTTTTTTCAATAGCAACTTGAAATTGTTCGTGTTCTAAACGCAATTGTTCTGCATCTGATAGATTTTCAGGAACTCGTAGTGATGCTAAAAGCATAGCTTCACCATTTCTGATCCAACTAGCTACATGCTGAGCATCATTTTGAAGTTGAACTAATTGTGCAGTTTGTTCTAAACGCACACGTCGATACTCTGCTAGATCTTCGGCATCCATTTCTCGTTCATTTAAAAATTCTAAAAGAACTTGAACTCGTGCAGTAGCAGTATGCTGACCGTCAGCCATTATACATACACCCGCTTGTTCTAATACTTGAGCAAGTTCTTGACCCTGTTGAAGAACTTGGAATGCAGTATTTTGCATGTGAGCTACACCATCATTGTGCACGCGAAGCAATTGCTCTGGTGATCCTTCTCTTGGTGGTGCCCGGAGCTCTTGCGCCCACATTTCCAACTGTCCACTTGCCTCGAGCGCATCTCTTTCAAACACACGCAAACGTAAGCATAGTTCCAGACGAAGCTTACGAGTAGCCCAAAGCTCCTCCAACTCTTGCCGAAGCACTGCCAGTCTGTCAAGAGCGGCTTCTACAGCGCTTACTGACCCTGTTGTGTCTGGAGCTTCAGTCGAGTCTCTCAATTCTTGTAGTAGAGCTTCACCTTGGGCTATTGTTGACGTACAAGCTTCTAAGCACGATGCTCTGTGCTGCGCACACTGATCTAAAAGCCTTTCTGCAGTTTCTAGGTTTTCAGCAACTTCATCTTGTTGTAACTCTTGACGAAGTTCATCTACCCATCCACTTAACTGTGAAATAAATTAGAAAAAATTCATAAATTATTCTCTGTAATTAAATTTAAAGCAATTCAATTAAACTGGAATAATGCAATTGGTAGCATACTTCTTTTTCATGAGTATAAAATACAACTGCTAAATCCAATCGACGACGTCTTTGTTCAACTCGCGTGGCGAAGCTGCTAACATGTGCTTCTAATTCCTGTGCTACAGCATAAATTTCATCGGGTGCACATTCACCTGTGTGGGCAAGTTCTTCGGCTGCTGTGAGCAATTTCGTTGCATTGGTATAAGTATTCTAGACAACAATTAATTAATTCATCATTAATAAGTGATTAGAGTTATTGCATCATTATAAAGTTCTTTGAATTATTATTATAGGGTCATGTTTACTGTGTTACTTTTAAAAATTATTTTTGTGTCTCCTTAAAAAATGTTAAATCCAAAATCTTGCGCTAATGCCAACAATATAGGAACTCATAGTATAAGAAAGATACAGAAAATAAATGTATATAATTAACAAGAATTTGATATTGTATAATTTTATACATATATACCAGAAAAAATATACAAAAAAGCGTTTGACGAATAATTGAAGATTTCGTTCAAGTTTGTAACTTAATTTTTTACCGAGATAATAACTCTCATAGCAGACAAAGTTGGAACGCGTTCAATTTACAAATTTAAGTGAGCACAAAATTGTAAAAGTTAGCTACTGCAGAAATAACTGCATCAAAGAACGTATACTAAATGACCCCAGTGAATTATGACTATACCTCTGGGTTTTAAAATCTGAAAAAGAATCCTATTTACCTGAGCAACATTTTCGAAATGTTCATGACTTTTCTGATAGACTCGTGCTTTCTGAAGATTTCTACCTACTCCAGTATTCTTTCTAATGAATACTTCACCGTGATTAGTTAACCAGTCCAATACTTGTTTAACATCTTCTTGAAATAGCCTATAATAATAAATAAAATTACGGAAAATAAATTCCCATTCAATAGTTTGATAAAAGTTAAGTACATTAATTTAAGTAATTCATGTTAGCAGATTATACTAAGTATCGAAATTAATTTGATTGCAATGTTGTATAGTGAAAAACATTGATTGAACATCACAGACATGAAATAACTCATACCTTAAAGCAAGTCGTTGGTGTAATTTAACTTTGCGAGCATGCCAGCGAGCTTCTAGAGCTCGGTGATGACCTAAAATCTGATGAATAACCGCAAGCACGTGTGATGCACCCTCGCTATAATCTGCGGCTGGATTTCCACTCATACCACCGCGGTTATCCATCCCATGACCGTCTTGGCTCTAATCGAATATAATCCAATTAATTCTATTCATTCATATTTTTCCCATCATTTATCAAAAATATACAATATTATTCACACAAATAGTTCAATGATAACAATAATCCGTTAACTATCTACCAGATAAATTTTTCCTTTCAAATTTATCATTGAACTATTTGATATATTTTTGTTTGTACAACAAGCATTTACTCGTAGTTGCAAAGTACTTTTATAGTGCAATTAATAAAATGAAAATAATACAGTATAAGTGGATGAGGAAAATGTGATATTTATAGAGCTGTTGAATAGAAAAAGAAGTTGTAAAAAAAGATTAAATGAAAGAAAAAAAAATAAATTGGAAGAAAAGGGAATTTAATTCTCAGACAAAGAGAGAAAGACGTTAACATACATGTTTTCTGTTGGAGTGGTCAATCCCTTGAGGTTGATTACAGACTTGAACAAGATGATCCAGTTGATAGAGAAGCTTCTTACTGGTACTGTGTACCTAAACAATGTTATAAGCCAAAGCCATACGTAAGAGAATGTTAAAATCTATCAGTAGATCTACCTTCACCTTAGCAATAATTTTACAATTGTTTTTTGTATGTTTTAATGTTTAATTATTGCTTAAATTATAACTAATTATTCAAGTAAGATATAAGATAAAAAGAATGTTTATATATCTATATATATTACACATCTCATCACCGTTAAATAAATTAGTAATAATATTATCCCTGGAAAGAATTTAATGTTATTCTTCGCCCAGTCACCAGGTTATCATTTGCCTTGTCTTTCGCTGGAAGAATAAATACAATATAAAATATAATCATACATAATCGCTGTGAAATATGTCATTGCCGGTGACACCAGTGGTACTTGAACTGTGACAAACTTGCAACATCGTCCCCAGACCGCTCAAAAGTGCTTGATATGCGTTGTAAACCTGTTAAATTTTTCTCACTTATTATTTTCCTATTTACTGATAAGACATCTTTCTTCTTTATCTTTTTTTCATATTTCAATTATACTCATATTAATTTTATGAAAAATTTGAAAATAAACATATTAAAACTCAGTTATTAGTTACTTCAAATATTTACACAATGTAATATTGTATTTTATATTTACTTCAGGTTTTATAAAACAAAATTTACTTCAAATGAAAATTAAGTTTAATGAAAAAATTAACAGAATCCTGAGCCTTTGAGAGAAACATATACGTTTTAAAATAATACAAAAAAAGAGTTTGAAAATTTCAGCGTTTTATTGATGTTCTCGCAAGTTTTACGATAATTTCTTCGTAAGTTACGAGCAGTCAAAGCCAAAGGGTTGATTTCTCTTTGACAGTAAATAACTCAGTGAAAAAATTCTTACAATGATTAAAGTAGAAAATTAAAAAAAAAGGTACGTTTCTTAAAGGCCTTTCAATATTTTTTTTATACTTATTTCTAGTTACAATAGTCTGGAAGATAATTTAATACTTTAAAAGCTAATAAATTATTAAAAAAAAAATATATATAATGTAATATTAGATATAGATAAAAATTTCCCTTAGTAAAAGTAAATATTAATTTAGTTACTAACGGTGTCTATATTATCAAAAGTTCTAGAAGCGGTAAGTAATTTTTTTTTGTTAAATAAAATGTTCTCTTTTCTAAATAAAAAAGTATAGAAAAATACCTCAGTATACGCCTGACACATGGCTTCATAAAGCGTCTGATGTTGTCGTATATGAGACTCAAGAACCGCAATTTCATTGGGCAGATTTGTCGACTCGCATGCTTGACTCCATCCCGTCACGCTGTCGACGTACTGCTCGGCCTTATGATGAAAAACAACACTGAGACTAAGAACTGCAGTACGCTCATCAAGTCCCGCAGCGAATTCTTTCCACGCACGGTCCAAACGACCTGCCACCGCTCTTACATGACCAGCAGCGTAATGTTGTGTCTCCAATAGTCTTCCTGCCATTGTTAAAATCTTGTTGATATTCACATAAACGTTCATAGAGCTCATGGTGAAATGCTTGTGGTCTTCTTGTAAATTTTTTGCTAACTGGTATGAACGTCCAATTTCTACGTAATTGGAAAGGAAATGTTCTCGATTATGGCAAATCCAATCGAACATTTTCTCACAGTCTTGTTCAAACATTCGTAACTGAAAACATTGATCCAATTTCGTCTTTTTAATGTGCCAGAGTTGTAAAAGATGCTGTTGAGCTGCATGAACAGAGTCTAAATGCTGAATAACTATAGCTGCAAGTGCACGACCATCAGGATCCGCACCACCTGATGCTCCTCCCTCAATACTTCCACTTTCGCTTGAACTTCCACTCATACCTGTTTTTTATTGAACACATAAACAAGTCAATTAGAAGAAAGAATATACATCCTACAGAAAATCAGTAAAAGAATATTTATTTACTACTATTAAATCGTTGGAGTAATCTTTGGCCTACAACTTCGACCTCTTCAACCGGTACTTTCATTATCTTTTTTCTCATCTCGTTATGAAGATCGATGCCGTGTTTAGCACCGCCTACATCATCTGCGAAGTCGTTACGGCTGAGATCCTCTTGAAGATCATCAAGTCGATCAAGTAAATCCGCAGCTTGCCATGTAAAATCTTCCACTGCTAAACGTGTGTCTATCCATTGAGCATGATCATATTGCAATGATCCATCCAAGTCAGCAGTCAGCTGAGAAGGATCTATTACTTTGGCCAAAGCCTCCAAGCTAATTGTATTGATCTGTAAATAAAAAAAATGATACATTCAATAAATACAGTATTCAACTCAGACGTATTGGTGGATAAGTTCTGTACTGAGAACAGAAAAATTTTGTAGACATTTTGTCCTAGGCAAAGATAGTGGAGTGGGTAAATATTGATTTTTTTAGAAGGTCAAGCTTTTGCCACAATAATCTCCTCGTGACTGAGTGCACATTTTGTAGCACGTGTGCATTGTGGAATATTTGGTCTTGGCATCAGTGCACCACAATGAACAGCGCTACGATTTTGCTAGTTGAATGCATTCAATAAGCGCTACTGCGACAATATCGCGTTCAAAGTAGGACAGAGAATCTTGCCAACAGTCCTGGTGCTATCACTATACACTAAATCTGTATTCAACCCACTATTTTTATTGATTGCTCCATTTACCTCGAAGTTATACTTCTTCTGTTTAGCCAAAGAGGTACGCTGCTTTTGCCAAAAATTATCTGGCTTTATGATGAAAGCAACGTGGACCGAACGATGAAAGTGCTCATGAAGTACCTAGAATCCGAAGCAAATAAATCAATACCAAATCTGCTTATTCATTTATTCATTGAAACATAATCCTTATCATAATTTAATTCGTGTTCACCTTTAAAATCGGTTTTACAGAGTCCCACGTGGCACCTCTCATATCAACGATTACGGTAAATCGAAGTCCTCTGGCTTCATCGTTTGGAATGGCTAAAAGGTATTGAAGTAAACGACGATAATCTTCTGGTTTTGCTCGTTCTCGTCGTGATGTTGTTGGAAATACAAGAACTGGACCACCACGACGATCTCTTCCACCTGGCAAAATTGCCAAACGCTCTTCTAGCAGAGGAAGAACCTCTGCAGCACGCGTCCCATCCATTTTTTAATCTTTTAGTGTAATCTTTTTCTGAAAGAAATAATATCCTCATTAGTATTTGATTTATGATACCCAACTCAATACTAACTTAAATACCAATCGATTGAGAGTTAATAGTAATCTTCTGATTGACCATAACTATTACTTAAGATCAGGTCAAATTGATGTTTAAATCAATTATTATGTATTGATGATTCCAGTCGTTTATTCAACGTTACTGTGGTCAAGGATTTGTGGTTGAGAGTTAAGATTAATTAAAAGTACGGACAAATCTATCAAGATAACAGTGTCTATAGTTAAGCGTTGGTGAGATCACTTGTAGATCTATGTTTTTATGTACTCATAAGCTTTTTTTGCTTCTCTGTAATACTTCTCTAGCGGGAATATTAACTTCTAATGACATTGAATATGAAAGACAACTTTTCAAAGTTTGAAATTAAATTTGAATATAAATAAATTGAATAAATACTGACAAAGGAATGAAACTATTTTTGTGAAGTGTAGGGTTATGTTGAATGATAAAAAACATTGATCTGAGAGAAAGGGTGAAGCCTTAACTTGACAAAATATAACGCTTTCATTGAACGTAGCTTGAGTGGCTACAAATCAATCCTGACCGTGAAGAAAAGGGAACGCGTGCACGTCTGCAACCCTCAATTTGGAAATTAAAAAGTGGTGAGTAATAAAATTAAATGAAAATTACTGGTATGTAAGGAAATAACGATTTTTTAATGTCCAATGGTAAAATGATCATTATCAGGGGTTTCTCTAAACGTATAATATAATAGTAGATTATGATAAACAGGCGTTAGTCGCGGGCTATAGATTGTCAAAATCCCCCTTTCCCTCTCTTGTCGCGAAGTAAATTGCGTGGGAGTTGAGAATATTTTTTTTTACCTGAGTAAGTATGAATCCTGAAATCCGATGATGTTGATATTCCTTCGAGTGTAGGTGTGAGCACTCAATATTGTTGGAATAACTTTACGGATCATATTGCTCCATCGGCGGTGCAAAGTCATCAGAGCAACGCAAAAATATCATCTTCTGCCATCTTCTCCGAAACCCCAACTCCTACTGCTCTAAACCGCCGCGCTTAGTTTCTGATTTCACAATGAGAGGCAGCACTTTACTTATTCCACCGTTCCTGTGTCTTTGGAATGTGAATTCAATTCCCAATTCCAAGTTTAGTAATTGAATAATTTTCCGCGGTTAAAATGTTTATAATTTAATCAAATAAAGAATCAACAGAATTCATTGAAAAATCATATCATAAAGTCAGTTATAATATAAACAATAATTTTCAATAACATGACAAGCTCCGTGAGCACAAACCCATCAACTTTGCTACCTCTAGGTTCAAAATTCTTATCAATTTACTTGTTATTTATTTTCTAACCTTAAATTAAGAGTTTATTTAATTATTTTTTTTTTTTGTTATTTATAGAACAATAATTATTTATAGAAATATAAAAAATATTTATTTCAGAACTGGTAGACAAATGTATCGGCTCAAGGATACACATCATAATGAAAAACGACAAAGAAATCGTTGGAACGTTACTTGGGTTTGATGACTTTGTGAATATGCTTTTAGAAGATGTCACAGAAAGTGAAGCTACACCGGAAGGTCGAAGAGTAACTAAATTAGATCAAATCCTTCTTAACGGCAATAATATTACAATGGTTAGTAACTTTTTATTCTATATAAGACTTATAACTATTCTGATGATTTATTTATAAACACTGAATAATGGTTGAAAATTAAGAAATTAATAGAATTTTTTTGTTTTACAGTTGGTCCCTGGGGGTGAAATGCCGGATACATAAGATACATTTTTAATGCTGTTATAAGAACCCGAAAACTCCAAAAGTAATTGAAAATATTCTTATTAATATATGTGCTAAATTAAATATTATTATAGTTCAATATTTATAATTAATCGATTAATTGTTTTGTAGAAAATTCAGTTGATCAATAATTATATCTAATTTTGGTCTATTATCTGCGTTCACTGAACACAATTTCTTATACAGACTTTTGTACTCATTGTGACACTCATCATCAATATATTTATCTGGCTGGTTATCAAAAGGTCTTACGCCTTTTCCTGTCAGATAAAGAATTGTGTGAGGATGGCATCCGGCATAAGGAGCTTTTCTGACTAAAAGTTGCCATGCTAAAACTCCTAATGAATAAATATCCGATTTAATTGAAGGAAAAGATCCTTTGACCACTTCTGGTGCTACATATCCCGGAGTACCCTGTTAAAAATAACATAATAATTTTTATTATGTAATTTTTTTTATATTGATTCAAATGACTTACGCGTGATCCTAACAAAGCTTTGCTCTCTTCGCCAATAACGATTGAGCTTCCAAAATCAGCTAATTTAGGTTGGCCATTTGATGCTATTAAAATATTTTTCGGCTTAATATCAGCATGAATAATTCCGATCATGTGACAATAATTAAGAGCAGAACCAATGGCTCTCCACATCTCAATTCTTTCATTTCTAGTTAATCTCATTTTCTCTAGTTTATTTTGGAGCGATGTGTCACAAAGTTCCATGGTGATCATTGACCAAACAGATCCCTGCTCTATTCCAAGAACTCGAACAATATTAGGATGTCGTAAAATAGATGCTCGTTTCTCCGCTTCTACTTCAGCATCACTAAGCTTTCTTCTTTTGATGATCTTAACAGCTACCTGATCACCTTGAGAAGATTTAGGACTATAAAAATAATTATATGATGATATTTTTACGACAGTAACATATTTTACCTTTATATGAAGCCTTGTAGACTGTACCAAAACTCCCAGTACCCAAAACAGATTTTTCTTCGTCTTGAAGACCATTATTTATTATTCGTTTGCGGTTTGGCGTGTCTATACTGAATGGTAATGCCCTGTTTGTACCAACGTTTTGCACGCGAAGGTGCTTATCCGGGGCTCGAGGACTTAGACTATGTCTACCACTACAAAATAAAATTTATTTCTAAATCAATATTGGAGAATTCGAATAAGTCTAGAATTAGACTTGCCTCTTGTTTACTATATTGCTTGAATAAAAATAAATGATTTACTTTTAGTATTTTAATAACTGATTCATTTCAGAAAATTGTAGAAAACTCCTCCACTAATTCGTACTAAATTAATAATTTTCTCTGCTTTAAATTTAAATAACATACCTGGTATTACAGAAATTACTTGCTGCACGTGGTGACAAACTGCGCTTAGTTAAAGCTGAAACAACGAGACGAGGAGAAGCCATTTCAACTCGGGAATAATTTATAACCGAGTAATATACTAGGCTTTCAGAATACCATTTGTCTCATATGTTTGTTTGTTTTCTTCCCTTTCTATATATTCAAATCCTATTCTATCTCTATTTTATTAAGCTTCAAGAAGATTGGATAGGTAAATAAATATAGATTACAGTCAATTAGAGGACATTAAAATATTTATTTTCATTTTTATCTTAGGGCGTATGTCATTTGCCTAAAGCTAATTGTTATGTATAATACTGAATTTTTAATTAATTATTTACAGAAGTTGTTTATTTATAACAATTTTTAATTATAATTATAGTAATCTCTGAATATGTATATCTGTGGTATAAACAATAGTAACAGGAAAAATGAAAAAGAAATATAAATTTAATAAAATCCCATTACTTCTTTTAAAATTACTCAAAGATAAAAGTTTAAGAATATTTTGTTTTAACATTATTCCAACTTGATAGTTCTTTTTTTACTTCTAATCTACCTATTCATCTAAGTTAGTATACATTATTTAAATTATGGTGATTATTATTATTTATGATTGTTATTTGAAAAATCAACTGATATAAACAATATGTGCTGATTTTTATCTAAAATACATTCATTCATTATCAATTTAAAATAGTTCCATGAAATTTTAACAACATAATTCTATTACGCTCTTCATTATGTAGAATAATTTTACATTATAAGAATAAGAATTCGTTCTTAATTATTTATAAATAATTCTTTGTCTTGCCTGTTTTACTGTCCATTAATTATATTTAATTAAATTCAACACATGTTAACCTATTTGCTTAACTGTGTCATTCTATAAAAATATGCCCATCGTAATATATATTTCTTCAACCACCTTACTTTTGATTATAATTTTTAATAAGTACATTTCTTATGATTCGTTTTTTTCCATCATTTTCAATATATTATTTTCTTAAAATAAAATATTATTTGCCATTCATATTTTACGTGTGAATTGTTTAAAATGAAGACTGAAAATATATTTTTTAATAAACATTCCTTAAAATAGATGATTCTTAATCTTTACAATTTCTCTTTTACTTTCTTGGACCCGCGACATGATTAACACATCCATCGTTCAGGTACATTTAATCTACATTTTTTTATACCACAATCATTCATTTATTGTCCACTTTAAAAATCGTACCGAATTTTTCAGTAATTAAAACAAAAATAAGCTTCGTAAATAATTTTACATTATACATTTTAACAAAAGCATCAATAATTAATCTCTTTCGAGTAGGTTAACAAGCACCGAACTTTTTTTCATTACCATTTTCCAATAATTCCTTTTCTTGTTTTTTCAAGCTTGTAATATAAATACGATAGCAATGTAAACTATAATAAGAAAATTATCTGCAGTACCTATTCCTCTTTTAAACATCGATTCTCAATTACGTAGATGAAAGATGCACCTAAGAATAGGTTGACTTGAATTAATTTTTTTAAGATTGACATAATACAATATTCATCACATCGATCTGATATTGCTGAGGTAGCATAGTCTAAGGAGTCATGGTAATGATTGAATTCCTTAATTCAATATTTGAATATTATTACCATGACATCTGTATTATTTACCAACAATAAAATATTAAAAATTATTTAAGCACCATGATTTCGCCGGTTAAAATTCTTATTAATTCCAATGAAATGACATCTCTAAATGCTTTGCAAAATTACTAATTAGTGATCCAATTTTAAATTGATATTCATTTAAGTACTATTTACAATTTTATGACACAGGATATCGTCTTGTTTTAGTAAGACAACTATTCATATTAAGTATAATATCAATTTTTTCATCTTCATAACATGATTAAATAATTCACTTATTGATTTCATTTTATTTTATAAATGAAGTTCAGAATGGCTAATCACTAATTGACAGATTACATTCTAGAAAAGAATGTTATAAAAAATGAATGAATTTTAAAATAATAGAAACATTCTAGTTTGAGTAGAAGAATTATTCTTAATTGAAAAAATTTTCTCTTAGAGAAATTACTTTATCATCTTAAACAGATGATTTTAAGAAGATAATGTATAAGCTCAAGAATTCTAGCTTCTTGAAGAAACGTTTTCTTATAAGTAAAGATAATCAAATTACTTTGAAATGCAATTTGTATCTACAATTTTTTTTCAAACGTCTTGAGCAAAGCCTGGACGATCAGATATGAATTAAAAGAAACAATTTTAATGTTGAGAAATGAAGTCTGAATTAGATTGATAAATTTTTGTATCCCAAGTATTAATGACTGAATAGATAAGGCACAATCTAACCAGGGAGTGGTGCTTCCTCGTAGAAATCTAATTCATCTTCGACAGTTTCATGATCAGGTCCTTTACTATCGAGTGCTCGTAATTCAGCAGGAGTAAAGAATCGACTCATTTGAGCACGTAGAGGAATCATGAGAATAAGAAAGAATGGAAGCGCAAGTGCTGCTTGAGTGCTTTTAACAATCCACAAAGTAGCCAGACACAATATTTGCACCAAGGTAAAGATGTGCATTTTATAAGTTTGTACTCGTCGAACGTAGTTAGCTGTTCCATGATGTTTTACAGGCATGAAGAAGAGTTTCACTCGATCAAATAATTGAACGCCGTTGGTTGATGATATACCCATGTAGAGAAAAACTCCAAGAAGCACAGCCATGGGTACTCGACGCAACAGGGGAGCCATCAGGACACTCACTCCTACAAGAAGAGCGACAAGGAGAGCGCTAACTCGCTGCTCCTTGACCTCGACAATGTGTGGCTTGTCTCCTGGTGCGTGAGTGCGCGACATGACCGTCACTGCTGAGACATGAGTAAGAGAACGAACGGATGCAGCACAACACCAAGGTGCTCCCATTAAGCCGCAACCGACATTCATCAGACACACGACAACAATGTCCATGTGATATCCATTTCCTTTCCTCAATTTTCTTTCTTTCTTGTCAATTATAGACTCTGATATTTGTGTTTCCATGAACACAAGAATGTAAACAAGGAATGCAGGAATAACACAAGCAAAAGCCATCCAAATTGGTATTGGTTTCTCTGTTCCACTTGGTGATACGAACCAATTTCTTCCAGGGACCGTTGGAGTCAAACCTTCTGGCACAAGTAATTTTTCTGTCTTTACTTCAGCAAGGTAGTCTATTAAGACAAAGATAATGATACTGATTGGCACTCCAAAATCTCCAAATGCTCGTCTTGCACTTCTACCTAAATAATGGCTGTTTCGAAAAATACGAAGATAATAAGCACCCAAAAATGTTCCCAAACAAAGTATTGTGCACATTAATGCTGTATTGGGTTGATTGATCAATAGTCCAGCTTGATTATGGCTCGGCAAAAATTCTGTATTCATTATAGACTGATTGTAATTTATTAAATTAGTTAATTTTGCATATTCAACTATTTCTGTAGAATTCATCGTACTATTGTCTGCTCCAAAACAGTATTCAGGTAGCAATGGATTCTTTTTGAAATAATTATAAAGTTTGACAAAAGTTTCTACAATATAGAGTAATGAAATAAGACCGGTGAAAATTTCTTCTGTAAACCGAGTAAATAAACGTACAAGAACTGATCCTTCAACACATGCCACTGTCAAGGCAATTACGCCCATCCATACGCCAACGTACAATCGCATCGTCAGAAACTCAAGTTCATTTGATATACAGAAGTTGTAAAGACTTTCGTCGAATAGTAATAAAGGGCCAGTCGTGCCAATAATTACAAGAGGTTGAGTTGAGAAAAGTGCCATGATAACACCAGTCCATGAACAAGATACTAAAGTTTCAGAAATTCCTATGACGTTGTGAGTTTTGTCACTCATTAGACCTCCAAAAGTAATAGCTGCACAGAGTGCAGCAAAATACATAAATATTGCTGCAGCAATACACGATGAGTTTAAACCATCTGTAAAATCCGATAAATAAAATGAATAACGTCGTTTTATATCATTAATAAGTCCACCAAAAGGACGTCGAGTGCGACGAAGAGGATCATCGTCAGGACGTTTTTCTTCTTCTCCAGCAAGGATAGCTTTCTTTTTCGCAGCGTCACTTGTAATTGGAGGAGTTGCTATCGCAAGTGCTTTTGCTTTTCGTTTTCTAATAGCTTCACTCTTTGCCTTCAACTCATCAAATGGTAAAAGTGCTTGTCGCTCCCAGTCACCGGGAGGTAATACTATTGAATCATCTAAAAAGTCATTAATTGCTGATAAAAGCTCGCGCCTTTCAGTTGCTTTATAAGCTACTTTATGAAATGATTTATTAGCCATGAGTGTTGAAATTGATCGACCAATCTCATGATAATCTAGATCTGCATTTCGTGGACCCAATAGCGTAAACATAAAACGTACAGGAATTGTTACTTCTGTTATTGATGGCATCAATACTCCTTCTGCGAGACGAACAAAGGCAATAGTTGGTTGATCTAAGAAATCCACGGCACCAACTAAAACAATTGTCGCCTCTGCACCTGCTGGTATTCTTTTGAAAATATAATCATTGTGAGTTTTCTTTAGGTCTTCACTGCTGCTAGTATACGTCATTTCTTCTTTCATATCTATCGTTGTATGGTTATTATCCATTATTAGTCCTTGATTGGTAGGGATGATTTTTGGCTTTGCATCATTTAAATTCTGTAAAAATTCAATTCCATATTAGTTTTTATTTTATAACTTTTTTTTACATAAAAATGTAGTCTGAATACTTTTAATGATGATTTGAATTGGCAAACTAAAATTCATAAAAAGTTCTTGGTCTTTTATTTTTTAGATGAAAACATATAGTGCAAGTACGATTGATGCTTATTTTACAGTTGTTAACGTCATTGTGGCGGGAAATATAATAACGATACGGCGAGAAATGATTTGAAATAAAGAAAAGAAGAGAAATTATTATATCACATGAACAATACGAACATTTAACTAAAGAGGACTCAACTAATGCTATCATGGACTCACAGGTTTTATTAAAAGTATATATTTTGTAACTTTGAATAAACGCAGTAATAATTAAGAACATATTTCATTATTCTTAATTAATTTTCCTGCAAGTTCACGCATACTAGCAAGGTTATTTTGAATGAAACGAATGAAGGGGGAAAAATAGCAATACAATAGTGAAAGAAATAACAACAAAACGACGATTGTGTATCGGAAAACGAGTGAAAGAGATTAACGTGTTAAAGTTACATGGTTTTCAGTTCCTTCCCGCGTAGCATCTTCTTCCTCCAGCCAGACGGACTGCGGAAATAACATTGATGCTGTGAGTCATTTAATTTATAAAAATTCTAGTCGCTAAATTCATTGATTTTTCAAATACAATACTGATTAAAATATAGCATTTAAAGAATTTTTAACTATCAAAATATCCCGAGAAGTAAAAAAAATTAAATAAATAAATTTATTGGGCCAGCGAAAATTATTTGAAAATTGTCCATTCATCTATTAAAAAATTAATTTAAAAAGCTATTAAAAAATTAAATTTTTCAAATAAATAATAAAATTATTAGTGTATTTTTACCTGTAGACTTGTATAACTAGCATAGTTACGCTTTCCACCAAAGCGAAAGCCTCTGTCATGTTCATTAACATGCCGATGACGAAGCAAAAGTGCTCTCATGACAACTGGACGGTCTTCAGGAAGAATAAGCTCATCTACAACCATTTGTTCAACTACTCTATAAGCTAATCCAGGCACATCTTTCTCTTCCAAGTCCAATAACACGACACCAGTTTCTAAGCATCGTCTTAAATTGAGCAAAGAGTGAAAACTCAACGACGCTACATGAGGTCTTCCCCATCTATCAGCTCCTTCTTCTACATCTTCTTCATACTTAATCCACCTGGCCGTTTCTCTCCATTCGCGCTCTTCTCCCACCCCATGGAGTTCATCAAGTTGTACAAATACCTCATGCGGTGAGTGGTCGTACATCTTTTTAAATGTTTCATGAGGTATTCCACCTTCCTTTCTGCGACCAATTTGAATCATGGGATGGGAGGCTTTGTGCCGTCGCATACCACGAGGATCATCGCTCCTGTGGGATTCTAAATCATCGATGTCAAGTTCCTGAAGTGTACTTGCTTCCTCTGGTTGAACGCTTACTCTTCTGCCCAAAGCGCCTGTCACGTCGGGAAGTCCTGCTCCTGATCTTTTTCGCCATTGTGGATCTTCTTGCAGAGAATATTTTCGAGATTTATGATGATGTCTTCTACAAAAATAAATAGAAATAAATGAAATTAATAGATGTAAAAAAATTTGTTTCAAGAAGTTTTTATGAACAGAATATGAATTTCTTTTTATGAATAAAGAGTACTATTATTTATAAGAGCACATTGTAGAATAATTATTTAGCATTGTGTACAATTATTCATTTTGGCTGTTTCGTTGGTTAACACTTATCGAGCAAGCAATCCAAGCATGATAGATTGAAAGAAGACATGTGGTTGTAAAATATTTGAACGTATGCCAAATTCACTAACTTTTAACCCTGACAGTGATTTTTATTTAAATTTAACTAAGTTTTAGAGGCTCTTCCTTGACTTTTAAAAGACATCGAAATATTAATTATTAATATAAACCATCATTAAAAACTATCCATTCATTGCAAATTTATTCGGCACTTGATTCTTAAAAATTCTTGTGACAATTTATTAATAAAAACAGACTAAAATCTATATTTGCAATTTTTAAGCATTTAAAATAAACTAATACAGTAGTAAGTGGTGATGTGTTTTACGACAGAAGACTTATTGTATAGTTTTGCTTCATAAATAAAGATATTTATATTAACAAAAAAAATAAAGCCTACGGATATTGTCGAATTCTGCCAATACGATCGTGAGATCGGTCGTAAGTCACCGGCATAATAAATAACTACACTGCTTCCTTTAATCAATGACATCCACTGCACACCCCGAACACAACACGATTGACCTAATTAAATGACAGACTAGTCGAAGCAACGGATATGACGGTGGCTTGTGTATTGTCTGGCGCAAACGGCCACGCGAAAAACCTAATCCTGGCGAAGGGCCATGGCACCAGGCACTACCGACTCTGCACCTGAGTTCTCGTCTCAGGTCTATATCGTTCTTGAAAATAACCTTCCGATTTGTCAACCCCCTTTAAATCATAATGACAAACCGCACGAAAGCTCAGTTATCATAATTATTTCTGTGCATATTCTTCGTAATCATCGTTTCTATTTATTAACGTTAAAGGTTAATAGTGAATCACTAGATTTCTTGTACAATAGTACATTCTGTGTTAATGTTTATTATTAATCTTCATGTGAGTTGATTTATGTCTTACTTGTGATCATGGTGTTTGCTGTGATGACGCCGTACTTTTCGTTCTTCTTCACTTAAAGGTTCTTCTAGAGGTGGCACAACATCACCTTCTTCCTGGATTTTTTCAAATTGTACTCGCGGATTAACAGCTTCAAGACTGTCACTAACACTAACTGCTGCTCTTTCAGACACTGGTGCTTCGAATTCACTACTAATTGTATTTTCTTCTGATGGTGAACGTTCATCATTCGGTGGTGTCGTGATAACTCCATTATCTAAATTGTCCACATCTTGGTCGTTATTTCCATTCTGACTATTCACTGTATTCTCTTCTTCGTGATCATACTCTCCTGCCGTGCCGTCTCTAAGAAATGCCAAAGAGTATTCATCAGAAACGAAAATAAATTCTATAAATTTTCTAGTAAATCGTATGTTAACTTTATAATAAATTTCAAAAAATTCTTTTAGTGGTTTACTTACACAGAAAGGTGTCTTCGCATGGATTTGGAACGCAAACTTTTCAGTGGCATGTGTGGATGTGGATAACTTTTTTTGCGATGCTCTATTAAAAAAAAAAAGATAACAAGAAGTAATGAAGGCCTGAATGTATAATAACAAGTCAATTTCCTTTATATTATTGTTTATCATTGAATGAATATGTCATTTTTGTTATAAAACTGTCTGAATTTGAGCTATAATTCGCCTCTGAGAAGTATATAACAACTCATAATGTCATTCGCATGGCAAAAAAGTATTTGTGCGATCATAAACTGTCTGACTATTACTTATGTACCTACTATAAACAAGAATTTACGGAGATGTTTTAAGTAGTATTTTTAGATATCTGTTGAGATGTAATATGATTTGTTTCAATTATGTTATTGTTTACTTTCATTTATTTCACTTGGTAGGAATTAAATAAACTCACGATTGAAAACGTGATCGCCATATCGAGGGGGAGGACCCCGATCACGATCTCGGTCGGAGCCAGAGGATTCGTATGTTGATCCAAGTCGGGCTACGTTGAATTTTTCTTCAGTGTCCATAGCAAAGACCTTCTCCATCTCCTCGTCCAACTCCGGGCTCGCTTCCGTGCCATGTCCATCGAACTATATGAAATATATTTTTTAATTATATTACTGATAATAATATTAGTGTATCTAACTTATTACAATATCAATGTAATAAATAATTAGCTAATTATTAATAAATATAAAGAGCAACTCTCCTAGATGATGCTTTTGAAATTATAAAAAAGAGTTTTCAAATAAATAAAATATAAAATGCAAATGATGAACGTCTAGACAATCGAAATAAAAAATACAATAAAAATCAATAGTGTATTTTCTTATATTTATCATTGTTAGTCAATATAATACAAATGTACATTATATTATTCAGAATTCTATTATTGAATTTCTAAAGAAATCTATTGCAATAAGATTGACAATCGTTGCTTTCTTATTATTCAATCTATTATGAATGATGAGTGTTCAGTATGTATACTTTTAATTACTATCCTTTGATATTCTTTTAAGAATTTTCATACGACCGAATATTAAAAAGCTAATGAAAAGACTATGATTTTCTTCAATAATAAAAAATTGCATAATTTATTAAATACAGATTAAAAATAACTTGATTATAATATTTTTGAAGAATAATGAAAATAATATAAATCATTTATTCTAAACGATACATGTTATTTCTTTATGATTTCTTTTATAAATATTTGATCATTTCGGTTGGTATTTCCCTTTTCTAATATATAATAACATATTTCCATTGATAAATATAATAATCTATTATAGATATAGAAGAATAAATAATATAGACAAGGTATACACACTTCGAACAACTAGTAAAAGCAAGATGTAATAATATCAAGGTATTTACATAAGCGTTGCGCTCATGATTTTATCCTCCAATAAAAATAATTGATCATTCAATTGAATTTAGTGAACAAATCAATTGTTAATGTATATATAAGATAAAAATAAAAGTAATGATTAAAAAGTCTAAAATTAAATTCCTTTAATATTTATGATCTTAGAAGTCATTTTGTTGACAACTCAAATATCAGTAATCAGAGTAAATTTAATTAAAGGATCTAGTTGTTATTTAATTCAAAAGATGATTAGTGAGTAATTGCAATCCAATAAATGGTTGTAAATTACTATTAAAAAACTACGAGAAAAAAGTGTTAAATAATAAATCATGAGAAGAATTTATTTTCTGTGAAAAATTGCAAACACTTCAACTTTAGATTCCTATAAAAATCGAATGGAGTTGAAAGGCATAAAATTGCACCAAAAAAAAAAAAAAATTGATATCTAAACTATTTCAAACTATATTTATTGCAAACATTACGGGCAATTTTTTATGGAGAATATTCGAAATCATTCGGATTTATTTCTCTTAGAGGATACCTAAGGTTTTGAAATACAAACCTCGAATTTATAGAAGATACACAGTTGAAGTCATTAAAAGGAACTCAAGAATAAGATTTTTTCAGTCTGAAAATAAAATTAATTACCTACAAGTATTAGAGTAGTCATTAAATTATGTATCAACTACTCTCTATTATAAATCCTCATTTCTCAAGTTTCACGATGTGCTATTTCATTTAAAAAAATATTAAAGTAAAGAATAAAATGATGAAATGAAAAATCCAATAATTCTTTACACTGAAAGAATATTTATAAATAATTAATTTATTCAATAAAATATTATTTATAAATTATGTGAAAAGTGTTTCTAACAATCACGTTCTAAATCCATCAATCAGCTATTTAAATAATATTTGAAAAAAAAACGTCTAAAAAAATTGGAGTATTTTTAAAAAAAATTCGTCAAGTCTTCTTCAACTCTTTTTCACCACTGCAGAGCTTAACACTTACGTTTGTATGTAATCCTCAAGAAAAACGATTACGACGAGCTTGGGACGAGAGTATTATTTTACTACGTCACAATCCAATAACAAAACAACTCATATAATTGACCTAGAGACGGTGGACAGCGTACTCGACTAATAGATGAATGAACCGGCCCATAAAACCATCACAAGTCTTCTCACTTAAAAAAGAAGAATCAATCAAAATGATAAAACACATGACACACCTGATGGGACGTTCGAAGTGAACGTCTTAACCATCAGAATACTTTTACCCGCGCTTTTTGGAGCAAGGACTTCCCAGAGGAATTTCCACTGGCTTCGGGCATAGCATCCCGGGCTCTAGTGGTTCAAGAGCTTGAAAGCTGTTGGAGCAGACCCGCAAGTTGTGGCGCAGTACGCGCGTGCTTACCCACTGCTTGCTAGTTTGCTCACGAGCAAAATGGGTCGATAGATTGTCGTATACTTTCTATAGATGCAGCATGAGCCTCTTTTCTATAAATTGCCCTTATTTATCCATCAGCAAGGAAACGTCTACTTCCGCTTCAGAAATTAACTTCATTTTTCTGCACGAAGTTGAGCAGTATTTAATTTCCCCTTGACTTTTTTATACATGTTTAGATTCAAAAAGCAGTGTGTTTTTAATGAAAATTGTAATTTAGATGAAAGTTTTTCTGAAGAAATTGTTTAGTAAAGTTACAGATGATAACATATAAGCTTTTGAAAATAATAACTTTATAGATTTTATCAAGCCTGAGCTAAAAATAAATTTCATGGGTTGGTGTTTTCGATGAAAAAAGATCATTCGACTATCAACAGTGTCTGAAACAGAAGTTTCTATGAAATCACTCAAGTATTCTAGATTTTCTAGCTTTCCATTTGTTTTAATTTATCAATGACATTAGATGGCATTTATCTCACCTACACCTTTGGTCAAGAAAAAGTTATCTAGGGATTGAAAATTTAATATATAAAAAGTTAAGTCCAAAGAATTTATTTAACTTTGTTTCCAAATAATTTTACTAGTGAAAATTGGGTTACTCGTCACATAAACTTTAATATAACTTCGAATGTAACAGATATTGTTCCAATAAAACTTGAATAAATTTAAGTTTCTTAAATAAATTTCAATATAATTCAACTTACATTTATTTAAGTTGAACAAATCTTCAAGTAAAAAGAATTAATTTGTTATTGAACTTGTCATGTGATAGTAAATATATTGGTAATGATCATCATCAAGTACCTACTCTAGAAATTAAACCGCAATGGATATCTAATTTTACTACGAGAGTTGCCCTATTGATCACGATCCCCCAGCCCTTGGTATAAATTTAATCGATGGACAGAAATAGACTAATAGACGATATTTACTAGAACATTAATTTAATTAACATGTAATAGATCATTTTTGCAAACTGCTTTTGACTTGTTTCTAAAATTATATCCAATGTAATTAATCACTTAGTTACACAACAACCAGTTTGATATGAATTAAACCTAGTACACATCAACTGTGATATTTAATATTACCATCAGACAATCCAAAGCTTATTATTTTCACGGAAGATTGGATTTAAAAAAAATGCATAGAGCAGAGAATCGAGTGTACGTAGGTAGACTTAGTGTGTAAAGACTCTTTACACGTGACAGGTAAATCAAGGGTTGGTGTACGATATATGTCTAGGCCTAGGTCATTGTAGAGGATTTATCGACTAGTTCACAGCGACGGCGCATTTGGATATTTTTTTCCGAAATATACTTTCCATGCAGTTTTTACATCGAGATTTTTCTGTTCATGGCCTTGAATCTTCCGGAACAAGCTGATCATTGATTTATAACGCAAGGTTAAACATCTCCCTAATTCAATAAATCAGTATAATCATAACAATAATAATGATTATAACAAAAATGTGATATAATGATTTTAGAAATTAACCAATTGCTTTTATTATTTTTAGATTTATATCTTTCTCTTTTGATTTACGCTCAAGATCTATTTTTAGCTGACATTTATAAAGAGAAAAATTAATTGAAAATTTCTGCATCAACTTCAACATTTTCTCAATTTCAACAAATTTTTACTTTTTTTAAATTACATTTTTTTTATTTGAAATAATAATCAACTCACGTAGTTGATTTCAATGATGAGATGATTTTATTTCTCTTAAGCTGTCTTGTTTACTATTACCAAGAGTTTGTACACATAACTTAAAAACAAGTTTTCCTTTCTATTCAGGTACACACCTTTCAAGACTTGTTTAACGGCAGATAAAATGTAAATTTTACCTTGAACTTGGATGCAACTCTACAGAAATTCTAAACTTGAATAATGTGATGGTTGAATAAAGCATCTATGTTGTTATGAACATCATTATATATCAAACAAATCATAACTGTATCTAAAAACATCGATATGATTGAAGATGCTAAGAAGAATATTTTCTTTGATATTTTTTCTAAAAGCGATATTCCATTAGAGTGTATTCTTCTCTGGAATAATGAAAATGCTTGATCTTAGCTCTAGGAAACATGAAAATTGCCTCGAGGCAGATCAAAGCCTTAGTCATCTCCGATCAGGGAATTTTCCATACAATTTATATTAGATCATGTGGTACAGCTTTGGGGAATTATCGTTTTTCTTTAACAGAATAATGATTCAGCAGTTTTCCTTTCACATTAAGAGCATAATTCTTAAGTCAATTATTGAATGGTTGACAGTTAGATAAATATCTTTAGTAAAAGTTGATTAAACTCAATTTATAGTTAACTTGAATTCATTGTTTTAAATGAATGTCAGTTTGAAAGTCATTTTGCATTAGTACTTGGAAAACTAATGATTACATTAATAAGATTGAATGTACTTTCAACAAAATCCAATTCACATTAGATTAAGACTCTATTTCGTTGAGTTTCCGGTTTTCTTTAACGACATTTACTTGTTAAATTTCTCATTTATATTCCACGCCGATTAAATCAATTTCCTATATCTCAATGAAACCTTGTTCAACTTTGTATTAAAAACAAAGAAAACAAAAAGAAGTTTTTCATCAACTTGAGCGTTAAAGTTTTTACTCAGTGTCATGTTCTACTTATGAATAAAACTTTTTCTGTAAGTTTTCTTTTATGCAACTGAAGGATATTTGAAATTGATTTACAACAGAAAACTGTGTCTCAAGTTGAATAACTTATGTTAATTATAAAATAAAAATTATTTGAATGATTATAGTTATTATGTTGTTTGTGTAGATTTATTTTGATGACTAACATCATGTAAGACCATTATCACTCCCTAATACTGTTCATTAACTTTTCAGATTGATATTCTATGAGAAATCTATTTCACTAAAAGACTTCCGGTACTTGCTTAACAAGTTCTTAAATCTAATAATACTTCGATCATTTAAATTTCATCGTAAAGCGAAATAGTTTTTTTCGTTGTGAAGTACTTTTTTTTTTTTTAAATTGGAGTAGGTCCAAGAATAATATTCACACCTCATCTAAAAAAAATACAAAATTAGTTTTGAAAAAAACTGCTTCTCATATTTCTATTATAGTCTAACTGATGAGTCTTCATAACTCATTATTGCTTCTGCTAGAAAATTTTCTCAATTAAGAACTTTAATAAGCACTGAGAAGCTATCATGTTACGTAAAGAAAGGGAAAAATGTGAAAAATAATATTCCTTACACCAATAAAATAATTAACTTACCAACTTGTGATTGAATAAAAAAAAAAAAAAATAGAAGAAAATCTTTAGATAGAAATGAAGTGAATGTTTTCAACTTAATAAATACAAGATATCATTGTTGGACAATAAATAAATCGTAAAATAATTTCTCTGATTGGAATTAAATGCCAGCGTAACACCATGAATGTGACATGGATAGAAATAAACGAAAAGAGACGGCCTCGTAGACTGATTGGCCTGATTGCTGATGGTCACCAGTCAATAACCATTTGACATCGTAAATATTATGACGATGATGTTTGGAATCTTACACCTAACAGTATAAAATGAATATAGAACTATCATAATGAGATAAATACTTCTAATTCTATTCATATCTAACAAATAAAAAAAAAAATATCTACTTTTTAATGTCTTTCTTAATAACAAAAATTATTCATCATAATAACTTTGAAACTAAATGACAATATAGTTATTTCAGACGAAATGTGATCAGTTCATATTCATAACTCATGATATCAATAACTAAAACAATTAAAATATTTTACCATCATGATATGTCATTAAAAATCGTTTTTTAAAAATACATACAAATAATAAAAATCCACTTCAAAGTGCTTTTCTGTTCAAGTACTTTAATAAAAGTGGGTGGATATTATTAAATGAGTTATAAACGTTGATCAATATGATAACCTTCACTTAAAAAGCCAAAAAAAAACATTTTTTTAGCTTTAAGCTTTTCCGTAAATATATAAATCCCAAAGTAAACAGAAGATCATGTCTGTCCAGACCTTCTAATCTCTCAATCAAGTCACGCACTGGGGATTTTATCAATCCAAGAGCAAATAGGTGGTTAATCTCCAATAATCATAGTGCGAGATATTACTAATAGAACGTATATCAACTATAATAAACAACAAAGACTTTTAAAAGTTCCTAAATATTCTGATAGAGAATTATTATTGAATTGCAATATGAATAAGTAGAATGATTAAAGTTTTTATGACATAATAAAAAACAAACATTTGCAGAAGACGTTGATCATCAGCTTCTATATTCATTCAGCCTCGGAGAATACATTGCACATATATTCTCTCATGTAATCTCCTGGACAATGAGATAACAATGACAAGTTAAACAACACATCATGGATTATGTAAAATCATTTTTTTATAGTTGCAAACTTCAACGTCTACTGACAAACTTATGCTGTATTTATGTTTGACAAGTACTTACGGATGATCTCTTTCTAAATCCAAGGAATGAGAGTTTTCTCTTATATGCAGATTTCTTTGTATCATCCATGTCTAATGACCTTGAAAGCAGTAGTCTTGATTGAGGACGTAGTAATTCTTCCTTTCACGTCAGCTTACGGCTTTTTCCTTGGTGCTCGGCCAATTCTCAAACGGGATGGCGATGTCCACATGTGGAGAAGACGTTTCGATGTTAGCTCCGTTCTGCCGGCTACTGTAACAAATAACCAACTGATTTTAAAACCAACCAATATCGACAACGAATCAACTATGACAGTAAGCATAAAGCTGTCTAGCTTGAGGTTCTACTCTATGTTAGACCGATCGAAATAGCTATAATACTAGATAACAGCAGTTTGGACTTATAGATATTCATTAATTTTTTTTAATATTTCTTACTATTTTTTTCAAAATTTTGTTATAATAAATAAATTATATGAATTCCCAGAACATTTAAATCTCCTCAACTTTAATCTTTCAAAGTAATTATGGTGATAATGAGCACCAATTTGTGTAATTATTTCCAATTATCTTGGTTTACAATTTTGAAATAATTTTTGACTAATATTAAAAGATTATTCTAATATTTCCATTAGTAAAATTACCTCAACTAAGCATGAACGACCTCTATCACATTTTATTAATAATGAACATTTCTTGAAGGAAAGCTTTGCTACTTATTTCTTCATTTATGGCTCTTCTTTTCATTTAAAAGTTAAGTGATATTTAATTTGCCCATTTAATTGCACAAATACTTTTTTATCAAGAACACTTTTTATTACCGGTAAACACAAAAATAGCTGAGTAAATTGAAACTAATTGCATTTAAATATAATAATTATGGATCGATGCCACTGTAGCATTCGATTAGTATTCAATTTGCAGACTATCAGAATAACTAATTAATTTAAAAATAAAAACAAGTAAATTTATTACACTTATACGATTCTTTTGACTGATTGCAACGAAATAAGCTCGATTAAGATGCACACTTGATACTTTATACTCAAAACGGTAAGACACATGTGTACATAACAAAAGTTCAACATTGTCCTTGTGTCAAAATTCTCCTTTTGTCATGGTCTGTACATTGCAACTGTCAGTTGGTTTTTACATTTAATAACATATTCATGAACTGAAATACAAACAAATGGTACTCGAAATATAGTATTTTTAATATAATTATTAAACAATCATTTCAAGTACAATTTAAAATGATCTATCTTAACTTTGATAATTTATGAAAATTTAATTATTATGATAAGGAAGTTGAAGGAGTCATTTGATCATATCTGATACTCTTGAGGTTCTAGATAAAAACTTATGACTCTACATAGTATAACTCAAAACGATGAAATAAAAAATAATGCAGTATAACAAATAAAAGAGTCTCATAATTGGCATAAGCTGCAGAAGTTTTATAAGAAACTAGGTCAAAAATCTCTCTACATGGGTCGTTTTTAACCTTGTGCCAGAAGGATCCAAACTAATTTCCATTCCTTTCTCTTTTCTTATACTTAAAAGAAAGAATTAATATCTAGATGTTATATTTTATTCGGTTTATCAATCAATCTTCCAGAGAGATCCAACTCACTACCATCACAAATAAAAGCATACATTATTTCAATAAGCTTTTTTAAATCATCATAATTATATAATTGTATATACATTAATTGGATATAATACATTATAAATATTTAATTATATCATACACAAATTTGTTAATATTACTGAATTGGTAATCACGTACACCTGAAATTGCGTAACAAGAGACCGAAAAGATACAAAGAATAATGATAAGGTTCAAGTGATATTTAATATAATTGAAAGACCCTTAGTAAGTGAAGAGATCTCATGAGATTTAAATAACTTAATGAGAGGTTGAAAGAATAGAGAAAGAAAATACGATAAAAAAACGTTTTTCTTTCCTGTTTGATTTAGCAAATAAAAGAACTGAAAGAGTCAACAACGTTTCTAGATTAAAGAGTACATTACAAGAGTTTTTATTTCAGCTATGCCATGGTATAGATGAATAAAAATAATAGTGTGGCAATGTAACTATTTAATTGAGCCAATTAACGCATGTGACTGGCTGCTAAATGATTATCACAATTAGTAAGTTTGACCAATGAATGTCAAATAAAAGAAAACAAGAAAATTTGTTTTCTCTTGAATTAAGTATTCAATATATATTTCTTTGATTTTAATTTATTGATCTTAAAATTATTCAATTGAATTTTTTATATATGTTAATGACATAATAATTTGATGAATTTTTTAATAATTTTTTTAGGCATTCCAAATATTTTGAATTCTCTAGACAGTTCAAAAGTATTCAATGTTTTTAGACATAAAGATTAATAACACAAGTCTGCAAATTTAGAGTTTTAAAATGTTACTTATATTATGTAATATGCTTATTTCTACTCATGAATACTAAATTATTTATGTCAGCACAAAATTTTATCATATAAAAAAGTTTAATATAAAATTCCTAAAGCTAAATTTTTAGAGTAAATCTTTAGCTTTATGACACAAGACAGTATTTTCAAACATTATTTGAATACTTTAACAATAAATAAGTCAAACTGACAAATAACATACTAGAAATAAATTCCACATGTGATTATTGATATCAATCTTTAGACTACTTTCATTGTTATCACGCTAGAAACTTAAAAGTTTCAATTAAGCTTAATAACAGAGAAGCTTTAATCTAATGCTAGCAAAATACAATAATTCAGTATAAAATTGACACGAGTAAAATTCCAAAATTGACTTAAACAATACACGATTAGTGTCAATACAGGTGTCGGTTTACAACCATCATAATTAATTTAACATTCATACAACATGAATATTGATTTAAAGAATGATAAATTGCTCAGTGAATGCAAAGTTAAATTAGTTTTCAAGAAATAATAAATATTTGATTGCGAAAAATATCTACAACATACAACTGACTTTACTTTTTATTTAATTAACTTTAAATAATAAATGTACCAATTACATAATCTATTGTCAGCTAAAGATAAACATAAAAGCAAAGGTGAGTCTTATTGTGAACAATTTAATATTGAAGACATAACATTCTGTGATAAATAGCATAGCAATATATTCACGGTCAAAGCTTGTAAATAGAACGACCATTTAATTTTTATGCGATTCAGAATTGAAATTTGATAAGCTTAAATTTTTATTATGATCATACCATATATAATTCTTTTGAATAATTTCAATTTTGTTATCTTCATTCAATAAAATTTTATTGATAAGATTTAACTTTTCTTAATTCTTCATCAATTGACAGCTTATGCTTAAATAAACGCCTCTTTTTTTTGTTGAAACTCTCCTATTCTATTTTTATAAATCGTGTCGTGATGATTCATCTAAAAAAACTGCAAAGTGGGAATCGTGCGATAAGTAATCCATTATGCATATATTATTTCATGCAAATGAAGTGATAATGAACTTTATTACAGTTATAATATTTAATAATAAATTCAATTATTTCATCAATAATTCATTGCTGAATTTATGAGTCTGATCTTAAAATTATAGCATCAAAATCAAGCTTTGAAATGTTTAAAAATAAAGTTCAGAAAATTATGTAGAAACAGATGGTGGAAAAGTTCCAAGTCTATTTGGTGACCGTTTATGTTTAACAATAAACCGAGGTGCACGTCATACCACCAGAGGTTATCTGGCATAACAGTCTAAATGCTTCAAAATTACAATATAGCATTTCAATATTTTATATACGCCCACTAGTAGCTAGATCAACAAATTAAGCAATTATTGCTACGATAAATTTATAAAAACTTACATCAATTAACGGATTTAATAACCAAATCAGCTGCAAAATACGTTCAAATATTCATTGAGTTGCTATGAGTGTAATAAAGCAATGAATTATTGTGGTACTTCAATTCTTTTGTTAATAAATAAAAAACTTGAAGAATTGTATGTCAGGTTCACTTGCCATAATATGATTCTATTGATCGACTAATAAAGGATAAAATAACATTTTTCATACACGCCTGCATATCGATCTTCCATGTCTTCTGCTCAATTTTGTTAGTTGCAACCTTGGTGATACAATTGCATTTTTTCTTCATTTACTATTCATCTTGATCCATTCTATTCAATACAAAAATTACTTGATGTTTTTAAATGAAAATACAAAATTATCACATAAATCCTATGAAGGTTCTAGAATTATTTATTCATAAATTTTGAATATGAAATAAAGTATTATTATATCACAAGCAAGTATAAGAAAAACTTTCATTTTTTGATGCATTTAATTATGCCTATGTGATTATTTATTTAAATATTATTCAGATTTCTACTATTCAATCTGTTTCTTTGAATAAAACATACACTGAATAAAACTTTTTAACAAGTTTATTCACCTTTTCTAGTGAACTTATAAAAGTAGTAGTGAAAAAGGTACACTATGGTACAGAAAAAACGTAAACTTCTATCAGGCCTATTACCTATTACCCACAACTGTATGATAACTTAAAACACGCAAGTGTAAGGTGTTTAAAAATATATCCTTTTATTTCTGAACTCGCGTGAAAGCTCTCGTGACTGTCAGACGGCGGTCAATAATTCCCATTAACGAGCCCAAACGAAAAATGTTTTTTCTAAAAACAGATTGTAACTAAAAAACTGTCATTGACAAATGTTTAACATTTACTCCATAATTTTAACATTAAAAAACGGAAAAACAAAATAAGTATAATTAATTACAACCGTAAATCAATTTATTATCAATTTACAAATAATAAAAATATAAGAACATCATTTCGTCTGGATTTTAAACTGTATGTTATATATGTCTTTTGTTTACATTGTTTGAGAATCATCAACATGTGTTGTATTGATTATTATCGATAATATCATAACATAACAATGAGCCACATGTGAATTTCTGGTAAAACAAGAAAGTTCGGATTTATTTTTAAAAAAAATTATGTTTGAATATATTTTTTTCTTTCACTACTTCTGAATTATGTTAAATGATTAATATTTTCATCTTGCACTCACAAAAACTCAACAGGTTTGATAGATTTTATTATTTAGCATCAAACAATTTGTATTGTATGAATAACCTTAAAATCAATTTTACTCACCAATTGATTGAAAACCCGTGAAAAAGATATCCCAGTAATGTTTCGTAATGTCAGCGATTTTCGGTTGATCCAAAATACGTTTTATATACAATTTAATGAATGTCTCATATTTTGTATTGTAAAAATATACTTGGAGGATGTACACATTGTACGCACAGGTGATACAGGAAAAAATGATGATGGTAATATAGTATCTTAGAAAGGGAGCTTCACCAAGAAAGAACGTTAATAAAAGGAAAAAGGAGTAAAACGGTCGAAGAGAAACAACGGTAATGCGTGCCACTACCAACGGTTGACTGTGCTTGACTGCTATATATCTCCAATACATTCGAACCCAGTAGTTATGATTTTAACTTCTCTCTCTATCTTTTCTTTCTCCGAATAAATGTCCGCAAAGCCAGCCGGTTGCTTAGTAATCTACGGAAGTTTATTCAGTTTTTTATGCCGGCTTATGACTTGACTTTTCGGCGGGCACAATGACGTTTGACATGCAATTCACACAGTCAAATTTGCAGTACTGCCAATTTATCTTTTCGTACTATGGTTGGCAGCACTATCTTACGAATTTCCGGACTTCGATTGTCAATATTATCACCATCGTTTTTTAATATTCGTGTAATAGATAAGATAACAATAGAAATAGGTAAAAAATATCTCTATTATTGTTAAACAAACAATAAAAAAAAGAAAATTTGCGCATTAATTGTTGAGAAGACTTCAATTTCATTTTATGGTAATTAATATTTACTTTTTTAAAAGCATAATTACCTTTTTAGTCTTGTAATTGTATAATTCTATAGTCTTTCAATATTATTAATAGTATACTTATAATCATGAAAATTACAATACAAAAAAAAATACCATTCAGAAATTGAATCTTATTGTTATAATATATCCTTATGATTCTTTTTATAATCAATTATAGTGCTGATAATTTCAATGGAGCTGAAAATATTGATTTATTTTTCAACATTTTTTTTTTAAATAAGTATTACAGTATAATTAAAAACTATAATGACAATTCAAGAAATAATAACAAAAAAAATTCATTCGATTCTTAGAATTGTAATAAAAATCAAGTCATTAATAGTTTTTAATAGTTTCTCGACAAGGATTAAACAATAAATATTAAACTTTTTTAAAAAATGTACATTACGTTTATTGATGACTCGCTCTGTGCAATGTTCCTTGTTAAATATTAAAGAAAAAGATTATGATTGTATTAAGTTTTAATGAGCGTGTTCTACTTAAATAGCTTAGTACTAACACGCACTGTAGAGAAAAAAATTTATTTTTTTGTTAAGATATTTTTTTTGTCATTTAAAAAATGCTACCAATTTAAACTGCTACGGCAGCCTTAATAATTTGTTTCTCACTATCTTCAAATCGGGATATTACAATGGGGACAATTATTGTGAATGATGATTGAGACAATCGGGAAGCCTACGCGATTAATATTAATCAGACATAAGTAGGACCAAGTCCTAGTGACAATCATTGATAATTACTAATTATATTAAAGTATAATCAACGTACAAAGTATATAATTATTTCTAAAAAACGGGAGTCTCATTTATATACATACACATGAGCATGGCCGCCAGGGGAGAAAAAAGTCTATATCTCAAATTAACACCCGAGGGCCGTCTGCAAATTAATTTTATTTCATGTTTATATGTCATATCATGTATCAAGAAAAGGGGAAGAGAATGAATGTGGGCTTAATAATATGACAAGTATTCCACATTCCTACCAACTACTAGTATCGACATTTATACATATAATAGAAACCACATTCCACACATGCACACACTCTTCCCCGCGAACAGAATAATGACGAACGTATTTTTTCGACTACTTGTGCGATTTTCCTTTTACAATAACTAATAACGTTGTTACATTTCTTGAATGTCTCTTTGTATTACAATAAACTTCATTGAAACAAAATCGCTCTTCTGAGCTATAGGCCCAAGAACATTTTAACTGTTTTAATTAATTAATTCGTTGCAACTATTTTTACATAATGAAAATTGTAATTAATTATTGTAATTATTAAACAAATTATGATAACTAAGCCAATATTGAATAAAATAATTTGTAAATTTATGCAATAATTTGATTTTATAAAATAATGTATCGTGCTTAAGTAAATTAAATTGCTGAATTACAATAAATTAAAAACTGATGCCTTGACTTGAATTGGCATGGCACAATATTAAAATTTGGCTGTCTTATTTAATCAACTTCTTTCAAAGTTTAATTATTCACAGGCCTGTTTCTCTTCGCGGAAAAGTCGAAAAAAATGGTTTTCCGTCAGTAAGTTGGAATTATTTACAATGATATCAAACGTCATAGTGTAAAAAAGATTTCGCATTTTAGTTTATTGGTATTGCACTAAAAAATAAATGAAAAAATATAATAGCTTATTGGCTCACAATCAGTGCTAACGGAAAGACACGTGAGATTAACTAAAACAATTAATAAAAAGTATAAAACTATTAACAATTGTACATCTTTCGTGATCAAATGGCGTCTATTTAAATAAAAATTTTCCAATAGAGAACAAAAATTGTTTGTAACTAAATAGATTATTGACTTTTATCATCTTATCAAATATCTTTTCAAATTAATTTTAATTTAATATGCCGACTTAGAAAACTGTCACATTAAATAATAAAAGTTTATGCGCAGCCAATCACAAGTTCTTACGTAATTGTTGTTTTCACTGTAATGAACATACAATGATTATGAATAAGAGAGTAATATGTGAAAATAACATGTATTCGAGTAGATCGACCGTATGAGATTAAAAAACTGCAAATTATCTGCGCCTAGCATATACTAAATCATGAAACAATTAATATTCTTTCTAGCTGAAATTCGTCACTTATTTGAAGATAAATAATTGTCCATTATCGGTCGATCTTTCAGTCTGCTCTAAATGGTGAATAGAGCTTAAGAAAGATAAAATAAATTACATTTAGTTGCCCTGCATAGTCTCGAGTTTTTTTCCCAATCGAGAGAGCTTTTATCTCGGCAATAATAAATGTGTTCTTCTCGATGATGAACACATATTCGAGTACGTAAATTATGTATTATTGAAGGAATAAATGAATGAACCTTCAAACATATTCGATAAAGTTGAAAAAAAAAAAAATAATAAATCGCACGACTGTCATAATATATATCGTGACGATAATTGATCTGTGACTAAAAACATATCGCCCTAAAATAAAGTATATAAATTACATTAATACAGATTTTCTGGTTCAATATCAAGCTCGCTCACATATTGTACGCTACATATATGGGGTCTAATTGATCCGCTAAAAATCCATCGCGTAGGTGCATCCGTTGTTTTTCACCACGTGAATTAATTGGCACCACTCCAGGATCGACAACTACGACGACACCAACAACTAAATGATGCTCTTCTAAAACAGCACTAGTTACTAGAGCAACGAGATCCAATGCTTCGCTCTCATTTCCGTTCAGCTCAACAACAACGACAAGTAAATTTGTCCATGTGAAAACGGCACTGAAATTATAAAAAAACGATGTCATTAGTTAGTTGTTTCATCAAAGGTCAAAGTTAATTTAGATCAGTCATCAAATATTTAACTCATAGTATAACGTAATTATTGATAAAAATATAAGATAGTATAAATAGTACTTGAATGTAATAATATGCTACAATTATATAATATTAAATCAGTAGTCTGTCAATGTCAAGAATACTTGACTTTCATCAAGATAAAATTATCCTAAGTTGATTAAATAAATTACTGTCTGCGTGAGATAAAAATTAGGGTAAATAAAATCGGTGAAGTTAAACGATAAGATAGTATTATATTAATTCAGATGATCATCAATCCCTATTTGTTGATATATTGTTATATAATTATTATAAAATTGACAATAAAAATAATGAATAATATCACAAATATTTACCATTCAGCAATTTTTTTATGACACCGCATTACACTGTTCTCAATGTCAATGGGATGGTATCTCATTCCTCTAAGTAAAATAGCTTCATCCAGAGCACCAACAACAAATACAGCGTCATGTAACTCCGCATCACCAGGTGGAATGTCTATTTCTGTTGATGTATCACCGGGAACATCGCCCACACCCGACTGTTGCACGCTCTCTGTGCGTCTTAAAAATCCTAAATAACCTGTTCTGGCGTACACTTCTCCAGTATTTCCGGTAACAAGTCGAGCATTGAAATGATCAGCATAATCACTTTCATCACCGTAAATTGTGAAGTATCCGCTAGCATTATGAGCAGACTGCACCCAAATTTCACCAAGATGGGAGTCACCACATTGACCTTTGGTCTCAGGATTCGCGATAATAACTTTCACTCCTGGTAAAAGTTTTCCAGATTCCATTAGACATAAGGAGTGAGGACTCCCACGTTCTACTAACGACACTCGATCGTTCCGGAGTGCTCGTAAATCTACATAAACTGTCGATGGCTCTGGGCTCGAAGCACCCTGAAAGAAGTAATTAAAGTTAACATTATTAAAATATAATGAGTAACATTCTTCTCATCGTTTATGAGCAATAAACGATGTGCTAAATTGTTGATGAGAAATGTATAATTATAAGAACAAAAGAGATATTAACGTGACGTCAATGATGATGAATGACATAAATTTTTATTAACTTACCTGCAAACAAATTGCAGTATTTACGCGACATCCAAATGACGTTGACACAGCTCGTGGGCTTAGTCCTAAAGCTGAGAAAAGTTTACTGAAACTTGTAGTAAGAGCGATTCGCGGCCTTTCTTCTGCAACTACAACACAAGTTCTCACGCATGCTAAACTAACTCCACGAGCTTTTAAAGCATGGACAGAAGATCCAAGTCCTTTTGTACAGAGTTCCATAACTCCGTAAGAGCAGAAAGTATCTCTCACTCTCGACTGACTGACTGCTGACAACCAGAGAGCAGGGTTTGCTTCAACCTGAAAATAATTATTTCGCATTTTAATTATATTTCAAAATTATTGGAATAAGTAAAATAATCAATTATTACCTCAGATGGAGGTATCAATATAGAATGATGACCGCTATAAATACTGCTAAGACACCAGAGCGCAAAGCCCAGTCCAGAATATGGATCTAAACATAAGGCAATGTGTCTTGATGGGTACAGCTCACAGGCTAATTTCATAGCTCGACAAAGCGATGTAACTGCAGCATGAGACATTTTTATTCCAGCCAACATGCCTGTTGTTGAAACACTGAAATCCAGATAAGCAAGCATCTCGGCTGTGGGTGCACGATACATCACTGGCAGTTTCTTCTTTGGCATATCGTCCATATCGAGGACCAATGGCCAGCTTTTCATGTCGACTACATTGTTGGCTTCCTAATAATAATCAGTCCAATATACTTTACTTTTCTTTTACTTTTATAAATTATTTATTACATACAATTTTGTATATTTGCTTACCTTACTCTTGAGCAACTTTAGGAGCGTTTGATTGGTAAGAACGAGAACAGACTTACTGACATCAACAATCATTCGTACAGTTGGCAAGGTCGTTTGTAAATTTTGGGGATGAGGTGGTCGTATAGTAACTGGTACAGCTCCAACATAGAGACATCCATAAAAAGCACAAATTAAATCGGTTCCTGGTGGGAATATTAAAGCTACATGGTCCCCTGTGTTGATCCTTCCACGGTCTAATAATAAATTTCCGATCCGCTCAGCTTTTTTGTGGAGTTGAGAACATGATAAGGATGTTGCTATGGCTCCCTTCGAGTTTAACGAGGTGAAAATAACATGGTCTGATGTGCTTACTGCTCGCCAACGAAGGATTTCCGAAATAAATTGATACTGTAATCAGAAAAAGAAATTAAAATTTAGTTAAATCTCAAATTAATCATGATTTAAAATATAAATCTTGTTAAAGTATTTTGATTTTTTGTATATAATAAGAAAAATTTGACTTCCGGTTAAAGTTAAATTCAATCCTCCTCTATACTTTTGATCACCCCCGAACACAGAAAACAGGTTTTAATAAAATACCGTTCTGTTAAACTCTGTTCGCAAACAAACCTGTTTCTCGAAAATACTTGAATAAAAAAAAGTTTATCATTTGCAAAGTTGTAGGGCCCTTTTTTCTCTACTAAATCGAAAATAAAATCCTTCTTGATTTTGTAATAAAATGAGATTTTTTCCAACCGTTATAGGACATTGTTCTCATAAATATCTTGGGACTAATCTTTATTCAATTTTAATAGAAGTCTATCTCATGTTAATCGATAAAGTTCTCGAGGAAACTATAGAAACATGATGTGGTTATTGATTATTAAAAATTAATGTGAGATATAAAGTTCTAAACTTTATGAATGTTTTATTCACATAACTTACAAACTAAATTGGAAAATAAAACCTTCGTAATCGTTATAAAAGTAAATAAATTACCTTCTTGGCATTATCACTATCTTCATCCAGGACACCTAAATCTCGTCCTTGAGCTGAAGCAAGCCGATTACCCTGGACAATGTTGCCCACCATTACACTCGCTGGACCAACATCTGAAACAGAATCCCCCGCTACACGCCCCCGCACCATATCGTTAGTAAAACAACGCAAACACTCAACCCAATAAAAAGTAGACTGGCACATTCTTTCCTGACTGAGGCCGGAAAATCAATATTATAATAAATACAACAATTCGACTCCTGAAATATTTTTCCATCAAGCAATATACTTTTATATTTAGCTTCAGGCGTTATTTACAACGCTGCGGCTGGCGAATCTCAAAACATTCCGTCAGCATAAGAACAGAAAATTTTAAAACTTGATTAATTTGTTAAGCGCAAGAGAAATTAATTACAAAATTTGTGAGTGGTTTAAGTTAAATGATGTTCAGAACTCAGCCAAAAGGATAGAATAAAAATAATTTAATGGCGTTATGAAATAAAATTAAATAACAATTATAACTTAATTATTAAAGTACCGTCCGCAGCGCGCTTCATATATTGATATTGCAGTGATATTCTTAATTATTTTTTTGACAAATGTAAAAAGGCAACAATTTCATATTCGCCCCACGTTGAGTCGAGTATCTGCGTTTTTCGTTCATTTTTTATTTACAATTTTTTATTGTTTTTACCAATAAAATTACAGTCATAATTGATTGTACTAAAAGCATAAGTTACGAGTGCTTTATTAATGTGAATTAGCAAGCAACAAAATAATCGATTCGTCAATGGAATCTTCACTTTTTTTACAAATAAATTTTGTACTGTGTGTACTTACATTTGATTTCCGCGAATAAATACTCGATCTTACCAGCATGGGACCTCTTTCAATAATAATATTGAAAACAATCTTAAACTTACCAGAATGAACTTCACGTGGTTTGGGTAAGTTGGTGACACATGTGTGAGGGCAAAGTAGAACATTTGCTGGGTGTAAAGTTCCCTCTAAGAATCTTCTCTTTGTTTCAGATAAGTGGATACCACCTAAAGGTGTTTTAGGTAAATAATTTGGAGGCACCAAAGCGAGACAGTAAATTCCAACAGCATGAATAGAATCCACAGCTTGTAATACTCGAGACATCCATTGAAAACTCTGCAAATAATACCTTGTTTGTTAATTTGTAATTATTTATTTTAATTAATTATTTACAGTTAAAACAATAAATGATAATTTAAGTTAAAATTGTTTAAGTGCTTATTAATGATGGTAATAATCATCTATGTTATTATATTCATTTCTAGAATAAATTTTTTTGTCAAATTAAAATACCTCTTCTTCACTGCAATCAGGTCGTTGTTCAGCAACAACACATATCCTTTCATCTCGTAATACTCGTACACTAAAGACAGCTATTCTACCTCGGTATATGAACTTCATAGGCTCAACTGCTAAAACAGTAGCAATTATGTCGTCAGCATTGTGCTTTCTTCCCGTGACAGTCATTAGGCCATCGCGCGAGCCGCAGACAAATATTAAGCCGCCTGGACCGAGGAATCCAAGTAATCCAGAACGGACATATTCAGCATCTCCCATTGCTGTGCCTTCAGGCTGTTGAGGTAATACTTTAAAACAATTATTCGTCAAACCCTGTAGTCCCCAATATTGACTGGCAGTGGAATTGCTGTGAACGCATATTTCACCAACTTCGTCAGTTTTGCAAATGAAGGGTTGACCTTCCATTTTTACTACAACTACAACACCTGAAATTGAAAAAAAAAGATTATATGAATAATTATCCTTTGTAGGATATTGTTATTAATTTAAACGGCTAGAGAAAAAACTACTTACTTCCTGGCATAACTTGTCCACAGTCTTGGAGCGTTAACGACGTTAGAGAATTTTCTTGGTCAACACGAACAACACCATAACTCAATCCAGACATAGAAAGGACGCCACGACCCGTTGCATTAACACCAGCACGACCTGGTCTTCTAATAGATACTGTTAAAGCTTCACTCGAGGAAGCACATGGACAAACTGCATCAGGTCGAAGGCCTTTTGACTGAAAAACTGATAGGAATTGATCACAAGATGATAACGACCAGGGGTTAGCACCATCAGCTACGAGAAGTAATCTGATTGATGATAAAGAAATATCTTTATGGTCTTTAGTTGCCAAAAGACCCCAATGGAGATCTCTAGACTTGACGACAGCCACACTGGCGCGATGTTTTGTTATCATTTGCATCCAACTAGCAGGGTTGACTTTCATCAAGGCATAAGGAATAAAAATGACATGCATCCCATTGAGAACACTTGTTAAAGTGCTGTGCCATAGCCCAACTTCTCGTTTAAAGTCTAGAACACACACAGCATTTTCACCCTCTGTATAGCCGCAAGCCATCGTCAGTGCGCGACAATGTGCAATCATAGCAGCCCTCGTTACAGTAACTCCCATCACCGAACCATCTTTGTCGGTAGTATATTCTATGTACGCTGGAGTATCGTCGGTTAATCTTGGTGGTGGCATCCAATCTTTTGGGGTCTTTCCCAAGTGTTCCGTGACAAACCAATGAAGCTTTGGCCAACCCTAAAATTATTCTCAAAGTTAGGTTGTTGTAATTTGATCAATAATTATCTTAAGGCTGGTTCAGCAGATTAAATTCAGCAAAGATGTATTTACCTTGAAGGCAACGACCTCTCCAGCGGCAGTCTTTGGTAAGCCTTTGAGGCACGCCTCGCTGGTCAGTGCCACCTGTATGCCGCAGCTGCCGAGGAGAAAGCCAATTTGCTGAGAGCCAGCGTCACGCCGGGTCAGCGGTACCTCGATTGGTACCGGAACGATTCCAGCTTGAAGACAACCATAGAATGCACACATGAAGCTAATAGGATCGTTGTTAGGATAGACGAGAGCGATTCGATCACCAGGCTTGAGACAGCATTCACCGACGTTGCGACTCAGAGCTTTGTTTAATAGTGTGTAGGCTATTTTGTGCGATCTACTCAGCAGTTTTCCATACGTGAGGGTCACACAGAGCTTCCCATTTGGATCTAAAACTGTTGCTGCTGGTGCTTTGTATGTTGCAGACCCATACCTACAAAAAAAATTCATTGTATGAAATACAGCAAATAATTATAATTTAAATCTCTGCATGCAAAAAATTTTACAATTTTTTTAGTTAAGACGTGAAAAGAAAGTTATGAATTAATAATACTTATTGTAGTTCCTACATAATTCCATATATTTACATATCGACATAAATGGAACAAGTTTTCTTTAGCATACTAATTTTCAATGTTTTTACAAGTTATCAACCGACCTTGTACTTAATCAGTTAATAATTAGCAAATTTAAAAAATTTAAACCCATTAATTTACCTTTGGATGGCAGCTTCTAATGACCTTGGTAAACCTGAAGGCACTGACAACTGTTCACCTACAGCAGGCGTCATGATACCACCTTCTGGTTTTGGAGCATTCGGATCTTTTGGATTAGCTGCTATCTCTAATTCAATGTCATCATCTTCATAAAATTCTGGTAAAGGCCTTCGCTTAGGTCTTTTTAATGTATTCAATAACTGTTGAATTTTAGCTGAAACTTTCCAACGTCCAGTGGTCCCTGTGTTGTTTTCCTCAACCACGTGATATCGGTTGACACGGTCAGCGCCGGGTCTTCTTGATTGCGTAGTATGAGTCACATCCGGAGGCTGAATATTACAATATGCGTGGGGAGTATATTCGGCAATATCAGTGATATCAGCAGGTGGTCTTCTCGCTGGCGGTCGTGGTGGAGGCGGAGTATCACGAGCTGACCCTGTACTACTCGTGTCTGATAATCCAGTACCTGTAGGACCACCAGCTCCAGGTGATTCCTCTGTTACCACGCTGTCTTCATCACTGCTTGACTCTCCACTATCTCGTCGCTCACGATCTGGACTTCTTGCCATTACAGATGTTCTTTTTGATGGCATCGGAAGTGACGGCTTTGGTCTACTTTGCATTGCTGCCAGAGCTTGTTGAACAGCCTCTTGTCGTACTTCTATAGATATAGAAACTCAATTAGTTATTTATCTTAATTGAATTAACAATAAAAATAAAACACTCAAAAAAATTATTGCAAAAAGTTTATTAATTATTTAAACTTTAACGTTTCGGAGATAGATGTCGATTGAGCTACAAATTTTATTCTGAGTTATTTTATTTCTTCCAGTTTTGAATGAGGAAAAAACTGGAGAATCAACTTCTTGTTGATTTTAACTTGTAGCAAGCCAATTTTTCACTGGATTTCAAATACAATAACTGAAGTAAAAAATCCCACATTGTTGGAAACAAATTGTAGAAAAATATGAATAAGTTTAATATTGATCAATAACCGCAAAAAGTCTGTTGAAAACTAGCATGGTAAATATATCCATTAACGCAAGAAAATAGTTTTTACTGAAAATTTACAATAAAGTTACATTATTTCGATGACACTTGCTCAATCAACTTTAACACTGAAAAACAAATATTAGGTACTATTACATCATGCTGTCACTAATGTAATTCATGATGACATTCATATAAACAAAGAAAATTGTACAGAGAATCATGCAGCCAAATTGATAATTACGTTGTTACTTTTGTTTTGTTTTTAGTTTCAGCCAAAGGTTCATTTTTACAAATATACATGAATACTGCAAAGTTGTACCATGATATGTGTATGTATATAGTTAATGATCATAATAACTAAGAGGCTTTTTCCGCGTCCTTGCTACTGAAATAGCGAGAAATAGCTCGCACGTGGAGAAGCAGATGCAGGATGTATCACCCATTACTACAATGCATATAGAATTAAAAAGTGACTACAAAAACTGCAATATAGCGTATTTATTGACGTAGCAACGGATTTAGAATTTTGTATTGTTTGAGAATAATATGAGATTGTAAATGTATTTCTGATCATATAATGCATAAGCTCATACCGATATTAATAATGATGATTTTTCATCTAATTTTGTTTGCAAGTTTGGAGTACTTACCAAGTCAGAAAATTTTTAATGAGAAGTTAAATGAAATTTCTAAGGTCTAGGGAATGTGAAAAATCGTGAAAATAATTTCTCAAGAGAGATTGAATATTATCTAAACACTTGGAGAATTTAATCATATAAAAGAATCATCATTTGCATGTTACTCAGAATTTTCTTTCTGAATAAATATACTCACCAGAGTGATAGCGGCTCTCGTTTCGGGTGAGTCTGCGATTTCCGCGTCTGACAGCAGCGGAATTCGAGTTTGTTCCAGTGTTCCCCGCTGAGCCGCCAGATCCCGGAGGACTGGCAATGCCCCCAGGTACTAGCCGGCCTCCTGCATGCAATATCAACGTCAACGACACATAGATAATGTGACAACTTTACTTTCTCTTTATCTAAAGACTTATTTCAACTTCTCTCATTCTATCACATTTAATTTTTGTCTGCCTGTATCTGAATCTACTCCATTTGCTTTCATCTATCCAATAAATAATAAAACAATTCTTCATCTTTTTTCTTGTGTCTATATGTCTTTTTTACTACGTCCAATTAAGGCAGAAAAAGTCGTAGAATCATGTAGTGAGAGAAATAACACAAAAACAGTGATGATAACCATGCATGAGTAAATACTTGTGTAGAATAACTAGTGAGCAATAAAGACGTATGACAAAAGCAAATAAAACCAAAAACCAAAGGAAATGATGCAAACGATATTTGACGAAAATTCATGGACGATGATAAGAAAGTAGCACAATGAAACAGGAAAACATGACCAGATAATGTGGTTGGTTAAGCAAAACTACCTGAGTGATAACGTTTTTCAGAATGCGTGACACGACGTTGGGTTCGTCTTGCGCGTGGCTGTGGACGTCCACCAACACCACCGCTACCATAATTCGACCTATCACCCCCGCTATCACCAGTACCACCTCCGGATCCAGTTCCACTTCCTGTTAATTAATAATCATGCATAATCAAATATTTCCCATCATGCATTGACAATGAATTACATTGATTTTCATATAATTTTTTTCTCTTGATAACTTCATGTTGAATTTCTGTATTGAAAGACGCGCAGATGCTGCTTAAAGGCGTAATATCGCACGCGGAAGTGACTGGTCTGCTCTTCCAAGTACAGTTAGCAGTAGTCGAAGCTGAGCATAAGATTATTCATGGCATGCGTATATACTTTATGTGTATTCTTCTTTTATTTCTTCCTTCCTTCCTTCCCTTTTTCAATCTTATGCTACTTCTTACTCGACTTTCTAGCTTTGTGGGAGTTTATATATAATATTCTTTATATGAATAATCCTGCACATGGTTGCGTATACTTTATATACAACAATTCAAGACTAAGATCGGTTTTTAAAGATTGTAGTTACCTTAAGTGACCTGGTCTCACTCAAGCATAACGTGTTATACTCTCGAGGTCTCTGTACAACATACACCACAAGAAATATCTTTTCTTTACGCTGTAATTTTATGTATCACATTTTTCACGCCTGATTTAATTTGCGGTCTTGAGTATTCAAAATATACATTTTTACATCATTGATCAAAAGAACCATACCATGTTTTATTCATTTGAAAATTAAAACTATTCCAAGAACGAAAACTAGTTAATGTGTTAACAAAAAATTGGCATTCAATTAGCAGTAAATGATGTTTTAATGATAGATATCAATCTTTTCTGAAAAAATCTTTGTAATGATGTTATTCCTTAATAGTTGAAGTCAATTTAAATTCAAGATTGAGTAAGTTATACATGAGTATGTAATTAACAATTAATTTATATATAGTTAAAATGATTTTATCTAAATAAATAATATCCTTAATGAAAATTCTTGATTTTTAGTAAAAATAAGAAGTTATTAACTAATTGTAAAATTATGTATTTTATAGGAAGAATAAAGAAACATTGCAGTATATTTCGTCACGTGGAAAAGTATTCACCCGACCGTACAGGTAAAAAAATCTCTTAGGAAAATCTTGACTTTCGCCTGTTGAGTTTTAATTTTACTATTGTGCACTTCTTGAGAATCAGGACTCACATATATGATATTAATTGAACATTTGGAGAACAGAACATAACAATGAAGTCATCGAGATATAATGTACGCACTGATGATCACCAAGGACATCAATTATCATAAATTCCACGGAATATTATATCATATCGTAATATCACAATTTGTAAACACTTTTTGAAATCTTCATTATTAATTAAACGATTATTTGAGTTATTAATCATAGAAAAAAATTTTTTTTGTTATTAGAATCAATTAGTTGGTTGTTTAACCATCAATTCCAGCACCTTGTTAATTTTTCATTGAAATGAAAATTAGTCAAGACACAGAAGTTGAAAGTTTCATTATTCACATGCTGAACAATTGGACATATTCTTTTTTTCTTAGTAAATAGTGCTAATAAATATGTTTTTATTCATTCACTTTTCGACACAAGAAAAGTATTTTTACGTAAAAAATTAATGACTGTAGTGAATAATTTCGTAATTTAAGAATTTATCAATATACCACTTTTTTTTTGTTTAAATTCATAGTTTTTTGTTACGTCAAAAATTATTACTATATTTGTTATTTCTAACAATTATCTGATTACTAAAGAGCCAACAATTAAAGAAAATTACATACAAAATTTTTTAATCACATTAAAATTTGTTATTCTTGGAAAATGATTCCGTTATGCTTATTATCACACTTAATTATTTTACTTTTTTTCTGAATTCAAGTATTTTAAATATTATTTACATATTCTAATTCAATTCAAATATTCTACGAAGCTTTTACTATTATTATCATTTTTTTTTTTCACTGAGAATTTAAATAATACATACCAATTTGTTTAGTGGCATATTGCTGAAGAAGCCTAGTCCGTTTCTTTTCATACCCTTTCTGAGTTATATCTCCTGCAAATAAATAAATTTCATCAATAACAATATAGAAAAGAATTAATCATGTTTTCTTAAAAAAAAGTAACGTAATAAAAATGATTAAATTAATAATTTATTACATATTATTCTGAGGGCGATTGTATGGATATGAATCATGATAAGATTATAATTTTTCTTTTTAATTATTTTGCGGTAGCAGAATTAATTTTTGCAATGAATTATCTCATGCGTATATTACTTCATAATGACTAATCATCATACCGGAACTTATTCTTTATTCTACACAACTCAATAATCATTTCACCAACATTTTTTTTTCTTTTAAATTAAATCCACAATATCCGAGATAGTCATCAATTCTATTGATTAGATAATAAGAAATGAAAATAAAAATGATTTACAAATGATCGAGAGTGGATTGAATTAATTAACGATCAGTTAGTCAAGATTAAATGAAAAGAATTTAGAGTAAATATTTTTGAAAGACAATTTCCTTACAAAGAAACTTAACTGTGCATTTTTACGATCAATTACGAGAACGTGTCACTGATATTACGTGTGACAAATCGGATTATACAAGTCTTTAACATCACATTTAACTCTCTAGAGTCTTCTCGTGACTCTTAAGTTAAACGCCCCAATTACTATTAATCCTCAATAAGACCATTTGAACAACATTGAAAGCTTATAATACCGTGTTAGAATTAACGAGAGCACCGTACAGAAAAAAAAAGAAAAATCATGAAAGAAGTAGAAAACGATGAGCGTGTAACAAGAGTTGCATCGAGCCTGGATGCACTTTATTTTTTATTGTTTATGGTCCGTAACTCAGATAATAACCAAGATCAATTCGCTATGGTGTTAAACGTAATCTTCATGAAACTAAGATATGTTAGTAGAGAAGAAAATATTTTGACATCAATAACAATCAATTCTTACGCGATCGTTTTCTCAATGAAGAACACTTGCGAACAAGATACACGGGTTGGCCATTTGATCGTTTCAACTGAGACTTACGTCTCAATGGTCGTCGTTTAGAAGCTCGTGGCTTTTCAACTTTAATTAAAGTATCATTATCTCTAATTCTAGCCTCATGCCTTGGAAAGTATTCATTTTTTTCTACTCTTTTCTTATTGATTTTTTCATCTCCATCACTCTCACTGGACGAAAGACAACGATAATAACCACCAGAATATGTAACATTCTTTTGATGCTTGATAGAGTCTGGTTCTTTAGCTAAAAAGCTGAGAAACTGTTTGCTAGCAAAGAAATTCGACGAGACAGCATCTTTGGCAGGTTTCCAGACTGGCCGTTGTGCCAAAATTCCTCTCAATTCTTCAGAAAATATTTTATCTTCATTGAAGTCACTGATCTTTGGACGTCGATGCTCAGAAACTCTTGAAGATTTTGAAGATGATGTGGAGATAAGAGAAGAGGTTAATGTTGAAGAGGGTGAACTTTGCACCGAGTTAAGTTCTTGTTTTTCATTAAAGTCACCGGATAAAAGCAACTGATGATCATCAAAAGTATCTGATGCATTAGATGACCAATCATCACGTCCTTTTGTCTCTAAACTTGATGGACTCTCTTCTACAGAAAAATATCTAATTTCTTGCCACACTCTACGTTTCCTTCTACAACTTCTTTTTTCAGGAGGAACAAACCACACATCATTAAATCTTGTTTCTGGATGTTTATTAAAGTTATTGACAATTATTTTACTGCTTGCAACTTTTTTACGAATACTAGATCTTCGTGATGTCCGTGTAGTTGTTCGTTTAAAATATCCATCAGTGCTTACACTAAGTGAAGGTTTTACTAATTTTTTCCTGAAGAATCCACTTTTCTTTGATTGCGAACGTACTTTTGATATTGATAATGAGAATCCACTGCTGAAAGACGAGGTAAAATCTTGAGATACACGACTTTTTTCTGGAGCTGATACAGTTCTCGATACTTGATTGATTGATTGGCCCAATTGTTTTCGTTCTTTTAAAGCACTATCCAATGAATGATGAACGGAAGTAGGTGATTGAAGTCCATGAGATGGAAAAGGAACTGGAATTGCATCCAGCCATACTCTTCCAAGACTCACACTAACACTTGGAGGACCTTCAGCTGGAGATAAAGACAATGAATGTTCATGAACCACTGGATCATCAGCAGCAGAATCTAGAATCTTTTCAACACATGTTGAGTCTACAGAATTGGTTTTGGAGCATCTTGAAAATACTGGAGAACTCTCAAGTTTTAAAATACCCAACTCTTTCGTAATAGAATCAGGTGTTTTATTACCTTTCGACTTTCTTGGTGGTTTAACAATTTTTGGCTTTGAATTTCGTTGAACTGAAATCTCAACATCATCTTTCAATTTTTCTTGTGAACCATTGACGTCGTTTAACCATTCATTATATCCAATTGTTCCTTCAGATTTCTTGATTTTCTCCGTGGTATCATCTTTGATGATCAATTTAGATATTTTAGTTTCCTGAATAATAACATCTTTCGACTCAGTTTTCGTTGAAATATCATTTTTATTGCTTTCACTTGGCTTTGGAATTTTATTGCGCCTTTTCCCACGGTCTAAATAACTTTTCCGAATAGAAATCCTTTTGAAGGACTCGCTGCGTTTGAAGGATGGCTCGTTACGATCCTTCTTACGGCTCACGAGCCTTCTTAAATTCTCAAACGAAATTGACCTCATGGACCCTCAATATTTCAATGCCCACGCAATTCTCTTCAAGTATTTTTGTACGTTCTAAAACTCTTGAAATCAAGTCCTAGTATTTCTCGCATGATGGGGACTTTTACTCTCTTGATATACTTGAATCTCCTTCTCTTTCTTCTTCTACTTCTCTTCTCCTCAGCTCGTACCGGTTCGAGGTCTTCCAGTCTTCGTTGCTTGGCATTCGTTTTTCTCCCCGTAGAATATCGTGGGGATGCAGTGGAATATCGTGCGGTTAATGCGGGTGGCCAGTTGTAAGCTCGTGGAGGGTCCACACACTCATCGAAGGGATAATCATCAACAATCTTGCAGTGCCATAGCAGCAAAACAATCTCTTAGATCCTCATTATGTCTTCTGGGTTTCAACCAATTTTCAATTTGGATAATCATAAGAATAATTGATGTTAATTATCCATTTAATGATGAATCAATTCAAAATAAAATGATTGTAGGCAGAAGTATTTCCCAATTATCTAATCGTTACACACATGAAATTAGTCCCAGTTGAGCATAAACAAGAACTTTGTTCTTACGACACTGTTACGGTGACTTGTAGACAAGGAGGGAAAGAACGAGCAGGGGAAGGATCCAAACACGTTCGTGGGTTCACGGACGAAACGACTTTCTCCCTTGCGCTCTCCCTCTCAACCGATTACGACGTTGATTCTCGCCCTTTCCTTGCGATCATCTTCTCCTGGCATTCACGACCTTTCTCACACTATCTCTTTCAAAGCTTCCTGATATAATTCCTTGTAAATCTAACACATCACTCCGCTCTGACATTAGTTCATTTCTAAAACAAATATACACTTTTTAATGATGCTGATCTTCTCTAATGATTGAACTTTTTTTCTTCTTCTTCTTGATCAAATACATACCAGAGAAAACCATAATTGGCTTGCCACAAAATCACGCGTGATATCGATATTCCCTCGCGGCGTTGATTGCAATGGCGTAAGATGCTACCACAGCACATACCAATGTAAATACTCGTTGAATTACCATCAATACAACAGCTTCAAGTACTGCACAAACTTTGTTTGCATCAACTTTTCACGTGCTTAGTCAAACTATAACTGGCTGAGTAGCGAAATAAAACAAAAAGTAAGTGTAAATTCCATGAAATAAAATGATAGTGTTACGGTGTAGCGAGATCCAACGGAACTGTTTACTGGCCCAGCAAGCGCATCAGCGCGATCGTTCTTCTCTACTCCCTCTTCCACACTATACAACACCGTAGACCCACCCTCGAGGGGCTGACGGTCCACACTAATGCTGCATTCCTCAACACGACACAAGTCCATTCGTACGCCAAATAAATATCTCAAGTTTCCTATATAACACTTTATTTCTTATTGCGGCTTGCCTTTATTGTTGTTCTCTAGTGTACGTCTTAGATCCTTGACTGAATAGTGGTTCACTGGATGTCTGTCTTATAAACGAGTTTACGCGGGAACTAAACACTTTCTACGGTGAAGAATCCTTGCTTGGAATAAGAAACGAAATAAAAACCGACTGACAGCGGTGCAGTGGTAATTGAAGAGTAAAGAGGAGATAAAATGTAAAATAAGATGAGAAAAGGATACACAAATGTGCTGGCCACGCTGGCAAGACACTAAAGCGGTGCTCGTGTGCGACCGCGATCGAGCAACACAGCGACGACGGCAGCCTGTGGGAAGGCGCCTGGTAAATAAGAACTACACGGGAGTAAAGGTAAAGACGCAAGTGAGGAACGAAGAGTTTTAAGAGAAGGATCGAGCAAGAGGAGTGGTGGCATGCGGTCCGTCCACTCTCGCCCGCGAGCGGGACTTCTCTCTCGATATCTTCTAACAGCATCCCACTCTATACTCCCCTTACCAATCTCGTTCTCTTGCTACGTTCTACACCGTAGAGTATAGGTACAAAGTACCTCCATCCATGCGCTACAGATTAAGCTTCGTTCATACGCGGATACAGTACATTGTTTCATATTTTCCGTTTGATTTATTTCGATTCTTTACTTTACAGATTAGATAATACTCTTCTATTTATATATTAATTACTGACACTCATCGTGAAAAATTTTTTTTATTTCGTTTAAAGGGAAAAGAGAGGTAGGTTATGAGATGGAATTTCAATTCAGGTTTTTGAATAATAGAGGAAGGACTGACTAATGCGGATATGCCGGTTTTAGTTGGAGGAAAAAAATTCTTTATTGGAATGCAATGATTTATTTGTGGCCAGTCATAAATACTAGACCTTTCATTCTGTTTTTTGACACCTGCATTTAATTATCAATATTGTCGATAATTCTATTGAATTTTTTTTTATTGATATGATCCTATTAGGATCTTTCATTTCATCTCAATGTAGTGAGTTCAACATTCTAATTAAATTATTGAAGAAAAAACTTTTTCTTTCCTTAAAGAATTTTAATTTATTTGAATTTTAAACCTCTTTCAAATGTACATTCATGGAATTTATAACAATTTCGAGAGTTAGAAAAATTATTTTACTGCATGATTTTCCTTCAACAAACAACAAAGGTGATAAATAATATATGTATTTTTAAAATTATAATAATGAAATTCTCAAGACTGTTTATTCTTATATAATATTATGTATCTAGAGACGTAAATAAAAAAAAGGAAAATAAAAATTTTTCAATAAATATTGACTCATAGTTTTTTTCAAGTAAACATATATAAAGGAGGCTGGCTACCAACAGTTAGGTGGGTGGAATAAACTAGAGCCTTTATTCTATACAGAGTTGTTTTGACACTATCCGGAGTAAAAGTGTCTTTAGAGGTACTTGATATTCGCTTTGTAAAATACAGCGATTATAAAGCCAAGGCGAAAGCAATTCCCTTGTTATTCACGACAAGAATAAAGCAGACCTGTGAGTTGATTATGCCTTTACGAGTAAAGTACTTGAGACTTTTACACGCTCATACACGCAAGAAAAACCATATCAATTGTTTTTTATAAAAAATAAAAGAAATAATTATTCAAAAAATGCTAATAAAAACCGTGAATTCTAGTTTTCATATTTTAAAATACCATTCAGTTGCTGATTATCATTATTATCATCAAATGGCTGAATCTTAAAATTCATTTTTCAGGACATGACAACCAAATCATGATGACATTTTTGTCAATTGTAGATATGGAAATTTATTTTATCTTATCAAATCGTCGAAGACCAAGATTTTAAATAAACTTTTATGAGAAAAAAAAATTGTTTAAATAAAATATTTAAATAATCGTTAGTTTAGTTTTATTTAATCCATTTCACCTTCATTTGAAATGATTAATGAAGATATGATAATAGTAAGATAATTAAAAAATAATTATATCGGAACATTCATGAAAATTAGAACAAAATGTTGATAAAAAAATGAAAAAAACTCATATAAAAAATATAAGCGTGAAATTATATGGTTTCAGTGGTTATATAAAAATGAATACTATTTTAATATTTTTAGTTTTAGTTAATAGAAAGTTAAAGGGGATCTCCCCATGATGGCTTTTCCCCATCGCGGTTTTGCCTTACACCTGTACATTAGACCTGCGTTACATTCACGCGGTAACATCACATGTGGGCAAAACAACAGGATGCTTTATAACGTACATTTAATTTACCCACGAGAAGAAATATCGTAACCCTGACTCATAGGCTTACACATATTTTCTGGAAAGTTTAATAAACTGATGAGAAGAGAAGATAGGTGATGTGTTCACAATAAGAGGATAAAGATGGTATGATTGATTCTATTATTGAATAAAAATAAATGAAACAAATGATTAAAATACCAGTTGGTAGATCACCGAATACTGTCATTTATTTGAAAGAAACCGGTTGCTGTCGTGTCTTTATTCACCATGTTATGTGTACGTAAATGCAAATGAGTTTATTTGTTCAGATGACCGCTTTCCGGACATACTAAAAACTCAAGTCGAGTGTGTGGAGATGAAACTGAATTAACAGAGTGCATTTACAAATGTAACTTATGTAGAAGTCATATAAAGTAGCACGATACCTACTTAGAGCAATTGCTCACTTGAGAAAATAACTAGCAGATTGATTATTAAATCAGAAAACGTATAATAATTAACTCAAAAAAACATGAACAGTTAGTGGAAAAGGTGAAATTGTGTAGAGGTTTAATATATGAAATATTTTTATTGAATAAATGGTTATAATTTGAGGATGGAGGTGCGGTCGAACAACTCATTTGTCGTATAGTAGGGCATTTATTTCTACCAAGAGCAAACTTCACTTGTTCTACTTATTACGATGTTGATGAGAATTAATTTAAGGACAAATGCCAGGGTAATAAAAATTACAATTATATGGAGACATGGGAAAAGTGAGAGCAATAAAATTATCGATTATCAACGAGTAGAGAGCCTCTACGGGGATTCGTACGGGGTGAGTCAGAAGGGTTACCTTCTCAAAGGGACGATAGGTGACAATAAAAGCTTTACTTACCTTCGGAAAGCTCAAGGTCCAATTCTGCAAGCTTCTCCCGTACATCCTCCGGAAGTTTGTTGATGTCGATGTTGAATTCGGCCATCGCTAGGCCATCCGCAATTCGGAAAAATCACTAATTTTACTGCTAGACATTCCACTACCCGTCACCACTCTACGGCCATCTTGCTCTCGTCTGACACTGACTCTTTGATGCTTCGTCAAGCCCACTGGCGGCGACACATGCCTGCATGTATGAACGAATCATATACCACCACCTTCGTTACTTTGCATTCATGTGCATTGTTGTCAACCGGCAGATGACCCGCATGAATGGTCTGAATAAAAAAAATTATCTTTTTTGAAATTTAGGTATAGAATTTGCATAAAGAATATATTATTACAATTTATTTAATTAAGCTAGAGCTCATACTTGGACATCTATGAGGTTAGAGACTTGTTCATTAGATTAAAGATTGAATTAAATATTTTATAAGAAAGATTATAAGCAAGAATAACAAAATAACATATATTTTAACTAAAATACATTGTAAAAAAGAATTAATTGATTGATTAATTTAATTTAAATAGGATATTGTTGCACAAAAAGATTGTATACTGCTGTAGCCGTTGCACTATTTTTAAACGACATCTGATGAGTAATATCAAAATTATTTACACGATATTATGATTAGTTGAAAATGTAGATCTCATAATATTTGATATTGCGAAATATCAAAAATGGTTTATTTTTTTAAAAATAAAATAATGTTTTCAAAAGTAATATAATGTTTATTCTAATTATTTTTTAAAATTTAAGCACTATTCAGTGCACCACTAGAAAGGCCAAAATAACAAAAATCTGAAATTAAGATACTTATTTGAAATAATTTTTAATTTTCTAGGCAAATATAAAAATTTTTTTCAGTATTTTATGTCAATTAGTTTTAGTATAATATTTTGATAGTACTATTTTTTAAAATATCAAAAGATTTGTATAAAAATAAATTCACCAATTTACCGATTGTAAATAAGTAAAATCAATTTTTAAAAAACTCAAGAAGATTCTGAAAATCTACGCCATTTGTATTTTTCAATCCAAAAAGAAAGTAGTGGAGCAACGTAAAATACTAATACACTAAAATTAAACGAATTTAATGTATACTTAAAAAGAAAATATTATTATTAATTATAAATTATAATACCAAAAGTTAAAACAATGATTATAATTTTTACAAATACAGAGTGATTCGGTTCAATCAAAAGCATGGAATTATTGCAAAAGTTGGTATACCTGATCGCAACACACGGAGACACAGAGCTCTTTGGTGTATTAGGCGGTGTTGTGTTGTGTCATTAATGGAGCACTGTGGATCGACACAGTGTCGGTTGTGTGTCTAAATGGGAAACACACATCACTCTTTTTGACAGTAGATTTGTGAAGTGTGAAAAATGGTGATGGCTGCATCAAACATGAGTGGCCACATCCAAAAACAACTTACAAGGAGTCTTGAGAGAATATTCGAAGAAGCACATTTGAGTGGTGAACTCAAACTTAGTGGACGCAAACTTAAAGACTTTCCAAAAGTCAATAAGTCCGGCATAAAATACAATCTCTGTGATACTATTATCGCTGGTAAATAATTTGTTTAGCCTTGTAGATTAATTTATTATATTTACTAATAATGCATTGTTTATTTATGTGTTAATCAGGATCACTGCTTAAAGAAATATCAAAAATTATTACTTTAAGGGTTTTTTTAGAAATTCACTGCTTCATAAAAAAGCACAGTCAAAAAATAACTTCCTATAGAATATCTGATCATACTTTTCATATTTTCGTGAATAATTTTCTATTTGATGAAAGAAGCACTTGCGATGGTAAAAATAAAATTGAGGCCGTACATTTCTAGTTTATAACAATTATTATCTCATGTCTGATGTTATAAATAACTTTGTAAGACATCAATTCAATTTTTTATCTACTTTTAACGACAAAGTGTGAGTGTAAATAACTCTTAAGAAATGTTTGGCATTGAACATTTAAAAAGCTTTCTATTGACAAGAGCATATCATACTTACTGCATTGAGATAAGTAGTTTATGACGTACTGCGGAAATTGTTTGAATATTGCTTAATCCTAAAAAGGGATAAAACTCATTAGAGACGTCATTTCTTCTAGAAAGTTTTAATAAAGCATAATAAAAATTGAAAAACGATTTAATTAATGCTCTTTACCATTTAAATTTTAAAAAGCTTTTCTATTATAAAATTATTACATATAGAATATTTAATTTCTTTTTTTCATATTCCACAATATTTGTTTTTTTTCTTGAACTCATTTAATTAGTTTCATGAAGTGATGCTCTTTTTATCAATAATTATTAACTACATGATCATTTAAAATTCCATAAAATTTTCTGCAGCATTAATTATGCGAGAGTTTTCATATAAATAGAATTATCTCAATCGTTAGTGTAAATAATTATTAGAACATGTTTTATGTTCGTAATTATTAGATGAAACTTGTACATGCTCATCTTGAATATAATTTTTTAAAGGATAAAAAAACTAACATTTCACTATCTCGTTTATTTTAGATTTATCGAAAAATCGATTCAGCGAATTACCTGAAGAAGTGACAGAATTCCAGTTTCTCGAAAAGCTTCATCTATATCATAATGCCATACGGTTTATACCCGACACGATAGTGTTATTACAGTCTCTAACCTACCTCGATCTTAGGTATACCAACACACCCAACAGACATCGTTATTTCTAAATAATGAAATTATGGAAATAATTATAAATCATGTTCTTCTTACAGTCGCAATCAATTGACAGTTTTACCTCGGGAAGTTTGCGGTCTTCCCTTGCAGATATTACTTGTCGCTTATAATCGACTAGAAGCGTTACCTGAAGAATTAGGCCGTATGACAGCGCTTGCTGAACTAGATGTTGGGTGTAATGAAATCTCTACTCTTCCATCTAGAATAGGAGACCTTCCTAGACTTAGAATGTTGGACCTTAGGCACAATCTTCTAGTACAATTACCTATAGGTAATAAAAATTATATCTTGAGCTAAATGACTAAGTGTTCAATGTTAGTCTCTAATTTTCATGTTTCAATGTTTCTAGAATTAACATATCTCAGGCTTGTTAAGTTGGATATAAGTGGTAATCGTATATCAGTACTGCCTAGTGAGTTGAGGAAAATGAAAAGTCTCATCGATATCAAACTAACAGATAATCCATTAACATCACCACCTGCTTCAGTAAGAATCATCTAATTAACTATTTAAAAAATATGCATTGAAATTGAAAATATTTATCAGTGAATAATTCAATTAATATAAAATACTCGAGACAGTAGTCTGGGAAAATCAATTATTGTATACAATTAAAGTTGCTATGACAATTTTATTCACTGGTATCTATCCTATGCATTGATTGGTATATTGGCATTTACAAGTGATTAATATATTCCATTGTTCTTTCGACAGTTATGTGCTCGCGGGCGAACACATATTTTCAAGTACTTAGAGAGGCAAGCAATGAAACACGAGAAAAATAGAATGGGACGAATGAAATGTAATCCTTTAGAAGCTCGAGGGCACACAACTCTGGATATGAAGTCACATAAACGATACTATGCTGACAATGGATATAGTACAAATGACGGCATCGACAAACGGTGGTCGCAGGAAATACATAGTGACGTGAGTTAAATTCCAACTTCCTTCGACTTGTTTTTTTGTACTTACAATTGCTATGTAATTACCAGCACGCATTTCTTAGCTTTATTTTAGGACTCCTTTCACTTATTTTATTTCATACTGTTTTTTTTTACCACTTTAAATTCGTTCGGTTTGGTCTCTTCAAGTTTCCTTTGAGTTCCTTTTTGTTTTTATATCCCTTTAAACATTTTATTTTCACTTTCAAAGTATCTTTTTCGACTTTTTTTTTATTCCATACATAATCATAAAGTAAAAATTACCCCTGTCATTCAATCCATTATTATCGTTGAAAATTTTCAACTTGAACACATATTTAGGGTGGAGATCTTCAAAAACGATACCAAAAGAAAAAATTAGAAAGGAGTGCTTCAGAAATCGGTGTTGTGTCAAAAAAATCTGTAAGCCCAGCACCTCAAGATAATTCTCTATCACTAAGGTGAAAATTTTTTTATTCTATTGTAAATAATACCATAATAACATGAAAATTAAACTAATGAACATAAATATTTTTTCTTCAGCCATTCTGAGTCAATATCAAACCAACAACAAGTAATTGGTGTACCTAATCATGCGTATAATGATGGTTTAACTCCCATTCTGGTCAATTCTGATGAGAAAAAACTTTCTAATCACACTCAAACATACAAGTATATAATCAACAGTTTTTTTTTCTATGAATAAATATTTATTATCCAATACAGTAAGAAAATTGATAACAATTTCCATCATCTGCTAATTTTTTCAGAGAGTACAAAGAGGCCTTAAGACAACAAAGAGTAAATGAAAATTCAAGCGTTTACAGATCACGAGATCAATCTTCTACAATAAACAATGACTTCCATTCTAGCTTTACCAGTACAAGTACTCCAAATGAATCATGGACTGAAAAACATTCGTTTAATTCTGAAAATAGTAATAAGAAAGATTTACAGAAACCAAATTTTCCTAATCTCATATTGCACAACTCATCAATAGGAAATAATGAATATCAAGTTAATGGAACAGCTGACGAAAAGTATTTAGAGCAACCTTACAAAAAACCTACATCACCAACAAACCCAAACAACGAATACATACCAAGGGTGCCAAAAACTGGAGTATGTTATGTTGATGGTAACAGTGAAGATGTAAATAACGGAAGCTCTAAAATCTGTAAATCAACTGTGTGGAATAATAGCAATTCTGAAGCATACACATTTACTATGAGGAGGGAATTTGAGCGTGCCAAAGAAGAAGCAGATTTGATCGATCAATTAAGAATAGTGAGTAGTGTTTATTTCATCGAGATAAGATAATGCCTATAAAGATAACATTTCTCATGTCTGATGCTTTGTTTACAGAATATTGAAACGAGACTAAAAATGGCTCTTCCTAAGGATTTAGCACCTGCACTAGCTGATGGTGTTGTTTTATGCCATCTTGCAAATCATGTCAAACCTCGGTCTGTTAGTAGTATTTATGTTCCGTCGCCAGCAGTGGTAAGATTGTTTTTTATAAAATTTCTATTAATACAAAATTTTATTGTAATATAACATTAACTAGTAATTTTCGTTTTTCAGCCAAAGTTACCGATAGCTCGATGTAGACGTAACGTGGACAATTTTTTGGAAGCTTGTAAGAAAATAGGAGTTGACGAGGTAATTTAAAACTATTCAATTTTGTATACATTAAAAAAATTATCATACATGTTATTAAATTGTACAGTTTTCATATTCATGCATGACTCTAACAATCACATTAAACATTATCATTTATAAGCTTTCATCCAAGACAGATCAAATTTATTTATGTACATTCAGTTCTTATACATACATAATCTTCTTGATTTAGACATATTATCAGAAGAATTCATTTATTTGTGTTACGCATTTATTTTTGCTATTATTATGGATTTATTATTTATTACTAACAAACAAAAAAAAGTTCATGCTTTTTCACGATATTTAAAAATAAACGTAAACAGGTCACCCCTCGAGTCAACGACTAGGCCTAGAAAGCTTTAGGCTTCTGTATCGATTAAACTATTCACTTGAAAGCGTTTTTGTGGTCTTTGGGTTTTCTAAAAAAGATGTTGAAAGAGGGGAATATCTGTTATTTCATTTACATTTATAGCAGTAGCATTAAAAGGAAATGTCTATATCTATCAAATCTCCTTAATTTTATATGCTCAATAGTGATTACAAAATTTATTATCAATGAATATCAAAAAGTTTTATGGATGGTGAACGATTTATTAAATGTGTATGATCACAGCTCATTCCCATCAAGCAATTCATTCATGAGTTTGGGAAATTAATCAAACAGTTAATATCGTTTAATGTTGTTTATACGAAAAATATTTAACATTTATATTTGGAATATAACACGAAATTATCAATTAGTATATTACCTTCCAACAACTACTAGTCAGTCCCGAAAATGTATTTTGCATAAGTTACATGGAATTTGTTAATATTATCATTGAATCAAAAAATGTAAGTTAGTCATAAAGTCAGTCTTTATTGCATGCATGTGTAGTAGAATACATCCTAACTGGAGCGTGTAACTGCTTTTGTGAATTAATTTGCTCTTCTCACGAGAATTTTAACTCGAGCTTTATCACAAAAATGTTTAATATTATTCCATTAAAATTATCGCATATAAATAGAGTTACAAGTATTATTTGGGTGACATTAATAGTGGAGTATAGCTATCATAGATTTGGTAACTAAAATTAGACCTGTTTTGAATTATTTAATATGTTACTTTATGTCCGCTTCAATGATTAATTATGGTTTTATATTGATACTTACTTAATTATTGTACTAGAATGACCAGTGCAATCGCCCTATCAATGATCTGCGAGTATGAGTTTTTACTAGATCCTTTAGAGTAAAAATAAAATAAGTATAAAATCTTGTGGATAGAAACTGGGACTGAGTAGTATCGTTGTTGGTTGCAGGAGGTGTTAATGGATGCGGAAGCAATCATGGATGTGGGTTACATAAATTCTTATGGGCTGAAAGCACTAATGCGTCTCATATCGACTCTTCTTCTTGTTCATCGTGAAGATGTTTGTGAAGAGAAAAATGTGGGCACAGCTAGTAGAAGGAATAAGGATCGTGTTTTATCAGCAATCCTTATTTTAACATTCTTATCCAGTTTAATCTTACTATACATCTTCCCAATACCTAATTGAGTACCTTTTTATTTATTTTATCTAAAAGTTTTTTTTTATTGTAAAAGATAATTTGGCAAAAACTTTCTATGGAAAAATTGTGATTCGTAAAACTAAAAACGTAATGACGACTCTATAATCGCGAATATTAAGCAGCTATAGATGAATATTTTTTTATTACAACAATCGTTATGATTTTTTGTGCATTTTGAAGAAACTAGAAAAGACTTAAAAACAAAGTATCAGATTTTATAATTTTATATCTTACAAATAATTTTAAGTAACTGGCAGCAAGTGTCATTCACTATTTTTATCTAAGTGAAATAGCATTTAATGAATAGATTAAATAAAAGTATTTCTATATTACAACTGCCTGATGACTTTTACAAATTAACAAAGTCAGGAAGTCGTTCAAAAATTTGCGGAAGCTTTTAATTATTTATTATATCAATTCTCAGGGTTTTGATATCATTTGAAAATAATAGTACTTATGAGTATTTTTACTTTTACAAAGCTTTTTCTATTTTGCTAGTCGTTATATTGTATTAAACTATTTATTATTAAGTCGGTTCTAAGCGACGCTTTATTGTCTAATAATTCTGAATGATAATAATGGCAAGCTACAACTTGTAATGGACGACATCATTATAAAACTGAGGAAAAAGAAACATTGGAAAATGTGATTATATGGTACTTCATCAAATTAAACGCTTTTAATTATAAAAATAAAACAAATATTGCTTATCTATGTATTATATTTAATTATGAATAATAACATGCATCGTGAATTTTGATTGTTAACTATTATTTATGCTATAGATTGAATTTTGGATAAAATTTGTACTATGTATATTAAGAATTTTGTACTAGCTATAATAGTTTATAAGCAAAAAAAATTGTTTATTGTATTTCTTTAATTTCTACAGTATTCAAATTTATATTCAGCAATTGTATTCGAGTTTATTTAATTACAGTTATTATTTGTGATCAATAAAATTGTGGAGATTTGATAGAATTAGAATTCAGATTATGACAAATTTAATAAGGCTTTAAAACATTTTATTGTATAATAATGAAGGGTTTCGATAAAATATTTACTTGATAATCCAAGGTTGTAACTTTCCACCGAGGAATATACTGCATTATTAATAACCCAAAGTATTGTAATAAAGATATGCAATATATTTAACAAGTATTTTATTTTTTGAATTTATTTATGTGATAAAATCTTTTTATATGAACGAAATTTCTTAACTGATAATATCAACAATATTCAAGAGAATTAAAAAGAAATATTTGACAAATTTTTTTTTTTTCAGAATTTAATTTGCTGTGCCAGTGATATACTTGAAGGAGGACGAGGTATGGTTCGAGTAGCAGTAACAGTAGCTGAATTACTACAATTTCATCAAACGCGATCACCCAGCAACAATTCATCGTTATTAACGTTAAATAACATGATGAATTAGAAGCCAGATCATATATATTTTTGTCATTATTCGTAATATTAAATATGTACCACTGTGGAGTACATTTTTGCAAACATGACTTAGCGCAAAATATTTACTAGGCATAATCGTCAAATTATACTCATCAAATTTATTTTAAATCGACTTTTATAAGAATGTAATTATACTTAAAAAAAATATAACCAAAAAACAAACGTCATTTTATATGGATATTATAAAAGTATTGTGAGAAACGAATCAAATTACTTAAACATGAAATAAATTTACTTAATATTTAATGAATTTTGTTTTTTGTTTACTCATTATATTTTAAGGTATACGTAATTAAAAAATGATTCAGTCAGCATAACTCGAATGTCTATTTTATTGAGAGAAATCATGACATGACTAGTTTTATTACTATTTAAATAATTAATAAAAATATTAAATATACATAAATACATAAACAAAGAAAGTATGTATCACAGACAACATTTTTCAAAATGATTTAGATGTTAAATATGTGAACGTAGTTTATATTAAAATTGAGTGACACATTTTAATTTTAATTAATGAAATATACATATATATATATGATGAAAAATACTTTAGCAATTAAGAGATTACATGCACATCCAAAGGCTTACAAAACCTATTTTTAATGAGAGCTCTTTTTTTCAATAAAAATATAAGATTTTTATCTCTTAATTGAAATTATTATTTATACTATCTTTACAACTAAATATAACATAACCTTTTTTTTATTTAAAAAATTAATGAATATGTTAATTAATTTGTGCATGTAGTCTATCAATTGAGAAAACATTTATAATGTTCAATCTAAGTATTTTTTCGATAACTTACAACACAGTAACAATTCCAGGTGTATAAGATACTGTGTTTTGCTTTGCAACAGTTCTTTTGATAATATTCAAAGAAAAAAAAACTATATAGTAATATTTTCTAAGAAATAATCAATATTAGTGATATAAAGCATGAATTAACAAAAGTTTGTATTTTTTGTGCATTAAAAAATGTAGAGAGAAAAAAATAATAATTTAAACTGTTACTGTTGGAAACCCATTGTCATCTGAATGAAGATTCAGATGGTCTATATCTGTCATTATTATGACGATTACTCTTACCACGACCGCGAACACGATTACGGCGACTATGATTATGTTGATAATGATTATTATGTCGTCGTATATCACATTGTTTTTCATTTTGTACATCACTTGATGGTTGTTGAATTGAATTTTTCTGCTCCATTACTTGATCGTTATTATGAGGCGCGGTACTCTTTAATAATAATAGGAGAATTGGTAAATATATTGCGATTTATATTCTATTAATTACTTGCTTTTACTTACTATATTAATGTTGCTTTGTGCAGAAAGAGATGTTAGACTTGGACCAGCATGTATGTTAATCGATTGCACTGCGTCGATGGTACTATTCTCAGTTCTGAGCAACATCTTTATTTCTTCAGCTTCTGGATCAATAATTCCACCCTGCTGTTGCTGGTGCAGAAATAATCTAGACATTTGTTGTTGAAGTTCTTGTAATTCTGGTGTTAAAGCAAATTCAGTTGCTGATTCTACATCAATTGGAGGCGGTGCGGAACACAAGTTCTTCACATCACAGCTTATAGGCTCACGACAAACAGGACAGCTGGCCTATTAAATATTATTATTCAATTAGTAATTATTTGGAGGACTAGTTACTAATTTTCTTCGAATAATTAAGGTTATGAGAAAGTTAAATAAGAAATTGTTACCTGAAATTCTTTAGCAGAATCTTGTTGCCACTGGGGCAACTTTTCAAACTCTTCTTGGTAAAAACGTTCCGCAGCAGTGACATGAGCAGCAAGACAATATGAATGAAAATAATGATAACATTCGGTCTTCGTGAATTTATCACCGTCTTGAAATCCATAGAGACAAATAGCACATTGATCCGTTGGTAGATTACTTTGTGTTAAATGTTCTCGAACTAACTAATTGTAAAGGATGAAATATAAATTAATAATGAAATATGTCATATAAAATACAAATGTAAAATACTTTAGTAAATGTTTTACCTCTATTAATTCGAACATTACTGGCTGACCTAAAAAGTCTTTGCATTTGTTTTCAGTCTCAGTTTGAATAGTTTTTAAAACGTCATCATCTAGTCCTCGCGGATTTCTCAAAGAAATTGTAGGAGAAACATCAGGGTAACCAGTTGGGAGATGAACCACAAGAGTAATACAAACGTATTGTGACTGAGAATCTTCTCCTGTTGAAGGAAATACCAGAATTTCTACCTGTTCAGGGATACCATTTTCATTCTTTTTAACTCGTAATTCATTATCCAGGAGTATAGCACAAAGAGCTTCAATTTCATCAGTTACCCTGAAATAGGATTAAGCAGAGGTACAATAAACCTAATTCGAGTAAATAGTTTCTTGAATCGTACTGTACTTGATTTACTATTAGCCTAAGAATTATTTTTACTCTAATAAAAAACAAGTAGCAGAGAAATAAAAATAACTGAACATTATTCAAACAAATTAAGTATCAGTTCATACCTTTCATCAACTATTTCCTTGGACATATTAGATGATTTTATAGATATACTTGAACTTTTGATTACGATGAGTATCTCAAATATTTAACATTAATTTCTAGATTGAGAAATGTTTCTAAATCACTGATCTATACCTGTAAAATTTATAAATTTCAATTTTTTAAATTTTTAACTTGTATTCATAATTGATAACAAAAATAGAAAAGCATAAAATAAAATTTGATACAAAAAAGTATAATTTATTATTTTTTAATGTATTGATTCGAAGACGAAACTAAAACGTTATAAATTACATCCAATAAATTTATAATGAATAAATAAAATATCATTTATGATACTTTTATTTTATATCATTCTATTAATCTATTAGATTTTATTATTTCTACACAAATTAAAGTTCAATTGTTTCATTAATTTCCTTCATAAGTCACCAGACTTAATAATTTTCATAATTTATCCAATTTTTTGTTCAATTATTAACAAATTAATTACATAGAACACGTCTAAATGTAAAAAGTATGAGCTGAAATTAGTTTCAAAATTTGTTTACGATATTTTTATTTAAAGATTTTATTATTCTACTGTTTAATGTAACGATAGATTATTATTATTATTCACCCTATTCACTATCCAACGTTCACAAAAAGACGATAACAGAACCGATAATATTCCCTGCAAATAGAGAATGAATACAAACTTTTACACTACACAAATTCGACCAATACCGAAAAAATCACGAAAAATTTGTTGTAAACATTTAAGTTGTGAGAAATATAATTTTTTGTGATATTCTAATGGAAAATAACGAATGAAAACAGTACAACTTGCATCAAACTTTTCGCCTTCAGCGATAGTCGTGACACCTATACTACTGTCATGTGAATTTCAAAAGATGGCACTTGCGCAATTCGATGCAAATATTCATTTCCGGGGTTTAAAAAATAAAAAACATACAAACCAGGAATATTAGTTTTAAATAATTTCTGAAACTTGTTAATTGATAAATTATAATAATTTTGATTAATATAGTTCGTTGAATTAACGTTTTATTTAATTTTTCTCGAGTATTTTTTTTTTATTTCAATCATTCTTAAAAATTCAGAAGGTATCATACACCCGGGTCCATTAATGCCTGGGCTGTTATCTATTGAAGATAAGTATTATACCGATATTACGACTTTGTAGTTCAAAAAAAAAAAGATCAACATGTTAGCGTCATTTTTATAACGGAACGAAACTGTTGGCATCATTACGGCTTTGGAATATAATGCATCTTTAAAATTATTTTTAATGAATAAATAATATGTTTGAAATAAAATGAAGTATACACAATATTTTACAAGAGGTAACTGTATATAATTAGGAAAGATTTAATAGAAATCAAGACAGAATTAAGCAAATCGTCGTAATCCAAATATTGTTGATCATCCAATGCTTACTGACTGCTTGGTGAGTGTTGTCAAAATCAGTTTTTATGTAAAATTAGTTAATATTTATTTATGTATTTAATGAATCATTAATGCATAATTTTTTTGTTATTTTTATTACAAATTGGAAGTGACAGGTACAAGTAATAAAATAATCTACTTGAAGAGATAAGACTGCTATGTAGACAGATCTAGTAAAGTAGTAGTGAACGTAAATATCACACAAAGTAGATTAAGTACTAGTATACAAAGCTAGTGCACACGAATTCGATGGCAATCAGTAATCACCCAACGTGAAATGAAGCGTTGGGAAGTGCTTTCCTGAATTTCTATATCGTTTTATCTCAAGTTTCGACAATAGCTAATCCGTGACATAGCACCGGAAGTAAACGAGAAATTTTTATTCGATACACGTAACTCGTGGAATGAGCTTGTTTCGCTTTTACGACGATACGAGTATATTTTATCAGTGCGGATAATTACGACTATTTCTCTCAGTCTTTTATATTTATTTTGAATTAAATGTACTAATTTCAATCAAATTAACAATTGATCAATTATTCAAAAAAATTTAATGAATGAAATTCCGTATGAATGATAATAAGTCATGAATAAGATTTTTTAATAGTTTTTTAACATACCTAAGTCTTTATCTTTAACAGACGAATTTTTAATTTTTTATCCATTTTACAAAATTAGAAAAAAATTATAAAATTTATTGTTTCGCCTTGAATTTATCATTCATGATTAGAAAAATAATTATAAAGAAGATAGTCAGTTAATGAGTTATAGAAGATTTTATTTCCTACTATCTTTTTCTAATTATTAGTAAAGTAGTCATGTCTGCAGATAATGATAAAGAGTCGAATTTAATTTTATTATTTAGACTTAATCTCTGTCTGCTTGGCGTCACTTAATTTGGAAACAATTAATTAAGTTCCAAACTGTCACAATAACTTACAGAGATATTATCTTCATATACCTATCTTATTTATATTTAGTGATTCTCATACGATATTGATAAATCAAATAAACACGATCATGGAAATTTTATTTCAAACAATCTTGAATTTTTATAATTTATGAATTTAAATATTTTTACATCGGTCAATTAACAATTAATTACTAGAAGAAAATCATAACATCAATTGGGGAATGAAATTTACAGAATTTCTAATAATTGTTGTTTAAGCTCCGATTATATTTCTGTTAAATTCAATATCCAAATCAAGTGTAGATAAACTAAAAGTACCCCAAAATGATCTTTAGCAAGTAGGGGCGCGACTAAGCTCGTTCGTTCACTCCCCGGCGCCATTTTACGTTGATTACGATGCGGTTAGCTCCTTCCAAGTTCCTTCAACCCCACATTGTTGGCACTCGACGAAACGGTAGCCACCACCCACCTATTAGAACAAAGCAGCCATAGACACGAGACTAGAGAATCAAAAGAGAGACAAAGAGAACTATTACTTGCCAACATCTTTCCTCTTTTCCTCTCCTAACTTATATGATAGGTTTTGGCCAACGACCTAGCGAAAGAAATACTTTGTCTTCTTTGCCAATATTTATCACGTACCATCAACAATCTGAGGTGATGTACCATTTCGATCGGTTTTTTGTCGTTTAACACAAAATGTTTTTCCCCACTACAGCAATTTATGATGAAAATTTCTAGTTTTTCTTTTATTATTTTTATCGTTTTTGAGACTAAGTATTAATAATCTTTTTCTTTATTTATCGATTTATTTGAGATTTGACAAAATTGTATTAGAGCTTCTTTACAATCATCATTAGTTTCATTATCAGTTCTAGTAAAAATACCCTTCTATTAAATTTTTCATTCAATTAATTTTGCAATAAAACTAATTTATTACTTAATAACCACTGATTTTAATTATCGTTAATTATTCTGAAGTTACTCAAAACAAAAAAGAATCACTCAAGTAAAAAACCTTTTTTTGATCAAAACAAACGGTTTATCTCATTCTATTACTCAAACAGAAAATCAATTCTCTTCACCGATATAAATTTTCTTTTTTTTTGTCAGCAAATATATATCACCCATATAGAAATTAAATACTCACATCTGAAGTGTATACATAATTTGTATATTCTTACCACGCATTGAACTTTTTATATCTCCTAAAGCTCATCCATTAGGACTCATTGGCCTGATTTATCGCCATCTTTGATCCCATTTTCTTGCCAAAAATTCAGGGGTGTTTTCTGAATTCAAACGAGCATCAAGAGAGTAGTCAGTTGGAATGGAGAAATTGAACAAGAGATTGACGATGAACGGGGTTAAAATGAGGATGCAGAGAAGCAGAATGATAGAGAAAGTAAAGGGGAAAAAAATAGAAAGGAATGGATGATAAAGGGAGGGATGCTGCATTATAGAACTAGGAGGTGGACGTAACGTGGCGGACGGCGCTTGCTCGTTCGCCCAAGGGGTCGCACCGCGCGCGACGTTCATCGAGTTGATTGTCGCAGATCTTATTATCCCCTCTTTACTTCAGGGAGGAACTCGGGTAGGATCTCGGCATCTCTGAGCTTCGACCAGAACTCTAGAGGCTGTTATAGAGTAAGAAGACAAAGACAACAAGGTTTCTAGTAGAAGAGGAAAGTGTGTAGGCAGCCCGAGGCTAACCTCGTTAGAGCTAATGACGAGCTTCACGAGATGCTTCACCCCTCGGGTACTTTAACCCCTTTCCTATCTCATCGTGAGCCAACTTAGAAAGAGATCGTTTGCGATATTATTTGCGGTCACATTTTTCATCCCTTTTTTAGTGCAAAAAATCTTGGTAAAAAGTTTGTACATTTTTTTCATTATACTGCTGAGTTTGTGCTAAGTTACAACTGCTGAAAAGAATTAAACTTGATTAAAAAAAGAATAACGAAATTATATAACTTTCTTGAATGTTGAATTTTTAGATATGAAGCTGTAATAATTTTTTTGTTTCATATTTATAATTATACCATTTAATCAGATTACTAGAAAGAGAGATGTTACATCTTTGTCATTTAATATCTAATTATGGTAGATATTAACCTATCTTCAATATAAATTCAACGGATTAATTCTGGACAGTATAGTCATTAAGATTATGAAGAAACAATGTGATTGTTATGACAAAATTAATCTAAAACTCAATTTTAAAAATTTCTTAAGAAAACAACAATATTACCATTAAAATAAGAGCTAACAAATAATTTACTAAATGGCAATAATTTTAAAACACTACTGTCAAAGTGTACTGTTCTAAAATGCGAAGAGAATCATCGTAAAATGCCGAAGACGACGCGATGGCGACGGGGGTTTCTAGAGAAACAAACGACGCCGATAGGAGTGAACAAGCAGTGAATCACCCAAGCACTTGTTTACCAAGAAAATCAGGATTCAGGGATGCTGTTCTCGTTCCAAGTTCCGAGGAATCTAGATATAAGAGGGAGCAGAGCAAATGTGTATCTTTCCTTCTCTCTTCATCACCCAGTTGTGCTCAATTCTCTTCCCCAAAGATTGCCATTGACTTCACAGTCACACTGACACTCTCATCGTCGTCAACGATGGCGCCGACGACTCTCCATAGACGCACACAGCCACACGCATTGTCGTGAAAGCAGTACTGTATAGTGGAATCGCTAAATGTAATTCGGTTAAAAGGGTTTTAGCAATACAATGCATATAAACATGAGTGCTCCACCTCTCGACTCGTCGTCATCGTCAAGAGTCCCGGCAACGGGAATTCTAGTGCTTCCGTTGTTCTCTTCCTCTTCAGGGTCTTCTTTAACCGAGCTATAACGCCTTGGCAATCGGACCACTCACCCATCATTTGATGTTGGTATTTCTTGGTCTTTTGAATAAATTGATGAAGGAATCAATTGAAAATAATGCGATTCAATAAGATTATTGACTAATGTTTTAGATAGGGGAAAATTGGGCATTTGGACCTTTTAAATTAATGAAAAAACATTTATTTACACTTTTTTCTTCAACTTATAAACATCATATAAATATCTTTTAATTTTTTATGTTTATAGATAAGTTTTTATTGATTTAAAGTTATTATCCAATTGAACTACAATAAGTAGAATTTAAAAAAACCTTTCTTAAGTAAAAAATCATTTTTTAAGACAAGAATAAGAATTTTTAGTAAAAACATTCATTAAAAAAATGATAGCATTACTTAATTAATTTTGTTTATGATTTTCAGAGGAATTATTTATCAGAGTAAATATACATAACAAATTATTCGTTGATATTGGTATAATTAAATGACAATGATCGATCTTACTTAGTATCAAGAAAAATTGTTACTATTTATCATAAAATATCAATTACTAATGGTATTATTATAATACTGTCTGTCCAGTCAATGTACGAGAATCTGAAGATTAGGTCTGATGGCCATACTTATCATAATTAATTACTCTTAATTACTACTCAGAAATTCGATTTAAATACTTATTAAAGTATTTATAGTTACTTGAATCAAATAAAATTTCAATAATTTTTTTTTTTTTTTCAAAGAAACTATTTAGCTCATTTATAAATCTTTTTTCTTCCTGGTATTCATAAAATAATTGTCAATAATTCTAGGATATTTAATGATAATAAATTATAAATAGACAATAATAATAATATTGATCTTATGTAATTTTATTAATATTGGTTTATTTATTTTGCTTGATGAATTTCTAAATGTAATCATCGACTTAGTCAAGCTCTAAACTCATTGCTTAGTATAAAAACAGATAAATGATTTGGCAATTTGTTGAATTTTCTACTGAGTGCGTCTGGCCAATTACGAAAAATCGACAAGTTCCATTCTTTCACATTTTTATTCCTACTATCTCTTTTTTCTCAACTCTCTTTCTCTCATAGTCTGTTTCGTTCGCTAGGCAATTTGTCAAATTACGTTTGTGGATAGTATAGCTTTTGCCTCGTGATGCGTATATCGATATACCGAGATCCTATAACATGACATGTGATTTAGGAGGCGGGTGGAATTGAAATGGGGTTGGTTACTCGTCACACGCCTCGACGACCTGGAATTATAATGCGGACAAATTACAATTGGTATTGAATATGAAAAAGTTGTAGGCAATAACGATGGATCATTTGCAGAATTTTATACATCCAAATAATTTAATAACACGTATGTCAATGGATGATGGAAAAAATTTATTAAATTTATAAATGACCCAAAAAATTGATAATCATGTCATGTAGCTTATTTATTAATGTTACTAAATGTTTGACAGTTGAAGATTAATAGTGAATAGCTACAACGAATTTTTTTTCAATTTATTTGACTAAGAACCACGATATTATAATTTTTTTTTTAAATAATTATTTTAAATCAAGATCATTGTCTACAAGTGGAACTACATACCCAATCAGACTTAAAAATTATCTTAATTCGAAAAGAGTTATAAAAGAAATAATTATTATAAAAAATAGTTAATAATATAATTATTATTAAACGATAGAGAAATTTTTTAATACAAATATATTGTTATAAATGTTGAGTAAAACATTATTTATCGTAAAAATTTGATGAAACGAATTGAATGTTGAATATAAAAAATTCTAGGGAATGTTTCCAATAAATTTGAAAAATAATTTAATGCAATATTTCATTAAATTAACATAATCATGAATCTTCCAGTTTAGAGCAATGCCCTAGTGATTTGAACATACAGAAGTAATTGAATTGTCACAGTCAACTGCATTGCAGTGAATCTATGATTTCAACGGATTTTTATGTTTAATTTACATTCACGAAGGTATTAAGTCGACACAAAAGCGAATAGGAATTCACTAAAATGATGAGAATGTCTTCAACATTTATATGTGTATATAGAACAATACGATCTTCCTCCATATATAGTCTGTATATATAGTAAATATACTTTCAAGTGAGTGAATTTCATTCGTAGCACAGCGATTTGCGAATTGTGATCCAGTACCTACGGAATTCGTAACTGGAGATTAGCATGTCATAAATACTGATGTAGATCACAGTCCTCGTCGTCCCTTTAAATCAACGATAGTATAGGTATTTAAATAAAACTACAAGGAATTTTTAAGAATTAATTGATTTGACGAAAAAAAGTCATATAATCAATTGCTAATGAATGGATTAAAAAAAATTTTCATTTGCATCAGTTAGGTTTTTTGATAAATAAATAGACACTTGTATTTTTAATATTTATCTCGATAATTTATTATAGGAACTTGTCGCAATATATTAGATTTTTTAATCACAATTTTCATTTTTCACTATCTTACATCGATACACGGTTGCTATTTACAATTTTTATTTATATAATACACAAGCAAAATACATAAATATGTATAGAGATAATAGTAAGATTTAATTAAATAAATTACAGTAAAGAAAACAAAAATTTCATTTTTGTCTCTTTTTAAATTCAAAGAAAAAACTGTTTCTATACACAAAAAAAAATTTGTTGAGCCACTAAATATTTGAAAGATAAATTTCTATGATTAAACTCTTCAGTCTGTGATTAAAATTTATTTGTTTTTATAAGGAAATAAATTCAATTAATTGTGATTTATTTAATTGAGAATTTGACATCTCAACTCAAAAAATTTTTTCACTTATAAAAAGCTAATTTTTTCTTGTGAATATTTTTTTTATTTTTTAATAAAACAAATGTATTATAAAAAACAAATACAGGTACTTGCGAGCAAATAGTCTGTCTAAAACACGAAAAACTAATAATATTTATATTACAAGGTTTAGATTTAGTAAATCGACAGTTTGGTGTAACGAAATGAGGAAGTTTATTCAAACAACGTAAGGCCTATAAAGAGGTTCACGAAGTTCACTTAAAAGTCTCGGATGATTTTCATGAGAATTTCCTCTAGTTTCATCAGCTTGTGGTCCAGTAACCCCTGAATTTGAGGTTGTTGAACTTGCACTAGAGGCAGTACTAATTTCACTAGTGCAGTTATTCGCAGTTGCTTCACGCTCATTTGTTGTAGTTATTCGACTTGCACTTGGTGCAGTTGTAGTACCCGGTGATTCCTCAGTTTTACTGGTTGTCCGTGCTTCTTGTTGAGCTTTTTTGCTCCTTTTCCATTTCATTCGTCGATTTTGAAACCATATTTTCACCTGTAACCCACAAATATTTTTTGTTTATTTATTAAACATTTCTTTGGATTTGTGACTTTCAGAGATTTATTATTACATTTTTCAATTATAAATCTGTCTTCTATCATTTTTTAATTTAACTACCGAAAATCTTCAGTAAAAATTCAAAAGTCTTAGATACATAGCATTCATGTTTGAACATGGCATTGGCAACAAGTCATAGACTCTAATGAACAATCGATTATTTTATATATAAATAATTATAAAATTCATATTTTGACAACCTAATATTATTCTTTTCGATCAAATGCTGATCAATTATAGTCAATTTTTTTGTGGAATTTATTTTTGAAAATATCGATTTGAGAATTAATCTAATAGCATATAAAATAGGGGATAATCCAGAGACAAGAATAATCACATATGAGTTGATATCATTTTTACAAGGGGATTAAATAGTAAAGGAAAATATTTAAAATAAATAAAATGAGATTCAGACGAGTTCACATTCGTATTCGCACCGTAAGCCACACATGAGTAGTGGAAAGAGTCGTAAAATATCTCTGCAGAGATATAGGAAGTAAGGGAGCTCGATTTTTCGCCCTCACATCGCGAGAGTACCATGTAAATCTCTCGGACAACATATCATACGCCAGCACCAGTCAACGTACCAGCCAATCCCACTCTCTACCTTGTCTACCCTCGTTCCGTGATCATATTATATCACCCTCCTCTGGAAGAACGTTTTTTTTTTCTTTGTCTTTTCGTGATTATACGAATACGGATGGGAACTCGGCAAAAAGTGGATTGAAATAAGAGTCATCAAAATGGATACAAATTTGACATCAGTGTTAAGTGTGAGAACATCAAATAAGTCATGTCAAAGTCTTACAAATTTTTTTCTTCTGCGTCGCGACGACGCGGAGACAGAATCGGTAAATTATCGAAACAAATCAGAGCCTGAGCCGTCTATAAATCAGACTCACGAGAGAATCGCGTGTTTGCTGAGCCATCTGTCAGAGTGAGAGGAAAAAGTAAAGCTTTTGAGTTACATTTAAGTTGGCAGCTCGCCGACAATTTTTAGGAAATGAAATTAAACTTGTCGAGAAGCTTTTGAATGATTAATTTAATCATTAAATCAATTTTTATTTTATTTAATAATTGAAATTGTGATTTAGTTATCTAGATGAATTGGAAAGAAAGCATTTAAATTGATAGTTTCAATAGTTGAAATAAATTAAAATGATTGGTTAAATTATTAAAATGAATCATCTTCTATTAGGGAATTAGTTAACAAATTACAAATGTGTTAAGTGATATAAATTATTCTGAGAGAGATATATTTATATTTATATGCTAAATTGTACCTGTGTTTCAGTCAACATGAGCGAAGTAGCAACTTCAAATCTCTTGGGTCTACTGAGATATTTATTTTGTCGAAATTGTTTTTCCAACTCAAGTAGTTGTTGAGATGTAAATGCTGTTCGTGGTCGTCTTGTTTTCCCAAGAAGTGCATGTTGAGCTGCACACCCTGCAACACACGTACAAATATTTTTTAAGGATCTTCATTTTAGAAAAACTTATCTTACAATTCAACATCACAAAAACAACTACAAAATTAATTTCTTTCTCAACTTTTTGTTTAAAACTTATTCATTTGATTATTTAAAAAAAAAAACTATCTTTCCAGACTAGTATTTACTCTCTTTTAAATCATAAATTTTTTAAAAATTATTCTAACTCTTTTTTATGGTTTTCAGCTAAAATTAATATTTATAAAAAAAGCTCAGTCATTTTTCTAGTTTTTGTTAGCAAGTATTTTTCTATCGTTGATTTTATTTCTACAACACTAATATTCATAGAAAGATCATCCAATAAAAATCAGCCAATGCTAATGTAATTATAGGAAGACATAAATCCCTGTGGATTTGTTTGGAAAATAGGGGAGATATGATTCGAATTTAGACGAGGGGTTAGAGAGGGATAAAGTGTGACCAAGGGTAAAAAGCCGTGGTGTACCGCCCTTCCAATTAGCTCCACCAATGAGTCTAGTTTCGATAAAAGTCATCAGCCACCGATTCGTCGTCGATACAAATTTATATCATCACCCTAAATATTTTTTTATCCTTAACATCATTGATTTCCTCATATTTTCGTTTCATTTCTATATAAATATCAACATAATTTTCTCATTGTCTCATATAAACAAGAGAGAAAATTATGTCAATAGACTAGTTATGCTCAGCATACAGTCATGATATCAAGTTTCGAAGGATAAGGACTCTTGAAAAAAACTTATTGTTAATTTAGCTAGAAAGCATCAACTGTCAGACTGCAATTGGTGCTTTTTAATAGGATAATAACATGTAATGGTAAATATAACTATTTCAATTTCTCTGAGTGAGGAAACAACTAAATCGACTTAACAAACTCGCCCATGGACTCTGTTCTGTCGTCCAAGCGCATGAACCGGCTGTCAATGTTTGTACACATGGCAGTGAAGCGAGTCGGGATGTGGATTAACGTGTGATTCACTTGGTATGGTTTGAGTTTAGTCTGCAGGTACTATTTTGCGCCTGTCGTGCCATAAGTGAGGGGATCATTTCAAGCTGATTATTGTCATTCAACAAGATGTCATCTGTTTTAATGCTCCATCAAACGAGCTGCTTTGCACAATTTTAAATCTTTTGTAACAAGCATCCATCTTATTCATCCTGTGTACAGTAGAAATATAACTGTTGATTTATTAAATAGTCTTATTTTTACAAATCCTTATTTTTTCATGACATTTCTAATATTAATTTATAATGCTGATATTTTTGTTCTTCGAATAAGAACTAAAAGACAATAATAATAATAAAATTCATTTAAATTTTAACTCTACTATTTAGAAAAATATTTGTTCAATTGAGCAGCTCTACTTTTATTGCCTTAATAATTTTTTAGAATGCACATTTATTATAATTAATTTTGTTAACAAGTTTTATTCACTTAAGATGGAACTCATTGATTTATATAAAGTATAGTTTATTACCAATAATATTTATTCACAGTAAATAAATCACAATAATTTTTTTTTACTTCACAAATTAAATATCATCAATTATACTTAATCGTTGTTGATAGAAAAATGTAATTAGACGAGGGAATCGTTTGAAAAAATTTCCGGTGGTTAGAAAATTGAAAGTAAGATTACCAATAAATATAAATCACATACTAAAGGGCTTTAGGATAGTGAATGTGCTATAAGATAGAATAGTGATTACCTGATGGAGAGAGGGAGAAACGAATCATTCACCCAAGTAATTGTCATAACCATGAGGGGAGGGAGATAAAGATTGAAGGTGATGAAAATAGGGATAGCAAAGAAGCAACTCGGACAAATCATTCCAGCCATATGTGCCCCACAGGGGGTAACCACCCTTGTCACGACGATAAATAGCCGGTTAAATGCTACATCCTAAATGCTAAGTATCTAATATTTAGTCGTGAACAGGCTAACTTAAGTGTGCTCTGTGTGCCCTATTATGTCGATAAATATCGCACTTTTTTTGCTCCTCATGCTTTTGTTGGAGATACAGGAACAGAATTGTTAGGCATGACAATAATTTTTGCACGTGCCAAAAGTGAGGCATATGTGGATTCAATAATTAAATGACTAGTGAGAGGGATGGAAAAATGTCAAGTATTTAAACGGAAATAAATAACGAACATTGAAATGAAGAAAAAAAAATGATTTACAAGGAACAAATGGTTTTAATAGACAAAAAAACTTTCAATTTAAAATTAAGTACAAAAATTATTTATAAAGTTCGCATTTTAGATCAATGATAACAACATTGAATATAAAAAAATGATTGCCATCGTTGTGATTAATAAAAAGACTTTTCAGTTGAGTTTTATCAAACAAGTAATTGTTTAATTTATATTGATGGTTATTGAGTTGTAATAATTTTTTTTTTGAACAAAAAAAGTAAGAAATAAATTTTACTCGAAAACTAAAAAAAATTAGAGCTTATAATGAATGATGACAGATGTTAGTAAATAAAGAGGGTAAAAATTTTATCGAGTGGACAATGGATTTACACACACACATATTGAAGATCGTTTATGAATATCCATAAAGTAAGAGTGAAATAATATGAAATGAACAAATTGCAGCACAATTGATGCAAGAAAAAGAAACAATTATAATAAAAGATAGAAAACACCCTTTCATACCACTTTTATTATGATAATTTAATCTATTTGAGGGAAGCATCGACCGAATCATGGTGTTTATAATTACAGCACGACCCTACAATGAATATAATCAATCAATTGAACCTCCGATCGTAGCACACAAAAGTAAATAGCCCATTATGTCAATTTATCGTAATTGTCTTCTTTGATACTTTACGCATTTAGTGTGTTGACATTTTATTTCAACCGAAAATAAATAAATATGCGATATTAGTAAAAAATTAGTGGAAAAATCAGTAAATTAGGATAATTGTTAAGCTGATAGTCAAATCAGTTTACGGTCAGTCAGCTTGATCGTCTCTCGTGACGCTAACGAAGTGCAGGACAAGAGAAAACAGCTTCGTTAAGCTTTGGAATGAGTAGACCCACTTCTCATCATCGTTGCTAGTGTCAAACTCAAGCTTGAATCCTTTTGTGACAAATGTCACTTTTCAAGGACTTGTTAAATTTTGATAAACACTTCTAATCAAATAACTTGATTTATTTTTAGAATAGTAAGTTTTTTCATGGTTCTAAAAATAATTACATCAATTTAAACATTATTTATAAACGAAAACACTAATTAGGAAAAACCTACAGATACTTTTATTACATGTAAAAGCACTATCAGAATACATTTTAATTTGTAAAGACTTTTAAAAAAAATTATCTCACTAATTGAAAGTTTGGATATTAAAAAAATATTTTGTTTTTAGTAGCTTTGAATGATTTTATTTATTTCATTTCTAAAAAAAGATTATGGATAGCAAGAAAAACATAAATATATTCGTATGAATAATTGGATCATTTTAGCATACAGATAGATGTAAAAAAGTTTTTTACTCTTATTATTGAATAAAATGAAGCTAATCTCACTCGAGTAAAATTATGAAGGAAATTAATAAAATTATTTGCTTTGATTTATCTTTCGTGAAGTCTTTAGGGGCATGAAGTAATGTTTGGACATTTGGCATCACATTTGATGCTACTCTGGCAATTTAGTTGACATCAGGGATATAATACATACAAGTAACAGTAGTCTATATATAAATGGATTGTCGGGGGTGCCAGAAGCTCCGCCTTTTCACCCCCTTCAACCCCCAACATGCCCCGCCTTTGCTCCGGTTTTCAACTCAACTTCAAGCTGAACAATTTACCAAATAGTGTAGCATATCTGTACTTTCTATTTGCATTAAGTTGAAGAAAACTTGTCGATTTTTGTACCCATTTTATTTTTCTCTTTGATTCACTTTTTCCGTTACTTTTATTATATTTTTAACGGTGAGAAGATGAACATTATGAACTTGAATCTAATTTACTTCTTTTTCTTTTGAATGCTCTGAAATCTACAGCCCCTTCATCGAGTTGGTATTTTAGTGTGTAGTTGGGCAAGTTTTATCGAGGTATTTTCCTTAGTATGGAATGACCAAATTTAATCCCAAACTCAGTGGCTGCCTAGGGTCTCCACAAATCACCTCATAAACATCTGAAACGTGTGCTAGCTTTCTTTTCACTCTTCCTTGGTACTGTTTCACTTTTGTTTTATCTGAAGTTGTAACTTATTACCGTATTAAATCTCGGTGTTTTTTTAATTTTCTACATTTATTACTATTTTACATCTTCCTTTTGATATTGAAAAAACAAAAGTCAAATTTAATCAGTAATTATAAGTGAATTAAGTGATAAAAGTCAATTAATAGTCGACCATAAAAATATTCTTTAAAATACTATTGAATTGTTTTGTTCTTCTTAATTTTTATACATTATGAAAATAAAATTGAAGGATAAAAATAGTTAAATTCACTTTGAAAACATTAAAGAACAATTACTGTATTTAAAAAAAAAAAAAAAACTCAGTAAAGTTACAGATTGATTGAAATTTATAAAAAATAATTTTTTATGTTTTTAAAATTTTTTTTTATTCTTTAAAGCCTTTTTTTAATAATAAATAATATCAGGAATTGCAGAAATAAGAATGTGTAGAGATTTAGAGCAAGTTCAAATAATACAGAAATGAAATAGGATAGTTTGAGGGATGAGAGACCTCAGCAGTAAATTAACGAGATACGAATGCCTAATGTGCGGTCAGCCAACTGTACATATGCCAACTAAAGTCATACACATACTCTGGGAGTACGTGAAAGCGTGCGAGGCCGTTAAATGCAAGCACGAACGTTACACATCGGGTAACCAAGATCTGTTTGCTCGCGGACAGCCAAACTAGCTCGCAGCTAATTCAGAGACACCATTACCACCAATACGCGCGAACGATCGAGCGATGAGTTGTAGATATATAGATATAGATATCTGTATATCAAGTTTCCATACCACACCAAACCAGATACTGTTGGATACTGGAATCCACGTGCGAGTAAATAAACTTCTCATACACATCTATATACATATATCATTATTGATAAATGTGGCTCACGTTTTTTCCTCTTCTTCAACTCTCTTAAGATATTTATCTTCTGTTTTCAGTTTCACGTATTTATTTTTTAATTTTCTATTTGCAATTCCCGAAATTCATCATGAGATTGGGTCGGCTTTTTTTTTATCTAAAGACAAATCATTCATTACAAGAAAAGATTTCATACAAAGAAAAAATTAATTGTAAAATTGTTTATTTAGTAGATCTGAAATTCTAAATATGGCTTACTTGATTTTTAAGATACGTTGCTCGATATGACCCTGATAAGAAGTTAATTTAAGCCCGGAGGCGACAATAAGGCCAATACCATTTTGTAATTATTTATGTAATGAGTAATTCTATGGTAGTGATAGAGTAGTTGAAGGGCAGTGGAGAGATAGTAATCGACTAGTTCTAAACTGTTATTAATTATTTTAATATCATCAAATTACAAAATATAATTGCAGTAGTTTGATTTTTTACTTTCCATTAACATCAATTTTCTGATACCTTCAATAAAATGGCAAATAATCGCCAGTCTCATTAAAAATAAAATGAATTCACGAATAATGAGTCAATTATTCAATAATTTTAATTCCAATCTTCCAATGTTAATTGACATTAAAAAATGATAAAATTCTTAAAAAGCATGATTATTTTTAAATAGTAAGCGCGACTTTCTGCCTATGAGACCAAGTGCAGGTCGTCATGGAAACCATGGCAATCGCGATGGCGAAGAGAAGAGGTGTAGGAGGATGAGGAATGGAGAACGACGACGACGATGAGGCCGTGGAAGGCTGAGGGGGATGAATAGACGGATGAATGACGCACAATTAACTAATTAAATCATCCGTCGACCCCACTATACGAACCCCTCTATCCGTCTCTCGAGTATCATCCCTTCCATTGGACCCCTGGAGTTATATGTACCTTTTCTCTTTTTCGATCGACCATCACTAGGCTCTTGTTCCCAGTGAGTTCTTCCTCTACATCATCGGACTCGTTTTCCCTGAACGGAGAAATGTGTAATTGCCAAGGGAAAAAAATGGCCATGAGTTTGTCAAAGTAATTGCCAGGAGAATATCCTCGAACAAATTGTCCGTTTAAATATTCGTATTATAATTTCATCCGACAATTTACATTGATCTTTATTATATTTTATTAGACTGAACAAATTGATTTTTCTTATTGATAATTTAATAGAGGCATATTTCTCAACCAGACAGAACCTTCAATAATTGTATCAATCAATTATTCAGAAAAATAGATTAATTCAATAATTATTCAAAATGATTAATTGATTTTTTTAATTGTCTTAAAAATGGAAAGTAATATTGGAAAATGACAATAAAATTAATTGACGAATTTTCTTTCGTTGTTAAACTAAAGAAAAGAATAATATTCATATCTTAATAGATCTTAATAGATTTTTTTTACATCAAATAACCGACAAATGACATATAATGTGTATTCAATAATTTAAAAACACTGTAATTCGAATATTAAAGTGTAATAAAACTGAAAACTATCATTTACATCAACTTAATTATCTAATTAAGAAGATAATTAAGTAACTTTTACTAATAACAAATATATTTAATTAATTTCACACTTCTTATCTCATATTACATTCAAGTACTTTCTGAATTATTTTTTTATTTCATTAATACTCTAGACAAGTCATTGAATAGACGACGTCTAATCAGTCGATATTTATCAATAAGCCATTTAATTGTCAAATTGTTTTATAGTCAATGTTTCCGATACTAGTAAAATGTTTCGTAATACGTTGAATAGAACACGTACTACGGGACAGTTAAATGATGATACGTGTCGTAGCGAAATACAGAAAGAGAAAATGCGTGCTTGCGAAGCCAATAGAGCAATAGATGGAACATGCTGTTGATCTTGTACGTGCTATAACCCAGCTCCAAATATTGAGTGAATAAAAATCGTTCTACATTGGTATTTACAATTAATCCATCGCAGAAAGAGACAAATAGTATTGATGACGTGATGCCACCAGAGTTATTGGTTCAAATCACACAGTAGCGTCGCCAATTTTTAACGATCTCACGACCATTCACGTCACACCAATGCCAATTGATTCGTATTGCAGTAAACGAGATCTAACAAAAAAAAAACGAATATACATATAGCAAAGTGTTTTTTGTTTTTTTTCGAATAAATAGCTCAGCAACTACCAATCAGGATCATCTGACAGAAACTGCCAGCGTCCCTATGCGCACTTTTACTCGTGCATTCGTTCACCAACCAATTTGTTCGATAAAAGCTTCGACTGATTGGCTTGACAAAATAGTCACTGCTATTTTTTTGCACGAAATTTCGAGTTTTTTTTTCAATTTTTTTTTAACATTACTTTGTAGATAAAATTTATCGAATTGGAGTAATCATGTGGTTGATAAAAAATATTTATTATGTTTATAAAAAAATTAATAACAGTTATTTTTTTTAAATTTATAATTTCATATTTAATTGAGTTCTTTAATTATTTTAATTAAACCTTCTTTCTTAAGGAAAATAATTCAATGGTAATTGAATTAATAAAAGTATGAATTTAAATAGAAGAAAAATTAATGTAAATAATTCATATTAAAAGAAAAAAAAACAATTAATTTCTACGAAATGATGAATTTTAATGTTTAACAATAAATTAAAGTCACTTTAGGCCTTGATGATTAATCGTTCACACCGATATTTCATTTAGCACCTAATCTCTAATTTTTTAAACAATCTGTGATAATCAGTTAATATTTATTAATAAAGACGTTAACGATAGAAAAACTTTCTGTGAAACTAGATCGATTGGTTCACAACTTGAACAGTCTTCTTCTTATCAACCGGAAATATGAAAAAAATTTTTCTTCAAAAAGGAAAACAGCCGACTACTTATTGGTTTAAGAGCTGGCGTAATACTTCTAATTATTATATAAACAATGAAGCCATCATCAGAGATAAAGCTGGTAAATAAAAAATAGAAAATCAATCTCTATTAAAGGTAAAATCCGATATATCGGCCCTTCACTATATCATCAGTGAGTTGATAGAAAAAATGTCGAGTGATACATATCAGCTCAGTGATATGACGGGACACAACAGTCCATTAGACATGTCAACAATTGTATCTTGTCAGCTGAAAATTCTCTCTCACTAGCTCATCATCCTACATACTTGGTATCTCATATATGTGCCAACGAAATGAACTAATAGTCGATAATAGGTGTCAAGAGCTAACATAACACGTGCTTTTTAAGAGAACGATGTGATACAGGAGGGCTAAAGGTGATGTTTGTTCGTTCCTCTTATCTTTCTATTTTCGAACGACTTATTGATGATAAAATGAATTATAGAATTAATTTAAAAAATGAAAAAAATAAAAACTGCACGATATTAACTTCATACAAGATGTGACTCAATGATATAAACATGCTTATCAATTAAATCTCATCAAATATCAAACAAAATTAAATAAAATTTTGTTTCTTATTTCTTTTGATTGATAAGTCATTTCTAAAATTAAAACTATTTATTAATCATTAATACTATTACTAATTAATTCCCCTAATTTGTCAAGTATTTAATATAGGACTTGACGGCGTCAAAAAAATCATTAAGAACCGGACGCTTAGATTATAAAATGGACTATCCATATCTCCCGACTGATCCCACAAACCGATACCATAATCGTGTATTACAAGCGTCGGCACGAATATATACTTGGACATTTTTACTTTTCAATATCAATATGATGGCAATTACGACGGCATTAAATCCTACGATTTATAACTTTTAAGATCCATATCGATGCTAACAGTTTTGTTATCAATAAACACTAAAGTTTCTATATTTCTTTATTTTTATATCCTTTCATTGGCATTTACTTTCTTCAATTAACTTTCTACACATTTGTTTCCGTTTGTCTTCCGGTTTTGTCATTTATCTCAATATTTAATCAGCATACTAAACTGCTGTCATTATTTGGGTACTCTAGAATGTCTTATTGCATAAGATTTTTCCATGAGTCGACAGATTATCCAAACCTTCATACACTAGGGCAAACATTTTTTGGAGTAACTTTCAAAAAAAAAAAAAAAACGCATGTTCAACGAATACTTAATTAAAAATGTATACATGAAAGTTAATTAGTTGGCAAAATGTACTGCAGTATTTATATATCTATGCTGTCATTATGTTTAAGAACATTGAAACAAGAATACTTTTTTGTAAACAAACCTCTCAGAACGATTAGAAATAAATCATCAAATTTAGAAAAATATTTATATAACAAGAAATACCTAACTCACCAGCTAAATCAGTTGGTAACCGAGGGTAAAGCATTCCAGTTCTAGCAAGCCATTCAAGTTGAAGTGGGTGAATATGATGAGGTTGTTGTTGAGGTTGTTGAGGATGCGGCGGAGCGGAGGTAGTTCCAGAGCCGCCGGTTCCAGGTCTTGGATGTCCCAACGATTGAGCATCTTTATGTATCGAATGAAAAGCACTCGAAGATCCAGCTGGGTGATAATACAACCCGGAAGGATGAATTAATGGACCACCGGAATGTAAAAGAAGACCTTGTTGACCTTGTCTCATGGCAACAGCCACATTGACTCCAGAAGTACCTAGACTATAAGGTCCCATGCAAGACACATCAGTTCTATGTCCTGAATGTCCAGGGAAACTAGGTATTCCTGAATTAGCTAGAGGATTGGAGGCCAAGTCTTCAGATCCTGGTGAAATTGGTGGGCTTGATACTGGACTATGACTAGCATTACTTCCTGGACTAGCACTACTGGTTCTTCTTGCATTCTCATCATCTTTCATCTCCTCAACATCTACATCTGTTGTCGCATCATCTTCAGGATTATCCTCAGTACTTCGATCAACATATCTCGACACTTGGTCCGTCGGTTCTTCAACATTAGCAGGAAAACTGTCATATGATGATAACCGGATGTTATTTGCATCTCGTAAAGCATGAATCATCCTCATACTATGAGTGGGACCTAAACCAGGAGGATTTCTATCAGATCGAGGCACAAAAGGATGTAAGGAATTCATTGACGAATTCGAAGTCCTTCTGGAAGGTGGTAATAATAATGATTCAACTCCATGACCCTCTTGATCATCATCTCTTTCTCTCCTAGAATCTAATATTCTAGGAGGTGATGCTTCTAAATTGTCTACTTGTCGTTGATTACCTGTCGCTCTTCCAAGTAGAGCATCAATACAAAAGGAAGTTTTACCTGGTGCATTTCTCTGTCTTCCTGAAGGATCATTGTTGCTTTCATTACCTTCTGGAGAAGCACAAACTCCAGTTTCACTACAGATACGATCGTCATTTTCACGAAAACGTTTCGAGGGTAACTGATGACAATCAGCTCTGGTATCATCTCTAAAGAGATTTCTTATATTTTCTTCAGGACCAAATTTGAAAGAGTCATAATTAAGAATCCTAGCACTTGAAGTATCGGTATCTGAATCTCGTCGAGATTCATTAGTGTTATTGTAGCCGACTGGTGAACCAGCAGCTGGAGATCTAGCTTCTTCAGAACTTGGTGATGCTCCTGGTTCATCTAATCCAAAAGAGTGTCGTGGATGTCGTGAATGAATGTCTTCAGCAACCATTGTTGTATTGTAATGCATCGCAGCCATATTTTTTATCATCAGTTCATTTTTTTAAATAAAAAAAAACACAAAATGTCACCAATTTATTAACTTTTTCTATAACTTATTCGTTCATTACATTAATTAATCAATGTAGTATTATTATCATGCACTTTTCACTGAAATAATTGAAAAATAAATTACTTAAAGTCCAATATCACTGTATGAACAGGTAAAAAGATGACACGAGGGTTGACAGAATGTCTTAGGCTGCGGTAGATCGCAAAGTGAATCCCAACATCAGAACCGCGTGCGTGTGTTCCAAAAATCTTCTCCCACCCGCAATAATAGATTTCCTCTCTCTTGCGTGCGCCTCTACGATTTAATCGTGGGGTGCCCCGCCCTGTAGTTGAGCTCCGCCTCTCTCTGATCCACCACCCACCATCGCGAGAATTCTACTAAGCAGGATAGAAGAGAAATTATAGTATAGCTTGCTAGAAAAGAGAACAAGAGATGGATGCTGCGGCACGTTGTTATACTTGCAAGCACTTTGGACCAATCCGAAGTTGTGAGTATGACTTGCGGAAGAAAGACAGGTGCAGAATGTACACTTGCATGTGTATCAAGCTCTTTGCTAAGATTGCATGCGCATTATTTTATGGAGAAAATTGAGCAAGTGAGATTGATTCTACAGTGAGTTTGAGACAAAGCAATGACAATCCGTGGCAGATTTTATGACCAAATTTCAGTAGTGCTAAAAAGTTAAAATTCCTGTTTTTATTACCATGACTCTTGAAAAATACAAAAGCAAAGTTTTGATTATCAGAATAATCCTTTATAATAAATGGTTTTTATTTTATTAAAAAATTAATTATTCATTTCAATGATACACATTGACATTAAACTCAGCATAGTCCTAGTGTCTTTAACGTTTTTTTAATTCAAGAAATTACATAATAAAAGTACATAAAGACTTAAATATTGGGAAAAAGAGTTAGTTAGAATTTTTTCAAGTAATACACTCATTTCTGACCTTTCTCAATTATTGATATAAAAAAACAAAAATTTAACTATAATCGATAATTCATCATCATTTAAACAATAAATCCAAGAGTATTGTTGATAAAAAATCAATTAAAAAATCCAAGAATCAATTCGTGAAGTAATTATTTAATTTATATATCATATAATTGAAGAGAAAGAAATTAAAAATTTCATTCTGTAATTTATTGTTATTGATAAAAAAAAATAAAATAAATTGAAACTTCACTGTTAATTTATCACTTAATCCTCATGGAATGTCTAAGATAATGATAATTTAAATGAACAAATATATTTAAACAAATTAAAGTACACGAAAAAAATAAAGTCCAAGTGTCGTCAAATGTCGAATCGGACAAGGAAAAATCTTACAAGTAATATGGATCATATCTATCAATTCTGTAATTACACAACTCGTATGGAGTGATGATAATTGCAGTAATTGACACGAACAATTGGATGACTCAGGAGAGTCTAGTGATGTTTCAGGAGTTTATACAGGGACAGGTAATTTGGGACTAACAACATACATAGGCTCTATAAGTAACATTAACTGGATTCGTAACACAATTGTCTACATAAACATACTAAGTCATTGTTTACAAATTTTAATTTTTGAATATTAATGACTGTCGTTTAAATACACATAGGATTCGTTTAAATTTATTTTACGACTTTTTTCTAATCCACTTTTCACACTTCTGTATTTTTTATGACTTGAGATTAATTTTTATCATCAAGAAAAACACTTTCATCATTTTTAATTTTTTTCAAAGAAACACTTCAATTATCAATCCATTAATTATTTTTCCATTATAAGAAAATTATTCTTCAATCACACTAAACGTGATAAAACCTACAAATGAAGAAAAAAAAGCAATATTAAGTTTTATTATTTTTTAAATTATTATTATTATTTTATTTAAATAATTCAAACAAGGTCTGTATTTAAGAATAACAATAGAATAAAACCCAGATGACATTTATCTCAAGATGAAGACGTAGAAGTATATTTTAAAATATATTTTTGAAACTACCGTTTATGAGATGTTGACACTCAGCTCTTGACATGCCTGAGTTATTATGAGGAATGATGGATCACCTGCGACAAAAAGATCACCAAGAACCTGGTCGATTTAGTCGCAGGTAGCTGCATCAACGACTGTTTAAAGTAATCAAATAAAAACTTTACGATATATTTAACCACACACTAAGTGTTTGGTTTAGTTAATAACCACTTCGAAAGATTTCATTTTCATTTTAAAAATTATTTTTTCAATTTTTTTTCTTACAATCGTTATTTCGTAATTAACTCATAACTTACATAAACAGTGAGCAAAAATGAATGAAAATGTTTATAATATATAATTAAGGTAGTTCAATAACATTGTTTTGAAATAAAATAATGTCTGAATGTAGCTAAAGAACATATGGGGCAAATAAAAAAGCATAGATTTTTAATTGAACGAAATTAACGTCAGATAATCATATAAAATTATCACAATTTTTTCAGCACGATAATTGATCGATATGATGGATGTAATTAACAATAAAATGATTGTATAAGCTTTTAACTCAATTGTCCGAATGATTATCTTGCCTTTTTATTGATATAATGATTGGAAATTCTCGATTAATGATCGATTACTTATAAAATAGCAACAAGTTATCGATAAGAGTATGAAAAAATCTATATTTATTAAAAATTTCATTAATCCCATTACTGTTTATTTTTATATGACTTATTTTTATATAACAGATTAAAATAGAAAAATAGATTTTTGTGTATCTTCAAATCAATATAGAAGATGATAAGTGATAAAAATTAAATATTGAAACAGTTGAGTGAACGCAGTGTTATATATGTATTTATATATCCATAAACGTTGTATTGATGCAACGAACGAATCTAATCTAAAATTAATCCCTCAATATCGATTCCTTCAATAAGTCCACGATTATTAGATTGAACCTTACACAAATCCGAGTGAGTGTATCACGTTAATAATAATAATTGTCAACTTTTATAATCAGACAAAATGTTAAATCCTTACCAATATAATTTTAATTATTTCAGATATGATTATCTTTATCATAAAATCCCCTCTGACTTGCATCCAATGCGATGACAAACACTCGGATGATGTGAATGATAACGGAAATATAAATGGAAGAGATTATTTAATAATTCATTAAATCATTTGTTTTTAACTTGATATGCAAATTAAAATATCGATTACTGAAAAAGACATGATTTTTTTTTATATCTGAATGAATTCGATTTTTTTTTCAAAAGACAAAAATAATTTTAACTATCTTTAACCTTGTGTTTTATTTTATGATGAAATTTTAACAAGTGAAGAATATTTTAAACACATTGTGCTCATACACAGAAAAGTCTTAGAGATATATTGACACTTCTTATTTAAAAATTAATGAGTAGGTAATACGATGACTGATCAGACAAGAGCTGAAGTAAATTTTATACCAAATTTTACAGAAACATTCTTCTTTTAAAATTATCCTATTTTGCCTTCGTGTATGAATGAAGTGAATCATATATAAGATGAGGTTCAGACTATCTTCATCCTAAACAATTTGTAGGCCTTAAGAGTCACACCTATCTACACTCCACTTTTACATAGTGTTACATAATACCCGATTTTTTTACAGTTAATTCTGATTTTGAAGCTGAAAAACATTTTCTGTTACCTGAAAACTGTTTCTCTGGCTCTTTAAAACAATATTTGTCATTCATTTGAATTTTTTTGTCAAATAAAATGCAAAAGAAAATATTTTCAAGGTTTTTTGTTTGACATCCGATAAAATATTCAGTATTTCTAGGTATCATTTTCAACAAAATCAACAACAATATATATATAATAATATGATTCATCATCACGATGATTAAATTAAATAATAAAAGAAATATTAATAATTATCTAAAATTAATTATAATTCATGTCATCATGAAAATTTGAATTTCCGAGTATAGACCTTTTACCAAACGAATTCAACAGAAGCTAATTAATTAATAAATAAAAAATAATGTAACATTATAATTTGTTTACATAAATAATTCACGCAGATTGTACAAGTATTGTCAATTAATTCAACAAAAATAATGAATAATTAATGAGAAAGGGAGGAAGGAAAAAAAGAATATAAATGTATTATTTTTATCAAAGTAATTTAATAACGAAAATAAAATATTAAGCTTGTTATTACAACTGGGATTGCTGAGTTGAATACATACTACTCAGCAGAATCGAACATTCAGTTTCTCCTTTCTCTCTTGTCTCTGATGCATCGTTGCAAATAAATTAGCCATGAGTTCCAAGTCTCACCCGCGAGAGCAATTATGTCGCTTAACTTGGATATGAGATATGACGACGTTTCTCATACCTCTCTATCTCATTTCACTGTCTCTCTATCTTTGAATTTCTCCCAGTGCGCATTTCCATCGAGCCCAGATATCCGGAGATGCTTTAGTTGCCAGAGTACGGTAGTTATAGGCATAGTGACTGTGAGTAAAACGTCAGTATACATTGGAGAAGGAAAGAGAGCGTAAGAATGAGAGGTAGCATCAAGCAACCCAGCAATTCACCATCAAGGTCCTCCTCCGTAATTAGAATCTCCCAGCTCCCCTATACGAGGTCGCTCGTTCTGCCGCAGCTCATACTCTCTTTCTTTTTCTCTCTCTCACACATTCTACAGCCACTCTCTCTCCACCCCAAGCCAGCCATTACTTTTAATGGCGTTGTTAATGAAACTAGGTGTCGCCAAATTAACCTCTCGTTCCAGCAGTTCTCAACCTTTAACATCTTTATATTCTTTATTTCATCCTTTCTTCGCCAGAAAGTATCATTACGATCATGTCTTTACTCTATTTCTACTATTTGTCACTCTAGAGAGATTAAATGACTGATTAAAAAAAATGTCAAGAAAAAAAATGATTTTTGTAAGAGAAATAAAATTTTTTAGATTGCTAATAATTGTTTAAAAACTTCCTAAAGATGAATAAAAAATTTTTAAACGTGAAGAAGTTGAGTAAAGGTTGAAAACCACTGTAACGGGCTGATTACCGCGGTAACCACCCCCCGAGCGCCAATTAATCTTAACTTTTACGGGGCAAACACTTTTCATTAAGCCCTCCCTTTGCTTTTCTCTCTCTCTCTCTTTCTAACCCCTTACGATCTCTCCCCACTTTCGTTCTGAATGATATCCCCTTCGTACCCGCGTTGGATTCAAAGAGACCTCAGCATTTGGTGCAGTAGTATCCAGATATATTTCAGAGAGTACCTATGGAGAAGTCCGCGCACTCTCTTCCACGATGAAATAGAGGAGGTGGTGGTTGCCAGAGATACTAGGAGAGGAGGGTGACTAAAGAGGCAAGGAAAATGGCTCCCAGGACAAGCGTTTAATCTGGCTCTAATTAGCGACTTACTCTTCTGTCACCCTCCCAATAATGCGGCACCATTTTACTCGACGTTTATCTCGCCACGACTGTCATTCGCTTTTCTCTAGATTTCAGGGGTTTAACTTTATTGGATTCTTTATTTCCCTCATTTATTTGTTTTTACTTTTTTATTAATATTGTAATTTTTATTGTTAATGTTTTTATTGATTTTTTGTTATCCTATAATTTTTTATTATTAATTAAATAACAACGTTATAAAATTGATACCAGAAAAGTTAACTTAGGATAATATGGATGAAATTAAGTCTAGTTAAAAAACCTAGTGAGTAGGAAGAACAAAAAAATATATTAATACTCACACATTTATTATTAATAATCATAAAAAATTAATATAGTTGCAAAAAATTAACATTTTCAATGTAATTCATAATTTCAACTTATACATTCCTAGTTTAGACCGTCATATGAATAGTCTGAATAGATGAAAGGAAAATACAGGCAACTTTATAATACAATAAATTTTTTTTTGGAATAATGTTGGTTATTTTTTACTACTCATTAATTAAAATTAAGATTTAATTTAGTGTTTTTGGAAATATGTCAATTATTTAAAAAACCAAAAATTGAGAATAAAATAGAACAATGTTTTATTGACTGTTGATAATGTAATAATTATGTGTATATTATATAATGATAAAGTAGGACTCTGGAATTATTGATAGTTTAATCTTCTGATAAAAGTCGAACATGTGTAAACTGCTACCGTTCAATCCCTCATGTTCAGTGAATTGTTAGTAGTTTCATGATTGTACAAGCAGCTGTAAGCAATACTTCCTAAATTAATTGAAAACTTTAGTAAGAAAGGAGAATGGAAAAGTATAGTAAGTGATATTGGATAAAGCATGAGTATTATTATTTTAAATATTTTTAAGATTCAATTGACATTAAATTTTAACTTCCTTGATTTTTATCAAAATTATTATTGCTTTGCATGACACACGTTCACTTTGATATATTATATTCTGATTATTATGTATTTTATTTTACGATTATCGAAATTGAAAGACGGATATTGCTTGTAAAATTTAGTTTATTCTGATAAGTAAAATATTTATAAATCAAAGTATGAAGAAAACTTCATTGGTTACATATAGATGTAGATTATTGCACATATTCAACTGGTGATGTACATCGGAATTGTATTGCAATCGTTAACACAATCAATCACACATATGCTCATTGTTTTACATTCCCTGGAGTGTGATAGAGGCGAAAAGAAAATTCAGTCTTCAAGAATTAGTGAAATTACAAAATTAGTAGAGCGTAGATGACATTTGATTGAAGAGATGAGAAAAGAGTGGTGGTGTTTAGATACACTTATTGGCATAACGATTATTTTGATCTTGATTTATGCATGGAAGCCGGTCGTAGAGAGTGAATCAATATATCAGGTAGTATTACTTGTATTTTTTCTTGAGTATAATCTTACCTAATTGCATGTTAGCTTAATCAAATATCTAAAATTATCAACCATCAAATTCTCAGACTTATTTGTTTTATTTTTAGATACAATTCAATCAATTGATTCAAACTATTATTAGTTCCTTATCTCTAGATTGCTATCGTCAGCACTTATTATTTGTTTCTTATTTTATTAATAATTAAATTTATCAAACAAAGGCTTTTAGCAATAGTAATAAAATGAACTCTGATTAAACAGGTGGTTCAGAAACGATGGCGTCATGCCCCAGTACACTACAAAAAAGTCAAAACTATTCTATATTGGAATACTATGTATGCAGAAAAACATACAGATTTTATGCTTGGAATTGGAGATATTTTCAAAAATTGTCCAGTTTCCTATTGTTATGCAACACCGAATAGAAAGTTATTAACTTCGATTCATGATTTTGATGCCATTTTATTTCATGGAATTGAAATGCATCTTGATGATTTACCAAATTTTAGAACTCATGATCAACGGTATATTTTTTTCTCATGGGAATCTCCATTGTCTAGGTATGTTTTAATGAAATTATTTATTTACATTATCTAATAATTACTTTCCTACAATGTAGAATAACCGCTATATTTGTTTTAGGCCAATTAATGACTTTCAATTTGTTATGCATCCTGGTTATTATAATTGGACGATGTCATACAGATTAGATTCAGATATAAGAAGACCGTACGGACAAATCAGAGATATAGGAACAAAAAAATTAATAGCTCCTCCTAGTCGGAGGAATGAAATAGTTAAATGGAAAAGAAGAAAAAAATTATATGTTCCAACTGAAAAAGAAATGCTTATTATTATGGGAAAATCAAAAATAGCTGCTTGGTTTGTATCTCATTGTAAAACTAATTCTCAACGAGAAGTTTTAGTTAGGGAACTGCAAAAATATTTTGAGGTAATCGTTAAAAAATCAATACTTACTATTCTGTTTTTTAAAGGATAAAAGCAAATAGTAAATTATTTAAATAATTTTTTTTTAGGTTGATGTGTATGGAAAATGCGGTGACATGCATTGTGATAAAAATAATCCTGACAAATGTTATGACCTACTAGAAAAAGACTATTTTTTTTATTTATCATTCGAAAATACTTTATGCAACGACTATGTCACGGAAAAGTTTTTTTTTCCAATGCAAAAATATGTCATACCTGTAGTTTACGGTGGTGCAGAATACTCTAAATTTGCACCACCACACTCGTACATCAATATAAAAGATTTTAATAATGTTAGAGAACTGGCGAAATTTATGTTAAAGCTTTCGAAAAATGAAGTTGAATATGCATCATATTTTTGGTGGAAAAAATTTTATACTATCGAAGACACACGTGAAAAAGCGCTTTGTGATCTTTGTGAAATACTCCATGACATAAGTATGCCAAGAAAGAGTGTCGATGATTTTGAAAAGTATTATAACTCCGGTGAATGTATCAATGGAAATATAACAAATTTTATTGGAAATGAGTATTTGACTGAAATCAATAATTACTGAAATTATTCTTTATTATCGTGCATCAATATTGTACAACTTTTACCTCACTAGATAAAAAATAAATATTTTTTGTATTTTGATAAAAAGTTAAAAAAATAAATTTCATTAGAAATCATTACAGTCTTATTTATTTGATTTTAGTTAATATTAGATCGTAATTTATTTTATTTCTTTCAAAGTTTATATGCTTTCTATATCTATCTTCGCATAATATTATTTTCCTCTATGTGTATAGTGATAAAACCAATGATAAAGTAGACACATAATGAAGACTTATGATGACTTATAGCAAGAGAAAATACATTAGAAACAACAGCAATAAATTGTAACTTCAGAGAAGAAAATTAAATTGTACATTTTTTATATCATTCATACTGAAGATTTTCTGGGAAATGTTTTAAAACTACTTTATAGATATTATAATTTATTGGAAAAAGATATTTGCTGCTCACCAAAAATAAATTAAAAAAAAATAAATTTACTAAAACAGGATTTAATTTAATTTTAATAATTGTTTAACAAATTTAACTTAATTTGACACAATTTCTACGAATAAGAATATTAAATAAACATGGAATTTAAAAAAATATGGACGTAAAATGGTATATAATTAATAATTATTATTATCATATATTATACAATATTATAAATATATCTACATGATAAATGATCTAATGATCAGAAAAACGAGGTGAGACTTTGGTAAATTGGCAGGCGATAGCAAATATAGCTTTCTTAATTTTAATCTCAACTCATCACTTTGTCTATCCATGGTACGAATTTTTGAATATTCGTATAAACTCCCGGAAGATGTTCTCTACCACAACCGATTCCCCAAGATACTAAACCTATTAAAACGTGTCTTCCTTCCACAGATATCGTGAGAGGTCCCCCAGAATCTCCCTAAATAAAAAATTTCATTTACAATATTGCCATGAATCTTTGATTTTATAATAAAATTTTTCTCATAAGATAAACTTACTTGGCAAGAGTCTCTACCTCCTTCTTTATAACCAGCACAGAGAAAGACATCATGAATTGTTTCTCTTCTTCCAGCAGCCCTAAACCACCTCTGACACCTTTCATTGGGAATAACTTCAACATCAACCTCTTGAAGAACTGTAGGCGCAGAGCTTTGGCCATGTCTCGTTCTGCCCCATCCAGCAACAGTTGCTGTTCGCCCAGAGATTTTGAGATTTCTGGCTGGCAAACAAACTGGAACTATGTGTTGTTTGAAAGCAACAGTTCGTGAAAGTTTTACCAATGCTACATCGTTTCGGAAGTCTGTTGGTGAGTACTGAGGATGAACCTATCAATTATATTATTTATGAGTAAAATGAAACAGAAGTTTACCTATGAGTACCTACTTTATCAAGGTATTTAGATTTTTCAATTTACCTCTTTTCTCTCTATATTGAATTCTTCATGAAGATGTTTCTCATTTTTATCTCTTACATCCCATTCACCCAGTCTTACTTTGAGATTATTATTTGGTGTCCTTCAATAAAATCAACACCATTATTATCATCAACATCAATCGAGGAATCAGTTAATTAATAGCAATTATGAGAACGCAAAACTCCATAATTGGAATTTTAGTAACAATTAGCTGGTAGAAAAAAAGAAAAAATACTTACGTTGCAACGCAGTGAGCAGCAGTAACAACCCATCTATTATTCAATAGAGCTCCACCACATGAAAGTTTTTTGGATAAAAATCCGGATTTTATTATCGCGGCCTATTAGTAAAACATGACTATTAATATTGATATTTTGGCTTTCTAAAAAGTAAATATAAGAGAAAAAATGATAAATAAGAGAGAGCGTTGGGTATAAAAAATTTTAAAATCAACTAGAATAATTCCAGCGAAAAGACATGGACAATAGCATCGTTTGGAGCGTATCAAAGACTCTCACCTGCCATGGATGACTGCCGAAGCTCGAACTATGTCCACCCACGATTCTATTACTTCTAGTGTAGAGTTCACCGCAACCTGTGAATCAAAGACACTATTATTAGATCTAATATCCACGAATTTATCCAAAAAAAATTTTAGCTCAGTTTTATAAAGAAATGCCGTTGATTTATTGATAAATAAAAATAAAATGATAGAAATAGGTGAATGCCAGGTGTTGTGGGATCGAACCACAGGTTCCAGTTTGTCTTTCAGGTTTCTTATCATGCAGATCTACTTCCTGTGAAGAAGCACGTCATCATTGAGAGAAGGTGAATAGAAATGCGAGTGAAATAGAGCGACAGTTATGTAAAAAAAAAGAATTAGAAAATAGATTGTGCTTTGTGCTGGTTTTATCCATGGATAATTGGATACTTGTACACGTGATTTGTTGATTACCACGGTACTTGGAGTGATCCTGTGCATAAGTCGGATAATCTCCAGCACTTCCGATAATAGGCGGACGGCTTGTTTCGTACTCATCAGGATAATAATTACTTGGATAACCGGTCTCTGGTTGATTGAGGTAGCTGGGTCGATCATAAGTTAAATCATTCGGACGATCTTGCTCCCAAGCTGAGTAAGTTGGTTCATAAAGTCCGTTATTGGCTTCTTCATCTTGATTTATCGTGTGATGCTGATGGTGTGGTATATTTGGCCGCTGAGGTCTTGCTAATCCACTTCCATAGATTTTTATGTCATCTTCCAGATAAGGTCGTGAGTTGCCCAAGTTCAATGAAAATGCTAAAATTTATCTATCTCAAATTCAGCTGTTCACTTAACTGTTTGTTTCTTATCTTGATTTACGGTCAGTCTGTCTGTTACTGTTTGGTTTAAACTTTAATTGTATACTTGATGTAAGTATATTGTTTCTGGAAGATTCCTTGCTTGCTTGTAATTTTAAGAACAAAGCAAGCAGGTAACCGGAAAATTGCCGTCCGATATACTCTAGAAGTTCCGTCACTTTGCATTCTTTTAGATCAGTTAATTGTTTATTTTTCCTCCAAATTTTTTAATGCCTTGTTAAAAACTATATCATTACGTTGTTAATTGTCTCTTTGAGTTATTACGCTAATTATTCCATTGTCGTGAAATTAATGAATTGATTTAATTATTCTACTGATTTTACTAGGTTCTTCATATCATTGCCATAACAATGATATTACTTCATCAATTACATAAATATTTGCGATTTCATTATGATGATGATTTATTATGATGGTAACATTTTTTTAAAAAATATCAACACCACGAATTTCATTCCGTTATGAATTGAAAAATTCAGTGAAAAATAAGTTCTTCATACTCACTAGCATTTTGTAATAATCCAACAGTAGGTCTTTCTGGCTCTTTTTCAGGAATATCATCATCATCAACACAGCAACTCCAGATTAAGCCGCCAGAGCACAAATCTACCGGTCTTCCACCCCCTAGAACGCAGCTGATACTCAGCCCACATTCAAATTTAGCTCCTTTATATTTGCACGTTTGGGGAATCACTGTAAGTTAAAAATAAAAACCACATTAATTATCTCGCCTATAATTACATTACCGCACTACTAATTATTGTTTTTAAAAATATATTTAAACATAAAGTAGGTTTAGCACGACGTAATACACGGATATCCTTGTTGACTCGGTTGTCACCAAGTGTAACAATTCCATTGGTAACCGTCCGCGACCACAAACGTTATTCGTCATCATTACCATGATGCTTATTACATTATTTCTACTACTATTATTATTATCATTATCATCATCTTTATTAGTTCAGTCTTATACAAAGGACATACTTCTGCCAAGCATGTCCATTATTCCATTATTAAGATGTACAGCAGTGTGTCCTCGATGATCTTCGAAGGTATAATTTTTTTTCTTCTTTAATGTCTCAACCAACAATATTCCCTGTTCATGACTATTTAATTTACGTCTTCTTCCTTTTCTGCCGCGACTTCCGTTATTTTTAGCATCATCCTGATACTCTCCTGTTATTCCTCGTAATCTCAATTCGTCTAGAAATTTTTCCAATTCATTAGTAGCATCTCCTTCCTCAGTTTCATGATCAAAATCTTGTAAGTCATCTAGTTCCAGGCCTGAATATTCTTCTTGAATCATTTTACTTTGAGCTCCTTGATTACCAGGATATTCTGATAATCTAGTAGAAAACAAATTACTTCTTGGAGCATTTTTTATTTCTTTTTTTTCAATTCTCCGATTTCTAACCACTTCTTTAGGATTTTTGGAGTCATCATTATCAGTAAATACAAATGTTCTATCAACACTAGCACGTCTTCTTTCCACTGGAACTGATCTATCTTGTGATAATGTCCATCGCGAATAACCAAACTGTCCTTGAGATTGAATATCACTTAATCTTGATTCGTAAACATTTCTTCCTTGAGACTCTACTAAAAATCCAAGCACCAGGATGACAATGGCTGCATTATAAACAACCTTGCCTTGAAGGAGGTTCCTTGGGCCCAATCTTGGCAGCATCATCCACGATTTCGTTTTTAAAAAATACTTTCAATCTTTCCACAAATATTGAACTAATTTTGTCATCGTTTAGAATAAATCCACAACATGAAATAAAAATTTTTTTCAACAATTTTCCACATGGATTGAGACGCAATCTTTTTTACAAGGACTCGATAAAACTGATTGTTCAAATGAAAATTATAAAATGGAAAATTCTGCACGTGGACGACGGGCCCAAGTGCCAAGCGACGTCTGTTACGCTTCGATCGAGCGCTTGAGAGTGTCGTTGGTCGCTTGCTTTCACCGGCTTTGGCTTTCCCGAGGTGCTTCAAAGCACTTCATCCTACCAGTCTTCTTCTTTGCTTCCTCCCTCCATTGATCTATGAATACAAAAAACTAGTCGTCCTCATACGGCCTCGCCTTTTCCTTTCTCCTTTCTTTCCTTATCCACCTTTGCATGTGAACTTTAATTAGCCATTTGACCTATCCAAAACAATTCAAGTTCTCATTCAAGGCTTTTCCGTTCCGAAAAATTACACATGTATTACTTTCATAACAGTACTTTACTTTACTAATGATGTTTCATAAAAAATTGAAAAGTTTTAACGATCACTAATAATTCTAATCAACTGTACCTTCATTAAAAATAATTCAATGAATTTTCTTATTTTTGATGTAGAAAGATTTTTCTTTCTTTCTTCTAATTAATCTATTTTTCAATCATCTTGCACCAAAAAACATTCATGATTCAGATAGTTTTTTGAACAAAACATTTCTTTGAATAAGTGTTGAATCAATTGTTCAATTTCCAAGTCTCTTTTATAAAATAACACGAAAGCCTGATGATAAAAGTTTATTTGTGAATTGTGTGTATTCTGATGATTCTATTGTCTTCTTAAGGTCAGAGGCTCTGCATAATCCTTTTCAATAAGCATTATCATTGGAGTATCAATGCATATAGACATTTTTTTCTCCTCTTTTGAATCTTTTTTACTTTACCCTAGAAAGTCTTCTTTTCTACAAATAAAATTTTTTTATTTTGACATATTTCTTAATGATATATTGATGAAGCTGTACAGGAAATTATTTGTAAAGAATATAAAAAAATAAAATGAAAAAAAAATATTAATGATAAATAATAATAGTCTTGAAATAAGCTCGCGTGTCACCTACGTTTCAGTCCGGTGGCATCGGTCGTTTCCGAAAGAAGAAACTCTTTTGTCGTATGAAAAAAGGATGCTTACTCATTGTAAGCCTTTCTCTTTCGTGCCAAGTACTTGTTCGCACTGAATTCGTCGCGCAACTACTTTACTCTTAAGTCGCTTCCGTAGGCCACAACACGATGTGTCTTCTTTAGAGCATGCAAAGTGCTTGGAGGATTTTCAGATCGTGTGACTCGAATGTCGACTCGGCTGGAACGAAGTAAGAAAAGCCAGGAGACACTCTTCGTGAAACTCGAGAAACGGGTTCACTTCCAATGAGGAGGGGCGATATACTTATTTATTGTAATACAATAAATTCCTAATTAAATATTAACTTGTAATATTCTATACTTACGTCCTAATTCATCAAAGAAACGTGATTGCTCTTGTGTCACCTCGTTTACTTCTTCATTCTTCAACTCCTCAGCCTCTGGAAAATATTATTTTAATTGTGACTTAATTATGCTTTTTTTTCCACACTCTGGAAGAGTGAATCAAAAAATTAGACTATTTTCCAGGATTTTATGCCTGGCAATATAAGCAGTCGATTGTTCAGTAAAACATTGCATAAAAAATTTTTATTATTTATGGTTTTTTAAATTGATAAACGGTCTACTTTGGAGATTCATTTGCTTGAAATTATGGGGCAATTATCATAAAAAAATATGCATCTGCTGTTATAAAGATTTTGCAATAGCTCTCATTTTTTTTTTTCAATACTCCAAACTTTCTACCAACGTCACTGACAACTATTTTCAGTTTTTATCTTATAAATTATTTAGAATATATTTTTTTTAAACTTTATTTTTAATTCAAACTGCTTGTTTACTAATCTAATTTTTTTATAAACTCAATTGAAAAACTGCATCAAATCAACTCAAATCGTGATAAACATTTCATACTAATGAATTTGAATGCTAATTTTTTTTTGGATCAAAACATTTTTAACGTTGATTATTTGAATTAATTATCAATGCAAAATAAAATATTACCATTTTTATCTTATATTCTATTATTATTATTATCATCCTTTTTTATATATAATTAATTCGAATTTAGAAACATATAATGAATAACATTGATAATAATTAATTAAAAAATTTTAACCAAAAAAAAAATGCTTACCTTTAATGGATAAAATTTTGTCATTTCTTCGAACATATCGCAGAGAACAACTCAGCGGTATGCAAAAAATAAAAACTCCAATAATCCAAAGTAAAAATATAGGTTTCATCTCTAAACAATTCCAGTATCGTCATTTAGGATTTTTTCTTCTAAAAAAAATATATTCCCATATTCAACACCTTTGTTTTAATAATTTTCTTCAATACTTTATTCTTCCATTATCATGAACACCAACAACGTCAATTGAATTGTTAAAATTTCTGTCTGCAATCATTTTTATGTGCTGTCAAAATCATTCGAATCAATTTGCCATTTGCATCAGGATTGAAAGATGATGATGGTGAGGAAGTGCGAAGTGGATGGCAGACTGTTTTATATCAATGTATAGATCTATTGTACAGGCCTTAGCAGAAGTAGGACAAGAAAGCAGGCCACTGAAACAAGTGGAACGGTTGTGTGTATGTATAGTATATACATAATACCTAAAACATCATTTACTAAGCCATCAGACGTGATTGGTTTGTGTGCTCTACATGTAAAGTTACTTATAACGATGTAAAGAATACAACTTCTTTATCGATGCTATGCTAGTCAACATGTACGAGTCATTAGTGAAAGTCTCTGACAATTTGAGGCTTTCAACTTTGCCCGCTCGTTTATGTCTAACAAGCGAGAAAATTTTGACAACTCCATCATCATCACCATCATCATTACTATCGTCATTATCATTTTTTTTCATAGCTTTTTAGCTCATTAAAATGAAGATTATTCTGATAATAAAGTAAAAGTTTCATTTGTTAAATGAACGGGTTGTAAATTTGTACAATTCTTAATTTGTTTATATGACTTGGAAAAAATGTTTAAAAAAGTGCTAATGTTTGTTTTAAGAATTGAAAATAATTTTATGAGTAATTTGAGAGAAAAAATGATGTTCACCTGTTGATAGATGAGAAAAAAAATGAACACAAAAATAACGAAATGTAAGGAAAAGATTAATTTTTTTTGCTTATTAAAATCATTAAAAAATAAATACTTTAAATTATTATTACAGAAATTAATAAGTATTATTAAATAATTTTCTTCATAATTTCCATTAGAAAGCTTTTTTTAGTTAACAAGAATGCATTAATAAGTTAGTTTTAAACAAAAATAAGAATTAAAATATTCATCATCAACTGTCATAACTATTTTTTTCTTAATTAATTTTTTTTCAATTAATTATACTCTTTTATTCGTGATAACACCAATTAATATCAAAAGATTTTATCAGTAAAAATTATTTTGAGATTCATCATGAAAAATTAACATTATTTGAATTCAATCAAACGATCGATCATTTCATTTATAAATATGACAATTTTTTACTTTGTCTTCATGAATTAATGAATAATAATGACAAGATGTGAGAGCGGAGAGAGAAGTAATAACCGGATGGTAAAAAGAGAATAGAAAACGATGTCGATTTTAATAATGAAATAAAACATCGATGAAATTAGATTAAAAAAACTAAAAGAGCACAAATTTATGATGAATAAATGAAGAGAGTGAGTAGGAGGCAGGAAGGAAGGAAGAAGTAAGAGAGAAGATTAGAAGAAAGTAAGAAAGAAAGGAGGACTTGAATATTATCAAGTAGAGGTCCAAGGGCACTTTCGCCGCAGCAAGCGGTCATATCGTTCAAGATCAATCGTCTGTAGCTCTTTCTTTTATAGCCAAGTGTTTTGTCGTTCATTCATCACTCGTTCACGCAAACGAAAGCACAATTTAACTTTTACTTGATGCCACAAACAAAGAGGTGAAAACAACGTTCTCTCTTAACAACAAACCATGAAATTGAAACCATGGAAAAAATTCAGTTATAAACATTTTTACACAAATATATTTAATTTTAATGATAAACAGTTTTTAAGTGTGAGAACTCTTTCACATCATTTGAATGCCAAGGACAGTTTTCTAATCTCTTGAAAGATCTTGAATTCACTAAACAAAACGTGAGACTACATTTAACCGATCCACATGACAAAAGATAAAAGGTCAAGTGATGAAGGGTTCCCAGGATTATAATTAAAAAACTCTTTCCACCCAAGAATGTGTTACGAATTAATTTAGTGTTACTACAGTCATTTAGTTCATAACTTACCTTCACTTTCAACTCCTTTTGTAACAGACAATAATGCTAAATCACTGGACAATTAGTTGAATAATTAATTAATGATAGTAATAATAAGTATGAAAATTTAGGTCAGTAGTGATAGAAAAAACTTGTGAGAGATTTAAAACATGAATAAAATAACACAGATTTTTGGAGTAGTCGATAATTAGAGTTGTTAACGATCGTCAAGATCGATTAGGAATGACTAAGATTTTGGAAGTGCGCACGAATCGGGAGCCCCATGGAATAGGACAGCACGAGACGCCGCTGACTACTGATGAGGAACCGAAACATCGTCATCCAACGCACTCCCTTCGCTCTCTCGTTCAACACGACCAGCCTCCTTTTCTTTGCCGCACTCTCTACAATCTTGGACCTGGGTATTAAAGCAATTCACAAGTCAGTGAAATCTTTTCTCCAGTTCGTTTGTCTTATTCCACTTTCATTTTTTTCCTTTCCTCTTTTTTACTCTCTAGTGTCAATTCCCATGTAATACTTTATTACTTATCATTATATGAAATTACTATTAAATGTTTGTAGAAATTTATATTCTATTATAGGTCATTTTGCTAAGTTGCATTTTCTCCGATTAAATAGCATATTATTATCAAATGTTTCATTTCAATATTCTCTTAATCGAGAAAGAAATAAATAACTTTCTATCATGAATATTTTGTTCTTTCCGTTCTACAAATTTGGAGATTGAAGCTTTGATCGTTAATTTATTTGTTAATTATCAACAAGTGAAGAGACTTGTAATACTTGTAGTCCTTGATACTTACTTTTGAAATTATAGAAACTCTTAGAAAAAGAAGTTTGCTAATTACTCAAGGTTTATTTTGTAATTATTATTAATTGTCTAATCGTATTCGAATTATTGAAATCACTCTGCAATTATTGCTATTGAAATAGCTTCTATTAAATAAAATTGTTTATAAAGATTTGGCAATTCTTTCAAAAGGTTTGGAAAAAATTTGATGCTTATCCATCAATGAACATACCTTTCTGTAACTTTAAAAGTGCTGAAAAAGGCTTTTTAATGATGGTACCAAGTCATGTTTAAACTTTCTTCACATATGTACTTCATTCCTTGGAGAAAAATGTCAAGCATTGATGTCTTCAAGGTGAATCAACTACATCAATTAAGAGACCTTATTTCTCTTAGAAGTTATTAAAAACCTGAGAAAGTCTTTTTTGGTGGCCTTGTCCTAAATATCAAGTGTCATCTTGAATTGAAGCAATTAAATTGGAGCAATGATTCATCAATGCATAGGTACATTAGTACATTATTTTTTGTTCATGTTGGGAATATATTTTTTATAAAATTTCAGTGAAAATACATTTCGTAATGTGTATAATGAGATGAAACTTAGCCTGAGGGTATTTATATTACTGACCAGCTCCAAGAATGGTTCTTACATCTTAGAATGTCATAAGCTGGATGGAGAAAGATGGTTGATTAACGATAGATCATGGTTCACTTTTATTTTATTTGAAAGGAATAGTTGGATTTCTTTGTTTGATATATTCATATAAAATAATAATGTCAATGATATTAAAGAAATAAATTTAACAATTATGGTTAAATTAATGAAAATTAACATTAATTTTGATTAATTATTTTAAATTATGCATATACTGACAATGTTTGTTCTATGTGCAAGCTACTTGTTAAATAATAAACTCAAGTTAAGCAATATTTTCTTAAAAAATAAAAGAGAGAAGAATAATACTCTTGGCTTTGACTGCAAAGTCTTAATTAAAGAAAATTATAGTAATGTTTGTGATTAATTAAAATAATTTTTATAATTGTTGAGTATTATTTTTACATTGTTAAATTGTTATTTTGCTGGTGGGTTTTAAAAATATGCGCCAAAAGTTATCATGTGAGCTAAAAAATACCACTCGGCTATTTGTTTCAGATAAATACCAAGCGATGGAGCTACGAATCCTATTACTTGTCAAAATCCACGTTATTGATAAGGAATGTTTCAGTAGATAAAAAAACTGTTGTTACTTGAGCTGGACTCAACACGTTACAATCATCTGTCACTTTGATTGCTAAATCGGATTGTTTTGACTATAAAAAATGAGTGACTCTGAGAAACCTTTTGCATGCTCATCTCCTGGATGTAATATGGTAAATATTTCAATATCAATTTATTATCTTACATCTTTAGAATATCTATCAGGTTCATTTTTATATATCCATACGTACCTACACACATAACCTATATTAAAAGTTGATATTGACCAAATAAATATTATTCTATTTTACGATCCAGAGTTTTACAAATGAAGATCACTTGGTAGTTCATAAAAAAAAGCACGATATGATATTAAACCTTGGATCAGCCGGTAAAAGTGGTGCTTTTATAGGTAATTGATAAATTAATGACTTAATATTGATCTTCTTTTATTTATTTAATGATATTTACAATCGATTAAATACTCTTTTAATTGGAAATTATTCTTTCAGCTGATCAAACACCAACACCAACACGTTTTATCAGGAATTGTGAGGAAGTAGGACTATTTCAAGACCTCCAAAATGTTAATCCTTTCGAGGAAACATTCAGAAGAGCTGTTGAAGGAAAAATTGGCGCTCTTCCAGAATCTGAAGTGTGTTTCTTACATTTATTTACATAAATCCTCAGGTACTATTATTATTTTCTTTTACATAATTTATTCAAATATTATTCCAGATTGGGATAAATGATGATACTCTACACACTCCACATGTTTTTCCTCACATAGAAGATAACTCTGCAAGTAAAATAATTCCACATGTGAATGCTGATGTCACAAGCTCACTCATTACTGAAAGTTTGTCAGTAAAGAAAGAAAAAGAGGATGAGATAACATCGATTGATGGCGAGAAATCAAAAAATATAATGTTGGTCGAGAAAGTTAAAAAAACTACAGAAACCATTGTGATACAAGAGGCTGACACTTCAATTATTCCACAAGCTGTATCCTCACCATCGCCAACAAGCTTGTAAGTTCTTTGAATATTTATCAGATCCGCATAACAGCTTTTTATCAATTGGCTTATTATCTTCATAAAAAAATTGTTATTCAATTTATGATTCTTAAAAATTCATTATTGTGTCTGTGAATACTTTTCAACTAAGTAGTACAATGTGTTTTACTAATCAAAAATAGTACAAAAAGTCAATTGCAATTTATGTATTGATAATAACTTTAATCTTTATTAGTTAATATATTTAAGTACGACATTCATTACAAGTAACATAAAATATCAATTTATCACTTCTAATTTTAATTGAAAAATAAATAAAACATATGTTAATTAATTCAAGAGACTTAAGACTAAAATCTGTTAGAAATAAAATACAAATTAGAATTAAAATCATATTAAGAATTTTATTTATTCATAAATTATTACAATAGCTTTATAATGTCTATAAATTAAATTAAAGCTTACATTGATAATAAATGCACAAGTGTCAGTTATTATATATCAATAGTAATCTTTGAATGATTATTAAATATGAATCATTTGAAACAATTGCTTTTAATCTTTGTATATAGCTGCTTGAAAATTATAAAGTAATTGAGATACGTTAATATGAATTTGTGATGTTGATTACATCTTGAATGTTATTGTCGTTTAAAATGAATTTATTTAGTTAATTAGAACTATTAGAATAACAAATAGGTATAGAGTTAACGATTATTGCAAATATTGAATTTTTTATGTAGATCAATAAACGGTGAAGATGTCCAACTTCTTTTAAAAACGCAAGATGGAAAATTAATGCAGCTCACAGCAATACCTATGCCGGATTCATCGAGTAGTATAACAAGTCCTCAATCGCAGCAATCAAAGTCACAAACGATCGTGTTGAATGCTGCATTACCATTAAAAACTGATGAAAGTTCTTCAATAAAAAAAGCTACTTCTCCTCGGCTTTCTCTTGCAAAAATGGTAATTTAATTTTTTATGAGTAAATTATTTTATTTTTTAACTATTGATGATAAATTAAACTAAAAAATACATAAATTCATAACTTCATTTATTTTACAGAAATTGAGGCAAACTTTAGTAAAACACGAATTGAATACAGAATTAGATAAGAATAAAGTACAAAACGAAAACAGTATTACAAAGAAATCGGTGGAGTTACAGGCGAAAAGAAAGAATGATAATTATATAGATTTAAACAAGAAACAACAAATTTTAGCTCGAAATCGTGCTAGCTCTATGCGCGCAAGAGCGAAAAGAAAAGAATGGATAAACCAACTTCAGAAATCAGTGAACGAAGCTAATGAGATTAATACAAAGCTTCATGAAGAAGTTAATACTTTAAGATCTGAAGTAACTAGACTTAAGACGCTTCTCTTGGCTCACAAAGACTGTCCAGTCACTAAAGCTATGGAAAAAGGTAAGTTATTTCATATTTTATTCATTTCTCATTCAATTATTTCTTTTTATCTATCGAGTACAAAAATTTTTGCATATATTTCTTTATCATTGCTTATATTGAAGTATATATTTTTATTGATTTATTGTTAGCTTTATTTATTTTTCTTAAACTTGGTTATCTCTATACTATTTCTTCGTACTATTGTTTAACTTATATTTATTTTAGGTTGTTTATTCTACATCTTAAATTGATGTTTATAATAATTTCATTGATATTGATTAATTCAACTTATTATTACTTCAAAAACTATTTTATTGATTACTATTTCAATTATTTTCTCAATTTAATTTATATTATTCTTCATACATTCGGCCACTTTTTTATAGTTATCTATTTTTATTACTCATTGTATTTCCTTTCATTGTCACTATTATAGTAATATTATTGTTGCTGCCAATCAGTTGATAAAAAACGAGTTTTTTTTCATTTTATAGACAATGGAATTCTTTTCGATTCTAAAGTAATGCCTCTTCCATCGTCGCAATTTGTTCAAACAGCTCCTTTACAGTCCGACAATCTTACAATGCATGGGATAAAAAGAGCGATAATTACAAGTGAGTCCCCAAAAGCTGTAAAAAAACAACAATTAATATCGACATCAAAACAATCAATTTTATTGCCTAAAACTAATGAGAAAACTCTACCAGTTGTCACGACAATTGTAGGGAACTCTTGTGGTGCATTAAAAATTTTAGATCTAGGTCATATTGTCGATGAAAAGCGTGGAGGGAAACCAATCTTGATTGTCCATAATTCTCCACAGAAAAAAATGCAAGTAATTAATTCCAGGCAAATAGTTCAAGTTGATCAAAGCTTACAGTTGATTAATGTTGCTTCAAAAAGCACTGGAACTTAGTGGAACAATTTCTAAAATGTTTTTTCCAATAAAAAAATTTAATATCATATTTTTATGCTCTATCGTCATTCAATGTCGATAATTAGTGAAAATCGCTGGCGATTTATAGCTTGAACATATATGAAATAAAATTCATCATAATTGATGATGACTAGCATTTAACGCCTGTGTTTATTTCAATTCGACATGAATCGAATTACGCTGTAAGTGAATTGTATATTCAATGATCTCTTCTTTGTTACTAATTAAGTCATTTAAATTGTTCTGTTAATGTTTAAAAAATTTCTTTTAAAAGGTTGAAAAATTTTTATTTATTGATGAATTTGAAATTGAATCAATTGTTAATTTAATATTAAAAAATATTAGAGGTAAAATAATCCGATAATAAAGTTATAGAATAAAAATAGCAAATTTAGTTCTCAATAATTAGAGGAATTTTGTCATTCACAATATGATTACATTAATAAAGTTATTCAATAACTTTTACAAATATGCATTGAAAATAGCAAACTCAATCAAATGACTAGAGACTCAAAAAAATTTCAAAATAATAGTACTACCTTGAAAAAGAGTATGACAAAGACTGTTTAATATTAATTTCTCTGTAAAAAACTTTAAATAATTCAGTAACAGTAATTATATCGTAATATTTATCATTATGACAACACAGTTATATTACTTATAAAAATAGAATAATAACATATTTTGAAAAATATATTTATTTTTTATTTTTATAAATTATAATAATTTTAATTTTTTAACAAAATCATTTATTGCATAATCTTAAAAACAATATAACTATTCCTTGTTAGAAAATTTGATAGTTTCTTTATATACAAAATTTAATGGAATATCCATTAATCACTAGATGATATTTGTTAAAATTGTTATAAATATATAAGTTCCTACTTTTGTTATAAATATTTCGATATTATATATGATAAAAATTCAATCTTTACTATGAGAATTCATATAATTTTTGTTTAGTTTGTAAACTTTTAAAACAAAATCATTATATTTTGTAATAAATAATAGACTAATATTTGATTTAGAAGTATGATAACAATGTTTTTATTGAATTAACAAACACTAGGACTTTATATAAACCAGTTCTTGCCTGAACAATGTTTCAAATAAAATTTTATGTCTGAAAGTATTCGTTTACTCTGTATTACCACAATAAACTAGTTCGTGATACTTTATGAAATACTTGCGATTGTTTATTCTAGCTATCAAGTACTAATTACATTAACACTAAGAATTCATATAAATATGTTTTATTAGAAACATTTATTTCTGAAAACGAACATTACATTTACTGAATATTTCTTCAAATGTTTTACTATTGACTAAGAGTTTTCAGAACTTATATTTTTAACTTCTAATTGTATTATAAATTTACTGAAATAATCATCAATTGACCTAAAAAAAAATGAAGTTTGACATTTGGAAACAAATTACACAACATAAGGTAAAATAAAATGTAAGCACTGTACCACTAACAAACAAGAATGAATGAATGTTGAAATATTTGTCAAATTCCAGATGATTTATTCGTTGAGTCTGTAACCCTCGGGCCCTTATCAGTTCTCCGTCCAGTAGTGGTAAAATTTTACACCGGACAAGAGAATGATAAGGGGCTTTAGGCACGTTAAATTCCAACGGTTACATTAGGTCCTTTTTTCCTCTATTTTATTATTTATTTTTTTTCATCTTCCACCAGCTGTCGTTCTACTTCATCCCATGCTCGTACTATACTCTTTCTTCCCAGAAAATTGAGACTTTTGATGTATCAATAGTACAATAGAAGCCAGAAGACAGCATAGAATCGTTCGTAAGGAAGTCAAGATAAGATTCCTTCGAATTCTGAGAGAACATGTCTTTGGAATAAAAAAAGTATTAGAAAAAATCGAGTGATACTGGTTGGTTTGTCGCCGTCATCATTGTGGAAGATCAACAACAGTATATATACTGGCCATCGCAGACTATCGGCTTCGTTCTTGTCAGCAAATATTGCCAACAACGGTTTTCCTATGCGGCGATAAGACACTACGATAAGGATAAATGGCATTGGCGTCTCGATCAGAGTTCTCAGAAATTTGTTTCGCGTTTTAAACTATTTTTACAGCTCACGTCTTTCGACTCTTTGAGCATAACCGCCCAAGTTGTTATAATCAATCTCCAACTAATTTTTTTTAAGAATAACAAGTGTAGAAATTTTTTTAAACTATTTTAAAATTAATATATGTCTCACGTAACATTTGAACGACTTCATTTACAACAGTAAACTGTTTTTAATGAACCACAGATCATTTTTTCTGCTGATAATCAATAAATTTTTTGAATTTAAATTTTTTTTTTGGTGATGAAATCAATGACAATGAAATTAATGACTACATTAAAATTATTATAAATGCAACTATATAATTACAAAAAATTGATAACAAATTTATCGAACATAAGTAGAACAAGAAAAAATAATAAAATTAAAAACAATTAATTGCTCATTTAGTTTGATGTTTAATGACGTATCACACAATATTACAAACAAAAAAAAACTAAAAATATCTTCAACGATGAAATAAAAAATTCACTTTGTCTATATACACTTAAAATATGCAATTTATCACTTGGAACTGAACGAAAAAAAACGAAAAATTGTTAAATGATGAAACCACAGTATGAACATCCTCTGCAATATGAAATATTCAGTAAGTGAATGGAATATATAAAAAAGTTTTGTTACTGTCCAGATGCGAGAGAAGCCATTTTGACGATCTACACAGTGAGAAGAATAACGAGAGCAGGTACCCGAGATTATGAACCTACGAAACCACGTTTCCGACCACGAGGCAAACATGGGGATATACCGGTCACGTGCCGCACTCGCGCAAACGCCAAGGTTGTCTTTTCAGTCTATACTAAATTTTATTCTTTACAGTTTTGTTTTTCTCTCGCACTTGGCATAGAATTGTTCAGTTGTTTAATCAAATGACCTTCAATATCCAACACATATCACGGCCTTATTCACGTATACAAAGTCGGTTAAGATTATTATAGAGTCAGGAACAAATGAATCAAAAGAAATTAGTTCTTGAACAAGACAAAGAATTTAAAAAAATTCACTTGAAAGAATTAACTGACTCACGATTTAGTTCTTTGAAGGCGTTCAACTATTGACGATTCTATTCTGTACTTGATTTAGTGAATTTATTTAGCTGAATAAAGTAATATAATGACAGAATAGAGATCTATAACTGACGCCGAGGTCGAGGAGACTGAGCCCGTATGTCTGATTGCATGTAGAACGAGGCTACTGCACACACAAAAGCACTACACCCAAAAGCCTAAAATCCTCACATCTAGATGACGGCGCCATCTTCAAGACCTTCTTTATCATCTGTCTCTTGATATTTTATTCCTCTCTTTTTCCCAATTTCTGGGCCACGCGATACGCAGTGGCGTCGAGTGAATTACGAGAACACGTATCATATAGCCAATGGACAAATCGTGTAATTCCGGAAGTTTTTGACGAGCGTAAAGCACGACAAGGTCACAAGCACCATTCACGAGCTTGCAGAGAACACGCAATAAGATTTAAGGATTAAGTATAGAGAGAAAAGAATAAAAAAATAATAATAAAACAGAGAAAGTATAAAATCCGAAAAAAGGTTTAGGGATGAACTACAAATCTGAAAGACTAAATAATCATTTCATTTTTTATAAAATATTTTTTTGTAAGAAACAAATCAACAGAATAATTTTATTCTTGAAGAAAAACTGATAATTCAGTTATGGAATTAATCTTTTTAGATGTTAATTTAATAAATACATCAAAGATTTTTTTTTTTTTTCATTACTCAAAGATATATTGATCAGAAATATTTTGTTAAAGTCATTTTATCAAGAAAATTCATTTGAAAAATTGTTTCACTTCTCAGTGTTTCGAAGAACGTAAGAAATAATAGCTTTAATCATCACAGCATGAAGTAAAAGCTTTCCTAAAAATAGTCATTTTTTACTGGATGCAATTAAGAGTTCATGAAAGGTTAGTTATTTTATTTTAAATATTTCCTTTTCTACGCATTCAACAAATAATAAAAAAAAGATTATTTAACAAAAATGAAGTTATTTTTTCATTGAAGATAGTTTATATATATATGATATCTTTAGGTTGATTTAACTTCAATCTTCTTCAGAAACAATTTCTAACAAACAATTTTTTTTTTTTTTTGAAGAAAAAGATACATAAAAGAAAGAGGGTGGTGCGAACACTCATGCAATTGCCGTTAACCTCCGAGAGCTTCTAAATCTCCATGGTGTTCTCTATAGTAAATGGGGATAACCCGCGGCTCGCTTAATTTCAAGCAGTAGCCTCTACGTCGGCATTTCCTCCCTTGGCTTCATCTCTCTCAGCCATTTTTTTCCTCTCTAAAAGATCCGGGATATCGTCTCGTGACACATTCAATTGGGAAGCAAGAGAGATAATAAAATTGGCGACGAACTCGTTCTCTTCGTAAGGCTAAAGCGCGAAAATTCAATGCGAGTGAGCAGACTAAAAGAAAAAAAAAGATTAAAAAAAAACGATTTGCTAATCGAAGAAAAAACTGCAGACTTTTATTGGTCCTTGCTCTTCATCCCGATGTTCTTGTGAACGGGAAATGGAATCGCGAAATTTATTAGCGTTATCTGTTGCAAGAATTCGTTTGCCTTGTCTTTGAATGTTTTTTCTCGATTTTTTCCCAATACTTCAACACCAAATTTAAGTAAAATATTCAATCTCTTGTCACTGGAAACACAAGTAAATTGTGTGTACAGATAAGTAGATACACGAAGAAACACGTGTGCGTACCCTTGCGCACGTGTATACGAACACACTTGCAGTTCGTCATATCTGACCGTATAATTGCGGTCATTTCACTATTTATATACGAATTGACGTAATGAACTTCCGCCAACTGGCCTGTGAACTGTGTGCTTTGAGTCACCTTTTTGATCCCTTGTCCATCTGAAATCAAACATGAACAATTTGTTCAAAAATTTTGTGTAACTAAATCAACTTATTTATAAACATAAACAAATAATACTAATTAGATAACCGTTATTGATTTAACATAATGCACTTTTTATCATATTTTTATTTTTACTCTAAAAAAGAGATAAAAATGCCCTTTTTTATCTAATATATTTTTCTATTTCCTGAAAACTGATAATAAAAACAAATGCATTAAAATATAGTATAAATACGATTTGATGAGAACATTTAGTTATTTAAAAAAATACTACTGCGTAAATTTCGTGATATATTTCCTTTGTTTCAGTAGTTGGGCACTAATTAGTCATTTCGAATTTGAATGAGCAGTTTTGTAAAAAAAAAGACCAAATATCACTTTTAACTCATGCTGGAATTTTAGTTTTAGAGGTTTTTTATCTCTCTTATATATTATATTATACCTAGATGCCAACTGAATTTTTAATGTGGGTAAAAATAAAACTTTTATCAGACTTTAAATATATAAAATCTAGAGAAACGTACTTTTATTAGCAGCAAGTAAAATATACGCAATAGAAGAACTGTCGTGTAATACAAAAAAATCAGCTAAATGTAAAAACACTATTCATGACATTTGATTTCTGACCTCTCTGTAATAGATAATGCATGATGGAAATGGATAATTGTCGAAAAACAAAAATAGATGTCGAATGTAGTTCGTAATATTGTAAATAATTTATTTGCTCTAAAAGGAATGTTTACTAGTTACGAGTTATAAACTAATGTACTCTAAAATCGTCTATTTCTAAAATTAAATTTTTATAAAATAAAAAATACATTCAATTGAAGCCATCAAATAAGTGAGTTTCTCCATCACACTTGGAAGTAGTTTAACTTGATTTTTTTTTGAAAAATTCATCTCAGTCATCGTAATTAATGAACAAATAGAATTAACTTGTATTGAATTTTGTCAACAAATTCAATTACTGACAGACTTGATCGCTCTAATCTTGTCTTTTTTTTCAATTCTTTTTTTAGAATTCTCTTTTTAAATAATTATTATGACTTTAATTGAAAATTCGTGCCATACTATTCAGACACACAACAATAGGTTAATAATTTCATCAAAAATTATTATTATATTAAGAATTAATTCCTATTTTATGAAATAAAAATGAAAATTAATTCAATTATATATCAAATAATAACTTATAAGCTTAACGCTTTTTCAAACAAGCATTATTATATTTTCAAACAAATTCATAATGATTATTTATTAATATAATTTTCAGTCAATTTATGAATAATTAATCTTCACTAATATCGAATAATTAATTAGTATGAGAATCACTAATTCATGCTCATAATATTATTTTATCTAAAATCATCGAAATAACCAACAAGCAATCTAAAACAATTTCACATAGCTGTAATATTATCGCTGATCAAGCATTTATGTTGCAGTAAAATGTATCAAGGATTGTATCAACCGTAGTAGATTGAAGTGAACGAAATGATAATGAAGCCTGCATTGTATTCAAATAACCATTTATAGACAGTCCGTTTGAGAAGGGAGATCACCGGGTTAATTCTTGCGGGAACAACTGATTTGACGTATAATACACCCTGGTCCCAATCAATGAATCAAAGTGCACTTGGGGACAGTTGAGTAATTTAAACGGGAATCCTATCCAGGGAATAATTATCTACAAAAGAGAATAGTCAATAAAAACGGAAAATTAAGCATTTTAAAAGCATTCAAGTTAAAAAATATTTCTTTGTTTTATCTTTGACGTGATTTTCATTAGGCTTCAGCAATAATTCAGCTACTTTATGTCTGCTTTTTTCAATGTATTTGCTGGTGATCGTGTATAGATATAATAAATGAATGTACTGAGGGAGGTGAAAGAGGTGGACGTTTGCGTGTGACCGTGTGTGACCCCGAATTCCATTACCTATGCAAATTCGATTTGCTGAACGCCTCGGATCCCACGTTTTGACCCTAACTTTGTTCGTCGACTCTGTCGCATTGACAATGTAACAAAACGCTTAAGCTGTCGGATCACATAGCAGTCAAAAGACGATAGAATAAACTATTTTTATTGTCATCAAACTAAAACAATGCGTCAGTATTTATTCTTTACATATTTTCAATATCAATTCCTTTTTTTTTTGTTTCAATATTGCTATCGGCGCTGATTATTCAATAGACGATGTTTAAAAAATATATAACGATATTATTATTTCATTCAGGGAAATATAATACTTTTATCTCGTACAAGATTAATATTTGTGATAAAATTAATTAGTTTATGCTGAATTGATTGATGGAGTTTTTTAAATCTACTTCCATTTAATAAAAATTGCATTGTTTTTTATTTCATTGTCTTGTCAAATGTCTTTTATTTAGTCGGTTAATTAAATTTTTCGTTTCTTCAAATTAATTAAGAATTTTTTTATAATTAGATTTGAAAGTGTCTTGTAAATAACAGTTAATTGAAAATTTAATTTAATATTTAAATTAGTTATCAATTAAATGTAATTTTATATAAAAGATCTTTTAAAAATAATTTCTTTTTCTTTAATTAATTCATTATTATTTTATTCTTTCACTTCCGGTTGTTGTTAAGATGATTTCAATGAAAATTTCAAATGAGTATTTATGGAAAAATTTTTGAAAGCAATGAGAACTGATTGGATCATTGAAAATAATATGAAAATTATGTAAATGAGATGTTGAAGAGAATGATTTAATGAGTGTTGAAATAAGAAAAAAAATGTAATAGTTTACCTCGTAAATGATGGTTGAATAAAAGTGTCAATGTCTTGTGTCACATTTTTGTTATCGCGTAGAACGTGATGTGTGAAAATGTTTAATGTGTTTAAATGTATTGGTAGCAATAGAATTGCCAGAGGCCAACCTACATTCCACTCTATTGGATTTAATTGGTAGGTTTACGACACAAGCATAGAGAGGACCACGTTCATCTTCGAGACACGCCACGTAATTGCTATTAAAAGCAACGATGTAGGACGCATCGTAATATGAAACCTCATGACGATCATGATACACCACAGTAAATGAGACAGTTGATATTGTAATTAATTTTACCGACAAACTTAATTTTAAATATTTTCATTAAACTATGTCTATTTAATCTCAACTCTATGCCGCTGATTCATGAATTTTGGGTTTTCATTTCGAATGAACAAGTTTGCTCGTGTGCTTGGGCATTGCAAAAGCCCTTGGTATTACACAGAGTCACGTCGCTATCGCAGTTTTACCCGTTAGCCAAGTTAACGTACCTTTCGGATGGCTCATCGGATTCCCAGCAAAGCTGACCGACGAATGAGAGATAGAGATGGATGAAAACTAATGTGAGGAACAGGCTAACAGTTGGTATTGGGATGTAACTAACTACTATACGAAGCTAATGTAAACTTTTCTCTTGGTCCTCACAGTGTATATATATGCCAAAGTCTGGACATCACTGACCTCTGCTTCCAGTAACACTGGACATCAAATGTACACTCGATTTTCCATGTTCTGCAGGATGTCAAAAAGTCTCTGCCCCAAAAAAATAGGCAATAGAGGCAATGCAAACAAAAAAAATGTTTTCATTTATTTTTTGTTTGGAGCAAATTTTTCCGACTGTTTCGAAAAATACGATTGAAATGAGTGAAGTTGAACAACACAGTCCTGGACAGTCAGCAGACGATTGATAGTGGGGATATATAGATTGACTAGGATCGTTGATAAAAAGAGAAACAAAGTGAGGAAAGGAAGAAAGTACATATGTGAATGCATATAAAGATTTAACTTGCGTGTAGAGTGCGAAAGCTAAGGTCAATGTTTTTGGGACGGTAGTCTGGCCGGGGCAAGAGAACCGTTGCTATGCCAACGTGGACGAGACGAGGGAGAGGGTGAAATAGGGGAGGCGAGGGCCAAGAGAGCAAAAGCATGAGCGAGATATATGCATGGACCGCCAGACGACATGAACAAGAGCAAGTAAGAAAGAACTATAGGAAAACTATCACTCTTTTCCTCAATGCTTCTTATTCCTTTCTTTTCCCTTATTTCCTCCCTACGAATCTCTCTTTCCGCGTGCCGCTGACTGCAGAGAATTCGAAATCGAAGAACGACGCTAATTGCCCTTACCAATTCCACTCACTGGATTCTTACAGATTGAGCTCTGGAGAACAAGTGCAGATTTAGGTGAATCCTTGCCTCAAATTACCCCATTTAAAAACTTTCGCAATACGCTTGGAAATTCCTGATAATTATAAATAATTAGCTTTTTTTTTAACTCTGTGTTTTATGATTGTCTGTGAAGTAATTGAGATTTATCCGGATGATAAGAGATAAAAGAACTAATGGTTGGAAATGTCCTAATTTTTTGGAGCTATTAAAAATGACGCTTTTTTTAATGGCTTCTATTTATATTGTCAAGCATATCCAACTTTGATATCTCATTGAAAAACAAAAAAAAAAAAGTTGTGGAATCTTTTGATAGCACTCACTTGTGTTTGTATATTTACTCATATAAATATTATCGTTGTATAAAAAAAAATGCAATTAATTAAAAGTAATTAACGTATTTTATACTCAATTATCTTGTTTATGCTTCACTATCATATGCAGTACAAAACATCATTGCACTGGTGTCAAAAATTATTTGATATTTTTAACTTTACCACAAACAATAGAATATTATTATATTGTTCAAAATAATGTTTTAAATACATGATAAATATTGAGTATGGAATATGATAAAAATTCATTAGTGTATTTTATTCACTACCAGTAACACTTATAAAAATACATATAATGAGATAGCATTCTTGACATATAAGTTGAGAGTCAGTATTTGAATTCATATGATGTCTGCTATACCTTCTTCATGAACGTCATAAATTTTTTAGCAGAGTCTATTGACTTTGAAATAGTCACATACACCTAAAATATGAATTTATGGATGAGGGAAAACAATCAATTTATGATGAATAAAAATTTC